AATATGATATATTATTGTGGAATTATGACATTTTATAAAAAGATGTCTAATTTTCAATTTTTATTAATTTTATTCAGATTCATATGAATGACATTAAAATAAGTTATTTAAATAAGTATAAAATTTAAATATAGATTTATATATTAAATATATTTATATTGAATATATAATTATGAATAGTTTACTATTAAATAATGTTAATGAAATATAAATTAACAATTAAAATGATGATTTCATTAATAGAAAATGCTAATTTTACTTTATTATATACTAGAGCTCTCATTATTGATAAATATTACATAAATTTTTATATATTGAAAAAATAATAAAATTTTTAAAAGCTTATGAGTAGTACTTATCAAACTATAATTTGCTGAAAAACTAACTATTTATATAAAATATAATTTAAATTTCATAAACTTATAAAATAAATATATTATAATATATTGTATAGTTTTTTAGTTTGCTAGAATAAAATTTGTTATTTATTTATTTTTTAAAATTAAATTTCTAAACTCTTGCTCTTACTCTAAATAATTGTATATTTGTTTTTATTAATATTTTTTATTCAAAATAATGTGAATAATTTAAATTATAAGTGATTTTAAATTTTGTTATGTTTGTAAAAACATTTTAGTTTTTATTGTAATAAGTTATTGCAAATTATGTCAAATAATATGGTTTCATCATTTTTATTTTTTAGCAATATTTTATTAATTTTAAACATAAATTCTTTTACGAGAATTGTCTGAAACTTTTATCTTTAAATATTTAGGTCAACTGACCCTTAAGTATAATAAAATAAAAACATACTTTTAATGTAAATATGAATGCATTTTAATACAATTTTTATGTGCTTTATTTTATTTAAAATTACATCCAATTTATGAATTTTAAATATAAAAATTTTTACATTTCTTAAACTCTAAGACTTAAAATAATTTAAATATATATATATATATATATTATATAATCTTAAATAATTTAATTAATTTAGCTTAATTTAATAAATAAAATAATTATTAATTAGTAAAATTTATTAAAATTAATATTAAGATATCAGATATATTGTAAGTTTAGTTTAAACAATATTAATATTTCCATGAATTTTAGAAAAAAATAAATAGAAATTTTAGATAATTTATACTCACAATTCTATAAAGTTAGCTATTTATATTATTTTAAGTTATAATTTTTTAAACAATTTAAGCTATTAACACAAAACTTAAAACCAAAATATACTAACTATTTTACCCCACTATCTCTAATTGTAAGTCAAAAGCCTTCAATTGTTATCAATATATTATTAATAATTTTGTTATCAAATAAATTCATTATAATATGATATTATTGGAATTGTTAATATAATATTTTTTTCAAAATAACAAAAATTAAAACTTTATATAACATAAAGAAATCATTATTTTATAATATATATAATAAAAAAGAATTAATTCTATTGTTTTACTAAATATATTTATGAATTAATATAATATGAATTCAATGTTAGTTTTATATTAATATTTTTTTTAAAAATTATTTATACTAAAAAATATAAATATTTGAATTAATATATTATTTGTAACCTTCTATAATCAAACAATACAGTACTAATATATATATATATATATTAAAGTAGACATCAAAAATGAACCGACAATTGTAGGTCTGTTTCCAAATATTAAAAATAAAATAATTGTATAGTTATATACAGAATAGTATTGTAAAAATTGAGTAAATCGATAGCAATCATAGTGAATGATGCCATGAAATGCTATGACAACTTACAATTTTTCTCTTATTAACCACCTGTGCTCACACACACACACTTCAATTATATACAACAACAATATATTCACACTTAAATATAGTGCATAATCATTGTCACAAAATTACTATGGGATTAATAATGTTTTAATGATAAATGTGTATACATTTCAAATAAAGCTTAAATATGGGTTATTATGCACATTGTTTACATTGTATTTGTAAAACTAGTTATACTGAATAAAAATATCGATAAAAACTAAGTTCACTTTCCAAAGGCATACAATATATTGTTGTAAATTAAGTTTATTGGTTGAAAAATGTTGACATAAATGAGGACAAAACTGTGGACACAATGGCATCCATTAATTGAGAATTCAATTCACGAAACGTTTTCTTAGGAGAAGAACAAACGTGAGAACAAAATATTAACAAATCCTATAATTTTATACTTTATTCTTGATTTTACAGAATATTCTGTTTGTTTAATATACAGTACTGCCTATCAATATGAAGACCTAACATCACAAACGCATCCATTGTATGGATCGGCAAAAAACTAATAAGAATTTGTATAATAATAGTTAAACATAGGTTTATATACAAATGTATTATTATTATTATTATTACAAACAACATGTTTTATCCTACAAATGAAGACAACATTTTTCTGAATACAATTTTTTCAAACCAATATTTGGTATTTTCAGAAATAACTAATTACTACTAATGTTAATATAAAAATTTATATAAAACTAAGTCAATTAAGCTATTAATCAAATAAATACTCACGTAAACTTCAAGACAAGTAAAAATTTACTATTTATATAATAAATGTTAATTATTCCAAAATATCAATAATATTTGTATAAATAAATTTAATTAAATCATGACTTATAATAATTATAATGAATTAAATTAGAATGAAAATGAAAGTAAAGTTTACTGCATTGCTATCATATATAAAAATAAGACATTCAAACCATTGCATTATTATTATTATTATTATATTCAATAGATTGTTATGTTTTTATAGCTAAAGTATATCCAGAGCTATCTATTAAATAAAAGTAGGGGTGAGTTATATAATATAAGAGTGTATTCTTGATAAGCATTTGTATTCATCAATATTGTGTTCAATAATATTACCTATTATTGCTTGTTATGACACATATGCCGTATAAAATTATATTTATAATTTACATATTTCTAAACATTAAGAATCCAATATAAATAAAAATAATTGCTTTGTTTATAACATTGATCACACATTTAACATAACCCACAAATTTTATCTTATTTTCATATTTTCAAAGTAAAAACACAAATTATTAAAAGTTTTTTTTCATTTTTAAGACTTTAATAATTGTTTGACATTCAATACGTTAAGTATTCAGTTGTCATTTATATGATTTATAAAAACAACAAAGAATTCAATATAAAAAAAATTTGTCTCATTATTAACGATAACAATGCTTAGTATAAACTGTAGTACAAGACTGTATAGTATTGTATAGTATATGTAGAGTACTATAAGCTTTAGTATAGAATAGTGTTGTATTATAAATGATTGAATGAAATTCAATCAATTATATTATGATCGTTACGTACGAGTCGTACGACAAAACAATTCCCCAATTCGTGTATTTCTTTAATTCCTGTCTCATGTTTATCGTCTCTAATAACGATCGCATCAAATATAAATCACTCGTAAATATTGCACTCATTTTCACTACAGTCTTATAGTTAGACTTTTTTCTTTTTCTTGCTTTAATTCTCAAGTAGTAGTAGTAGTAGTAGTAGTAGTAGTAGTAGTAGTAGTAGTAGTAGTAGTAGTAGTAGTAGTAGTAGTAGTAGTAGTAGTAGTAGTATTTGTTGTTGTTGTTGTGTAGACACCAATAACTTATAAAATTTGAAAAACATTAAAATTCTGTTGATTTATTGAATTTTTTTGTTTTAACTTTAAATCAATTCATGGATGAACTGAATTCAGTTATTTCAATAATTTTTATTATTTTAAAAAATATTACTTTTAAAAAGATTAGTTATTTTCTACTATTTTAGGTTAAATTATAGAATTATTCTAAATTTATTATTTTATTGATTGCTTTATTAGTGTTATTCAACAACAAAAATGATAAATCTAACTACTGTATAACTTTTAAAATATTTATTGTATTTAATAAATTGTGATTATTTGCATTTTAGTTATACAATTTAATGTCTAGATTAAAAAGATTTATCTATCATATATACGGTATTTATGTATTTATATTTTATTGTTTAAAATAAATAAAATTTGAAAATACAGTAAATTATATCAATCTATTAGTTTTATAGTTCAATATTTTTGATATTTTTTGAAGATTAACATTCATTGATTTATTAATAATTATTAAATATTTATTATGGTATATTTTAATGATATATATAATTAAATTATAATAGTTATTTAAAGCAACATTTTTTACAATTTGTACATAAATTTAATAATTAATACATAAATTCTCGAGATATTAATAATTAATAAAATCATTTTAAAAAAGTGTAAATCGTTGTTATTGTTATACAGTATACTGTAATATAAGTGATCAACAAAATGATTGATCTAAAAGTGATAAGTTGTGGCAAATCAATGATAAATCTAGTGTTTGTTTCACTTTTTATATTTACATCAATTTACACATTTGTATCGCTCTTAACATTCGGAAGAGTCTATGATTCAAATTGGATACTCTCTGGTGTTGGCATTTTGGCCACAATTCATCTACTGATGGCTCCCATTGGATATGTGGGTCTATGTCTGAACCATACAATAATGGTTATCACATTCATCATTAGCGCATCCATTTGGATACTACTAATAGCTATTTATCTCATCCTATTCATTGAAATTTGTATTATTTGTTATTTTGTTACTTTTGTGAGTAAATCTTAATTTAAGTTATTGTATTTATAGTTGAAGACGAAAACTACCAGTTTATACATAACAGTCCACTACATCTCACAATTTTGGGATCATATATAATAACATCACTGATTGCCACATCTATTGCATCCATTAAACTCCTCAATAGATATTAAGTAAATAAAATATCCAAAAATTCGTCAATTGTTTTTAATACATCTTATTATGAATTAATATAATTAATATATTCAATACTGAATATGTATTTTGTATTTACGGTAATAAATATTTAATAACAAAATAACTTATTTTTTATTTGATCCAAAATATAGTATATATAATATTAAACAAAACAAATATTTAATGTCAACAGATATCTTGTTTCCAAATATATTCATCTCTATAAGTATTACCATCGATACTATCATATGATGAACAGCTCTGTGAACAGGTATAGACCACAAGTGTTCCCCAATCGAGTGAATCATCAGTTGTTGTGATAATTTTGTTCAGCAAATAAGGCATAACTTGAAACTCAAATCTTCGCTCACTATTACAGTACTGACACTTCGGTATCGGAAGTGTTGGTTTGTTTTTTGTTGATATCCATAGCGGTTCCATCAGTTCATTGCTATCACTATCATAACTGCAATACCGGATCACTTCATCATTTGATAATTTTTTAAATTTATTGAACACACTTTGCTCTTCATTCTCCACTTCTTCATATTTGTCTAAGTTTTGTGTCTGATATTTACACTCATTCTTATCCATAAACTCTTTGTATTTTTGCATTTCTCTCTCTTCAGAATCCGATTCGTTGTCATTGTCTTTATTGTCTTCACTGTCATCAGAATCTTCATTATCTCCAATAATGAGTTCAAATTCTTGAAAAAGTATTGATTTATGATTTAATGGCAAAGATGTTGTGTCAGTGATTCCACACAACTCTTTATGTTTGCCTTCTTTCCAATCAATTATTTGGTGATCTTTTGAACAGTAGTTCACTTTACGACACTTCGCGCACTTGCTTTTGGCCTCAAAACCACAGACAACACATAATTCGTGTCCAAACTGTTGTGGATTTGGATCATAATTGGTATCATCCGAGTCATAGTTTGGCGGATCAAATGAATAATATGTATTAATTCGTGGCAATTGTGATCTCAAAACTTTAAAGTGATTGCAATTGTTGTTAAAACAGCAAAAGACAAACAAAGTTCTGTGAAAAGCGCTGTCTTTAGACTCAATCGGAGCATAGATTTGCAGCAAAAACCGCAACATCTGCTGACAATTAGGACACTTCATGTCTACTGAAGTCGGTATTGACTTGAGCTCTAAAAAGACTGGTTTTCCACCGACTTTTGACGGGAAGTACTTATTCTTCAATTTATATCTTCGGCCAATCGGTTGAATGAATCCCAAGTCTATGAATGACATCTTTAATAGTGTCCGACAATGAGTTTTTACCGCAAGAGTTGACCACAAAAAAGACAAACAAATGACATAACATTTGAAACACGTTTTGATTGATTCAAACAATTCAAACATAAAGGACGTCAAAAACATTGCATTTGTTTTGGGATTCAATTCATAATAAATGACAAAACATTTCATTCAACTCATTGTTAAGTCACTGATCGCCGACTTATCCTTTAGTTGACCACTAAATCACATCATTTGATTAGATATTTGATTTCAGATTAAATGACCAAATGATGGATAATTGTAAAGATGACAACAGTTTGCAAACTTTGTTTGAAGACAACAGTTTGAAGATTGAAACCACTGATCATAAAGTTAATGACATTTCGTCATTAAATAATGAAAACAATGATTGTTTGGATCAAATGGATGTCAAAATTAAACCTAAAGTAAGACATAATTCACAAATATTGTCTCAACAATTGGTGACCAATCGTATGGACAACTGGAAGGGCTCACCAGTTGTTAATTACAAGACATTTAGGAAGTGTCACCAAAACTCATCACAAACTTTTAAACAGGAAGAATGTATTCGCGTGAAGAAAATCTGCAATAATTATAACATATCTTTTGATGAAAATAATTGCAATGAAGACATCGATACAGAGTTTGAATTATGATTTGTTTTAATTATTGTTTTAATGCTTAATATATTTGTTTTGATTGTCACAGAAAAGGTGTTAAAAGGAAACTCGAGTCCGAAGACAACATCGATAAGAAGGCATGTCTTTCGATGGATTAATTGATTGAAATTTTGATAATATGTTAGCATTTAAATCATTTATATATATATATATAAATTAAGATATATTTTGTGTTAAAAGTTGATTGTAATTAATTTAAAACCAAATATGTGTTCAAAAATCATTGATTATTATTATTTAATTGCCATATATTTAGTGTTATATTTATGGTTGATATTCATTAAAACATTTATAAATGCTTTTAATATTGTTTTAATATTTTAAATAAATTAATAGTAAATTAAAGGAAAACAAAATTTTAACAAAAAAATTGTGTTTTATTAAAGCAATGAATACATGAATCAAATGAAAGCCGTAATTGATTTGAAACAACAATTGGTTTGTTTTTAGTCAACGAAAGGCTGAATCACTTTAACGAATAGTTTTGAAGTGTTGTTGTCGTCACTGATATTATCCATAATATTTGACCACAAGTTATACCACAAGTTATACCACAAGATATGTCTGAAATTAAGCAATGGTTTCTCGGTTTACCACAATTTACTCGATATTGGTTCGGCCTTTCGGTGGTCTTTCCATTGGCCGGTCGTATCGGTCTTTTGAGTCCATATCACATGATTTTGACGACAGATTTGATTAATAAGTTTCAAGTAAGTGGTGTATGGGATGTACTAATGGTGATAATATTTGATTTGATTGTTGTTATTGAATGTATAGTTATGGAGACCATTGACAGCCCTATTCTTCTATCCGATGAAATTTCATTATCTCATTAATTTGTATTTCTTGTACAGCTATTCCATTAGATTAGAGAATGGTATTAAAGTGAAGATATGTTTATGACATGAATTTACAAATAATTACTTAATTGTTATCTTTTAGAGCAATTCAATGGACGTCCGGCTGATTACTTGTTTCTTCTGATATTCAATTGGTTCTCAATTGTCGTATGTTTTTATAGACATTTCATATCCAATTATATGGTGTTTGATAACAGATTTGGTTATTATTGCAGATCATATCACTAGCCATGAATGTTATGCTTCTTATGGATCCAATGGTTTTGAGTGTCCTTTATATTTGGTGTAATCTAAACAAAGACATTATCGTCAACTTCTGGTTCGGCACTCAATTCAAAGCCTTATACTTGCCGTGGGTTTTGTTGGGCTTTAATATAATTATGGGCGGAGGGTATGTCAATACCGTTGATTATATAATATTTTTTACATTTTTAAAATTAATTGATTAGTGGCGTGGATGAGATTATTGGTATCATTGTTGGCCATCTGTACTACTTTATAATGTATAGATATCCTGAAGAACATGGCGGCCAATCGCTCCTTCAGACGCCATCAATTTTATATAATTATTTTCCTTCAACTCCTGGCAGGGGATCAGTTTACGGAGGCTTTCAATATCAACCGCCACCTCAACGATCTAATGACCAAAACAATCAAAGAGGTAGTGGACGTCATAATTGGGGATCGGGTAATGTGTTGGGCAATAATTAAATGAAATTTTAATTTTAAAGAGTTTTATATATTTTGTATGTTTTTGTCTGAATTTAAAATATTTAAGATTTAAAAAGATATTATATGTATATAATAATTATTAATTGATATATAAGACAATAATTTATTACTTAAATCGTAATTATTATTTTTTCAATTAAATCTTATTAATATAAAAGATTTTTTTGTTACAAATTGTTATTTATGTGCAAACAATATATTGATTATCAATACATTAATCCCTAAATTCTGTATATGAATTAATTAACGAATACAGTAAAACTTATTTACTAAAAATAATAAAAAACAATTTTTATTTATTTAACTTAATCATAATTGATACTAATAAAATAAGTCATTAATTTATTGATTGTAATTGATGTTTGTTTGATTTGATCCAATCATAATCGTGACACTGTTTTATTATTTTTTCATAATTAGTTTCTTTAGTCAAACCAACCAATTTTTCTGCGATTAACTTTCCAATTATAAACTCCTAAATAATTGTTAAAAGTTTATAATTAATATATATATATAACAAATTATAGTCTAATAATTACTTCAAGAAGTAGAGCCAAAACAAAGTGAACTAAAGTAAGAGCTATTAAAATGCCTCGAAATTCAAACGAAAAATTTTCGGTTTCAATCTATTATATGATTTTTGGATATCATAGAAATTGATTACATTTTATAGTTATAGCCTAAAATTAATAACTTATAGGTATACCTCAAAAAAATTGGCTGTCCAACTGGGATAGTCAGGTGCTATACATATGTATAGTGTTAATAATGTGGTTATTATAATAACGGTTAGCAATAATTCTAAATTAAATAGATATTCATATTTAAAGAATATTATGACATAAATGGAAATACAATTGATTACTGTTTGTATAAATAGGTTTCCTATAGGGACGACCTTTTGAAAAGACAATAACTAGTGATATGTATTGAAACACTTGAATCGTAAACACCGTGTAATTGATGTGCGATTGATAGTCGAGTTCATCACTTGGTTTGTGCACTTCATACCAGTCTTGTTGCCAAAGAAGCATAACTGCTGTCATTTGAAAAAGTAATACTAAAACCAAATGCAAAACTATTGACGATAATTGAGTTATGCTTATGAGGCTCGTTGGCGGTCGGATTGGACTCAGCTTATAGTGAGCACCTGTTCTGCCAACTAATCATAATATTTTAGCAATAATTTTATATTATTTATTGTATTATAATTTATAAAATAATTAAACAAACTTACAAAGGAATACATAAAGAGATATAAGAAGCATATCTTGATATAAATTTTGGATATCAGTTATGTTTGAGCGATACTATCAATTAAATAACAAATTATTATTATTACTGTATTAATAAATTTTGATAATTATTTGTTTTGTAGTAATAAATACCGAATAGAGAATAAGCACTGCAATGAATGATGTGATGTTATAACAGGACATATACTTTATTATACCGAACACCGATACCAATGAAGCCCTGCCTTCCTTTAGTAGTACTAAAACACATGAGATATTTGGTGTCTTAGATGTAAAAGGAGAAGCAACTGAAGCCTCAGTTTCAGCTAAACTTATGCCACAATTAGATGTTTTAAGAGCTCCGACATCATTAGCGCCGTCGCCTTTAATATTTACAAAATATATACATTTAATACTACCAGTTGTTATTGATTTTTTAAAATCACAAATTACCTGTCTAATAAATTATAACAATTTAGTAATTTGATTTAAATGTTAATATAAGTTAATGTCATTTACCATTGAGACTATATATCCGTATTGTTGAAGATCTTCAATGAGTTGTTGTTTGTTTTCGGGTGACATTCTGGCGAATACAGTGCCACAAACTATCAGTTTTGGTATTAGATATGAGTAGTAGTCGTGAATTATTTTGAATGTATTTCCTGTTAGACCCAAATGAGATCTGTTTTCAATTTGTAAATTCACTTCTTTTAGCGATTCCTTGGAATTCTTGACCGGATTCTTGTATTTGCATTCAAGTCTTGGAGTGCCATCACTGTCGGTAAAAGTGTCGATAATAATAATCGGATCATTTTTATCAATGATGTGACACTCTTGAGCTACACTTAAAGCTGTCATCAGATTATCTCCCGTTGCCATCAATGTTCTTATGTTTGCTCTTTTTAATTCATCGATTGTTTCGATTGTTTTATCTTTTAAATTGTTTTTCATAACAACCAAAGCCAGGAAAATGAGATCAATTTCGAGTTCATCTCTTTTCGCTCTTTGAACTTCAATATAATCCATATCTTGTAATGGTTTGTAAGCCAACGCTAAAACTCTATAACTTTTTTCTGTGTATTCCAACAATTTTTGATCAAAATCTTTGGGAACAGTATTTGGATCGCAAAGAGTTGCTATTACTTCAGGCGCTCCCTATAATAATCTAATGTTATAATTGTTTTACTTAAATAAAAACTACAATACCTTTACGTATAGTTGATATTCATTTTCACACAACACCCGAGTGATGACAGACATACGGCTTAAATGTGATGAGAATGGGAACTGTCGTAATATTCCGACTTGAGGTGAGTCATCGACACCCATAACATATGGAGGCTTTACTATAGTAGGCGCCAACAGATCATATTTACTTGAATCGCTAACTTCAGGCTCTTCTAACACCCATTTAGTTGATTCAAACATTATAATATCCAATGGATCGCCAATTATATTTGAATCTAATATAGTCAGTGAGTGACAACTGGCCACACATATTAATATTGGACTCAATTGTTGATCTTCCAAACAAGTTATAGGATCCGTAAATTTTTTTGTTTTAAGATTTATTGGCAAAACTTCAGCCAAACTGAGCTCATCTTCAGTAAGTGTTCCGGTTTTATCAAAACAAACACAATCCACACAACCAGACATATTGATAGACTTGGGTGACATACAATAGATCTGATTAGCTCTGAGTCGGTTATCAACAAAAATACTGGCGATTGTCATAGAAGCAGGTAATTCAGGTGGAACCGCTACAAATTATTAATAATCATTATTATAAATCAAATCATTTTGTAATTTATAGTAATTTCTATTAAAAATAATTTTATTAATACCTATTGTAAATAAATCAAGCGCTTTGATTATAATATCGCCTAAACTTTCATCGCGTTTTGCTTTAATAACAAAAGTGTATATAAATCCCGACAACGACAGGCATATCATTATTATAATAAACTGATTTATGTGTCGATTAAATTTAAAGTCAACCGGTTTAGGGAACAGAATAGAGCGAACCAACTCTCCCTTTGCAGTCTGAAAACTGGTACGAATGACAACTGCTTTAACCTTTTGATTGCCATAATATCGGGTTTGAATTACTTTAGTTCCCGAAAATATAATGTGTTTGAAGTGGTGTTTGTAATTGAACTCCGAAGGACTCAAAGGAATACCAGTTTTCATGACCGGAACACTCTCTCCGGTTAACATACTTTCGTCGACAATAGCGTTACCATTGAGAAGGACGACATCGCATATCATTTCAAAGTCATTTGATGGCAATACTATGACATCTCCCGGAACCAAATTGTTTGAGTCTTGTGTCTGATATACGTCTCCTCCCTTCCAGACCTCAACCATCTGTTCTCCGCCGACTGTCTTTCGAAGTTGTTTTTGATTTCGACGAATCTGAAGAACACTTGAAAGAAGGGAAGCGATAGACATCACCAAAATAAATGAGCCGTAATAGTAGTACTCATCCAAACACCACAGTATAATAGCCGCCACTTGAAACACATAAAAAGGAGTCAATACTTCTTTGAATAAAATCTCAAAATATGACTCGACTTTGATTTCAATTTTATTTTCACCAAAAACTAGAGCTCTATATATATATATGATTTAATTTTAATAATTAATACTACAGTATAAACATACGAGAAAAGTCAAACCTTTGAAATTGTTGTTCATCTGTAAGACCCCTGTGTTGACCAATTGTTTGGCAAAGTATATCCCGATCTAAACCATAAAGTTTTTCAAATTTGTTGGTCTTTTCACTCCAAAGATACCGAAGCTTTTTGTTTATAAAATATCTCAAAGAACTGACACTTTGAAAGTTACCGTCAGATTCTGGGATCACATATTTACTGTCATTGTTCTTATTATTGAATAAAACCACTTTTTCTGTAAATATCTGATTATATTTATCCTAATTTTTATAAATAACATAATTATTAAAATTTAGTGAACAATTTATATCAATTTAGTATCAAAATTACAATCAGAATCACAGAATCTGCAACATTTGATGAACATCTTCTATGAGTGAAATACAGTTCCCAATGAGGTCTCCAAAAGAATAGCAATTTTAGGATAAAAATCGTCAAAATTATCAAAATATAAGTTAAGATACTTTTAAGCCAATGTTTCTCATAATAGAAAATTTCCTATAAATAGACTTATATTTAGAATTAAAAACTTATATTTATTAGACAATTATACCATTTTTTCGTCGTCATCGCCAATATTATCGGACAATTTATTATTGAAATTAATATTTTTATTTTCATTATTGTCAGGAAATTTGGATTGTATGCCATCCCATACTTTCATGCCTAACAAATTCAATTGTAAATTACTTTACAGTACTTTAGAGACAAGTAATTAAACGTTTGTTGGATTCAAAATTAAATGATCACTTTTTAAAAGATTTATCAAATATTATTGCAATTATTTGTGAACACTTAAGATTTTAATCAAATTTGTTTGACGTTATTTAACAATATTAGTTTTATATCAATTTTATTACATAAATTTATACTATTAATTAAAATAATTAATTAAATAACAGTGTAATTAATGTCATAAAGCATTTTACAATTTATTATATTATAATATACAATTAAGCTATCTTTTAATATCATAAACATTCAACTAATTAAAAACTTTTATTAAATTTTATTGATAAAGTATTGTAAAAATGAACTTGGCAAACTTAGCAAATTTAATATTATAACGTACTATAAAATATTTAATTTTTAAATTATCATATTTTGTAATTTATCCGGTTTATTTTATTTATATTATGATAATAATATTTATATTATAAATATTTCGTCATATATCTACAAATTCTAAAAATGTTGTTTAATTCAAAACAAAAAATAAATATTTAATATATATATCATTATTATTATTATTATAGAAAAAATTATAAAGAAATAGTATATAACATAAATCCTGAACTAATATAAATTTATATCCAAAATAAATAGAATAAAATATTAACTAATTTTATTTTATTTATAATAAACTACTGTATATTTACACCAATAAAATATTTTTCAAATGACTTTATGGTTTTAGGTTATCTTTAATATTTAATGTCCAGTATTTATGGTACAGTAATATTACAGTAATATTACAGTAATATTACAGTAATATTACAGTAATATTAATTATTATAAATTAATTGTCTAAACTTATTGTCTAAATTTATTTAGTGCTTTGTAAATATTTTTACGCAATCAATGTATTCATTGCTCTTTTTTATAACTATTAATTTTTATTTGTTTATAATATTGATTTTATATTTAATATAATTATGATATCAATGAAGATTATAATCAATTTAAAAAACATTTGCTTTATTATGACACACAGGCCATCAATATTTTGTGTTAAAAGATAATATTTGATTAAATAAAATAATTTTGAAATAATGTTAGCAATAAAACAATAAAATGTAATATTGTTTATAAATAACTAATTAAAAAGACAGAAGTTTACAGTAATTTTAATTATTCCTATTCTAACAATAATTAAATATTAAACTAATTGCTGTAAAGTATATAAAATATAATTTTATTGTACATTATATAATTGATTTACAGTATATTATTATATAAGTCCATTAGTACTATATTGAAAACATGCTAAATAACATGTAGTCTAAGTAATAAAATTGATTTAAAGATTATTATGAAAAAAGATTATTAAAGTATTTATTAATTTTTTTATTTAAAAATTATTATTTAATTATATATTGTTTATTTAAATTTATGTTAGTATTTAATAAAACATTTATTATTATTATTATTGTAGCCTTAATAACAATTACCAATGATAATATTATAATTAATTAATTTGTTTATTTGTCAAATTTGTGTAATATTCAAAATGTCAGTTTCATAGTATCATTCAAAATATTTACACAATTATTAATGTAAGTTAAATATTAACAAACAAGTAATTTAATTAATAATTTTTTATTGACTAAATGTTTTACAATTTAATTATTATATTGTATTTTATTTATGAATAATATCATTAATATTAATAAATAATGAAAAATGTAAACAAATTTGATTACAATTAGAAAAATTGGTCTTTTTAAAGATATATATTATATATATATATATATATAAAGATTGTTATGAATTGAGAGAAAACAGTATTTATATGTTTGATTTGAGGGACAAAAGTATATCTAAAAAACGTGTAAAACGAGGCACAAGAATACAAATTCACACAATTTGTTGCTTTACTAACAAAAAACACTATTAATTAATAGATCAATGAATCTCTGTATTGTCACTAAATATAAATTGCTTACACATTGTTAAACAATATATATATATAAATAAAACATCATTCAAATATACATTTTATTATATAATTTAGCAAAACATTTATTTGAATGCCATTATTAGTGCCGATGATGTCAGTTAACTCAAGACTCTTTACTCAATAGAAATAATTATTTATTTGATTATTATTAGTAATTTAGACATTGTTTTAGTTGACTATCTCTGAGTAATCATCTTTAGAGTCAAAATTCAGGCACATTTAGACATTATTTTTATCAAAAAATATTTACAAAATTGAAATCATTACAAATTATTGAGTTGTAAATTGTTTTTTCTCAATAAGGAAGATGTGGCTCAACATACGATAAAAACTAACTTTATATATAAAGTTATGATAGAAAAATCAATTCAATTATTAATATGTTTTTTAAATAATAAATTAAACTTAATGTTTATCAAGAATTAATGTAATTATGATAATTGTTTACAAATGAATGACTAGTGTTTGCCAAACAATTATTACATTTTATGGCAGTTTTAAATACTGGTTGTGTTTGCATTTATTTAAGTTATTTTATTATACCTGTATAATAATTAATTAGCTATTTTAGTTAAACATTTATATATAAACTTAGATTTTTAAATGTATAAAATTATTTTAAAGCATTTGACATTTTAATTGAATGGCAAAAAAAAGCTGTCATTTATTAAGTATTGAATTAATTATTAATAAAAATCTTTCCCAAAAAGTGAAACGCATTGTTTTAACAAATAATTTTCTAAAACTGCTAAATACCCTAAATTAAACAGTTATCACAAAAATATAGACAAACATTTTAAAAAACAGACACTAAAAAAGTAAATAAATACAAGAAATCACAGATTTTTATTATTGTTATAATCATAACAAATAAGTCGTAAAATATGAAAAATAAGATAAAAGACTATCTAATAAATAAATGAATTATTGAAATAAGTGAATATTTTAATAATTAAAGTTATTAGACATACTAAAAATTGGCACATAAGTAAAATGTAGTTGAATATAATGGTGTAATTAAAAGTATAAAAATCAATAATTAAAATAATTGTAAATAATTTACAAATTTATTATTTGTTTGGAATGTTTAAGAGCTGCTAATTATAGCCTAAAAAGTGGTCAATCAATGCGTTTCCTTATCGAAAGGCTGTACATAATTGTCAATTAAAAATCACTTTAAAATCAAATCGTTTAACAGATTGATAATAAAATGGCAGTTTTGGGCCGATTATTATTATCTAAAGTATAAATGTGTATAAATCATATAAAATATCGTATAAAACAACAAATAAATCGACAGACAATTAGTTATAAACACATTCTTCATCAGAATTGCCGGAATATATCAAATGTAAAATAAGTCAAATTTGATGGCATTTATGATTCATTTGTTGAGCAGTTGTAGTTATGATTCACTTTTATATAATGTCACGTATTAGTAGTCAATGATAATCACAATCGTAAGCACTTAGCATATCTGTCATTAATGTCTTGAGCCGTCAAGCATTTTAAAACACTTTCATTCAACACTATAATAGTAATATAATATTAAAAGTAAGGGACGGCTATAAATGTGCCAATTGTTGGTCATTGTATGTCATGTTTTCATTTTGATTTGTTAATTAATCCATAACATTATTGCAGTTTTTTCTCTAAAATTGATTCTAAAATTAAAACAGTAATAATAATAATCCTTTTAAGTGCTGACTTAAACATTGTGTCGATTGATTGGATTATTTGTCGATAAAGTCATTATTTACAATATATATAACATTTGTGTTAAATTAGATGAGATCTTTGAAATATTTGGCTATCATTTTATTCGTCTTCACTCTCTCCCTGTCCATACATAGCAGAGAGTGCAGCAAATCTCGGTCCCCATCTGTTAAGATAATCAAAATCTTGTTCGTTGTCATCCATTCCTGAGGCTAATGAGCTCAATGAGCCACTAGTACTGCCACAGCCTTCGTAAGCGTAATTCCTTAAGTCATCGAAAGGCGCTTTATATACAAATCATTGATAAGTTGTTTAATAATAATATAATTATAATTACAAAACAATAATAATAATTATCTTTACGAGCATTTGGATCATTGTCTGCCTTTTCTAAGTTTTCACGAATCAACTCTCCAACGTCTCGATTGGGATCAACTATAATTAATATACAATAAGAAAATGTTTTAAAAACTTATTATTAATTATTAAAACATACATTGTCGTTGACGCATATCTTTAATAATTCCAGGTTTGTCTTTACCAATCATAGCACCGGTTGTTGGATCAATTGGGATACGTAATGGCGTTATATCGTAAGCGTTCATATCATCTTCACCGCCACCTTTAATAAAAACCATAAATTAATTTTCAACCAATCATTTAAATATCTAAGACATACCCTCGTCATCATAAGTGATGATATTTTCTCGTACGTCATCGTCCATTTCATTGCCAAACTTATGGTGTGGACGACGACTTCGAGTGTAGGCAACGATTACCAAAACGAGAACTATTTTTTATATACAATTCATTAGTTTTTTAAACTATTATAATGTTTAGATAATTATATCGATAAATAATAAACTAAAATTATATAAATGCTATTTATATTATGACTATAAATAATATAAATATTAAACTATATTTATACTGTAAGTCAAATTGACTAATATTAATTATTATAATATAAGTATAAAACTAAGAATATATAAACTATATAACAATTAAAACTAATTTAATTCATTTAATTTATAAGTTTATAATAGACACCGAATGACCAAATTGAGACACTGTCTTACTTAAGTAAAAAATAAGTGATAATATAATAATAGCTAAAGCGTCGCCCCCTAATCCAATGGTTGCGTGAGCGTGTCGTAGGTATGGCCCCTCATCACAGCTACAATTATCACATCGAAAGCCATCAATAGGACAGTCACACCAATATCCGCCTCCATTTTCTACATTAAAACATTGACCTCCTCTACCACACGGATGATAATCACATTCATTCTTGTCTTCACAACCGAGTCTATTGCCAGTCATTTGAAGACCAGTCGGACAACTGTTTGTTTAAATCGTATTTTATAAGCAAATCTCACCTTATATTTCAATTAATTGTTTAGTTAGTTTCAACCCGTTTTAGTTTAGACAGTAATAGTAACCCGTTATTTAAAATATTAGTATTAATTACATTCAGTGTATAAGTTATTAGTATTATATTTAAGAATATATATATAATAATTAGTAAAGCCATGGAAATACTCACTCATAATATTAACGAGACATATAATAATCATCATAAGGGCAGCGCTCGACAATTGGACCTCTTTTCCAATTTGCTGAGCACTGCAAAGCTCTCCAGAATAGCCTTCAGGACAGATACAATAATAGCCATTTCCTTTATCGAGGTTCATACAGGTGCCCCCATTTTGACACGGATTCAATGTTTCACATTCATTCAAATCCGTGCAATTTTTCCCATCATAAGTACTGGTAAAGCCAGCCGGGCATCTATTAGTCAAAGAGTGCATGCAATCAACACCAAAAACCGTTAACCCATTAGTGTAAACATTAATTGTGTTAATTAACCCAAAAGCTTAGATTATGCTCAGACATGCAATTGTTAAACAATGTTATCTTACCTGCACTCATGAATCATCCAGAGATCAACGCATTCAAACGGATGATTACAATGAATGCCTTCACAGGGATTGTTTGAGGGACAGCCTATCGAAAAAAACAATTTCTTCATAACTAAAATGTTAATAATAACCATAACTATTACCATTCAAGAGATTCCTCCATTCAACTACAGCTGCATTTTCAGATCCATTTTCCATTGGAAGATATCTCTGGTCAAGTCGTATATCATTCATACATCCTTCTTGGAAATCAGATTCTACAACAGTAACACCGGGACCGACATATTGGACATCTCCTCCGGCGATCACATTTTGTTTTTCGACGGGCAAGAGTTGGTGCAACCCTTCGTAATCAATTATTTCATTAAAACGACGTCCACCGCCACCGTCTAATGCTATGGAAGCAGTGCTGCCGAAGCGTTGTACGTGAACTGAATGCCACTGACCGTCACTGATATACACAAATGGCAGCCATAACTCTCTTTCTTCAGAAGATCTCAAATTATTTAAATTAAATTTAAACCGCAATTTTTTGTCTTTGATTTCAAGTACACAATATTCGCGGCCATGTTTTGAAGCCACTCGAAACAGTTCGCCGTGTTTTTGTCGGGTGCGGAACATTAGCTGAATATCAGTTTTGTAAGCGTCGGGTTCGAAGGACAGGGCGTATTTAATATAACTACTTTGTTGAAACATTTTCGATTGCGTCTCTTTATCACATCGTGCGCCCCACCAGCCAGAGTCACAAAGACAACGGGCAGAGTTGTAAGTGCCGATACATTCTCCGTGAAAACATTTCTTAGTAATGGCATTGGCATTGCACTGATCATCAGAGACAGGACATCCCGGTTCGCTTCTCTCAGAACTTCCAGGAGATCCCAAGTCATACGTTATTGAGTTGTGAATGAAGTTTTTAATGCAACCATTAAAACCTTCTTTCGATGGCAAGTAATGCCAGTCATAATAATTATCAATTGGTTTGTGTCCAATAAGTACTCCTCCGATTTGAAGCGGAGAATTCACATTAAGATATTCATTAAAGCCGACAATTCGAGTTATATTTTCACATCGTGATCTATCTATCTTTGGTGGATCTACTTCATCAATAAGAGTACCGACACAATTGTCAAGCATAAGACGTGCCGATTCTTTAGACCAGAATATATCGACTTTATGCCATTCACCGTCGTGTAGATCTCCGAGAGGATTAAGTGTAAGTTCAGCCGTTCCCGAACCAAAATCGATCAAAAATCTTAATTTTCCTCTGAATAACTCCAATGATATAAAGTCTCTGACGGCTTTCATTCCCATTACTGGCTCAACAATAGGTCCATTATAAAATATAAGACCATTTGGTGTTCGGGTCATAAACTCAAGACTTAGATGCGAGTCTTGGCATTGTTGCAGTGGTGCAAACCATGCCCAGCCATCACCTCTGAATGATCGCACAGGCATTTGGCATTGAGGACCTGTATATCCTTCGGGACATTTGCAGAGTACACCAACTGAAGTGTCGGTACATCGGCCACCGTTATGACACGGAGGAGGCATTTTGCGACACGTCTCAACTTCGGTAAAATCTCGTGCACCGCAAACACATTTTGCTTTTGTCCACACATTTACGCCAACAAAAGAGGTTCGGTTGGCATTCACTACAATTGGTTGAGGATTTATTTCCAATATATTAGTACAACTGGACTCGCAATTTACATTCTCGATGAGACATTCGTCAATTCCGACTAATGTAATATTAATGCCAACTTCATGTTCAATGACTCTTCTATTTAAACTAACAGCACCGTCGAGGAAGACAGACTTTTGATAAGGAGATCCATGAGCTGCAAAACGGATATCTGTTTGCGGAGGTCTTTCTTGTTTAGTTATCACACTAAACACATCCACATTATTCTTATCGACTTTCAGAATGCGGGCCAATACGTCTTTAAATTTTTCATACATTGACATGTGTTGTCTCTGCTGTTGATAATTCCAAACACGAATAAATTCTTCCGATGTAATTCCCGACACTCTAATTGATCCCGAATTATAAATTGCTTCTTCAGGAATCTCTTTCACAACAACTGTTACATTAGCCGGAACTTCTTGCGTATGTTTGCGGTCATAAATATTAAACTTTAGAAAATATTCACCATTTGTTACATTTTTCATTGTAATCATTCCGTCGTCAGGATTTAAATCAAATAATGGATGCGGAGTATTGCCCTCCCAGAAGAAAGTTTTGTCGGGTAAGTCCCAATCATCCAAGTCTTCGACATGAACTCTACCGATTTGAGTTGGAGGCGACTGTCCTTTAAAATTATAAACAAATATGTTTTTGCTGCCCGGATGCATACGATTGTCATTTATGTCACCAATAATTACAGTCAAAGTACTGGTTCCGGTCATTGATGGATATCCACTATCTTTAATAATAATAGGAACCAAATATTCTTTTTGAGTTTCTCTATCAAACTTTTCTTTTGACTGAACGATAGCCATTCCGTCTCCATTTGCACCCTTAGGGTCGTGTTGTACATCAAAAAATTTTCTGATGAGATCGGGTGCGTTGGGATCCATTCTAAAGGTAAACGGCGGTCCATTGCCTTTAGACCTATCATCGTCATCGGTGGCTAATATTTCTTCCACTTTTCCGGGAGAGTTATGTTCCGTAATAACTGGTCGATAATCTTTAAGAAATCGTGGAGCATTGTCATTGATATCTCCGACCACAACAGTCAGTGTAGCAGTTGCTGTACGCGGAGGCACTCCATCGTCAACGGCCAATATCTTCACCTGATGTCTGGGTGTCTCTTCACGATCAAGCATTCGTTGTATTTTTACGACACCATTTTGATCAATACTGAATTGTCGGCGTTTATCAGATGTGCGATCAATTTGATAGCTAACACGTGACTTTCCGCCCTGATCTGCATCTGTGGCCAGAAATGTGGCCAAACTCGTGCCTTCTTTAGAATCTTCGAGAACAGTCACTTCGATGTTTGGCTTTTCAAATTCAGGTTTGTTATCATTAATATCACGTAACCTAACGTTCACTTTTGCGTAGTCAATGTGATAGCTGTCCACTTGTTCGCCGCCGTTATCGCTAACAGATATTGTTATATTAAAACCGAAACGTTGTTGTAAATCTTCATAATCCAGAGGTTTGGCGACTTTTAGAGAGCCGGTACCATCAGAATTGGTAACCATTGTAAACTTATCCGAACCAAATGCATTGTCAATAACTTTATAACTAAATCGATTTGTTTCCAATAGATCTCCATCATTGACTGATACAACAAGAATTGGTACTTCTGGAAGACTGTCGCCTTCCGTTTCATCCACTTCTACAAACCAATCCTTTTTAGTAAATTCTGGAGGCATATCGTTAATATCTTTAATTTTGATTGTAGCTGTTCCAGTGCCTTTAAGTCCTCCACCATCCATAGCAACAACTTTTATGGTATATTCGGGATTTGTTTCGCGATCTAAACAACAAACAGCAGTAGAGATAACACCAGTTTCTTCATCAATAGTAAAGATAAGTTCGCCGTTTTCATTGACTTGGTTTTGTTCAATAGAGTATTTGAGTTTCGCGTGAAGACCTTCGCTCGGGTCGTCGTAATCGGTGGCAGTCATTGTCATAACAGTCATACCAGCTGTTCCATTCTCAGTAACATTACCCGTATAAATTGAATATGGAAAAAATGGCGCATTGTCGTTAATGTCTTTAAGATTAACCAAAACATCTGCGTAACCAACTAATCCATTTCCTCCTTCGTCTTCAGCAAATACAGTGAATCTCCATTGCGATCGACCGGTAGGTAAATCACGATCCAAAGGTCGCAATACATAGATTTCACCAGAAGTTGTATTGATTGCAAATTTGCTATTCTGCGGGTGATCGTCATCAATGCCCTGACCTGTAAGGAAATAAACTATTTGCTGCGGACGGTCTCGATCTCCATCGGTTGCCGTCACCTATACGTACCAACAATATTATGTTAAATTGTGATAATAATAAATTTAATAATAATATATGCTTGAAAACTTTGAAATATAATATTACAAATTAGACAAAATGCAAGGTTTGACGTAAATATAAATAAGTTAAAGTTGTGATCAGCATTCATACCAAAGTGAAAGACCTATTGTTTGTAATTTTAAAACAATACCTTAAGAATGCCTTTCGGAAGACCAACTGAGTCTTCTTCAAGAATAGTGGTCTCATACGAGCTTTGGTCAAATTTTGGGGGCAAATCATTAACATCTTTCACATGGATTCTAACTTTGGTGTGATTTTCTTTCAAAGTATCGGATGCAACCAAAGTTAATTCATACTAAACATAAGGCAATGGGGACAACAAAATAATAAAAACATGCCATAAATCGTGCAAAATTATAATTAAAATCAAATAATAAAATTTATAAAAAACATTCAATGGTTTCAAGTGATGCCAAATAACAACATTAACAACAATGACAAGACATGTGTACACATCAAGTGATGGATTGCAATGACCTGAAGTATTCGTTTGGGAACATGTCTGTCATCCTCTTCAGTAATCTGTGTCTCATAAGTTGGCCGATCAAATGTCGGAGGATTATCGTTAACGTCTTTAATATGAATGATAACTGTCGTAAAATTCTCGTTCAAGTTGTCGGACGCAACCAATCGTAGTTTATACTGAAATATATGTCATTTGCTCATAACATTTACTTACGGTTTACTCGTTTAAAAAACCCAAACAAATAAAAACAATAACAAACAAAAAACTGAATACAAGTCAAAAAAAACAATACCTCTTTTCGAGTTTCATAATCAAGAGGTCCGGCCACATAGATAGCACCCGTCTCATTTTTGACGGCAAACGCTCCACCCTGATTACCCCGGGTTATCTCATAACGAATCTTTGAGGCTGTTTTATAAATTAGTTATTTTAAACACACATTTCAATACTATTTCATATATAACTTACATTCGTCTTTATCTTTGGCGGTAACTGTAATGACTGTGTGTTGAATATCTTCATCTTCATTGACTTCGGCTTCATATAGTTGTTGATCAAAATAGGGTGGATTATCATTTTTATCACCGATTCCAATACGGATGTATTTTGTCACTGAATTGGGTTCTTGTGCTTTTCTATTAGGTCTATCAGATGGGGCCCCATCTTCAGCTTTGACTAATATAGCGTAAGCCTGTTTTTCTTCTCTATCAAACTCTACTTTAGTATATATTTCTCCAGTTTCGCGATCAATTGAAAAGAAGCGGTCACTTCCATCTTTAGATTCAATTCCATAATAGACTTTATTGTTGGGATAAGTGCCGTCCCTATCAATGGCCTGAACTTGTGTTACTTTAGTACCGGACGGCATACCTTCCAAAACAGTCTCCTGTTCCCTTTCAATGAACAATGGTATTTCATCGTTTACATCTTCTAATACAATATAAACAGTTGCCTCGGATGCTAATTGTTGAATACCATTGTTTTCGACACGAATTGTTAGATTATATTGTTGTATTTTTTCATAATCGAGTGGATAATTGACAAAAATGTCAGCCCAGGTCACCTCATTTTCAACCCTTTGACTCAAATAAAAACTGTCTCTTTTGTTAGTCTGTTCCGTTCCGCCTCTCATTAAAGAGTAAAACACCGTTGGATTGTCGGGAATACCCGATCGAGCTTTAATTGATATCACTTTGCGTCCAACATCGAGGTTCTCTTTAATAGAAATGGGTCCGTAAACGGGTTGATCCCAAATGGGTGGATTGTTTGCTCTGTCGACCACATCTATTACAATTTCAACCGAAGCTCTGTGTTGTGGAAAGCCGTTATCTGTTGCAATGGCTCTTAGATGATATTGATCCCTATCAAGTGGTCGCTTAAGCATAATCCAACCGGATTCTGGATTAATGGCAAAGTAATGAATATCAGATTTTTCAGTAGGAGCTGTTAAGTTGTAAGTAATGGCGCCATTGTTGTCGGCATCTTCATCAGATGCTGAAACACGCAATATGTTTGTTCCAATAGGAGTATCCTGTTTGACATTCTCTTTATATTCTTGTCTATCAAAAAGTGGTGGATTGTCGTTAATATCAGTTATTTCGACCTTAAAAGAGCAAACGCCTTCTAAAGGAGGCGAACCCCTATCAACGGCTTTGACTGTAACACTAACGAAGCGGCCGTCGTCTCCCTCTCTATCAAACACTTTATTGGTTTTTATTTCTCCGGTCACTTCATCGACAAGAAATTTAGTTCCTTTTTGATTGGGTTGTTGAACAATAGAGTATCTGACCTGACCGTTGTGACCTTTATCTTGATCGGTAGCCTTAACTGTGATAACAGTTGTTCCACTGGGGGCACCTTCTTCTACTTGTGGAGCATAAAGTCCGCATTCTTCAAAAATGGGTTTATTATCGTTGACATCGGTTATGAAAACTACCACTAATGCTGTACTCGTATGTGTGGTGAGCGCACCGTTTTTACAACAGGAACCGTCATCCCTAGCCGTCACATTCAATTCATATTTGTCTTTATCTAATTCAATTTCTCCAGATATAAGCCGAATAACTCCAGTTCGTTCTTCTATAGTAAACATTCCCGAAGTGGTACCTCCGCCAACAAATCCAAAATGAATATTATCGCCGTCCTTATCACTCGCCACTACAGTTGTTACTAAAGTATTGGGTCCGGCGTTCTCATCAACATTAGGGGTATAGACGTCTTGACTAAATTTAGGCGTTTCGTCATTTTTATTTTCTGTGTAAATGCGAACAGTGGCCGTTCCAGTCATTGGTGGATCTCCTCTATCGGTGGCCTTTACTGTCAACACATAAGTGTTATTTATGTCAGCGTCCAGTCGTTTATTTGAATAAATAATTCCTTTTTCATCGATAGTAAACTCTTCACGACCTAATGAATACACTATTTCTGCATTCTTTCCAGTGTCCAAATCTGTGGCCGAAACTTGAAGAATAGATGTACCAATAGGAATGTCTTCGTCAATATTATGTGCCTGATAGTCGGGTAATTCAAATCGGGGTGCGTTATCATTAACATCCGTTACTTTAATAGTTAACTCAACAGATGTTGAAAAACCACCGGAATCTTCAGTTGCCGTCACTATCAATGAATATGTCTTCGGTTGTCTGAGCTCTTCATAATCAAGTTCTTTAGCCAATTTGACGACACCACTAGTGGGTCCAATGTTGAAAGTGCCGGCTCCTTTACCCTGAGCTTTCAGAGTATATCTGATGTCTCTATCGGCAAAAGATTTAGCCTTTACTTCAATAATATCAGAATCTTTTCGTTGATTCTCAGGAATGGTGGCCTCATATCGAGGCAAATAGAATTGTGGCGGTCTTTTGCCGCCCATAATTGATAGGCGTTCCTCTTTGGTTGATTGAAATTGTCGATCACCAGTAGGCCCATTATGATCTTCAGCTTTGACGTAAAGAACATATTCCTTGTCGAGCATAAAAGGATCGGCGCCGCGAGTCCTCACTTCACCGCTTCGTTCATCGACTTCAAAGCGACCTCCGGCTGTAATTAATAGTAATAATGTTAATAGTAATTAAGTCAATAATTGTTTTTAGATTAACTCACTTCTATCTCTGACCAAAAAATAATGAATATTATGATCAGTGTCGGGATCGCGGGCTTGGAGTTTGAATACCGGTGTCCCGGGCGGTGCATTCAATTGAACCACAGCTTGCATGGGAAGCGGTCTGTTAATAAAATAAGGATTCTCGTCGTTGACATCTTTTAAATGAATTATAATACGTTGTCTTTCGAGATCTAATACAAAATATTTAGATTATTAAATATTCAGTAAATTATATCATAAGACTAACCATTGAGATGAGGACCGGTCGCATACACCCAGAAGTCGATTGTCTTTTCTTTTCCGAGTTGTTCATAATCCCAGACCTCTTTGACTTTGACGGCACCGTTGAGGTCGACGGTTACCCATCTGTTAGGAGTTTCTATTTTGTAATTTTCTTCAGATATTTTGCGGTCCAATTGGAAAACAGTCATTCCTTGTGTGGATCCGTCTGACTCTTTGAATTCATAGCTCTTTGTTGGCCTCACTGACCGCTTTTGCATAGATTTTGATGAATGATGAATATGATTGCCGTGAGTGCTATCGATTGGCCAAACAATCGACAATAAGACGACTGTCACTAAAAAGGTATTAATTTCTACCATTTTTGACATCACTTTGTGATAAAGTTTTTATGATAATTGATTGCACTTATGATACTCATTGACCACAATTGGCGACCGTATGAGTGCTCAGACACTTCAGCAACAGTTTCCAGAAATCACTTTTTCAGTTGTTATCATAAATATACCATCGCTTTGGTCATCACTATCACTGTTGAGACAAATGGCAAACAAATATTAAATCAAACTGTGATTCATATAAACAGTGATTGCATTCAATTCAATGACCAAAACAACAATCAGTCAAAACAGTCAATCACTGCAATCAAAGCACTCATACGTCCACTAAAAACAATTTAACGCTTAGTCTCTCTCTATGGAGGAGTTTAGAGCTGCCGTTCCTCACAATCGCGAGCTAACAGTGCTTACAGTCAAACACATCAATGCATACAAAACAACGCCCTTTCAGTTAAAGTGAACGCAAACTCGTTGGACATAACTTTCATCCCATAACAGCTACCGTTCCTCACATTCAAAACACATGCCATCCCTTTGTCATCATTTCTTGTTAACTATACTTTCATTTTAATCAATTGATTCATTTATTAACAAATTTAATGTTTATTGCAATTAATTGTTAGTTTATTACACATTATATAATCAAATCAATACTCTATTTGTTTGAGTTATCATATAATTAGTGTTTAAATTGTATGCAATATATTGAACCCAAACCTCAATAATAGGTAACACTATATATGATTAAAGCCTTCAGTCAGGGGTTAGTGATTCAGTCAGTGATTATTGTATTCAAACGTTTGAATCGCTCAGTAATGTTGTTGTGATGGACGGCAATCATATATGAGAGAGAGTGAGTCAGTGAGTCGTCTATACATGAATTAGTCAATCAATGAGTCAATCAATGAGTTAGTCAGTGATATGTTGTATACATTTGTGACAATAAAATCAAAGACAGGTATTAGTCGATGAAAACATTAAAGCTTTTTATAGTCTATTATATGACATATACTGTAGTATAGAATAACCAAATAATTTCTAAACAAAATCTAAATATGTTTTTAATTAAACAATTTTACCAAAAATTTAATTTTCTGACAAACTTTTATTATTTATAACTTATATTTTATAACTTATATTTTATAACTTATATTTTATAACTTATATTTTATAAAGTTTGATTTTTATATCTTTCAAATTGTTTTGTCATCAATATTATTATTATTATTATTTGAATTGATTTGTAAATTAATTTGATTAGTGTTTAGGTTAGGTCACAACCTATTAGTTTAATTATTATTTTGTAAAAAGGGTTAGTTAGGGGTTAAACTAATAGCTACCACATAGGTCTGTTAGATTAGATTCAGTTGTGCTGTTATATTAGGTTTTGTAATTTTATTTAATTACTTTCGGTTTTATAGTACAAAAATAATTAATTAAAAATATATAGAAATAAATTAATTGCAAGAATGTAATGATTTGTAATAATTGTTATGATATTAATAGTACAATAATTATTCAATTATTTAAAAAACTCGATATGAGTTATATATATATATTATATAACCCAATATTTAATATCTACTGTATTTATAAATACACATAACTTAGAAAATGTAAATTTTGATAACAATTTAAAATTAATATTCTTAATAGTTTTTACACTTATCCAACTTGAACTTAAAATAAGAATATAAAGTTATGTGAATATTATATAATATAATTTACCGAAAGCACCTGTAGGTTGGGTCCGGTGTTTTTAAAACAAAGTTGGCAACACTTTTATATTAAATATGTTTTTGTCTAAAGTTTTACTGTATCTTTTATAAACCAATATTTTTAATGTATAAAATATATACAGTATATATAATAACATAAATATACGACAGATATCGACATTCAAATATTTATAGCTTATTAATGCAATAAACCGGAAACTCTTTGCATACAAATTCTAGTCTATTAACGTTAACTTATATTAAATTAGATTACACTTTACAGATAACTATGTATATAAAGTATGTAACTAAAGTATCTGTTATATAATATTACTTAAATACCGATAAATAATAAATTATATATTTATTAATATATTTAATTTAATAAAGGAATATATTATTATAATTACTTATATTATATATAATTTTTGCCAAAAATCTCTCGTAATCGATATGTATAAGTATTACAAACTAAGTTATTGCAAATTAAAAATAAAAATAAATATTTATCACCATTTTGATTATTTTTAAAAAATTTATTTTACTATTTTTAAAAAATCATATTAGAACTTTAATAATTTTTCTATATTATTACAATAATAATTGACTATTTAATTACATAACATTAATAAATGTTATATACTGTATAATGTTTGTTAATTTAATAAGCATTATAAACAATATTATGATATTATTGTTAATTTTAGTGAGAAATAATGAGTATTAATTATTGACTGATTCTGAATATAAACATAAGTTTATAGAAGTATTTAATATATAATTATTTAACAAATTTTGTTGTTATAACAAATATTTTAAATATGTTTTATATAGTTAATAAAAGGAAGTTTATTTCGTACGAATACATATTGTTATCCAAACATTAGTAAATTTTTTAAAAAGGTTTTTAATATAAATATATAAATTTATAATATCGTATGCCATATACATGAATCATAACTTATACATGTTATAAATTATACAATTAATCATAAATGCTATTATTTCAAAATTTTAGGATACCAACTATCAAATTAAATTACAAACAATATTTATTATTGAGAATTAATTTTAAATTTTTCATTTATCCTATTGTGTAGCAATTTTTCAAAGTATTTTTTAACATATAACAAAAAATTATTTTATAGTATAGATATTAATATAATTATTTGGCATATTTCCACTTTTGTTACACTTTTAATATTTGTCAATCAAATTGACGTTTATTTAATATTATAAAATTATAACTTTAAAAATAAATTATTTGACAAATAATCATTTGAAAATAATATAATTATAATAATATATAATATAATATAATTAAGTAATTTGAATGTTTTTTTAAACAATTGAATAATTTAGAAAATAATATTTAATTTGAAATGAATTCATTTGCATCAATACTATTAAATTACTGATACGATACTAAAAATTTAGATTTAAACGACAAATAACAACATTTTTAAATTATAGATTTTGGATCACACATACTATGGTAATGACTGATAATATATGTAATAAATGAAATGTCGAAAAAACAAGTTTTACGGTTATTAATACAATACATAAAATATAGTTTAATATATATCACAGTAACTTAATATTATACTGTATTTACAAAAATAAAAAACACATTACAAATACTATAGCCTTTTTTAGCCTTTATTATTACTGTATTAATACTTAAATGTTTAAGACTTTGTAGTTTAAATATAATTTTATTTGAATTGTTACAATAGTTTATTTTTATAATATTGTAAAATAAATGATAAAAAATAAGTAGAAACTCTAGTATTTCAAAGGTTTATAAATTAAATTAAATATTATAAGGAATTCATTCATTTATATTAGTCATACATTTATTTTCAAATATTATTACTATTTTAAGTAGACATTAAGTAAATATTTACTTAATTGTGTCTAAACACCAATTTTATCCTTTATTTGATAATTATATTGAAATGAGATCACGAATTATAACAATTACTCTTAAAAAATCATTTTTGTAAATTTGATATCATTGTAATTAATCGATTATAACTTTATTAGTTGATAATACAGTATTGTTTGTCAACATTGATTAAAAACATTATTATTTGTAATCCAAACTTTAAATTAAATATTTCAAGTAATCAATGCAAATGAATGTGAAATATTCACACTATTTGGTGTTAATATGATGTAATTATGTCATAAAAAACAATCACACTTTTATAGTGTTAAATTTATTATATATTATACAAAAATGTATTTATTATACTATAGGTTAATATAAAAAATAAACAAATTATGAAAATATTAAAATTTAGAAATTATTGTTTATATGAGAATAAATTGTTTGAAAATGAATTCACAGAAAAAACTTATTTCATTGAAAAGTAATATCTTTTTGAATGAGTCATAAATATCCGCAAATAACACATATATTAATAAATGTATTTATTTATGAATTACAGATTCAACAACACTATAGCTATACATCACATTCACATACTTTTCATTCCTTATTTTTATCACTAAAAATACTTTAACTATATTTGAGAAAATAGCGCAGTCTATAGACTATAGTAAATAGTATTTAAAAATCTTTTTCAAGTATATTTAAGTTATAAATTATAAATAGACTCTATATTATACACTACAGTATAAGATTTTATACAAAAACATTATAATAATAATTATTATATCAATTTATATAAATTTTATATCTAATAATAATAATTTCCTTATTTGGTATAATGAAATATTGTTTGATACCTTATGTGTTATTTAATTTTTTAGAAATTTCAAGTAAATAATTTGTAAATTAACTAAAGTTAGCTATTATTTTTATAATTAATATTAATTAAAATAATTTTATTACATTTACTTATTTAATTTTAATAATTAGTTGTCAGTTATTGGTGTTTTATAATGATAACTACAATTTTTATATTTTATTAAGAAAATTACATTTAAAATGTCTATTACTATAATCTACAATAAAAAGAAAGATTTTTATACAACATAAAGAATATAAAAAAATGTCAAAAAAATTACTTAACTTAAAAATTTGAAAATTATTTTAAATATGAACTTTGAAATTAGTAATAATTTTTGTTAGATTAAAACTTTTGAAATAGAAAACTGAAACAAAATAAATATATAAAATTAATTACAGTATATAAAAAAGTTTAAATAGAGAAAATAATAATTATAATAAATTAGTTAAAATAATAGTTTGCATATAACTTGAATTTTTAAACACTTAAAGAAGATAAACAATTAAAACATTTTTTAAACAGATGTAACAAAAATAATATTTGATATATAAATATGTATAAATAATTTTACATCAAATCATTACATCAAAGTTATTTTCAATAAGATTTGTGCATATATTGAATACATATTTTTATAAATAGTTTATCAAAACTATTTTTTATAAAAAATATTATTATGCGAATCAATAAATTGCATAAATTAAAATATTTCTGATAATATGAAACTTTACAATAAATGTATTTAAGAAGGGTAATTCAATTAAATTATTTATATTATTATAATTATAAATAACTAGTTTTATATTAAAAGTAATTATTATATAGATTGCAATAAGATTGTTTATTAGTAGTTATATTGTATATTAAAATCTATATTTAATCAAATATTAACATAATATTGTGGAATCCATTGAACTTTTATAAATATCAAAGTAATTTAATTTAATTTCAGTTTAATTTAGCAATTATTTAATAATAACTAATTAAATCATGTTGAATAATAATCTATGTTTTTAATTATAATATTAATTATCAGTCATTTGAAATAAAATTATGGAAATATCTAATTATAAATATAATACTTTAGTTTATATACAGTATCTTATTTCTATATATAATTTATAAACAATCATTTGATTTTAAATTATCTAAATATTTAACATGATGAATAAATTATAGTCAAACTATAAATACATGTATATTATAATGTATATTAATAAAGTAACTGTATATAAATTTATGTATCATTATTAGCCATTTATTATCAGTCATATGAATTGAATAGAAATAATATAGACGATAGCGATGCACACATGCCATACATTGAGAGCAATCACATATCGATGGGTTGAACACAACATGTCATTTGAATTGAAATTTACCGATAAAATTGTGGGCAATAGTCTGTACAACCATCACAAGCCATCATCAACTAAGTTATGCAACAGTAGTAATATAAATGTGTGCAAATGGGGCTAAGTTTATACAAAATAGCCCTGAAATTTATATTATCACTTATATTGTTGATAGGCTCTACATAAATAAAAGATTACAGCTTTTCATTTACACCAAGATTTTTATTAAAATCTCAAATTAAACAAATTTAGTGGAATAATAATATTCAATATAATGATATAGTAGTATATATTTGACAAAACAAACATTTAATTTCATGTCCTTTAAGACGCCTTCAAAATTATTGATATATCAGTCAATAACCATAAGTACTATATATCGATCACTAATACTAATAGTCTATTATTTGCAACTAATGATAGGTGTTTAGTACTATATACTTGATTAATGTATAGAAAATTAAGATATTTTTTGATTTAGCAAATTATTACTTTAATGAACTATTTTCTACTTATAAGTGGAAATATTTTTATGTGAATAACTTTAAGTTATTTTTTTGCTAACATTTGCTCTTAGTTTCATTTTGTTGATCAATCGTTCAATTCGTTCATTCAATTGTTTCAACATTTTCAGTGACAAAAGTTTTGTTAATTTTTTAAAAAAGTGATGTCTTTATTATAATAATTAATAATTTAAAATAAATTTTTTAGTTTTTAAATTCATATATTATTTTATAAAGTGATATAATTATAAATATTTGATATAAATTAATATAAAGATTTTTATTGAGATCGTAAAGTGTCCAGTGTCAATTGTGAAACAATGGAAGCTTCACAAAGTTTCAAAAACAAGACAATGGAGTCTTCAATTTTGATGGATTCCTCAATTACTAAGAGACCGACCGATAGACCGACCCGTCAGCGCAAACTTTCCGGATCTTTCATTCACGACAGTATAAACAGTAGTGTTGACTTTCCTGCGTATATCCCGTGGCAAACGCTATCATCCGATTTATCGGATCGACTTCGGTAAACAATTGTTGTTGTTTTTTGGACTAATTTACTACAAATAGCTATTTTTTGTTCAATAGTCAGGGATCAGTTCGTATAAATAGAAGTAATATTGTCGAGTGGGCCACTATTAAAGAGGAGAATGAAAGGGCACCACTATTGGAACATTTGGCCCGAAAACCTACCGCTTCTACAGATGACAGCAGTGGAAGTGCTTCGGAATATAGCAAACACGGAGCAACAGATGCATTGAGTGGAGGTTTGATAAATAATACGCTAATCATATAATAATAAAAATATTTATTAAATATAAATTTGAAAAAATTATGTAAATTATAAAGATATCAAAATGTTTATTAACATAATATAAACATTTATGGAAATAGTTATTTAAATTACGGTAATCTTATTTTTTCAATTGATAGCTATTTTCAATGTCAACAATAGACTTAATTATTAATATTTAGTCTTAAGAAAGATTAGATTCAGAAATATTGTTTGTATTGAGTTCTAAGTCATCGTCTGAATCGATGTCAATGTTTTTATCGTCTGAAGAAAATGTGGTTTCAGTTGTAGGAGAACTACATTCACTACTTGTTTGATGCATAAACTCTTCGCTGTCGACATCAGATTCACTTATAGATTCAATCTTTAAATGATTATTGACTTTCAAATTATTTAATTGTTTGATATTTTGCTCTTCAATAGCCATAATAGCAGCACTCTCTAAGACTGTCAAATCAAAATCTATATCACATTTATTAATATTAATGTTTTTCAATGCTGTGGCTAATGAGTCAAATGTATTTGGTTTGAGATATTGCAACCAAACACAGTAGTCAGTGATATAAAGATCATTCAACAAATACCTGCCGTCTCCGCTCTCATTAAACATTTTATGTATATCTAAAAAACATTTTAAAATACAGTTCTGTCCCATTGATACTATTCTTATGGTATCTTCCAATACTTTGAGAGAAAGATCCCAATGTCTATATAATGGATAGCACAGAGATCTCCTCATTGATGACACTAAGACGGGTTTGATTGAGACAAATGAGTCAAACCACGAGAGAGTGGTCGACAATTTACATACATTCCAAGCAGACTCCACATTATGTTCACATTCATTAACCCTCATATCATATACATAAGCAAACAATATGTCTATCATTGATAGTAAAAGTTTCTTTTTAATAGACTTTTCCATAATATACTCCTTTTTGGGCAAATTTTTCAATTTAAATCTATCGTCTTCTGTAAATTCATTACTTATAGCTTTGGTATCGATAACATTAAACTTTATAATATTTAAAATGACATCTTTTTGATCGTAAAGATCTGATAAGTAGTGGTCATCAGTAAAATCTAAAGATTCCTTTTCAAGTCGTTCTCGTTTTCTTTCTTCACTACTTTTCAGTTCTGGATCTCTTATATCAATGACATCATTAAACTCTTCAACAATTCTGGCCACAACTCCTGAATAATTGTTGGCAAAGCCATACTTATTGCCTAATAATTGCAAATCTTCGCTCTCATGTCTCAATGTTTGCTCAAAATGCCAATCAAAATCTTCATCTATTAAATCAGGACTAATCTCTGTTTGTCCACTGATTACCTCAATTAAAGCTCTTTTATTTAGTGTACTCTTAGTGTTAGCCGATAATAGTTTTGTTAACAGATCTAAATCATCAAAATGTTGTCCTTTAGTTAATTTGGGAACTTTTACCACAAAAGTTCCAGTATTTGAATCATATTCTGTCGTTTCTTCTCCATTTTCAATGACTTTCGATGAAAATGTTAATCTATAAGTTATAATAAGTTTTAATTTATGTTTAATATTCAATTATAATGAAGGTTAATATCAAGTTTTCAAAATATAATATTTCATTAATAAGAATAATGTCAATTATAATTATTGTGATATCTTTCAAGTTTAAACTAAGTTAATAAATATTTTGAATGGTTTTTATAAAATAAAATAATCTAAAATATACAATTATTAAAGTATATGAAATATAAATTTATCGCATAAACTGTTTACTCTAAAATATAAATGATATCATGTAAATGATAACGTGACTAAATTATAATATAGTATGAAATTAAAGCCATTCATTACCTAAGATAATAAGGTTTAGAAAAAAAGGTGAAATCGTTGTCTTCAAATTGAACCTCAGTTTCGGTGATTCTTGCATTTGGAGCCCTAATGCTTACATATAAATAGTTGTTGTCTTGAGTTATACTAAATATTGGAGTTATCATTGTTTTAACTATAATTCATTGAAATCATGAAAATCCTGTAAATTTTATAACAAAAAATTAATAGTTTTAATAGTTTTAAAAAATAAAATTATTATAAAGTATAAAATTAAAAAATAATAATCTAATATTTAGGGTCTACTTGGAGAGTGGGTGCCTTTTTGCTGGTCAACGCTGCTCTGGGAGCGGGTGTTCTCAACTACCCGGTTGCTTATGATAGATTGGGAGGCATAACTATTGCTACATTTGTTCAATTGGTTAGATTGTAAACTTTGTTTTTTTTTTATAAATTAAACTAATAATCAATTGATCTGACAGGTAATAATAGCAATGTTAGCCACAACTATGCTTATATTAATATACTGTTCAGACATCAACAATGACAGCACATATCACGACGTTTTGCTATCAATGTGTGGTAAAAGAGCCCAACAATTGGCCGCCGCATCCATTATGTGCACCTGTTTTGGCATTAATGTGACATTTCTTATAATCATTGGTGACCAATACGATAGAAGTATGTATTTATAAAATGCAAATATTTGATACAAATTATCAAAAAGCTTAATTAATTTATATTTTAAATAACATTTATCATATTAATTAATTTTATAATTATAAAATATTAAACTTATTTAGAAAAAATGTGATAAAAAAAGCAATTTAAATTTTGTTTTTATTAATATAATTTCTATTTTAAACTTAAATTAAATGTATATAACTTATTACTCATTAAATAGGATATAACAGCATATCTTAAAAATTTATAAATATTTTTGAAATTATTGAGTCAAATAAGTTTACAGTTTAAATATGTTTGACAAATGATAGATTATGACTGAATAATTAATTGATTAATGCACTGAATGTATGAAATTTAGTAAATTTGATACAAAATAACATAAAAATCAATGTAATTGATATATAAACTAAACTAGCTTGAAAATATAAATTTCATACAATAAATCTTAAAATTAAGAAAAAGTTATTGTGATTGATAGTGAAATATAGATTAAATATTTTATACCAATAAAAATAGACAAATAAGCATTAATTCAATATCTGATATAAAATAAAAATTAGAATTTTTAAACTATTATATAATGATTAACTTATAAAATATAATGTTATTTATAATTGATTAGTCTTCGCAACCTATGTTGGATCACAATTTTGTCATCTATGGTATCTAAATAGGAATTTTACAATTTCTATAACAGCTATAGTATGTATTTGGACGATGTGTTACTATAAACGATTAGATTTTCTCAGATATGCCAGGTATTCATATTAATGGTATAATAATTTTATAAATTAATATATCTTTACTTTATTTAATAATAGCACACTTGGAGTATTTGCTATGCTTTATGTGGTCTTTCTAAATGTTTATGAATATATAAAACTTGATACAACTCCCGGTCCTATTAAAACCAGGTGAGCATTAATTCAATGTTTATTATGTTCACTAACAATAATATTAGTTTAACAATTATATATTTTAAATATTTAAGTTATTTAATGAAAACTAAATTGTTTATAATTTTAACTAAATAAAAAATAACAAATTATCAATTTAATTTTGATTAAAAAAAATCAGGGTATTCTGGACTTGTTTATAAGACAATTAAATAAATACTTATTATTATTATTATTATCACAATTTATGTTTCTTTATCCATGATTAAGAATTAAGTTTTTGTTAAAAATCTTTTAAAGATCAATATTTGAAAATAACTAAATTTAGTAAAAATAATATATATATTATTTGTATATATTTATAAACTGCTAAACCCAATGTTATTATATTCTAATGATTAGAATAATCTAACAATTATTGTTAAATTTAATAAATTTTATTTTACAAACTTATTCTGACAGTTATTTCTTGTTATCAACTAATTGACGATTGATTCTTAATAATGAAATATATTAATTAAGTTTAATACACTAAAATATTTATTATTAGGTATTTTTAATTAATTATACTTTAATTATTTGACATTTATCAATAAATAATTCAAAAAAATAATGTTATTGTCAATTAAATTTACTTTAAAAAATAATAATGAATTTGTAAATTTTGAAATTATTAACATGTAATGTGTCAAATAAATTGCTAAATTGTAATATTTTTTAGTCCACACAACGCCGTCAGCTTATTTGCGGCCCTTCCTGTCGTATGTTTTGCATATCAGGTATGTTTGCATACAAATTGTTGTTTTTTAATATAATGAGTGATTAATTGTAATGAAATGGTTAGACCCATGAGATAGTGGTTCCGATCTACGCGTGTATGTCTGAAAGGAAACTCAAATCATTTTCAAAGGCCACAGCATTGGCTTTGTTACTACTATTTCTTCTCTATTGTTTTGCCGGTACTTTTGGTTACTTAACATTTGGAGCTTATGTTTCAGCAGATATAATGGTATTTAATTTCAATAATTGTTATAACTTGTCGTCTAATTCAAGTTATTGTTAATTATAGCAATTGTTTGATGCAAGAGATCCAGTAGTAGCCGCCGGTAATTATATATTAATAAATCAATTATTAGTTATATAATAAGTTTGTTTTTATTAAATTTATTTTTAATCTAATTAGGAATTATAGCGTTGATAATCAAAATGATCACAACTTATGCGCCGCTAATGTTTTGTGGCCGGTATTGATCTAAATAATTAAAAAAAAAAACAATTGTATGATAATAACAATATGTCTTTTAGAGGTGCTTTGGATGGACTGTACGCTGAATTGACTAAACTATCGGCAGAAGACTTCATTTTAGGTGAGTTTAAGCGTCGGATAGTCATCACAACCATCTGGAATGTAGTGGTTCTCATCCTATCAATTGTCACTCCAAACATCACCATTGCTATCGAGCTCTTAGGTTTGTATTATCTTATTATTTAGTTATCATATACTCTACTTTCATATCAATAATTTTAATCAATATTTTGTCACAAAGTGTCAGAATATTTTGAAAAATTTCCAAATAAATATTTTTTTAAATTTGTTAAAAATACTGGAAAATTAAATGACTCGAAGTATTATAGCTATAAACTTTAAACCTAACATAAAAATAATCTTATTATATATATACTAAAATAATTATATTTTAAAGTAAACATAATAATTAAATATATGATAAATGTATTGAAAATTGTAATAATGTTTAATTGATAGGTTCGTTAGCGTCGTGTAATGTGTTTATCTTTCCGGGTCTATGTATGGTAGCACTGGCCAAACGTAGGGCACATTTAGGCAATAATGTATTGTTCAATAAAAGTCTATTAATCTATGGAGTGGTCGTTATACTGACCGGTGCTTTCATTTTTGTAATCGTTTTCATACAAGTTATCAATGATTTGCTTTACTCTGAAGGAGAGAGTCTTCTCTGTAATTAACATACCATTCATTTCATTGGAGAATCTCTTCATTAATTAATTAATTAATTTTATATTAATATTATTATCAAAATACACGTTTTAATACATATTTTAATATATATTTAATTATTATTATATCATTATTTTATTTCAAGTCTGACGTTATATATATTATCAGAAATTATTATTATAATGAATGTATCAAATACTTTAAATTATAGTAATAACTGATATTTTACTTGTATTTTACTATATTTTATTGTCAAACAATTATATAAAATAAATTAAATATAAATAAATAAAAGTAAATTCATTTAATTGTTTGAAATGTTTGAAAATAGCGCCCAATTAGTGGTGTGCCTGAAGTGGGCATAAAGTAATGCCATTTGAGTATAACATTAGTGTTTCACTCATTTACTTAACATTACTATTGTATTACATGTGAAACAATGTTTATTATTTGATTGTAACTAATCATTGAATGCATTTAATAGTGAATTAAAAAATAATAATAAACTAAAAGACTTACTTTGAGTGGACTTTTGATGACAATTGACACCAAAAATGGACAGATATTTGAATTCAGGTAAGACTTGAATAATACTATAGACCTATAGTTGAGTTTTGGGGCCAAACACTGATTGAATGCTAATTGTATTCAAACATAATTTACGACAAACTATACACACATTCAATGTATTCAAACGTATTGTTAATAACAACACAAATAATGATTGAGTTATTGAATTGGAGACGAATGATAGCAATTGTGGTGATTCTCGCCGTTTTGATGGTCATTATCATCATTTGGGAAGACCTGATGGCCGACAATGTACACACATCACCATATCATCCATTGATTCACACAACCGATGATATCATCAACAAATCAATTGAAACGAGTGTTGATCTCAATTCAAGTCATTTGATTGCAATTAAACGTGAAAATACAAACACTGAGTCCAAGTGTTGGCAATACCAACAGTTCCAGTCCATCACCGATTGTCTGCCGTGTGATAAAACAGACACTTCTTCCAAACTATTGACTGCCTGCAAGAAAACAGGTTATAAACAGCGGATCAAATGCCAAACAATTGGTTTAGTGTATCGATGGTGTAATACAAACGAAGCAAATTTCTGGACCTTTGAGTTTATGATGATATTTGTGGCCATCTTTAGTGGTTTTTATGTTAAACGTAGACAAAGATATATATACCACAAGACTATTGAGCGCATTGAACGACAAATTGCTTCCTAATGATTGATTAATATTAGTCTTAATTGATATTAATTTTGTTGTTTAATTGTAAATATGATATATATTTTTAGATAATTGTTAACAAATATTTATATATTGTAATTAAGAGATGGATTGCATTTTTGTAAATAAAATGATTAAATTTACTAAAAAAAACTGAAACTATTTGTTTCAATAACTTTAGATGAAATACAAGACACGCATATCTGTGGTGTTTGCAGACAATCATATAGTGATATCAATGCTTTTGTTGAACACAAGAAAGTCTGCAAATCAAATAGTCTTCAATGCAAACAACAAATCCCTTCAAAAAAGACTATCAAAAAGTATTGTTAATTTAGTTTTACTGTATTTTGAAAGTATTTTAATTTTAAAAATCATTTTAACGAAGTCGAAGAAAATTGAAAACGAAATCTAAAATTATGACTAAAATGGTTGACAAACAACCAAAAGTGTTGAACGAAGAGTCGATAGTAACAGATACGAGTGAATCCTTACGACTGCAGGAATTTTCTCAGACCATGACTTCAGATAATATCGTCAATACAGACATTGAGACAAATGTTGTCCAATCGACAGTAACTGTTACCGGAACTACTATTTATTATTCAAATGGTAGTTAAAATTAGATTATCTTTCTATTAGATTTTAGTTTAATTATTTTTTTTGTTAAAAGTTATTGCAGATAACGGCAAAAAGTTTAAATGTGAATATAATAATAATTGCATTTTTACTACATATTATCTAAAAGATCTGGAAAGACATTACAGGTATAATTAGTTTTTTTTAATTTATTTTAATTGTTGATATCGTATACAATAGGATACATACCGGAGAAAAACCGTTTAAATGTGATGTTTGCGACCGTTGTTTTAACCGATCGGATAAATTAAAACTTCATACTCGAAGTCATACGGGAGAGAAACCGTATCAATGCGATCAATGTATTGTTTAATCATTTAATTACATTTATAATCTATTAATTATTAATATTTCATTGATTTATAGGTTCTTATGCATCAAGTGATAGGTGTAGTCTTGTCAAACACCAACGCATACACACAGGTTTAGTTACATTTGATTTTTTACTAATAAATTATTACCGATTTTGACATTTCTAATTCAAAAAGTTTTGTATATTTTTTATATATTACATACATTATATACCGGTAGTATATAATATATACTTATATATATCTACTTATAATTACCGGTAGTATATAATATATACTTATATATATCTACTTATAATTACCGGTAAAAATTTTTTATATATAATACCGTATCATATATTAGTATAATACTAATATTTAATACAATATAATAAGAGAAAGAGAATGTATTAAACCGGTATATACTACAGGTATATATAATTTATATAATTTTATAAAAATATACTGTTATTATGCTTATTGTTATGCGAAAGAAAAAGTTTAATGGATTGTATTGTATGTTATAATAGAATTAATGTATTTGAATGTACAGATGAAAGACCATACAAGTGTCAGTTGTGTCGGTACGCCAGTCGTAATTCAAGTCAACTCGTTGTCCACTTAAGAACACATACCGGTTAGTGATTAACAATAGACTCGAAGAAATTAAACATAAAGTTTACACTTATTTGTTGACCAACTGACAGGTGATTCCCCCTTCATATGTGTCTTATGTAAGGCTGGTTTCAAAATTAATTCGGATCTTAAGAGACATATGAAGATCCATACCGGAGAAAAACCATTTGAATGCGAACAGTGCTCATACAAGTCATCCATTAAAGGCAATCTTCATATGCATTACAAACTGAAACACTCGAGTGAAAGTCGAGTTCATTGTAATGAATGCCAATTTATTGCCAATTCTAAGAAAGAATTGAAAGATCACATCAGAGATCATATGATTAAACCATTATCATGTGATGATTGCAATTACACAACTAACTCAAGATCAGCCCTAAACAATCATATCAGGTATTTTCATATAACAACTATTCATTTATATTTATAATAATTACATATAAATATAAAATCCTACAGAATTCATACCAATGAAAAACCATATGAATGTCAAATATGTGGCTATAGTTGCCGTCAGGCATGTAATCTCAACACACATATGAAGACTAAACATCCCAATCGTGGCACCGATAAGACTATCAAAACCACAAAAGCAATTCTAAAATGTGAAACTCGTGTGAAAGGCGGTCGCAAAGGAAATAAAGCTTATTGTCAGACAATATTCAACTGTCATTTGTGTGATTGTAGTTTTGTTAGAGAAGACTCACTTCGTAGTCATCTACGACACCATCAAGACATGCATCCCACGACAGGCGCTGCATTAGCTATATTGCAATTGCAAAATGAAAGTAAACTGAGTGAACCAATAGTAACAAGTGATCCAAATAAAGAAATAGTGACCACACAAACAGAATCTCAAGAAATCGAGTTAGAGATGGAGACAAACATCAACAATAACGATACAATTGCAGTGGAGAGTCAACTTTATCGACAATTAATGCAAGACAACGTCGAGACATCAACAGAACATTCATACAATCGGACAATTGAACCAAAAACATACTCCAAGAGAGAGCGAAACGTGAAAAACAACAAATCATTGCTTAAAACTCAAGCCTTGCAATTAGTGCCAACATCGACAACATCCGGACAAATAGTTTATCATTTACAACAACCAATGGGTTTGTCTTATCTGCCAAATGTCAGCACAATTGTGGTAATTAACAATCAAACTATTGATACAAATGATTCAATAGATAATACAAATACTATTGAATAATATTTAATAAAAATGTATTTATTATAAAATGAACAAATATTAACCAACTTTTATACAATAATTATTGAAAATTATTGTTGTAATACAAATGTTTCTTTCATTGTTTTATAATTATGATACTGTAAAATAAGAAATAATGGATATTGAAAATTATGTTATCGGTAAATATGACATTATTTGGTGACCACACACGAGACAATTCGCGTAAATCTTATCGACATTTGTTTTCCAATGTTATAGAGTCCGATGTGTTCAATATGTTTGAGTTTAGTCATTGCGTTCAATACTTTTGCAGATATGTTTGCTTTAGACATAACAAGGGATAGGAGTTTCAGAAGATTTTTATCAATATTAATAAAGAATGAATCGTTGATGAAATTGGAAACAATTGTTAATTGAGTCAAATGTTTCAATCCTTTTAATATATTGCTCTTTAAGAAGAACTCTGTGGGAGAGTAGCCATCAATACGTAAACGCTTGAAATGAGGATAACATTTGTTCATTGATTGCAAAGTCGGATAAATATATGTCTCTTCAAATTCAAAGATTCATTCTTAAAAATTAGACTTAATGTTCACAATTTTGTCCAAATGAGTTGAAAGAGCACAACAACATCGATGCCTCATAAGATCCATCACAACAATCGATGTATAACTTAACCAATGATCTCAACTCAGATAATCCATTAATTAGTGGTTTAATATTTTTATCATTTGCATCCAAATCTAGAGCATATTCAGACATTTCATAGATTTCAATAGACTTTAATTGATTTTTATATTTCTTGACAAATAACTTAAAAACATCTTCCGTGTCCACCGAGTACTCCAATCGTAAACTTTTTAAATTCTTGAAGACATCAGGTTTTGCTTTACTGTTAATCAATGACTTAATCGATGAATTTATAACAGATTTGTTACTAATTATAACATCCGTTAGATTTGTGCACTTCTTTAGATTTTTAGTCATTATGTTCTTAAAAGACTTGTCATCATTAGGTCTGATAAACAACTTTTGCAATTCTTTAGCAAACTTTGCAAAGAAGTTGTCCAATACTTGTCCACTAATTCCTGAATTTTCGTTGATATAAATAGATTGCAAATTATTGATATGTCTTGTAATCGATTCAATTATCACATCAGTGACCTCAACATCAGTACATTGAATAATTCAAATATTTGGACACTTGTTGAGAATCAGATCCAATTGTTTGGATCCCATATGAGATGTAAACCATTTTATCTTCAAAGTGAGCTCTGTTTGTGGTAAATATATTAATCGTTACCATTGTTTGGACACCGACTCGTAATTGAATCGGTCCTTAAATGCTATAAAAGACATCAATGTTTGAGTCAATTGGTCATCAAATTGATACCACGAATCTCTTGTCATTTGTCGGCAATTGAGTGGTCAATGGTTTGTCATTGTGTCCACTCTTGTCTTGTCTTTAATTTCTTAGTCTTCGGTGACATCACTTAGCAGTCAAACCATACGATTGGTTAACAAAATGAGTCAATTGTTGTCCAAACAGTCAAATAATAAACAAATTAAAGTCAAATATTTCACAAAAAGTGTCAATAGTTTCACACATTTGGCGCAAACAATGCTTTTGTTATTCAAATTAATAGTTATTTCAATTCAATTAATATTTATAATTACAAACAATTTATTTATTAAAAATAACAAACTTTATTATTAATACAAATCAAATCAATTTACATATTTCTTAACTATTTTTTACAATTTGTTTAAAAGTATGGATTAATTGTTGTCTTAATGGGTTGTAATTAAAACCTCTCTATTGATGTAAATCATTGCAAGTCTTGGTCATCAAAGAGGTCATCAAATTTGTTGAAGAAGTTTAAGTGAACTTTCATTGAGTTGTTTGTAATGTTTAGACAATTGTTTGCATTTGCAATGAAATCCAATTCAATTCCTAAATCATTGTTTGCATCACTTAATTGTTGGTCTCTTTCGCCAAACTTAGGTATCGATACTGATATCGGTTTCATTGCTATCAAGCAATCAGTCAATCGATGAACGGATTAAATAATTAGCAAATGTTTGAAATAATGAATTGAACAGTGAATTCAATACTAATTCAATTTATTAATAGTTTAGTCATTGATATCACTTGAATATTGTGTTATACTGTTGTCTTAAAATCAATTCAAATATAGTATAAATTTAGGCTATAATACTGTACTTTAAAATTTAATTACAGTTGAAAACAGTTTTACAATTAAATTGATATTCAATTATTATGAACTCATTTAATTCAAAAGTTTCGTTAAAGTAATGGAAAAATATAAGCAAACTTTTATTATAAATTTATATCATATACAGTATATTAATAATTATTAGAGCATTTATTTCACATATAAATTATATTTTTAGTGATTAAATATACTAACAAAATATGTAGATTTATAAGCAATTGATTGAAAACTGATTATTATGGCAAAAGTTTTAGTCACATAAACACATATAACAAAATATTTTAAAAGGTATTCACATATTATTAAATATAAGCACATATTTTGACTATTTTAATACAAATATAATCACATATTTTCATGTTTTTAAGCAAATATTTCATTCAATAAAACACTAATTTTAGTCACATATATCTAAAGTTATTAATAATTATATAATAAATTATATAAACAAAACAATAATTATTATGATTTGCATTTCAATGATTCAAATATGAAATATTTGAAAATATTTATAAACCAATCATACATTTTAATATCTACTATCATTTACTATAATATTAGTTAATTTGTAATCAATCAAAAATAGTAAATATTTTAAATAATCATTAATATTACGGAGGCGCCGAAAATTTTTTTCAATTATGTAAAATTTTATATTAAGCAAAAAAATAAATATTAAATTAGTTTTAATATAAATTAATAGTTTATGTATAGAACATAAATAGATAACAATACTTAATAACATCAATTTAACATTATTTACACTAGTAGGGGCACTCCACAAGCTAAAAAATAAATTCCCACCAATTTTCAAAAAAATTAATGATAATATTTTATTTAATTTTTTAGCTGTTTATAAAGGATAATATATATTTTATTTCTTATTAATAGTCGAAAACTAAAATTTTTATCATAAATTTTAAAATAATTTTATTTTAATATTTTTAAACTTTATATTAAAATGTGTTAGTTATGTTCTTTAAAAATAATAATTATGATATTAACTAAATATTACACAAATAGAGTTGGGGCATTCACAAGGGAAAAAAGCTCCCTAATTCCCACCAATTTTCAAAAAAATTAAATATATTTTATCTTATTTTTTAGTTTTTTATAAATGATAATATATATATATATTATTTCATATTAAAAGTAGAAAACAAATTTTTTGCATAAATTTTAAAATTATATTTTAATATTTTTAAACTTTATATTAAAATGTGTTCAATGTGATATACTATATGTAGATTTATTTTTAAAATTTAATTATTTAAACATTAAGAGTTAATTTATAATTATTTCTTACATTATTATTATTATTAAGACATAATTATAAATACAGTACTATATCATTGATAAGTTATATATATTTATTCATTTCTTTATTTTTAAAATTTTTGTAAAAATGAATATTAATTTTAGAAAACATTGAGTATTGAGAAATTAAGTTTGGAATATTTTTAGTAGTTAATTTAGTGAGAACTTATTGAAAATATCTAGAGAATTAATGGGAATTTAGTGGGAATTTAGTCTGAATTGATAGGAATATAGTGGGAATTTATAGGGAATTTAGTGGAAATTTAGTGAAAATTTAGTGAAAATTTAGTGGGAATTTATTGGGAATTTATTGGGAATTTATTGGGAATTTATTGGGAATTTATTGGGAATTTATTGGGAATTTATTGGGAATTTATTGGGAATTTATTGGGAATTTATTGGGAATTTATTGGGAATTTATTGGAAATTTATTGGGAATTTAATGGGAATTTAATGGGAATTTATTGGGAATTTACTCAAATTTGGCAAAAATTGTCGTTTAAAAATGCAATAAAAAATGTTCACCCCACCCTATACCCCTCCCCCCTCTGAAATCGAAAACCTTTAGCAACCCTGATTTTAACATATATTTAATTTATTTCAGTGATTTTATAGCATAATCTATTCAATCATTTGACAATTATTATTCACTAAAGACACTAAACTAATTAAAACATTAATTAAAAACTAGTATTAAATATCTTTATTGATTATTAAGTGTAATATTTATGAAAAATGCAAAATTTAAAAATTATTTCATTTAAAATTTCAAATTCTATATTAATTTGCAAAATGTTTGTAATTACTTTAATGATTTAATCATAATAAATATTGAATCTAATTAAAATAATTTGATTAAATTAGATCAGACTATTTTAATTTATTAAATTTTTGATTATCAATATCTTTTAGTTTTTTATATATTGAATTTTCCTGAGTCCCTGAGCTCTGACCGCCTGAGCTCTGACCCCCTGAGCTCTGACCCCCTGAGCTTTTATTATATCAAATTTTACTAACTATTGCATCCTTTCATGATTTCATAGTTGAAATTTTGTTTTTATTATTCAGATATTTGAAACTATTAAGAGAGTTATTTAATAAAATTTGTTGATCAATTAATTAGAGTATATATTAATTACTATTTTTAAAAAAACTAAGTTATGATGATTTATCATTAATATGATTAATCAAAATATATAATATTATAGACATAAGAGAAAATAATAGTAAATGATTACAGAGAAGACCGCAAATAAAAGTATTGAATGGTTTGTATAAATCACTGAAGACATTGTCAATGAGCCATTAAAATGCTTTATACGGTATAACTGTCTCTTCAATTGTACTTTTATTATCTCTTCTATCATATGTTTGAGTTATTGTTTTGAACGTAAAAATCTTATGTCAAACAGCAATGCTTTTGCTTTTCAATAGGGATTATGCAATCAAGAGATACAATACCAATACTAAGTTATAGTTGCAGTCATAGAAATGCATCGCTTATCCCTATATTCATACATTAAATGTATTTCATTGCTTATAACAATAGCATGCATTGAGTACTGATGTAATACAGTGTATATCCAGTATATAGCAAAACACGACATCACTCTATAAAAGACACTTCACTCCAGTCGTCATACACTGAGATTGTCGACAAAGAGGTCGTTCCCTTCTATCGTATATACAGTATATATAGATCTCTCTTTAAATTGTGTTTTATAAGTGAATTTTACGCCAACTTATACATAATCTCACTCTTTCTCTATCTCTCTTTCCTTTGCATTTAAACTTTAAAATACATTTCAAATATTAGTCTAAATGTTAATATATATAGAATTTATACATAATGTTTGACATTAAGTTATATTACAATTTTATCAATTATTTATACTAACAGTAATTTAATTGATAAAAGTGTTGAAATGAATTTTTATGAGTTATTTTCAGAAGTTGATGATTACGGCAAATACCAAAAGTTGATGATATGGTTTGTCTTATTTCCGGCACAATTACCATATTTATGTCAACTATACTGTCATCTGTTTATGTCGATAACACCCGACCATTGGTGCCGAATGTCATTATTAGAGTCGTTTAATGTGACCGAACAGTTCAGTCGACACCTATTTGTACCCAAAAAGGACAACATTTTGCATAGTCTTCAATACGAACAATGCTTTGTATATAATATTAGTTACGATGCTTTAGTTGAACATAGCGTTCAAATCGGTTGGATACCAAACCAAACCTGGCCTATCACCCGGTGCTCTCAAGGATGGATATACAACAGGACTTTTCTTGGAGATGATCACTCCATTGTTACTAAGGTTTATCTTATAATGTCTTATTAATACTTTATTATCTAATTATAATATTTTATTTAATACTCATATATTAATTGATTAGTATTTTTTAAATTTTAACAATGTATTGAAAATCTATTAAATAGTAGTTAAACTAAAGTGAAGTTTAACAGATATAGTCTTTAAGAATTATTTTCTAATAGCCATAAAAACGGTTATAAAATATATGAGTATATATCAAACTTTATTAATTTATTTAAAAATTTAGTTAATTTGACAATTTAACAAAGATACGTAAACATTGTATTGTATTTTTAATAGTAACATTTCAGTTACATCAACTATTGCAAATACAGTATTTAAATTGTGATACTTTTTAAAGTTATTTATGAATTAAATTAATTTTGCCTCATTACTATCTGTTTATTTAAAAAAAAGTTTTTAAATTAGTTCATTAATTATTAATTTATTATATTTTACAGTAGAATAATATACTGTATAATTAATACAACTATATAATATACTTAATTAAATATAGTATAACAGTATAATAATAATATGTTTATTTGATGTAATATTTGGATATATTGAATATTAAATTGTTATTTAAAGTATATTTTTATAGTAAAGATAAATAGTGAAATATAAATTATATAAATTACCCCTTAAATAACACTTATTTGCAATGATTAAAATATTAATACTTAATTGTTTTGCTTCTACAGTATAATATAATGTAATATTTTATTTAATTAATTGTAAATATTTGAAATATTTATTATAACTATAAAATTTTATTTAATAAGTTATTTTTATTTTAGTTTGATATTATATGTTATCTACTAATTAACGCTAAAATAAGTTAAAACATATTATTCATTAAATAAATAATTTTATTTATATTTTTAAAATTTAATAAGTTTGAGTGTATTATAGTAATAATTATACCATAAATATAACTTTATTTAAGACGTTTAACGCTTGTATGAATTGCAATACAGTAAGCATTAATAACATTTAGGATGTTTACTATCCCTGTGCTTCTCTATCTTTATGTACAGCACTTTATTGATTCACAACTGAACTACTTTCATATAACAATGAAACATGAATTTAATGTTACTTTTAGTGATTTTTTAACTTCAACTCAATTGGTTGATCCGACAATTTTTTTCAACTAAATATTGATTATTTTAATAAAAAATTATAAATTTTCATTATTTTAGTACTTACGTTTTGATTAAAGATTTGATTAAATATATATATTATTTTATTATTTATATATAAATACATTATATCTTTTATGTAATTCTGATCTTAAATTCAACTGAATTTTATTATATAAAGATCGCCAAAAATCTTATAATAATTTATTAACAAAACTGTATTTAATTTGCAATTCATTACTTACTAGAGTTGATACTTAAAACTAATACAAATGTATTGCTATCCTTATAATAAAATTGAATATAAAAGTCAACTTAAATACACTATTGTTTATGTAAAAAGCTTTTTTAACAGAGAGTGTTAACATAATAATGAGCGATATATTGACAAAAAATGTTGATTGAATTAAATAATAAAGAGATGATAGAAAATATGATCACAAATCAGTGTATTGGATGTGATTTATTGAAGCATAATATTAAATGTAATGATAAATGTTTGAATGTTTTGCAAAGCGAGTCAAACCCTAAACATTCAAAATATGTCTCAAAAATTTTAAAGACTTTAAGAATGCTTTTACTATAAGACTTAATGGTATTTCGGGTGACATTCAATGAGTGACAATGTGTTTCACTGCTCAGGCACTGCATTATAGGACCAGTCATTGAGTATGATATCCATTGAAACATAATTTTATTAAAAAAAACTTTTCAAACATATCAACCATGAAATCATTTTTCATAACTACTTAACAAAACAAGTCAATCATATTTTATGATTTTACACACTTTTCTAATATTCTGTATATTTTTACTGTAGAATTTTACTTTTAAAAAATTACAATAAAAATTAATTTAATTAATTTTATATATTATAATAATTATGAATATAAAAATAAAATTATATTATATTTAATCTAACAATTGAAGTTGTCTTATAATACTATTTATCATAAGACAAACTATTATTTACACTGAATTCTAACAAATCGTAAATCTAATAGTTTGTCGTATAGTTTTTTTATTAATAGAAACTGATCAAAATAAAAGACATTAAATCTAGAGAATTTTAACAGAAAAATGATGGCATTAAATAAAGTACCTAGTTGAGATTTAATTTTGTAATTGAATTTGCAAACTTTATAGTTTTAAACCAAACATATTAATCTACTATATATTCTGACATAAAATTTATAAATATATTATTAGCTATTTTTTTTACTGTAAATTACTTTGTTTTCAATTGAATAGAGTTTTATAGTATATCTAAAAACTTTAATTTATTATATAAATTACACATTCTATCTAAAGTATAGAAAAATTAAATATAATTACTGTACATATTTTATTATAATAATAATTAGCACAAAAGTTATGTGAATATGCTCTTTAGTAAATTGAAATATTAAGTTTGTATAAAATATATATATTTTAAATGTTTAAATGATTTGTTGAATCCTTTTTATTTTGTAATCCTAAGTATAATTACTAAAAGAGTTGGTCTAAAAGGAAAATTTCTAACAAAATAAAAAATCTGAAAACTTTCTAAAAGAAATTTCTGTTTATTGGTTTCCATTTAATTTGTTTTTTATATTTGTTACATTAAATTTGTTATACATTATAATTATAAACTAAATATAGTTCTAAAAGTTACTAATTGTAACTAATATTATTTATAAACTAATTATAAGCTTTAAAATATTTAAAGTTACCAAATTAGCTAAAAGTTAACAAATTTTACAAAAATAAATTATTTTTATTAATTCTATTTATTGTATTCACACAATATATAAAGTATAATAGAGATAAATACAATATATGTATATTTATTAGGATCTTGTTATACCGTATAATACTGTAGTGCAGTGTTGGAAGTGACAAAATGTTTAGAATGTAGAAATATAATACATTAAATTTTGATATACAAAAAAATGGTTACATATTTTCAATAAAATAATGTTTTATTTAGATTATACATTAATTTTTAAATGAATTAGTTGTATATTTATTTCACTTAATTAACTTAAAAATTAAATTTTGTGGTCTATATTTGAATTTTTGTTGTCTATTAATATTATTATTTTTAATTCATTTAACTCAAGTATAAACTCGTAGTTTATTTAGTATAAAATGCCTAAAGTTGTCCGTCAGTTACTAGTGAAGTGCATTTTGAAATACAATTTGTATTATACTATTAAAAGGCAAAATTCAGAATCTTGTATTTTTCCAACCCTTTTGTAGTTTATATTTGTAGATATATCCAAAATAAAGAAAAAATTTTACAAAAATTTATTACTGAGAAATATTTTTAAGGAAATTTATTATAAATTTTTACTTCACTATATTTAATCACAAATAAACTTTAATTCTGTATTTCTTATTTGTATCACTAATTTATATAACAATACAAGATTTATATATCATTTTTACGATACAATATATCAAATTCCTAAAACCAAGTTTGCTATTATTGATTACAATATTATTTTATTAAAACAAAAGAGAAACTACTATTATTTTAACCATTTGTTTTGTTTCTATTCATATATATGTATTTTTACTTTGAATTATGTTTAAGTTATTTTTGGTAAAATATGTTTTATAAATATATTTGTTAGTTTTGACATTTATTGTCTAATTTTTTGGTTTTCTTTGTTTTTCTTTCACATTTTGAGTTAAAATAACAAAACTGTAATAATAGAGTATTTTGTGAATTTGAATTATTACAAAAATTATTATTTACTAACAAATCATGTATACAACTAATGTTTTGACATTTAAATGTTTTGTTAAATTTAAAGTTTGGTTTCACTTGAAAAATGATAAATCTTGTGATTTAATACATTTAATTAAAATGAAAAGGCAAATATGCATACATTTGAATAATAATTGATTTGCATATATATCAAAATTATTATATAATAAATTATTGAATTATAAAATTTGATTTGATTATTTAACAAATTTAATAAAATAAAAATATTTCACTTACAATATAAAACTTGATAGTTTTAAAATATAATATTCCGAGAAAAAGTTATCATAATTATACTTCAAAGTGATATATAAATATTGATGAACTAATACTTTAATAAAAGTTATAATAATTAATTAATTGTAATTAATAGTGGGATTTGGTGTGCGATCGAGCTTTCCTTCAAATGATTCCTATAATTGCATATTTTTCGGGAAGTTTTACGGGTTTTATCTTCGGTAATATATTAACAACAAAGTAAGTATTTTTTCATAATTAGTTCTCAATTAATGTGAAGACAAATATTTTAAAAGTATTATTTAAACACTAGATTTGGAATGAAATTCACATATTTTTTCATGTTATGTATTCATTGTATTTTTGGGACAAGTATTGCATTTAACAATCATTTCGATATATTCTCATTAATGCGGTTTTGTGTCGGACTCAGTGTATCTAACATTGCTTTAATACCTCGATGTCTATGTAAGTAATAAATCAATATATTGTGCTATTAATTGTATTTTTAAAAATAATAAATAATATAGTTTTATGATATACCATTATAAGTTTATACAATTATTAATTTAGTATTAATCTTATGACATATATTACTATATATTAATATCATTTTTGATTAGCTCTTGAGTTGACATCACATGAAAGAAGTGCCAATACTTTATTGTTAACTGATTTTTGGCGTAATTTCGGTGCTTTGCTTTTGGTTATTATCTCATATATGATTCGAGACTTTAATCATTTAACAGTTGCCATAAGTGTGCCTTTTATGGTATTTATTTTATATTATTGGTTAGTATATAATTAAAGATAAAATCAAAACTTATAGATTAATAGAGAAAATGTGAATTTAATAATATGTTATTTGATATAAAGGGTATTTCCAGAGTCTCCTAAATGGCTTATAGTGAACGAGCGTATAGAACAAGTCGATAGATTGGTCAGAGATATCGCTACAACTAATGTCACATTACTTTCTCCTGATTTCAGTATAACATTGCGGGTAACGGTTTAATGAACTAAAAACAACAATAATTTATCTTATTTTAAGTATCATTTGATATATACTCATGTTTTCAATTGCGAAGAGAAGAATCCAAATTGAATGCGCCCTTCAAAGTGAACTCAAGACATCCCGGAGCCAACCATTACTAATGAAATTACTGTTTTTGCCGAATATGCGCTTCAAAGTCATAACTCTTTGCATACTATATATCACACAATCTGTTACTGACATCGGATTCACTTACTATGTCATTGAATTTTCAGGTAATTACTCTTTAGAAACATTCATACCATAAACTAATTAAAATTATTATTATACTTACTGTATAGTTAATAGACTTTTCAGTATTGATTGATTTGTATTTTTATGATTTTAATGTCTTATAAAATTCAATAAATTTTTTAGAGAGTCGAGGAAATGGTGACATTTATTTCCCATTTTTGGTGGCAATCATTGCAAACTATTTCGGTCTATTGATTGCATGGATAACTTTGAAATATTTTGGCCGCAAATATACTATCAGTTTTGGCAATATATTGTCCGCTTTTTTCAGTTTAATGAGTGCTTTTGTCAAAAATAAAGACATTAATCTATGTCTCATATACTATGCATCGGCTAAAGTGTTTCAATCATCCTCTCAAAGCTGTTTACAAGTTTGGAGCCATGAATTGCTACCACTTTCTCATTACTATTCAGTGATAACTTTTTGTGAAACTCTGTCTAATTTAGCGTTAATATCGGTTCCAATCGTTATCTTTTATGTAAGCTTTTCAAGTGTTACTCCTTTTTCTAGTTTATTAAATTGAAATAAATTTCAAATATATTACTTATCAGATACATTAATAGTCAAATAAATCATTAAAATTGTATTATTGATTTTACCATAAAATCACAACATTTTAAAGATTTATATAAACAATTAGTAATTATTTTTATTTATATTTTATTAAGACTAAGAAGAAAGAAATTTTTATTACAAAAGGAATCGGTTTATCATTAAGTTTAGCAATATTTGGTATTTTATTATTGATAAGTGGTTTACTTGGATTCACTCTACCGGATACTAATGGCAATAAAATAGTCAATCAATGGCAACAAAATACTACAAATCGTCGCCAAACACATCAAAACCATTCATATGATTATCCAAATATCAAGTATGACTTTAATTCAATTTGTGATAAATTATATTAAAATCAATAAACAAAAACAACTGATAAAGAAATTGTCATAAAATGAAATTAATGTTTAATCAATATTTCAAGATTTTTTAGAATAAAGTAATATAAAGTGATATAAATTCTTATAAATAATTATTTTATTTCTGTTTTATAATAGTTTATACAGACAGTAGTCTAAAGTGTTACTAAATACTTTATATAATTTATATGAAAAATTCATTGATTTTGATTTTGATTCATAAATTGATTTTAAATAGATTTAGATTTCATAAAACTATATTTAATTGAAATAATAATTTATTTTTATAAATAAATTATAAATCATTTTTATGCAATTTGTAGTATTGATGAAATATATAAAAAGATTTATATAAAAACTTTTTGGCGTTTTTTAATATTTAACTTTAAATCAGAATTATTACTAATTTTTTTAGTTAACGTTTGTATGTTTTATAGTTTTTTTTAATATCGAAAAAATATTTAGCAAATAGTATTTATATTAAAATGTTATTTATAAAAATTGTACATGCCCAATTTTAAATAACTTTTTATCGGGAAATATTTATGTTATAAAGTCTGCAATACTCCGTTACAATATAATGTAATTTTTTATATGAGAAGTTTTTTAGAAATATATTTATAGAAATATTATTATATTTGAATAAATATAAAATAATGTAACTTACAGTAGAATAAAAGTTATATTTTATTAGTTTATGTCTGTGTTATGCAAATTTAGTTTTATTATAGATTATTATACGTATTTAAATATTTTACTTAACAACTAATTTAATATGAATAGTTTTTAATTAATAAGTAATAGTTTAATTTGATTAAAATATATTAAATAATATATTTATGAATAATTACTGAATTTTTTAGTACAATAGTATTATTCTACAATAATTATTATGTTATTTTCTCATTAATTTATTTTCATTAGATTTTATACAGTTTAAACTGTTCAATACAGATATACAGTATTATAAAGTGATTAAAAATATTATAAAATTATACATTTACTATAATTAATATTTTTTATTTAAAAGGAAATGTCAGAAAAATGGTATCCTTAAAAATAAAGGACCGCAACAACAATCACCTATATTGAGGTAATGCCATCAAAATTGTTGATTTAGTTAATTACTGTAAATTTCTCATACAGTTTGCTGCGTAAACAGGAAATGATGCGACAAAAAGACTATGAATTTGAAAGCAATGATGAAATCACTCACTTGAATGACTCGCCCAACAAAATTTGTACCATAAGAGTAACTGTACTTTAATTTTTTATACAGTATAGTACAGTATTACTAATATATCTAAATTAATACCAATAAAAACAATTTGATTTGTAAATTTGATTTTTAATTTTTAACATTATAAATTAAAAAATATTTTAAGTAAATTTAACACTTTCAATAAAATGTATTTAAGTTGAAAAATGCAAAATTAGTAAAAAATATTGTAATAGCAATGTAATAGATAAGCGGTTTCATTGCTCATGCCTTAAACAGTTCCGGACTTTCAATATTGAATTCCTCTGACTCTTCAGTATCTGAAGGACGTCTCACTGTTTGATACCATCTATTGGTCAGATCAGTCATTTGTGACTTACAATCTTTCACTTCCTATATATAAATATATATTTGTAAAAATTTATAAACATTTCAATAAACTTTAGTCTAATAAGAAATACTTGTTCTGTAAATCTTCGAGTAAAAAATGGCATCAAATATTTGACATCAAATTTAACAAAACCAGTGATATTAGAAGTATTCAAGAAGTTTACACCCGAAGAATACTCTTCTTCTGTTAGTTCTGATAGATGTTCCGCATCAATAGCTTGACCCTAACATTACATATAATTGATTTTTAATAAAAATCATAACAATTATTATATAAAAAAAAATATTTAAAAACTACCATTTCTTTAGTTTTACTTAAACTAAGTGCTCGTTTTGATGATCGTTTGGATCCACGTCTTTTTCCTCTACCTTTTTTCGCTGAATTCATATACTTTATACACAAACATACTATTATTATTAATACCGGTATATATTTTTATATATAAAACAAAATTATATAAAATGTTTACTTTGAGTAAAGGCATAGAAGTAGTTCCCATAACTATAATAGTAAATAACACTATAATAAGTGTTGTCGTAACGACAACTCTTCTCTTTTCTTCTTCAAATTCAAGATGAAGAGCCAAAGCATAAGCAATTGCACCGCGAAGACCACTAAACCACATAACAAACATCATCTTCTTGGAGATCTTGTGTTCACGAAAATAATTAACAGCATATGAAAGGGGATATATGTTTAACGCCCGTCCAAACAAACACAATATTATACTCCATATTATTAATTCAATTTCTATTTTCATTTTAAAACTAAATATTGCTAAACCAAGATATGCAAAGACACACGTTTCTGTATATTATAAATAATATATAAATAATAGTCAAATACAGCAAACAATCAAAATATTTAATCAAATATTAAACCTGCAATAAAAGCCAATGTTCTAAGTGTTTGTTGCATTGTTATCTGAGTTACTGGAGATAAGTTAAAATGTGTGTAATGAGACATAACTACACCATTGAACAGAATGGCCATAATTCCAGACAAATGCAAGCCCTCAGCCAAACCGTACGGCGCGTATATCATGACTAACATCATTCCAAACTCAAGGGACGGGTGTTTTCGTAAATCAATATATTTAAATACCTATTTAGTAATTTGTAAATTATATGACTTACGGTAATAATAAAATAATATTATAGACAAACCAAAGCTGCAATTAAAGCAAAAGCTGCACCAATTCCGGCGGATCCAAAAAATACAATACCAAACCTTACAAAACCTAATAGACAAACAAAACCTTATATATATATATATATATCAGGGTTGCGAAAGGTTTTCGATCTCAGGGGGGGTATAGGGGGGAGTAAAATGTCAAAATTTTCGAAAAATCTTGGCGGGGTGAACAATTTTTATTGCATTTTTAAACGACAATTTTTCCCAAATTTGAGTAAATTCCCAATAAATTCCCACATAAATTTCCTAAAAAAAGGAAACTATTCCAACTTAATTTCTTAAGACTCATAAAATATATTTTCAAACTTATATTATTTTTAAAAAATGAAGTTTTACATAATATATATATAAGATAAAAACAATTACTATAATTATTTGTCTTTACTATTTAATTAATTATTTACAATGTTTTTCTGTTAAAATTAATGATATTGTACTGTATTTATTATTACGTCTTAAAAAAAATTAAATTGTAATGTTACGTTAATTAGTAATTATTATAAAATATGAAAAATACAATCAATTTGTTTATTAAGAAGCATAAATAATTATTATAAATTTATAAAATAAAAACATCAATATTTTTTGGAAAATAGGAGGGAATTTATTAAGGGACTATCCACCCTTGAGATGCCCCAACTCTAGATATTTTTTTAGTATTTAAAATGCTTTTATTCATTTATTTTGTAAAGATAAGCTATTTATTTATATAAAAACTCAATTAGTATTTATAATTTTGTTTAATATTAAATTTTACATAGTTGAAAATTGGTAGGGGGCCCCCTAACTTTTTGACTTTAGGTCAGGGGGTAAGATGGCCTTACCCCTACCCCCCTTTCGCAACCCTGCGAATATATATATATATATATAATATTTGGAATTAATACCATTTATAACAGCTGTGGGTCCAGAAACCGATGATACTGTTTGTGAAAGTTCGAGTGCAGTCGTAGCCAACACTATAGAGACCGCATCGTTTAAAATACTTTCACCAAAAACTAACATATTTAGTATGGGATCCAAATCTAAGGCATGAAATATGGCCAGTGTTGCCACCGGATCCACTGTTTAAATAAAAGATAATATTTATATATTTTCAATAATTTAATTATAAAAACTTAATAAAATCTTTTGATTTATTACCGGCAGATATTAAAGATCCGAAAGCAAAACTTTCAGTAAAAGTCATTTTATAAGCGACATCAGCCTTGAAAATATAATTTAAATTATTTTATAACATAAAACTTAAGGTAAATTACTATTATGTATTCAACTCACCAAACCTAATATATAGACACCACCACCGATAACAAAGGCCGATATGGATGTGCCAATTATGGCAAACACAAGAATTGAACCAATATTTTGAAAAAAATTTCCTTTGTGTAGATTATATCCCGACTCATAGATAATGGGTGGCAACAAAACTAAGAAAAACATTGTTGGGTTTAATGTTTCTTCTTTCTATAAGTTATTAAAACATCGTTTTTATAAATCAGTTATAGTTGTTAAAGTTGTAACAATAGTCAATACCTTCCAGTCTCCCAAATGCTGATTTGATATCAATTTCATGACTAAACCAATGGCTGCTCCAAGAAATACAACAGCGAGTGATTCGGGAATGTATTGAAATTTGGTTTGAATTATCAAATGTATTAATATTATACACGAAGCTATTGATAAAAAAAAACTTATTATAATTAATGGTTTAAATTAATGATATTTAATGAGACCAACCAATAACAGACAGCACAAAGAATATAGCCATTGAAGAGTGCTTCTCCTCTTCTGCGGCGCCTTTTTGCGGCAAAATTGAGTCCTGAGATACCGTCGATGGTGTCGGCGATGTCATCGTTTCGTTATTAAAGACCGTTGTATTTGATATAATGGTTCTTAAAATCAATTAAATAGTTTAGTTATTATTCATAAGTCTCTATTAGACCAATGGTTACCCATTAGATGGTAAGACATGCGACTCATCGGCCGAAAGTTGCGATTCAGTCGATGGGTTGACGCGATTGGCTTCTGGTTTGACTACATCCACATGTTTTAAGTCTCTATTAGTATCATCAGATGAACCATCTTTTTGTTGGACACTATTATCGGACAACTTTTGACAACAAATATAGTTAACAACAAAAACAATTTGAATCACAATTAAGACTAGACTTTTAACAGACATTTTCGACAATTATTAGTAAATAAATAAATTAATAAAATTTGTATAAAAATCAACAATTAGTTTAAAATAAGTTAATTTATGACAATTTCAACGAGTGATCACTGGTTTAGACATTGTATGAACCGGTCATCAGGTGATCGACAATAACTTCATTACATTTAATAACAAACTGTTTTGACATTCATTTACATTGAATTGCATTTCACTTTCACTTTCAATAGTATTTACAAATGAATGTAAACAATAAAAAATCAATTGTTTATATCAAGTGTTGATAAATAACGTGTAAATTGATTGAACCCCTAATAATATGTTTGTATTGAAAAGTATGTGTTTAGTGAACGTAATTGTTGTTTAAGTAGTTTGTTATAGTAATGGCCACCACTTCGCAGTTGATTTTCGACTCTTTGGGTAATTATTTCATTAAATTATAATTAATTGCATTTAAAATGATTGTTCACTTCATTGGTTTAAATCAACAATCAATTGATGACATAATGAGTCAATCAATTGCTTTATTTCAATCATAAATCATATGTTATATGAAAGACAATGTATTGAATAGTGAGACCCAATGTATATCCAGTCTTAAGATGGCTTCAAACAAGCTATTGGTCTGTAGTTGCGGTCAAAGAGTTGGCCAAACGTGTGGTCAATGGTTGTGTGTCGGTGTAAGTGTGTGTAGTTGTGTGTGAAAAGTGATGATTAAATAGTTAGCAATACTTTATGTCAGTTATAATGGGTTGTGTGTCGTTTGCATGTAAGAGCCCACAAACGTCTCATCCCTCAGCCCTACGCACAGCCCATAAGCACAACAACTATACCCTAAACATAGCATTTATAGCACCCATACGTTACACCAAACACACCGCTATTCTCACTATTTGTCATCCCTTTCAACAAATATTTCAGTTTTAATTATATTTACAAACTATTTATTAATTAAACGATTAATTATATTATACTTTAGTAATAATTAACTATTTATTAAATTATTTTTGGCATAACAATGGATATAAAATAATGTTTTAATGTATAACAAACTGTTAACTGTATTATATTTAAGGGGAGGACTATCCTAACACTTAACTCTTTAGTTTGAAAACTTTTTTGTCATAAATATGGTATTGTATTACATATTTTATTTAATATAAGTTTTTGCATAATAAGTTAACTACACTATTGTCACTATTTATTATTTCATAAATAGTAAACTTACTTTATATTTAAATTATTATTTAATATTATAGTAATCTGGTATAAACTAATTATCTTATATAACTACTGTATAATCTTATATAAAATACAATAATTAAATTTATGCTTAAATTATAATACTTTTTAAATAATTGAATTAACAGGTGTTCCGACTCTTGATAATCAAACTGTTTTAGCGGTTCAGCAACTCTTCAATGATACAAATACATCAAACATTACAAATATCGGTAAAATTTCAATATATTTAATTAGATTACTATTAGTTATTAAAACTACTTTTAAGTTAAAAATTTATTAGAAATAAATTATTTGATTACCCGGTAATTATTGCCGGTAACTATAATACTTACAGTAATATGTTGATATACCCAATACATTATTTAACGTCACTACACATTATATTTATAATATAACACTTTTTTAATAAATATGAAATTATAAATAATTTGTTAAAATGGTTTTGTTTATGAAGAAGATGATGACGAAGAGGATGTGTTTCAATGCGGAAAATGTAAAAAACAGTTTTCAGCTCTTAATTCGTTTGTTAACCACAAGAAAGAATGCGGTCGTAAAGCAAATAATAGAAATGATAGCCATTTGTTACAAAATAATTTGAAATCGACTAATACCTCATCTTTAAGCTCTCAATTAACACTTCCCACATCACCAATATTACCAACTATTGCCAGTGGAGTTATCTTAAGTGATTCGGATTTATTGTCGTTAACCACAAGTCTTGACCATAACATAGGAAACATTTCTACAATAAGTCCGTCAGCACTGGGAGACAGCTCTTTGGGAACTAATGATGGAAACGATGCCTTCTCTAATGTTTTGTCAGGAATTAACACTAATAATAGTAATAACATTCAGACATTGACACCGACATCACAAACCCTTGGTTTACCCGTTTCTTTACTTAACAATTTGGTTTCATCACCATTCTTGGTTCAAACGACGACAAATTCAAATACATTAAACACTTCATCAGTGACTTTGTCTTCAAATTTTGTAGTTAACTCTATACCCATAACAGTGATCGCAACTTCAACGGGCACTCCAATAACACCGACAGTCACTCAATCAAAATTAACTTTCGGTCAAATAAACAATTTAACTAACATTAAACCAAAGGAATCTCTAAATAAAACAAGTGTTCAATTAAAGAAACAATTGGACGCTGCTATACATGTGTTACCATCATCTGATCTCAAAGCTTCTACACATAAGACACGAAAAAGAGTCATCAAAAATGATATCACCGACACTTTAAACTCAGTTCAGTCTAAAAGAAATGCTAAATTAAAGTGTACTTTTTGTGACAGTATGTTTTTTAATGTTTTATTTAAAATTATTTTTATTTAATCATTATATTGTCATTTATAGGGAGTTTTAATAAAAACTTTGATTTACAACAACATATTAGATGTCATACCGGAGAGAAACCATTTCAATGCATTGGTATATAATAATAATTATTAAAATTACGGTATTTGTTTGGTACTAAAAATTTTCAACGATTTTTACTTTTGTTTTAAAAAGTTTGTGGCAGAGCTTTCGCTCAAAAGAGTAATGTTAAGAAACACATGCAAACTCATAAGGTATGGCCCGATGGGTTGGCGCACACATTACCTCCACAGTCATCCATTATTTCAAATGATGTTCCCAAAGAAATTGTAGAAACTATTATTGACGACAAACTAATTGATATTAATTCTATAGATAGTAGTTATGTTTGTCCTTATTGTGCATATAATGGCAAAACTTATTTTGAACTTAAAAGTCATATGAAATCACATAAAAGAGAAAAAGTTTACAAATGTATTCAGTCTTCATGTGGTGTAATGTTTTCAGAGTTGGAACCGTTTTTAGGTCACATTCAGACACATGAAACAGAAATGACTTATCGATGTCATCAATGCAACAAAACTTTTAGTTCACTATATGATCTCGGATTACATCAATATTCACACTCTCTATATCCCAATCAGGGTTCACGAACGGGTCAAAGGTTTGATTTATTTATTACTGTAATTAAGATTTTAGTTAAATGTTTTATTTTTTAGATATTTTCGATGTCAAAAATGTCTTAATAAGTACACAACACCAGCAGCACTTGAGCACCATTTAGCCACATCCAGTCATCACTATCCCTGTCAAAACTGCAACAAAGTGTTTCCCTGCGAACGTTATTTAAGACGCCATTTACTAACACATGGATCAGGTCTTTATATTTGCCAATATTGTGATAAAACATTCAAAACAGCCAACTATTTGAAAGTGCATTTAGTCATACATACCGGTAATAATTGATTAAATAATTGAAAATTGTTTTGATTAACTCGATATATAAAATGTTATTATAGGAGAAAAGCCGTTTGCATGCAATCAATGTGACGCTGCATTCAATCGGAGAGATAAGCTTAAGCGCCATAAACTGGTTCACGATCCCATCAAACGATTTAAGTGTCCGTTTAAAGCACATACCGGTTGTCCAAAAGAATTTAATAGACCAGACAAACTAAAGGCTCATATATTAACCCATAGCGGTATTAAACCACATCAGGTATGTCTACCATATATTTTAATGATTTAACTTAACAGACATTGATTTTCTACTCTATAATCAGTGTAATGTATGTTTGCGTTCATTTTCACGTCGAGCACATCTACGAGAGCATCAAAAGGCTCACGAAAGCAATCCAAACATCATTAATACTACGAATGTCACCACCACTACTGCAACACCAACCATAACAACTGCCACCACAACAACTAATACAGATCTGAATAAAACAGATTTTATAACTTTGTTTGATTGTCAAAGTTGTGGCAATTTATTTGCTTCAGAGCAGGATTTGAGGCAACATTCTTGTACAACAAATACAACAACCAATACAAACATTGCTATAAAACATAAAAAGATTTCTAAGACAAACATTAAATCACTCAAAAAAGCAACAAATATAAGATCAATAACTACGAGTGCAACTCCTGTTACTACAACGGGTATATTATCAACAAAATGTAAAACAAAGTCATCTAATGTTAACACAACACTTACCACTGCTGTATTGGGCGACTCATCTGAACAAATGGCTTCCAAAGACTCATCAAACAGTGAATTCACGTTTCATTTTCAAGACGGATTAGTCGATGACAACATACCGACCGCTCACATAGAGATTATTACAACACCTGTTGATATCGGAAGCTCTTTTCCTCCAATTGTCACAATTGATGGCATTCAATATCCAACGATTCCTATTCTAACAAATTCTATTGGAAGTGATTGTGATGACAGTGAAAACAACGACAGTAAGGAAGAAATGTCAACCAAAGTATTGTTGACTACATTACCATCTCTTAAATAATTAAATATTGATCCCAACTCTGAACCGAATTATTTATTACATTATTTGACTTTCGTATCATTTAAAATATTTTCATATATTGTACTCTAAAGTGTAAATATTATCACAATTAATATTCTGTGAGTTATTTGTCTATAATTATCTATTACAGTAATATTAATAGTTTATTTAAAACAATTTAAAGCATACAATTAATACTATTATTACTAGTATTAATACTGTAGTTATTTGTAAATAATTTTAAAAATAAGTTTATTTTGTATTTAAAAATAAATCTCATAATCAGTGAATATTAAACTAACAAATTAAAGACATTTTGTGTCAAAACAATGTAAAATTGATTTAGTGTTTAATATTAACAATATTTTCTAAATTATTATGAATTTCAATAGCTTTGACTTTCAAAGAGTTCATTTCCGACTCAAAGAATCTCATAATTTTGATTCGTTTGTCTTTAGAACTCAGACTAGAAATATCATCCATTAGTTCGGATAAGAAGTTTCGGTTAACAACAATAGGTCCGTCTTCTCGGATATAAAATGTGGTCCTTTTGTTGACGCGTGGAATATATGGTTCTTGAGTGGGCAGTATGTCATCCATACCCAAGTGATAGAATGGCAATACCTCTACTTCAGGATAAGTATTATCATTGAAGACGTGGTCCAATAAAAGTCGAGCCAAACCCCACTTCAAATCATAAGACGGTTTCACTTCACAATCAATGTCTTCACTAACATTAACGTGTGTCTCAAGTCTTGGACTACGAAGTGAATCAATTTCTTTATTTCTCATAACAACTTTTCCTTCAGGAAAGAAATGAATCCATTGACCATCTTTTAGTAGATTTAACGCGTAATCCATCGCCGGTTGATATAATCCTTTACCTCTTATTATAGGAAATGTTTTTCCCATTGCAAAGAACATCGAATATAAGACATTAGTAAAACAAATCTCTTGAGCCGCTGCTGACCATCGATGTCGACCGGCATTGAGCTGCCATTTCATTGGTATTAATACTCCCCAAATCAAAGGGTCATCCAAACAGGAGGAATGGTTTGATATAGTTATCAATGGTCTCTTGTCTTTGTTCTTGTAATGTTTGGCCAAAGTGTCCAACAATACGACCCGATTTTGGACATGACTTGAGTTAAGACATTGCATCCATAATTTGCTTATCAGACCAACTGTCGGAACAATTACTTTTGATCCCAATCTCCACTTGAAGTTCACTTCTTTTGCTATTAATCGTGACAGAAGTGATGGCCATTCAACTGAACTCATAGCTCGTGAGGTATCAGATGACAGATGTGTTGGACATCAATGTATTGAAACAAATAGTTAAATCAAATCAATTGATTATTAATAATACAGTTATTATTATTGAAATAAATTGAACGACACTTTCATAGCAATCATAACAAACATAACAATAGATGTCATTAAAGTCAATGTATTGACTGTATGTACGGCTCATCACTAATACATTGACTTTGCATTGCATTCACTGTTTGTCGATCTCATCGAAAACAATGCTTTTTGCAGTTTATGTTTTAAACGCTTAAGAGTTTTGGTGATAATTTGGTTACAATTAAGTGATAACCACTCTTTTCATTGCAATTATGTTTCAAAGATTTTTATTAATTGTCTTATTATTAGTTCCCATATCTGTAATTCTTCAGCAAAATGGTAAATAAGATAGTTTTGGTCATGTGTTTGGCGCTTACGTGGCATTTAAAACAGTCTTCATTTGATTGGTGCCATTCATCTGATATATGTATCTAACCGGTGATGACTTTTTTTGACAGGACTTTCTAAGTCTTCCTATGCAATGGCTGCAGAAGACACCAAATCAGAAGATACACCCGATGTAGTTGAAGGAGAAGAAGAGGCTAATGTTGAAGACAGTGACATATTGAAGTCTACAGAAGAAACTGATGATGAAGACAGTGAATCGGTTACATTAAAGCCGTCTCCAGACATCAACACATTCTTCTTATTGACAAAACCGGCGCAAACGACATTAGGTTTGAATTGTTTACCCAATTGACACGTCGACTATCATCTGATTATATTATCATTTTATTATCAATTGATTAGAACTTCCCGCTGGAAAAGAGGTCCACTTTTTGGTCGGATTTACCAATAAAGGCACAAAAGATTTTGTTGTCGACTCAATGGATGCCTCCTTTAGATACGCTCAAGACTTTAGTTTTCATTTGCAAAATGTAAGTACTTTTGAATTATCAGTGTTTATAGTATTTGAAGTTAACTCAAGTGTTGGTTAGTTTTCTGCCATCGCTTACAATCGATTGGTTAAACCTAAACAAGAGACCACTTTGGCGTATCAACTGTTTGTAAGTGAGGCCTACAGCGCCCGACCCTATGGTTTCACTGTTAACCTCTACTATAGAGATTCCGTATGTATTGCGTAATCGATCACATGATTGACATGAGTTTAAAATGATTGTAATTTATAGGACGGAAATCAATATTTGAATGCAGTCTTCAATGAAACGGTTAATATCGTTGAATTGGATGAAGGATTAGATGGCGAGACATTCTTCTTATATGTCTTTTTGGCGGCTGTTGTTGTCTTAGTGGTCGTCGGAACCCAACAATTCTTCATCTCCTTTGGTGTAAGAATTGTTAAATTATATTATATTTTTATTTTTACTAATAATTAATTGAAATGACAGAAAAAGCACATTTCTTCGGCCAAACCTAAGACAGAAATGGGAACTTCAAATCCAAATGATGTCGACTACGATTGGTTACCACAAGAAACACTTAATTCACTCAGTAAGCTATCATTAGTTGTAAAATTTATATTTAAATAAATTACTGTTTGTTTCAGATAAGTCACCAAAAGTAAGGCAATCTCCTCGACAAAGAAAAGTGAAGAGAGGAACGGGTTCTGGGGATGAATAGCTATTTAGTGCCTAATTATATACAGTTTATGTATATATAATGATTACTCATAAACTTTGAAAAATTGTCTGAAATTATAATAAGTCATTCATTAACAACAAGTGTTTTAATTATCATTTAAAGTAAACATTTTATGGATTTTCAATTTTAACGTAACCAATGAGTGCATTCCATGATTGATATTAAATTCATAAGTTAATCCAAATTCAAATGTTTTGTATCACAATATTTTGTTTGATAAAATCGACTTATTTTTAAATTACGGGTAATAATAATTTTATTATGATTTTAAAAATTATATGGAATGAACTAAAATATTGGAAAACAAATTATATTTACCGGTACTTGCAATACATACTTAACATATTTACAAAATAATGTAATATAAATTAAAAACAATCAATCAATGCATAGATATATTTAGAGCATAGCTCCGGCCTCATCATCCAAATCTTCATTACTTTTTGAACTCTCATTTGTGTTTAAATTTGCTTTAAATTTTTGTTGCAAATCTCTGGCAATTTTAGTGTATTCGTTGTCCAGACTTTTGATGAACGGGCAGTTGAGTCCATTGACGATAGCGTTTGCATCCATTTTGTCGAATCCTTCCAATATTTGATTGATATAATAAATCTCTTGATCTTCAATATAACTGTAATTAATGAAAATTATTTAAATATTAAAGTCTTTGTTTTTGTAAAAGAGACAAACCCTTTGCCCTCACGGAATGCTTTTTCTGCGGCCACACTATCTTCGCGGGCCAATTGGATCAATATAAGACCGACATAAAGACGACCCAATGCCTGGTTGTCTTCAGACTCAACTAAATAACTCATAGCTTTCTTAAGCCAATCGATGGCGTTGTCATATTTCTTGAGTTTAAGAAAAATACGAACGGCTTTGTTGGCGTATTCAGTCGCTTGTTTGGGTCTGTCCTCAATCATTGTTACTTCCGATGCCTGACCGTACCATTCGGCGGCCTTTTCTGGTCTTTGATTCTCAATCATTCTTTTGATGTAAAATTAGTTTAAATTAATCTCAAACACTACTATTATAAGACCTACTGTGCGCCGCGATTGAAGGTCAGAGCAGCCGTATCGACGACTCCGTGCTCTCGAAACATATGACATGACTTTTCCATGTATTTGATAACTGAATCCCAATCATTAAGATCTTTACAAACCATAGCCGACTGTTCATAACATCTATAAATACATTAAAAATGTTTTAATTAATCTTTCATTTTAGATATGAATTGACATACTTTGCGGCAGAAAAATATGATTTAGTCTTTTCATAACAATCGGCGGCTTTCAGGTGGGCGTCCAAACACTTGTCGGGCATTCGTACCGCTTTGAAACACGTGGCTATCAAACAATTGGTCAGTAAATTGATATTCAATTGTCTTTTGGTTAATACCTGCCCGCGAATACTCGTTGGCCGCTAACTCATAATCGGGTCGCCATTTGAGAAATCCAGTCTTAAGACTAAATCACAAACAGATAGACATGTTATCACCCATTCATTGATAATTCAAAAGACAACTTACTGTTTGTCAGCCTTTATGTAACAATCATTGGCTTCCGATAACTTGTCCGACATATCGGTAAAAGTGATCAAAACATATGATAAACAATTAAATCAATTAATTGATGACTTTTGGAGTAAATTGTAATCACTTTTATAAATGCATTTCATTTCAATAGATGTCACAAATTGTAAATAATTTTCAATACTTTGTAATACTCTATGAATTTTATACTATTTTTATCAAATTATTATAATATAGTCTATTCTGTTGACTATATTTAGTAAATTAATGTACAAAAAACACTAATAATTAACAAAATCATCAAAATTAATGTGTTTTATATTTATAATAATTTTAATTAAGTTTCTAACATATTTTACTATTTTTAAATATCACAATTTTTTATTAAGATTATTTATTAATCATTATTAATTTAAAATTAAGATAAAATGTTGGACATTATGTTTTCACGATTTGACTGAATGTTTATATACTGTACTGTATTATAAATATTTAAAAGAAAATATGTTTTATAATAAAAATAAATTTTTTTTTAATCCAATTAAATTGTATTATTGAGAGATATATTGTATGATTTGATAAATATATTTGAGAAAAAATTATAGATATTCAAAAAGAATTTAAGAAATCATTTTATTAATTTTGATTAAATTAAGTTTATCAATATTTTTAAGTATAAAACTTTTTAATTTTGAAAGCAATAAACAATTTATTTAAAAATTATATATTATAATAATTATACAATTATTGTAGTTTTTTTTAAAAAGTAATTCTTAACTTATGCACATAATATGTATTATTTAATATAATATTAAGTCATATACCGTACAAATTATATCATACATACTATACCGGTATATTAAACTAATCTATTTATTATATAATATTCATACAATATATTCTTCAATCAGTTTATTAATAATTAATTACATTTTTAATAAAAAAAAGTAATGATAGAGTGAATGGACATAAAAATATTTAATAACTATACAGATAGTACAATACAGTACATGTAATCCAATTAACAATTTGAGTATAATATTAATATTTATTTTTGATACACTCATCACAATAAAAATTGCAAAATAATGTATATATAATTAATTAATTAATTATTAGTAATCAATATGAGCCGACAATTTATAACATTTATGCATTATTTATAAGTTTATTGTATTTTTTATATACTAATTAGTGTTAGATCAGATTCCCTCCTCGTTTTAAATTCCAAAAGTTTGTTTTGTTCCCTTTCCTGGGACTTCATAGAAAATTTATTTCCTTATGCTATCACCTATTAAACTCTAAACAACACATTTTATTATAATGTTTGAAAAACAAATATTATATTAAACTGTTTCTTAAGTTATATTGATAAATAATCTCACTAAATTTATTGAATTGAAATTTATTTTTAAATATTTCAATATTTTTTGCAAAATATTTAAGTTTTGGTACTATCTATTGTAATAATATAAAATATTTTTTCCCCTTTCTAACGATCAAGGAAGGGAAAGTAATATATTTTCCGGAAAAATTGGAGGAATTTTTTAGGGAACTTCCCTCCCTGATAATGTTGATCAAACTCTAATACTAATATAAATAAACAATAATTTTATTGATTTCAAATTACTGAAATAATGCACTTAAAATATTTTTTCTGTTTAAAAATACAGAGTATTATTACCTTAAGTGCATTTACACCTAAATAAATAAAGACTAAATTTATGAAAAAATATAATTAACTTAAAAAACCTGTTAATTAACTTTAAATTATTATTTTTAAATATAAAATTAAAATCCAATTACTAAGCTATTTATGTTTAATGATATAAATTATTATATTATAACCGTTTGCAAACTTTTACGACACTTGTGACCACAAACGGCGGCACAATTAATACCATTGATAGCGCTATTTCGTCTATTGTTAAGAGAGAGGATTCATCAAACATAATAATTATATATAATTTCTGATAAATTAAATATAAGTTTTTTTTTGTTTTGCTAATTCATTATACTGTATAACTCTCAACTAATTTTATTTTGTTAGATACACTATATTTGCAAATATAATATTGCAATAAATAATGTATATTATTGTATAATGGATTATAATTTACAAAAATTAAAATATCAAACTTAATGAAATTAGACATTATTTTCAATTTAATTCGTTTTATATAATAGTTAAATAATACATATTATTAAAGCATATGTATAATCAAAGATATTTGATATAAAATATAAAGTATATTATATAAATTATTTTACATTTTATAAGTTTTATTAATTTATTGTAAATTTTAAAATAAACTTTTATATACTGTATATAATAGTATTGCAGTTTTTCTCCCAAACCCCGTCTTGATGTTTGTCAAGACCAAGACGTGATAATATCTTGTTCTGCAGCACTACTATAGTATAAAATATATGATTATTTGTAGATAATTAGTAATGACTAAAGCTATGCATTCTCGGCAATTCCCGAAACTTTATAATAAATCAAATCTTCGGGAATTTAATATCTACACAATAATTATGTTAATTTTTAGAATAAAATAAACACTTTTTATTAATATTTTTTCCCGATTTCGAGTGTTTTTTTTTTAAAAATCCCGAATAACTGTATAAACAGTGAGTCTGTTTTTTGCCAAAATTTGATAATTTTTTAAATAAATAACAAATACATTTTCAGTAAAACATAGTCACATCAAATACAATATTAACTTAACAACAATGTATAGCAATATATATGATCAGAAAGCATACTATAGAAAATATTATAAACATTTTATGTTATTAAAACTAGTTTTGTAATAAATATCACAAACTTATTATTAATGTATTTCTACATAACAATGGGTAAGTTGTAGGTAAAAATTTAAGATAAATTTATTTTTATAATTAAATAATTGAATAAAAGTTGAAAATACATGTGCTTTTCATCAAATATAACCAATTTTGTGATAAATAAACCATAGATTATCAGTAATATAGAAAATAAAGAAAATTTAATTTCCCGATTTATCTTCCGATTTTGACCATTTAAATTCCCGAATGCATAGCTCTAGTAATGACTGTGAAATATATTATGTTAAACACTGACTGATTGACTGCTAAACAACACCTGTGATAACATAAGCTAAAGCTGCGTTCACACGGACAAAATCTAAGTAGACTTGACTTAAGTTTTGGTGTTCACACATGTACTTACTTGAGTTACCTTGACTTAACTCAAGTACAGTAGTGACCCCTTCTTAAGTAAGTTTACTTCATTAAGCACAGTGTGAACACACGAGACTTATAAACTTAGCCAATCAGTGTTAAGTATAATATGTAAATATTATTACGTTTTAAATACCTGCTTCGCTGTCTAGCAAAAATATTTTATTTAAATTGTTTAATAAATAAAAATTAATTATTTTTGTATAATTTTTATAATTAACATCAAAATTAATAAAATAATTTCAATAATTTGATTAATTTTTATAAAATTAGATAAACTTAAGTGTAGCAATGTGAACACATGTTACTTGAAACTTGACTTGAGTTCAAGTCAAGTCTACTTGGATAAGCATTAGTGTGAACGCAGCTTAATACTTAATACTTTCTTATATACAGTAATAGTATTTTTAAAATACCAATAAAAGTACAAATAGTTTATTCCTTTTCGTTTAAATTAAGCAAAATATGTGTAGATTTTGTTGTCAATATTTGAACACTTTTACAGTATTATTAAAATTGCTTATATATTTGGAAAAATAAAATAAGTAATACATTTCAATAAAATTCAATACAATTCAATACATTTCAATACAATAACTTATTGTCAATTCTATACAAATGCATTACAGGTGAAAGTGTTTCATTCATTTACTGCATTTTAGTCTTAATTTTTTTATCAAACATATATTGTATCGCAGTATTTATGATCATTAGAGACATCAAAATATGTGCAAAATATGTCGATATTTAAAAATAATTAATAAAATGTGTGCTCAAAGTGATCAAAATATGTGATTATTTTTTTTAAATTCATTTATAATCGAAACAAATTTATGCATATTTTAATAGAATATTATTAGTAATTAATTTTGAGATATTGGTTGTCTTGAATCAAGACTCTTGATATAGCAATAATAAAGTATAGAAAACTCATTTTATAATATTATTATAAAAAATATATATACAGTAATATGTTTTATCATATAATTTATTTTATTTTAATGATATAATGTTTAAATTAAACTCAAGTCTTTGTTATTAAATATTTTTTCATTTATTTGTTAATTTAGTAAATTTGTATAAAAATCAACGTTTTATAAATTTTTAAATTATATATATTTTTGTAAATATGTGATGTGTTTTGAAAATTTGTAAAATGGATCTTATTATATGATTTGGATAGATATCGATTCCCAGATTAATATATTTAACCAACAAATGTGTTTTACATGTTTTGATGTCTCTAATGATCAAAAATTATTAGACAAAAATAGTGTAAAATAACAATATATTATTGTAAACCTATATTTAGTTTCAGTCAACGACTCAATTATTGCTAAAAAACTTTTTACTCAATTCTATGAAATAATCATTTGATGTGAAATTTCGCTATAATTTTAATGTTAAATCTCTAATGTGTTTATATATTCCAACAACAAGTGTATATAAAGTACAGTATCTACAGTACATTACTATTAAATTTGTAAACATTATGTAAGATATTATTATATACAGTATATACTGTATCTTATAATTATGAAAACTATGAGTTCGTTGAAAAAGTACTTAATTTAGTGCTGATTCATAAAATATTTTTGTAACAAAAAAAATATATAAATAACTATTTTAATGCAACCATTTTTAGAATTGATTAATAATGAATAGTTAATTATTTTGTTTAAAACTATAAATTATATGACATGAGTCTTATATCACGAATATTTATATTGATGTGGTTAGAGATTTAAGTTTAGTTGGTTTTTAAATCTATCAAAACTTCTACAACTAATTGATTAGTTGATCGATCAGTTGTCTCGCGTGGATCGGTTTGAAACAAACAATTGATAGTTAGATCACAAGAATTGTAAAAAATATATCAATATTATGTTATTTGTCTACAAAAATTAACAAATAGTATTAATGTATAAAATTGCATAATTAAGATACAAAATACTATTTTTTAAAATTAAACACAAAAATACATACAAAAAACATATAAGAAAATTGCAATTATTATTTTACATTATATTACAGTTATACGCGAAATATGTGCTAATATTTGATAATATGTGACTACCTTTCAAAATATGTTGTTATACTGTATGTGTTTATGTAACAAAAACTTTTGCCGTAATTATTAGTTTTCAATCAATCGTTTATATATCTAATTATTTTGTTAATATCTTTAATCACTAAAAATATAAGTTATATGTGAAATAAATGCTCTAATCATTACATTAAAACAAATGCATATTAGAGTATAATGTCAATTAATATATTATCTTTTTATTAGAAATATCATAATTGTTATAAAATGATATGAAATGCATCGCTATTTTAACATTTAGTTAGTGTTTGGCAAAATAATTCAATTTATATAAATATTGTTAACTGATAAAAGACTAATGAGACTAAACATGTCATTTTTAATTAAATGTATTATAATTTTAGTTAATCATTAATATACAGTAAAGTGTTTATGCTGTAGAATATATACAAATATTGTCATTTTGTATTAAACTTTAAACTCTACAATAATATGTAACATTGATTGTATGATATTTTCCATCATTATATTACATGTAATATCTATGTAACTTAATATGTAATATCAGAACATTGTATTCAATGATTGTTTAAAATTTTTATTTTTATTAATACTAAACATTGCAAAAATTAACAATTTATCAAATAATAAATTAACTAAAGTATAAATGTGTGATTATGATTATATGTGTTGAATATACAGTAGATGCTAATGTACTGCTGTTTAGTAGTATTGTACTGTATATTGCATTGAGTTTTGAAATACTAATCACATTAAATGGTAAAACATTGAAATAGTGATAATAAAATCATAAATCTTGTGATCACTGGACTTACTGTTGCACTTTACAAGTGTTAGCCTTAAAGAAAACAACTACTACTGTGTTTGTAAGCATAACATAAGTTACATAACATAATACTGTATAAGTTAAAGCACTTTCAATATTAAGGCATATACTGTATATATTTAGGTATTTAATGTCATTATACGGCAAATTTTTGTGTAACATTTTATCACTGATTTTCAATACATGTGAGAATTTAATAGAAAATTAAACATTTATTAAACAAAACTTATAAATACATATATTTGTGAAAATACAGTATTTAAAATGTCATTTTATTTAACTGACTAATTGATAACTTATATTATATGTTATAAATTATTTATATAATAATGTTCTGTAAATTAAGTGAACAGATGGACAATGTTGTGAGCGATGCGTTACATCACTTGTTATGTATGAATGAAACTGTGATTTAGTTAGCAATCATTTAAGCAGACTTTACATTACTATATATACATGTATTAAGTATACTATAATATATTACTGTAGTTTATATACTGTAGTAATAGTGTACGCTTGAATACATTGAGTGCTTATTATATAATATAATTTATATGATAAAACAATACAATAGAGTCTATATTATAGTTATTATAACACTGTATTATTTGAAAACTATAATGACTTTTCGTTAATGAGTTTTTTACTTTATTTAACAAACGATTTATTTATTATATAAACAATTTTATTATTCATTAAGTATTAGAGTATTTAGTATATCTTTGTACTACAAAAAGGAGTGATTGAATAAATGCTTTTAATCAATAAATAAAATTATGAATCAGTTATATGTTATCATTAGATGTGTTTAATTTACGCTTACAATATAAATATACAATATATAAGAAACATATTATATTATATTAAATAAATGAATATTTATTGAAACAATTAATTGTATGCATTAGTGGTGAATGTGTGCCAACTTTAGACTTTTCAAATGATTGTTAAATCAAATACAAAGTTTGCAAACATTAATTGTTTGTACAAATCATATGCTTTCATAATAATAATAAAAATAATAAATGCTATCAAATATGTTATCAGACAATGACTGCAATCATTTTGTTGTTAGGGTATGTGTGTATAGTATAGTGTGTACTCTCACTTGTGTTATGGCTATAGCTATACAAACAAAGCAAATCCCAGCTCATCCCAGCCCTCACTCACTACTGACTGTTAATTCATATGAAAGTCTGTTCAATGGTTTGTAGTGTCAAATCATAGGCAGTGCACCACAACTTTAAACATATTTGACTTGTCATGAATAACACACATACAGACACACAACTACATACATACATACAGAGTCTGTATTACAGACACATACATACATACAGTGAATGAGAGGAAGCATTGGATGGTTTGCAGGCTTTACATCAATTGAATGCAATGTTTAATAGCTTAAGAGCAGAGCCCATGAATGTGTTAATTATATTAATTGTTATTCAATCAAATAATATATTTTTGATGATTAGTTAGTGAATAGAGTGAATGTTTGATTGTATTAATTGCAATAATATGATAGATGTATGCAATGTATTAAATTTGAATGTAAGACCTGTTGCAATGGTTGCGCCACTGCTAAGTTGGTCCCAGCGGTCAAAAGTCATTTCAAGGCCAGGGCTCAGCTTAACAGCTCAGGGAGTATTGCAGTAGTTGTACTACAGTTGTAGTGAAGGCGCGCTTGAGTGGTATGAGAGGTATTTGCAACACAACCACCACTACTGCCATCACAACCATCACTACTATTAGCAGTGAATTAACGTTTCAAGTAATGCATTGAAAAGCAACCCAACAGTAGACTAGTTATGTGTTGGGCTCAGGCATTAAGGCATTAGGCATTACAGCCATCACAGGCATCATTGATGCCACTGCTGGGCTCCACCACAACCACTACAGCACAGCATTATCACCTCTGGTACGGCCACTACTACACCAAACCATAGTATGTTTAATATATGTGTAGTCTATACCTGGCTATCGGTGCTATCAGTGCTTTCAATGGGCAAACATATTAACAGTGTTGTTATGCAGTCAATGATTACAAACCAGTTATAGTTGACAACAACAAAGACATGACACTAACGATGGCAGACATGACCACAACTCTCATCTAACGACATATACTTGCCATGAATGACAAGACTGTTCTGATGACTACATCTGATCCAACCATTGCTTGAATTGATTACAGCATTATTGGCAACAAATACATTGAACACATGCAATGTCTAACCAAATGTGTTCACTTGATAATGGTATGTATGGTTACATTGATTATCATTTATAATATGATACAGTATTTGCATTTAATAGTAATAATAATTATTATTACAGTATTAGACTATAAATAATTGAATGAATATTAAAATGCATTCATTTATGCGATATTTAACTATAGTTTGCATTAATTGTCAATAAATGATAAATGAATGCAACAATTGTTTGATAGGAAACTAAATGAAAGGATATCTAAATTGAATCATTTGTTTTGAAGGAAATATCAAATGTTTTTAACAAAATATCATTTAATATAATTGATGTCTATATCTATAGGTAAGCACTCGATGTCATCGATAGTTAATTCTTGTAGTCCATCAATGAGTTGTTCTCCGTTGACATCAAAGCCATTTGGACCTCATATGTTAGGATCGATGCCATCGCCGCTAACACTTCCCGGCCATTCAACTCATACGGCTTTTCCTTTTCCTCCAAATCCGTTATTCTTTAATCTATTCAATCCTCAGTCATCGATGTCGTGGTTTTCTAATCATAACTCATTGAGCGCACCATTAAGTCTAACCACAAATAATCCAAAAGAGATGACTTGCATTGTTAATGATAATAACAATAATAAAATGGATAAATTTAAAGACTCGACGCCAGCATTGATTAAACCAAACAAAATAACAGATAAGACAATACACGAACCAATGGTAACAACAACTGAAGCATCAAATATGATGAGTTCGGGTAAATCACCGATAAGTGAATCCGATAGGATTACAGCCGCGCGTAACCATTCAGGTAATGATTAATTGATTGTTGAATACATTGTTGATTATAAATGATAAACTAATTGCAGACAACTTGTATTGGTTAGCAGATTCATTGGCTAATTCATCGCGAGTGATGCCAACTGTGCCGTCATCTCCAACAGCATCTGTTCACTTGGCTCTACCACTAACTCATGGGTCAACACATGCATCGCAACGTAATCCATATATACCATCGTTAGGCAATGATATGACTGGTAGTCAACGTTTATACTCTCCGAGGTTTGCCTCAAACTCTCCGACATATTTTTCATATCCGGCGACTAACAGTCCGATCGGCGGCCCTATAAATGGTTTACGTCCGGTGCCATCCAGTACTCACTTTAACAGTCCTTTTGTGTCAACACTTAATGCTTATCAATCATATAGTCCAACAACTGCTCAGAACCCGATCTCACCATTTCTAGTGCCAAATCAATTGAGTGTAACAAACACTCGACAAACCTATTCGACGGGTAGTTTCGAGTCGTTTCATCAAAACCCGCACTCACAGAATGGCCACAACTCACACAATGCCATATTGTCGACCAACACGTGCTCAATGGCATCAACTTCTCGATCTCCATCATTGCATTCATCAGATTCATCATCACTGATAAGCTCTGGTCCATTCTCTAGCCCTACCATCAGCTCTGATTCAGCTGAACCACAGACTAAGTCAATGATACGTTCAATTGATTTGCAAACTGATATCAATTCAAGAAGTGACACAAACGAGTTGACCAATTCGGTGACAATGACTGGCATTAAACGCAAATCGCCGTCAAGTCCTGACCTCAGTCTAAATGAAAAGAATTTATATAAACTTCCGTTTGGTAGAGAAGGTAGTCGTAAGCATCGCATCTTAAAGCCGCCAAATATCAGTTTAGATTCAGAAAAAAGTCAAACGATTGACACACAATCCGCACCACTATCTGCTCCACCAATTCCTGGTGTGCGTCGTCACGAATTCTTCAACAAAATGAATGATTCAGACATTAATCGCTATCCAAAGGAAACGATAGCCGAACAAAATAACTGCCAAAATATGTCATTAGTATATCATCAAAGAAGAAAATCAGTTCCACAGACATCAAGCTTTTCTCATAAATCATTTGTGACATTTGCCACTAAAGAGAATTCTAAAGATGGCTCTCATTTTACTAATGAGAACTCTTTGCCTAATGAAGACAGCAATCGACTTCAATATCCCACATATTTTCAAAGGGGATCTATTATTCAATTGGGAAACGGAGACGTCAAACGTGTTGAAGACATGTGTACTCAAGATTTCATAGATAGTGCCACTGATAGTCGTGACTTATGCGCCGATTGTAGTGAAGTAATGAAAATTGAAGAAAAAATAAAGAACTGTTCTGTGTTACTAAGCTTTAGTGTTGGTCGAGACAAAGTGCCCGTCACTGTGGAGGCACCCGTCGAACACCCATTCTTTGTATTTCATAAAGGATGGTCTTCATACTCACCTGAGAGGTCACATCATAGATATGGTCTTAAATGCCGAAGACTCAGAGTTGGAGATAATTGTGTTTCACTTACTCCAAGAAATTCTTTGACTCAAAATCAAAGAACACACAAAAGTATGAGAAATAAAGTCATGACATCTGAAGAATTGCATCAAAAGAAATACAAAATAAAACAAAAAATCTTAAGTCCTCCTTCAGAAACACCGTTATCTTTAGTGAAAAGTTCAGCACCGGTTACAACAGGTTCAACACAGATGGCCACTACCATCACCACCAGTGCTATTGAAGCAAAAGGTTCAATGATTACTCTTAATGACGACAAATCCAAACCTAACGAGCTTTTAGTAAATAAAGTCGAAAGCAGTTTATCGAAAGTGCCCGAAGTATCGGAATTGTCCGATGTGTCCAATCTCTCAGAATCAGTGCCAATGAATTCATCAAATATTGAAGAAACTGTTAAAACAGTTGATAGAAACAGAAGACACTCAGCTCCTGATGCTATAGATATAGAGTCAGAGCCTTCAAAAGCCTCATAAAATGAGATTTAAATGATCTCATTATAACTTTATTTTTTTATTATTTAGTATTAATTATTTTCTATAAATATATTATGGGGTTAAACATATATAACTAATGGATTCATATATATTATTAATATGTATATATATATATATAGTATACAGTTTAATGGATTGTATTGAATGTATTTTTATCGACTTTTTATTGTTTGTTGTTTGATATATTGACTTTTATTTGATTGTTACAATTATGGTCAACACTCCAAAACTGTTATTTAATTAATTCAAAGTAATTAATTGATTGAAAATATAATTCTTGTAATTCATAGTTTATACTTCCAAAGACCAGAACCCATGCTCTCAATTGTGCTTAAAATTTAATGAATTTAACTTAAAAGCGGCTCTTAATTAATCTACAAAACAATGTTAAATCAATTGTTGTATATTATAATTGTTTTACTTCTAATTTAATGATTGATTGTCTCCGAAGCTGTGATATCTAAATATCAAATTTGTGAAAAACTATTATAAATCTTCTTTCATTACTTTTAAAAATGTTGTTAAAAACTATTTAAAATGAGTTGTGTTTGACATTGTTTTTCATTATTCAATGAACGTAAAAGAATCTGTTGTAAAGTGTAAATCAAATTATAATATATATATTTATACATATTTAATAACCCATGTAATCAATTGGCGATGAGATCTATACACTTATGTGACTCAACTCACATTTATAGCTTATTTTATTATATTATCCGCATTATAATTATTTTTGTCCATTTTGCAATATTTAGCCATAATTTGTTTGCAGGTTTACTGTATATTTGAAGTTTTTAATTACAAGTTATTTTTAATAGGGATTTAATATATCATAAGTGCGATAATTTATAGTATAATTTTTTTACTTTAATCAATTTTATATTACAATTTATTATTAATGAATTGAGTGCAACTTGTGTTGGATCTCATTAGATATATTATATTTTTGTATAAAATGTCCGAAAAGTTTTATTTTATTACCAATATATTAATTATCACATTAATTTCATATCTTCAGCTCAAACTAGAAATAAGTTATTTTTGTTATGAAATAAAATATATAAATTTAATGAAAGATTAACAAAATATTAAACTTGTAAACAAAGAGATGACCACTTGTCGAGTTGAATGTCCAATCAATTACTAATTAATGTTATTATTTTTGATAAAACATTTGCTATTTTATTATTAATATTATTATTACCAATTAAATATGTGGTCAATATTTAAATGTAGAAATACTATTTGTATAACTAAGGTATCAATAAATTGCCTAAAATATGTTGTTTGAGCACAAAAAGCCTTATAATAGAATTAAATTAAAATAATTGTTATTATAGGTAATGGTTTAATCATAATACAGGTATCATATGATAAAACATAATCAAATATTGCTTTTAATAGATTGATTATATTAAAGCATAATTACTGCTTATGTTTTACTTGAAAAATTAATCTGATTTTTTTGTAAGTTTTTTTGTGTAACTAAATGTTAAATAAAATTAAAAGTTATGTTTCAAACAAATGACTTGTTTTGGTTGTTATGTTTCAAAAAGTTTTATTACTATATAATTAATGTCTATTCACTTATCAATAGTGAAGTTAGTATGCATTACATGGAGTGCATTGAGTGGTAGTTCTCAAAGTTGAGTAACTATTGCTTTATTGGTCAACACTATAATCATTTGCTTCACTATATGATTGCCTTTATATACGACTATAAGTTAACAGTTAAGACAAAGACTGAGTCCAGACTTCATTAAGAGACGTGAGATGAGGGCAACACTTGAAGCCATCAATTTTATAGAGACATACAGTGCCCACAGCTCTGTTAGCTCATCCCTGTCTGCTATCTCTCCCCTCACATACTCTTCAATTGTATTTCAATCCACAGATCGGTCTATAGTTTAAGCAACGATCGTAAAGTCGACTCTTATTTCAATGAATTTCACAACATTTCATAACTTATCAAATAAAATATCAAAACATTTGCTTCACTTTAAGTTTATATTTATATATTTCTCTTTCTCTTAATCTCAACTCCAACTTTGATAATTTTTATTACATTATTATAGATATAAAATAATATAATGTATTTATTTAGTTATATAATTGCTAGCAATAAAATGTATATTAATACCGGTAATAATGGTTTGTTTTGTCATTACATTATATAAACATCAATGTTTGATATTTATTATATTCTAGTATTTAAATCAATTGAATATAACTTTATAAGTGACAAAAAAATTTAAGACTGCTTATATGGGTTTGCTCTTAATTATGCCGGGTATTAATTTTGGTATTAATTTTGGTATTAATTTTGGTATTAATTTTGGTATTAATTTTGGTATTAATTTTGGTATTAATTTTGGTATTAATTTTGGTATTAATTTTGGTATTAATTTTTTAATAATATTATATACATCTCAATTCACTTTTACTTTACTTTAAAATTTAGATTTCTCAAAGTTTCTCTATTATACTGTACTATACTTTATTATACAACATATAATTTACAGTACAGTATATTATTAATATTATACAACATTGAAATGAGATTAATTTTTGGTTTAGTGCTCCATCTATTGATATATAAGATTTTAACAAATAATATACTGTATGTTGAAGATATTCAATCTAACATTTTAATATTAATTAATTAAAAATTATAATAAAATTTAAAAATTAGTTTAATAAAATCAATTTCAAAAACCTTAGATACTGTTTTTCACTTATTTTTCATTATAAGTGTATTTTTCAGCTAATTTCTATAATAGTCAAATAAATATCTATAGTAATATATGCTATTATAGAATTTTGTATTATTATTTAATGTTAATATTAATTTTTAGTTAATAATAATATTATAGAATTTGTCATTTAGTAAAATATTTGAATTTTTAAGCTTTCAATAAAATACATTTATTTGAATTTAACATAATTCAAATTATACATACAGTTAGGATATTACAATACTTGATATACTGTATACTGTATTATATAATGTTTAAACATTAGTTTCTAATGTAAAACACTTTTGTTGAGAATTTTACAAATTAATGGTTACTATAGTAATATATTTTGTTGAAAAACATTTATATCAAACCGTTTAAATTTAAATTTAAATTATATTTAATTTAAAATGAATCCAACATCGATATCATTTGCCAATAATGGGTAAAAATTAATTATACTTAAAAATATTTATCATATGATTGTATATAAGTACAGTATATTGTATTGTATTATTAATTACAGTACAGTACTATGCATTGATATAATTGATGAACAGTTAGAACAATACAATGCATTTAATAGTGACCAACAATATTACATTACAAATCAATGACTAATTGAAAGTAAATGATGACATATTTTGTTGAATTCAATTGAAATACAAGTATTGATTACAATAAGCCGTCAACATTATAATTAAATTGTCATTGATCAATTATTAGTCTATTATTACATCAATTACAATATAATTATATTTTTATAATATTGTATTATTAATAACAACTTTTCATTGAATGTACTGTTCAATAGATAATGTGTTTTCTTTACTTTATACTCTCATCTCAAATCATTTTTAATTAATAAATGTTTATATTTTTCAACTAAGATTTAATAATTTGATAATTTATTTATAACTTATTTTTATAAACATAAACTAGTGGTGAATCACAAACACGTTTACTTCAGATGAGAATCGAGACATTAGAGAAGCATTTACTGGAAATTCAAAATTCTTTGGTCTCTTATGTTACAAGAGTTGCTAAACTCCGAGATAGTGGTGACATATTGGCCACTAATATCTTACAATTTATCGAAACTGAAAAAATAAATACCAGGTTTTGTTTATTCATTTATTATACATTATTCAAATAATTATTATAAATTAATTAACTATTACTATATAATATAGTAAATTATTGATATAATCATATTTTTCAATAGTTTGAATGATGGACTTACAAATTTTGCCAATTGTTTGAATACTATACAAGATTATAGAGATGACCATGTACAGTACAGTACTATTTGTTTTATGTTAATTAATATTAAATAATACAATAATTATAATGTTATTATTTGCTATACAATAAATATTTGTTGTTATTTAAAAAAAATAATTACCGGTAATCAAAATTAGGTGAAAAAACTTGAAGAAAAAGCTGTGAACGAGTTAAGTGTTTACGGAGAGTCAACTAAAAAAGCTAAAGTAAAATCTAATAATTGACGGCATATTATTAATTTATTAAAATTTAAATATAATTTAAATATAATTTAAATATAATTTAAATATATCAAAAACAGGATGACCTCAAAGTTAATTCAAATGCCCGGAGCAAACACTTAACAGATATGAAAGAATCTAAATTGCGTGAAATGGTGAGGAGTTCGAGCTTTAATGAAGTGTCCAATATATTCAACACTTATGAACTTCAAATACAAAGATTTGAATTAAAAAAGATTTGCGATCTTAAGGTTTGTTTTGTTATCTTATAAATCATTTATTAATTTAGGCATTATTTTCTATACAGAAAATATTCCTCGAGTTCACCAAAAATGAACTTTTATTTCACGCAAAGAGTATTGAGATGTTAACCGAAGCTTATAAGCATATATTGAGTATCGATACGGATCGAGATTTACAACAATTTTGTCATTTCTTTAATTTCACTCAATTGAGTTCACCTCAACGCGAGGCCACCAAACTTCAAAATGAAGACCAAATGCAAACACTATCACCTTTGAGACGATTTGCATCAGAACCGACAGTTAATTAAAATCATTACTTAATCTCAATTTTTATTCAAATCTATTATCGGCAAAACCTAAACAGAATCAAAACTAATTGTAAAATATTTGAAATTCAAATGTGTCAACAAAATAATTTATTAGTTATACAATATTTCCATAATACTAATTTACATAATATACACAATTATAAAAACAGTTTATAAATATAATTACCGGTAGTTTAAAATTATTGATAGTTTGGTAAAAATATTTTATACAAAAACTATTACACTATGTAATTGTAAAATTGAGACATTTTTAGTAATTCATTATTCTTGAGTTCTTCTTCTTTTTTCAGCCAATCTCTTGGATCGTCTTAAACCAGTTGATCGACAAAACTCTGAATCTGTATCTGAATCGGTCTCATAAGACAAAGCATTCTCGTCGGCGTAAATCCATTTAATTATAGTCCCGTCCCACTAATAAATATATAATTAATGAATTAAAAAATGTATTAAAAATATGTTTTAATTTTTTTTATTAATCTTACACTCGAAGACATAAGTGTCATATCGTAGGGATGAAACGAGACATCTGTTACATAAATACGGTAATTATAATGTTATAACCAGCATATAAACAATATACCATAATTTTGATAATTAATTTTATTACCTCTAACACATCCTCGATGTCCACTTAGAGTTTTGACAATTTTACCGCTTAATACATCATAAATAACTATTTTTCCAGACGAACAACCAGTGTATATATATCGCTGGCCAGTACTCCATTCAGGAGAAAAATGACACCTAATTTTGTAAATTTATTATATAAAAAATACTATTTTTAAATTATTAATAAATTAATACCTAATTAATGTTTGTAAAACAGAATGACCTAAAATTAATTTAAAAAAAAAAAATTATTGTAAATTTTCTATCAATTTTAATGAGACATATATTACGCACCCATATATGTCATTAGAGAGGTGTCGCCTTCAATCTTCTTTCTATTAGATAGCACTAAAAACAGTTGAAATTATAATTACAAATAATAATTAGGGTAAATAAAAAAGATAAAACAAAAAATATACATTTTCTAGGAATAGCCTGCCACCTATAATCCCAATTTTGTTTAGAAACAGCTCTTCTGGTAGCCTCAGAGCCAGTGGGCGGTGAAAAACATCTCATATCCCAAAGTTTAATCGACTGATCCTTACTATTAGTTATGAGATGACGGCCATCGCCTTTAGAATCAATATAAGTAATGCCATCGACATGTCCTGAGAAAGTACCGACTGGTTTAGGATCTGTTTCGTTCAAAGTTCTTCTGTCCCAAACCTTTGTTTAAAATTTTAATTAGCGATACTATAAAATAAAAATCAATTTATAAGAAATACAGACTTTACAAAGTCCGTCATCTCCAGCACTAAACAAGATTTGAGAGCTCGAGTCGGCAAATGCTACGGAATTGACGTCGTCTTCATGACATCTGATCTTAAGTACACGACTTTTACACTCTCTATTGTATACGTAAAGGCACTTATCATTAGCACCACCTAATATCTCAGAACCATTCTGAGAGAAACGCAATGAAAATATACAAAAACGCCGGTCATCTGGTGATAGTGAAAGTGCTTCGTGAGTCTCATTGTCGCCATATATATTGCATATGTGTACTAATCAAACAAAATTATTATTATAATATACCGGTAATTATTGAAATCAATACAAACATCTGTATACTTACTGCATTCAGACCAACTCGAATATATAAAGTGAGTGCCGTTAGGACTGTCCATTAAAAAAATCATTTTAATAAATAGCAATTAAATTAAACAAATGTTACGATACCTAAAATCAGTGTCGAGTACACTCCAACCAACATCACGGGCCCAAACAGTTTTTAAAAGTTTAAATTTATCATATTTTGTGTCATAAATCCTGATATTTGTGTCCTGACAGGCCGTTAAAAATAAGTCACCACTTTTCGAGTAAAATCCGCAAAAAGCTATAAAAATTTTATTTATTGTAATTTATAAATAATTACCGTAAGTTAAATGTTATGAAAATACCTTTACTCGGGTATTGTTCAACTGTGGACATCTTGTTTGGCAGGAAAGTGTCCGATAGTTTGCAGCGATCACTTAACCCAAAGACTTGAGTAGACCCATGATCTCCATAACTATTGACACCAATTTCACGATTTCGAAAAAGCATAGGAATTGGTGGCAAAGGTTTATCGGGTTTCAGACCTGTTTGTGCTCTCAGTATAAGCTTTAAATCACTTTCATCAATGACTGATGTGTCCGGATTGGGGACATTGACTAAAATTATTAGTTAACAATTAAATTATAGTTTCGTATATTTTATCAATAGCTATGTGACCAACCAATGGGTGTTTGATATCTACGACTAGAGTTGGATCGTTGATAAACATAACCGGAGTCATCGGTGGTGTCCGAGTCATCGTCATTGGAAGAACTTGAAGACCTAATAAATCTTATGTGACCTCTTCTGATAAGATATCGTAATATTGTATTCAAATCGGCGTCTGTTTCCGAGTCATCAGCTGCTGTCTCACTGTTGCTGTCGATGTCAGACATGAGTCGCGATCTTCTGACAAACGGATTGTTATCTGAAATGTTTGACAAATGAGAGCCCATTAAGTGATTCATACGATGGCTACCATTAGCCCATCATTTGATCCAAACTATTGGTCCAAATGTGTTAACTATTTTAAGACAAATAAAATCAAAGCTTATTTTAAACAATTTGTGCCAATTGTTGAGCTAAGAAGTGGATCAATTGTAGATGTTTTTGATTGACACTCACAGCCAAAACAATTGATAAATCAATTGATTGTTATTTTTATAATCATTACAACAAAACAACATTACATTAAATTTTAATATTAAACCAAATATTTAGAAAATACTATGAATTACAACAAAAGGGTTTAACTATTAGTTAAATATAATATATTTTGTATATATTGTATACATATGTTATTCAATACTTATTTGTTGTGTTATAACTTATACATTATATTATGAGACGTTATTATCATTCAATTGACTTGAAGTACAATTTCAGTGCTTTTTTAGTTCATTTTTAATGCCATTTAAATAAATGCCTCAAAAAATAATATTGAATTAGTTTTAGCACTTATTTTATCATTTTTTATGAGAAAAAACGTATTGAAAAAATTATTCCTAAACTATTGATATATCAATAATAGCAGAATTAAAATATATTGTATAACACTTTGAATTACATGCTATAGTGTATAGTATGATAATGTACTGTATATATGATATTAGTTATGAAATATTGATTGTATATTAATATTAGTATATTTTGTGTATATATTTAAAACTAGTCTATAATTTAGAGTATTGTTTGTATTGTATCTAAAATGTGATCAAATTCTAAACAATGCATTTAAAGTACAGTACTGTATATTACAGTAATAAATATATTGTTATACTGACTGATACTGACTATACAATAGTATACATACAGTACTGACATAACATGTTGTGATGTGATGTGTGTGAGAGTGCGTGTGTTAAGTGTTGAACGCATGCGTGTATGGAATGTGTTGTTTGTGGCAAAAGTGATGCCTATATTGGAGTTGATGTCAGTCTATGTGTGAGTCAATCGATGTTAAGCAGAGACCCATCACTTGCGACGCCATTACTAACATATAAACCCAAACTATGTTTATATCATTTATTACTTAATTTCAAGACTTTTATATTGTTTATCATCACATTTGACATCATTTGACCATTAAATGAGTGGACAAACTGGTCTCAAATCACTGATAATGACGAGACACGTGTTTGACAAGTGATGAATCAAACTATAGTTTTAGCGCTTATTTGAAGTTTTTCAGTGTTTTGATGATTGCATTGAATGTCAACACTTCTCACGTGTTGTTGTTTACCAACAAATGTCTGGCCATCACGTGTGACACCCGACACCTGTCATCATGTCTGACGTTAACATTAAAATAGATTCATCGCATGAGTCGACCAACGATGTCAACCATAAGAGTGCCGATAATACAGACAACAAATGTGCCAACAATTATGTGGTCAAAGTTGAGATGACCCGACAAATGTCTTTACCGACAAACCTAACATCCAATCATTTGCCCGCAAACAGCGCACCATTTTTATCACCTCCGCAATCGACTTCCAGTGCAGATCCAGTTCATGATTTACCACCAGAACTGTTACAACAGGGTTGGCGTCGTTTCTGGAGTAAGAGAGAGGGCAGACCTTATTTCTTCAATAAGGTAACAAACGAGTCGATGTGGGATATGCCTAACAGTAGTGGACAGTATGATCCAATCACTGATCCTCTTGGAATTCAATCACCGGTTCCGCCCACTCCTACAGACCCAGTGACGCCAACATTACCGACTAACTTTGGACATTGGCCTCAAAGAGGTGATAAGCGATCGCTGTCTATGGACGATGCAATAACGGGTCAGCCACCCGCTAAACGGTTTATATTAAACGGACCGTTTGATTTGGAAGTGCATACAAATGTGATAATTTGGGAAAGATCTCCACTTATGTTATTTCACGCTCATCCAGAACTGGAAGCTTTGAGGGCAATATTGGTAACTAAATTAAGACAACAATATCATGAAATGTGTCATTCAAGAGAAAATATTGAAACGCCTAAAGAATCGTTTAATAGATGGCTTATGGAGAGGAAAGTTATAGATAAAGGTTGTGATCCAATGATACCAAGCGATTGCTATTCTGAAATGTCTCGATCCATGTATAATGAGATAATGAATGACATTCCCATCAAACTATATAAACCGAAATACTCGGGTGAGGCCCGCAAACAATTGTCGAAATATGCAGAAGCGGCCAAAAAGATGATTGAATCACGCAATGCATCGCCTGAAAGCCGAAAGATTGTTAAGTGGAATGTTGAGGACGCCTTCCAATGGATCCGAAAGACATTAAATGCCACTTTTGAAGATTATCAACAAAGATTAGCTCATCTTAAGCAACAATGTCAGCCACATTTGACTGAAGCGGCCAAAGCTTCGGTTGAATCTATTTGCACTAAAATCTATCATTTGTCGTGTGAATACGCAAAGAAAATTTATCAGAAGAATATTGAAGTCTTAACCGCTGATGGACTAAAAGGTGAAGATAAAATAATTTACACTTAATTAGTCTAAATTATTAAAATTTTATACTTACTTATTATTGTAGAAAGCGGTCCTTTAAGAGTACAAAATCCGAAAAAAGTGTTTTGTTATCCCGTAGTGTTGACTCATCCCTGTCCTAAATTACCGCCCGTCCATATCTTTACCGATAAAGATATGACTCATTTACGGTATAAAAATGATTCATTGCGTGTAAGCACTCTATACCTCCAAAAGTTGGAACAACTTTATCGATACAATTGTTTTGATGATCGCAAGTTTAACCTGTTTTTAACACGTGTTTGGTGTCTACTTAAGAGATATCAAGTAATTATCATTTATTTAATAAAATCAATAAATGTTAATATTATGAACCACTTTCTAAAAGCTTGTAAAAAAGTTTTCAACAATTTATTTGCGCCAATACTTAAATGCATGTGCTTTATGTTAGGTGTCATTGATATACTTTTTATATCGTTCAAACAACTCTCTCTCTCTCTCTGAAACTGATTTAGATATTATATTAAGTTATTCTATACGATAAAAATTACTTTAACAATACATTCCAAGAATTTCTTATAAATACTAGAAATATTTTATTTGTTTAGAAAATATGTTAAAATATTATACATATAAAAGTAGAAATAAATGAAATGTTAACTTAATTAATAATAATTATTATTATTATTTATCAATATTTATTGCGAGTTAACATAAATACAGTTGATTTAGTTGTTACTGTAATATGTATTACTTGTGCTAATTATAGTCAGTAAGAATCTGAATAATTGTGAAATACTGCGATATTTTTTTAATGTGTATTATTTATACTATTAATTATAATGTGTTATTAATAATATAATAAAATGTTGATATAGACTTGGTTTGGAAGCAATGAGAGTACGCCCACTCAGGGGGCATTACCTCTGTCGGTGTTTAGTGTATTACAAAAGCATTTCGGAGTGACCTTTGAATGCTTTGCATCACCTCTTAACTGCTATTTTAGACAATACTGTTCAGCATTTGCGGACACCGACGGACATTTCGGGTCTCGCGGGTTAGTAAAACAAGTTATCAAATGTTTGAATTTTGCGATTACCTGTAATTTACAAAAATATATATAATTTTTTAGATCAATTCTAAACTTTTATCCGGTTTGTGGATCATTTGAAGTTAATCCTCCATTTTGTGAGGAATTAATGGAATCAACAGTTGATCACTTCGAGCGTCTTTTGGGTAATACATCGGAACCGCTGTCGTTCATAGTGTTTGTGCCTGAATGGAGAGATCCGGTCCCAAAAGTGATAACCAAATTGGAAAGCAGTAAATTTAAACGTAAACATCTGGTTATACCCGCCTATGAACATGAATACCGAAGTGGTTTGCAACACATGTGCGACAAAAATGAACTGAACGTGAAGTCAGCTCACGGAACACTCATTGTCTTCCTTCAGAATGACTCCGGGTTTCTCAAATGGGGGCCAACACCTGAACGGGTTGATGAGCTCATTGAAGCTTATAAATGTGGCAGAGATAAAGACATACCTATTTTATCTCCTCCTCCCACTCCTATTAATAATCAAAAAAGTGAATCCGACAAACAGATAATCTCAGAAAGTGGCCATAAATTAGACGATTCAACTGTTAGTGTATCTAACTGTGAATAAACATTTGATCATCTATTGTATATATTTTAACATTTTATTCAATTGTAATTAATCATAATGAATTGTAAATATTTTTATATAATTTTAAATTATTTGTAATATAAATCTTAATGTAAAATTTTAATTTATATACAGTATATATATATATTATAAGCATAAAAGTCTATATAATATACATTACTATTGTTAAATTTAACTCAATTTTTATTAAAAATTAAATATTGATAAAATAAATAAAATATATAAGTTGTTAAACATAATTATATATTGTATATAAAATTAAAATTAAGACACTATATTTTGTGCATTATATTATTTAATATTTTTATTATACAAGTACAGTGTTTGTATAGTACCGGTAATTTTAAGATAGATATAATTTACAGCAATATTATTACAGTATAAGTATGGTTAACATTCAATTATCGTATATACTTTTGATTTGAATGTAATTATTTGAAACTAATATCCATATAGTAATAGTATTTGTTTTAAATTAAATTTTCAATTAATGTTTTCGAAATAGTATAAGTTCATTAGTATTATTTTTTATTTCATTTAACAAATATAATTTTAAACAATTAATATTAATAAATTTATTTTAAAAAATTGTATTGTATATACAATATTTGTAAGTAAATAAATAATAAACTCAATAAATATAAATAAATAAATAATTTTAAAATAATAATAATGTAAATCAAATGTTTTTAAGATCAACCATATATTGTTGAAAAAGAGAAGAATTGCAAATACAATTATAGGGTTGACATCCAGTGATGCCTTTAATGTCAATTGTGTCGACTATTTTGCATAACTGTTCACTGATAGTAAAGGCAAATCCATAGAACTTATTGCTGTCTTGAGTGATGTTATCATTGATTTGGTATGAAATCATATACCACGCCGACGCCCGCAGCTTCTGGTCATTGCTTGAGTCGATTTGGGACTCTATTTGAAAGCGTTGTTTAAATTGTTCAAACAATTTGCCGACCAATGACTCGAGTAATTCGTGAATATCATTGATTTCAGTCCTGCCATTAGTATAACGACAAGTCTTAGTGAAGGCACCGCTCAGTAATATTGCTTCGTTGGCCACTCGGAAGCGATTCAATAAATAGCGAACTTTGTTTCTATAGACTATAAATGCTTTTCTCGCCGACTCTTCATATTTTTGCCATCCTTTTAAAAATAATGTTTCATTTATTTAAATTAAAATATTAATTAATTTATTAGACTTACCCTTCAAAACAAATTTGGGATTAGGTTTGGCATCAATTTCCAGTTGAATCTTAGTTTGAATGCTAGTCTCGAAAGCGCAACATTTTCGGTAGAGTTGACCCAACACTCTGTTGGACTGATATGTCTTTTTTTCGTCGATTTTCTCCATAAAATCTGGATATTTTTTAGGCTTTTCTCTCCTAATATTTTTAATAAAACAATTACTGTATTATGAATATTAATATGAGTGCAGATTTTCACATTAATTGTATAGTCACAACATTTTTATCATTAAAATTATTTTTTGTAATAAATAAAGAAATAATACTTTTAATATATAAAAGATAATTTACTAACCAATTAATTGGTTCAACAATTCCTGTCTTTGCAAAGTCTAATGCCATACAATATTTCAAAGCTTTGAATAAAAAATTATTAATATCTGATTTGTGTTTTTTTTTGTTAAGAGTAGGTCTCACCTAAACTCATGCAGACTTCTGAAAATATGCCATCTTTTTGTAGATCAGCGTTTGCGAGATAAGCATTTGCTAAAAGTCCGACGTTATTACTCAATAAATACTCGCAATAAAAGTCGAGAATGTCTTCGGCCTCTGCTTTGTGGTCTAATTCATGTGATTTTCCGGTCGGGAAATGCATTGGAGACATATTCTGTCCCTTAAATATAATATGTGTGTTCCAGAAGAGCGCGTATTCATCGCCATCTAAGTCACTTCCAGCCATTTCATCTGAATGAGGTCGCGGACCTTTAGCAGGAAATACTAAACAATCTCTGATGTGACCCAATGCTGGAATGTTAACTGCTGTTAGTTTTCTGATGTCTCCGGGATGTAGACACGGAAATTTGGTTACCATAACCTCTCCGTCTAATATAAAGTGTTGACCGGTTGCCACACCATCTTTGTCCACATGTGACAACTTTGCAAACACCTGTCCATATTCTAGAGTTCCAGTTTCATCGAGTACTCCAAATGCAATCCTTCCCCTATTCATTGATACTTTAATTCTGGCCTTTGATTTGAGTTCTTTAATTCTGTGAGGTATTAGACAATCAAGAATTTGTCTAAATATCGGTTCCGTTAAGAATGATGTGCCGACTGATAGTAACTTTTCATACGGTAAACAAAGACTGCTTTCATTTTGCAATAAACTCATAGCCGACGCCTCGCAGACCAGCGAATTGGCTAAACTTTTGAGATTTTCATTTAACATTCCCATAAAGATTTTGGGTTCAACTGACAACTGTTCCAATAGTGAGATAAGCGGTCGGTTGAGGTAAACGGCTCGCGGGGCCGACAACTTCAATATACCCAATGATCTGTCTGTTGATTCATACTTTTTCATACTTTCTCTAAATATAATATGTTTTCCTTTAAGCTTAGTGTTGACCACAAGCATCCCTTTACATCCGCCAAACCTTATTTGCATCGCTGACGGCCTATGAATGCAATCAAATGGCAACTGTTTATAGACTTTTTCGGCGATTTCCTCGGAAACCATTCCAATGCCATCAGAGAAAACATATCGTTCTTTGGTTAGTATTTGACTATTTCTGTAATCTGGTTTCAAAGAGCCCTCAATGTCTGGAAAGACATCAATTTTGGTATTGTTATCAATGCTTATGTGAGTCATGGCCTGTGAGAAGACCAGTCCGAGTCGGGCCACATATTTGGGTACATTTTTTCGTATTTTACTCATATCTCCAACGGATTCACGAAATGTATGAGCGGTTCGACAACAGCTGTCTTTCGCATATAAAATCATTCCGTTGTCTCTCAACTGACTCGAAGAACTGCCGACAAACTGGAAAACTCTTTCACCAATTTTGATACCATTTATTAGCGGTGTTTTGACAATTCGTTTAATAAAATTTATTTGGTTTTCTCGGGAACCACTTCTGACAACTGAAAAACTCAATGCTTTTAAGTTATCTTCTCTTATAGTTAGCCTCAAAGTATAGTCTGGCTCTGAGTTGACTATAAAACGACTCTTTAGTATAGGTTGTGGCGGAAGAAGAAGCAGACGAGTGGGCGTTAAAATGCATCGACGGATCTCTTGAATTTCAGCGCTAAACGATTTGATATCCAATTCTTCTTTTTTGTTCTGCTTTTTCTGTTTCAGTTGACTGAAGATCTTCTCTAAAGCTATTAATACACGAAATATTGATTTGCTGTCAATAATGGCTGAGATTTGAAACAATGTTTCCTCAATAATCTTTGGATCAGTTTTGGCCAATTGTTCACATTTTTCCATAAAATTAATTGTTTCAAACTTAAAGAAGAGTTCATCGGATGCTTGAAAAGTGTGTGAAAAGACCGACTCATAGGCATACCTGACATTAAACGGCAATTTAATGTTATTTGTATTCAATAAGTAATCAATTTCTCTGTTATTAACACTAATGTGTTCACTAATGTGAGAGAAATATATAGGAATTTGTGTCAATTTTTTGATATTATAGATACAATAATACGGATCCAATGTTTCGCTGTTTTTAAATTTGTTGACAAATTCTGGCGATTGTCTCATATTTGACAACTCTATGACAAATACATTACTTTTGCCAATGATTTGTGCGGACAATCCATACAACTGATTGTCACGAATCCAATTGATGGCATTGGATGTCTCGTCCGTATGAATACCGACAAAGTTGTCGAACTGTTCTCTAAGTGTTTGTTTGGGATATTTGTTTCGTTTGTTTGGTGACGACGTGTTATAAACTTTGATATCATTTTCAACCATATATAGTATCGGCGGGTGATTGACATTAATGTGAAGTTTAATTGAGTTGAGTTCAGTGGACACGACAATCGATTCAAAGGAAGAATAGTCAAACTCGAATTTGTAGCGAATGTTTGTAAAAGACTTCTTATTGTTGCCACCGCTGGTCACCCGAAACCTGATTGTCATGAATTTGCGGCAGTGATGAAACTCAACGGTCAGATCATCTTTTGCCACATGAACTTTGCTGTTGAAGTGATTGCGATCAGTGCTGTCGTAATGTTTGATGAATTGCGTTAAATCGATAAGAGTTCCCAATTTGAAAGATTTTACTTCAAATGTCTCAATCAATTCGTTCTCTGAGTTATTTGTGTTTGACTTTGGGTTTATAAACCACTTATAAGTTTCGTCAGCGAATGAAAACAACGTCTGTTTTAGACGACTTTCGGTACATATATTTGCCATCATTTTCTTGAGAAACACACAGCTGTTCTTCTCAAGGATCAACTGAGCTGTATATCTGCAAACCCACTCATCTTCGTAATAGTTTTTGTCTGTACTATTGGCCAAAGAGGTTAACTCGAGTGTCACAAACTTAATGTTATTTAATCTTCGGATAATTGATTGCAATTCTTTTCCTTTTTTTATTCGCCACTCATTTCGTTTCAAATCATTTGTTTCAATACAACCATTGAAAGAGTGATCCGTTGGGACGTCCGATATGTGTATTATCTCAACAGTCACTCCATTTGAACCGCTATTTAAATCATTCATTACTTTAAATAAACTTTTGTATTAAAACTTTGATCACCAAAATTGGAAAACAATTAGACAAAGGATTTAATTAGATAACAATTAATTGAATTCATTTATAGTTTTGTTTTAACATATTTTAAGTTTAAAATTCATTCAAAAATCAATTGCTTTCAAAATTCATAATTCTATTGATTTGCACGCGATTTGACTTCAAATTGTTTAAACATTTATAACTATTTTTATTTCTATAATATAAATATTTTATTATTTTAATTTAGTAAATAAAATGTATAGCCATTTATGATTAAACACATAAATATATAAATTAATAAAATTTATAAATAATTTATTGATAATTATAAGTAAAAGTGACAAGACAATTTATAGAAAGTCAATTAAATATATTTTATTAAAATTTTTATATTTATTTTATTATAAAGATTATCATTTGTTATATAAAAATTTTATGAATAATAATAATTGATATTTTTATTCAAATTAAATACAGTATTAGTTTAAAAACTTTGACAAAACTTTAAGTTCTTCTTAAGATTTCTAACTGAAGTACCGATAAATTAAATGATTAATCATTTAATAAATTAAGAAAACTTTGATATAAGTGTTTATGTTATGAATTAATTACTTCTTGAGTGACCACTTGTTGGCAATTAATCTGAATATCATTTTAAATATCAATTAAAATATGAATTAGTTTTGAATTATAATAACAATTGAAAAGTTTTGTCACTAATGACGTCAATCATGTGATGCAAACGTATTGAGTATTGGTTTGAAATTTGGCAGCTCTTCAGTGACCTCTTGATTGCAATCATCATATGCTTAGTTGATATCAATCAATCAATTGATCCATAAGATGACTTTATTGTCCAAACTTGTGTCTAACCAGTCGACCAATGGATTGGACGCAAAACGGGTCATTGTATTGACCTCATCTGTGGCATCACTGGTCATTTGGGTTTTAAATATGATCACCAGTGGCACCAAATCAAGACAAATGTATAATAACACTCTTAACTCTTTTTAACCAATTAATAATTTTTAACTTATAGTTTAACCATCGATGGCATCGGTTATACCGATAAAGTAAGGATAAACTAGTGGCACATATTTGTCAATACATTAATGAATTCAATTCATACTTATTTTCTATCCGTTTATTCTTCATTTGACAGACAAATACAAAGACACAGATGGAGTCATTAACAACAGTCATAAAGAACTTGAAGACAATATTGAGGCGAATATTAGGACCGAAAGAATATACTTATGTTTTGGGTATGTCTTGTCTTATCTTTAAGTGTGTCATTTGGTGGTTGACCTCCGATTACTTCATAAAACAGGAATTGCGGCCTCACTTGTGGTCCGAACTATGTGTGATCTATGGCTCATTCAAAACGGCACTCAAATCGAGGCCGCAATCATTACGGCCAACGTATCCAAACTAAAGAGCAACTTATGTTAGACTAATATCATAAATGTATTGTTAATTTGCAATTAAAATTATTTATTTGTCTATTAATTTAGTGGATTTCCTTATATCAATGCCAATACTAGCGTTTGTCAATAATAGTCTTAAATATTGTATTAATCAGTTAAGACTTGGCCTTAGATACCGACTCTCACATATGCTTTATCACAAATACACAACAGGTATACCATTAACCAAATTATATAACTAATCAAAAACTAATAATAAATAATTTCAAAAGGACTCACTTATTATAGACTTAATGTATTGGACAATCAATGTCAAAATATTGATCAATTGATGACCAATGATGTTGAAAAGTTTTGCAATACTATAGTTGATGTTTACTCTAATGTTTCAAAAGTAAGTTTTTAGTTCAACAGTACATATCTTTATATACGGTAGTATTAGTAAAATGTCTCCTAATATGTTATCTATATATTAGCCAATTTTAGATATACTAATATTGGTCCAGAGATTGACTACTACTTACACTGGCATCAGTACACCCGCATCAATGATTGGCTATTTAATTATTGCTGGTATTGTTAATTAAACAATAGATATAAACAAAACAATAGGTTTTACAGAGATTTATACCCGTTATGTAATATTAGGCACAATATTAACAAACTCGAGGCGTCCGATGACTAAAATGACTGTCACTGAAACACAACTGGAAGGAGAGTTGAGATACGTTCACAACAAAATTATAGCAAATTGTGAAGAAATAGCATTTTACCAAGGCAATGTTAGGTTTGTACATCACTTTCATCACTTCCATCACTTCCATCACTTCCATCTTTTATTATTTATCATATAGAGAAAGAGTGACACTTATTAATGCATTGACGCGACTCACAAATCATTTATCAAATGTATCTATATTTAAGTTTAATATTGAATTTCTTGATAATATTGTGGCTAAATGTATGTCAATAAATATATCGTTAAATATTGATTAAAAGATAATAATAGTAATTAAATTCAGATTTGGCAACAATATGCGGCTACTTATCACTTTCAATACCATTTCTTACTGCTCGGTATAGTAACAATTCACAGGCATTTAGATTAGAGGTATTTATTATTTGATATTAATTTAATTAATATAAAGATAACAGAACTTAACGATTATTGCCATTAGACTTATTACAAATCTGGACGAATGATGGTTAAGTTAGCCGAATCTATCGGTAGATTAGTTATGGCCGGACGTGATTACACTCGTTTAGCTGCTTATACAACACGAGTTTATCAACTAATTAACAATATTGAACAGTTAGCCTTAATTTTAAAATACTTATATTATTTATGGTTTATATATATTGTATATTTAATATTTTTTATAGTATTCCAAATAATACATTATCAATAATTGGTGATAAATTATCGAAACCATTAATAGCTGGATCAGGTGTTATGCAAATCTGTGATCCAAATAATTCAATGATATGTTTTACTGATGTACCTCTTTGTACACCAAATGGAGAGGTGTTGGTTACTTCAATTGATTTTACACTTAAAATTGGTCAAAATGTTATTATTACTGGTATTTTATTATATACTGTGTATAACATTTTCAATTATGTTAAATATTTGTTTTCTTATAAATTAAGGTCCAAATGGTTGTGGAAAATCTTCATTATTTAGATTATTAGGAGGTCTGTGGCCACTATTTGGGGGTAAACTTGTAAAACCTCCTAATAATAGACTTTTCTATATTCCTCAGAGACCTTATATGACTATAGGTTTGTCTGTTAGAAAGCAAATGATAAAATTTAAAGAAAATTTGAATACTTTAGGAACATTTAGAGATCAAGTTATTTATCCGGACTCTACTCAAGATATGAAAGAGAAAGGCGTTAACGACAATCATTTATTGCAATTTCTTAAAATTGTATTGTTTTATAATTCAATTATTATCTGTATTATTAATAAAAGTGATATTTAGGTCCAAATTGAATACTTACTCGAAAGAGAATCGTGGGATTCAGTACATGATTGGCAAGAAGTGCTAAGTGGTGGAGAAAAACAAAGGATTGCATTGTCCCGGTATTGACACTTACCATAGATTTAAACTTAAAGTATTTTTGATGACACATTTGTTGACTTTAATTTAGACTTCTTTATCACAAACCATTGTTTGCTATTCTCGATGAATGCACTTCAGCTGTTAGTTAAATATTTTTCATTTGATTAAATTACCGGTAATTATAATAACTATGATTTTCATAAATTCTATATTATAGGTATCAATAGATGTCGAACAAAACATTTACGATTATCTACTAAATTCAGTTCAATGTTCACTACTAAGTGTTACACATAGAGTCAAACAATTGCAACAATTTCATCATTTTATCTTAGAGTAAGTTATCATATCTAGTGATTAATGGGTGATATAAGACATTACTTTATGTATTGATTAAATAGATTTGATGGCTTCGGACAAATCAATTATAGACCTCTTGTTGATGAAGACTCAGTTTTATTATAAGACTTATACCAACTATTTTATGTTGAAGTCTATTATAAGATAATATATACCGTAATAATAACAATAATAATAATAATGTGATAATTTTTCTAAATTTTATAAACAGATTTATTTTAGTTTAAAAAGACAAAATTTAGTATAATTTAAAATACCGTAATTATTTTATTATTGTTGTAAATATTTATAAAATTAATAAATATGGTTTTGGTGTTACAATAATTATCAATAATGTTCATGAAATTTATTTTATATTACTATAACATATTTGATAAATAATGATATCAATTATTTAAATATTATTTTTGTTATACTTCAAAATGATGCCTATTTAAACATTTCTTATATTATAGTGATAAATGACAGTCAAATATTGTCCTAATACTATATACCTGTATTTATGTAAAGATATCATTGAATTTTTCATTATTTAATTTTGAGTAAAAATTATTTAATATTATTATACTTTTTGATAATTACGTAATACTTTGTTAGTTAATTTGACTACTTTTGCATTAATACAACAAAATTTATTACAATTGACACAAATTATTGCATTTGATATTTAATATACTAAGTATATTATAATTATCAAATGCAATGACAAGCGTTAGCACTAAATTCAAGGGTATATTTTGCGTAGACATAGGTATTTGACTCATATTATAACCTATTATTGATTTAACTATTTATGTTAAACTTATTAAGTTATAAACAATTTTAATTATTTTATGTTAAGTTTAATGTCATATTACCGGTAATTATATTACAATTCTATTAAAATTATTAATGAAAACCTTATGCTATGTAATATACCTGTAGTTTGTATTTTATATTAATTTATCAATAATTCAAACTCATTTAGTAGAAAATCATTTAATCTAAAATAGATTTATTTGATACAAACCCATTAAAAACTATTTAAAATAATTGGTTAGATTATGTAAATCATTTTAAGTTATGCATCTACTGTATAGTGTGTTTGAATTGCTTAAGATCGACAGGTTTATCTGTAATAACTTTTGATAGATTTAAAACTATTGAATACATTAAATAATGTGATCACTGGTTGTACCACAACAACAGTTTGGACGCAACGCCTGATAAATAAAAATACAACCATTGACCACATTATTTAATATATTAATGTTTGAATTTATATTACCTAAAGTTTCATTAAAATAAGTAAATCCTATTTTCCAATCTAAAAGTTATTGCAGAAAAACCTGTCGATCTTAAACAATTGAAATGCATTGTATTAATGATCGATATTCTAGTTAATGGAAACAATTATATATTTTCACGAACTCCTGAAAGGAGATCGTATATGCATTCTATAAGTCTGTCTGTCGGTCTGTCTGTCCCACGAGGACATAGGTTCGAATCCACGCTCTGCTACACATTTTTTGATTTTTTTCTTTTTTAAGTTAAGGAGTTCGTATGGAAATGTTTTTGAAGCATTCTCAACTGGTTTATTATTAAATTTGAAAATAAATAATAGAATAAATTCTGATTATCGATATTTAGATTTTTAAATATTAAGACTTAGTTTTGGGGCGTCAGTTCCGTATACGTCCTGGAAGATAATTAGAAGATAATGTTATATTTGAATAGGTTATGATATTAGGAACATATATCAAAAGGTCCCAGCTACATAAATCTTAAAATAAAAGTTATTTAAAATTTTAATTTAATAAAATACAGTGTTTTGTATTGAAAGTAGCACTAGTAGTGTATTGGTGTTCTGCAGCGTTACCTAACCTGGAGTTCCTCTCGCAACCTAAACCTAATTATAAGGGTACTACTAATACTAATCTTAATACAAAACAATGTAGTTTAAAATATTAAATTTTAAATAACTTTTTTATTTTAAGATTTATGTAGCTGGGACCTTTTGATATATGTTCCTAATATCATAACCTATTCAAATATAACATTATCTTCTAATTATCTTCCAGGACGTATACGGAACTATCGCCAGTTTTGGTTTATATATAATTTAATATTAATCTAATTGAAAGAAATTTAGTTTGAATTTTGATATTTTAGATAAAATGATTTTCGATTAAATGATTTTCGATTAATGAGTTTATATTTATATTATATGATTATTGTTAAACACCTGAATGACTACTGTATACTATTGTATACTATTGTGTGCGTACTATACATACATACAGTACTGTATATAAAAGTCAAGTGATTACATAATACTGTATATTAATAATGAATGCAAACAGTGATCAACAATATTGTCATCAATTAAACACATGTTTAAGTGATTTAACTCTTCTTCATAATAATTAACACAAATTATATGATATTATTGTTTGAGTTTTTAATTGTTTTGAAAATCTAGTCCACAATCACTTGACTTACAGTACAAACAAAAATAAAACATTTGTTTATATTGTGTTGATATTATAATATATGGATTCATATGAATATTAGCCATCAATTTGATGAATATATGGTTATCATTGACTCTTTTGACGGATTATCTCAAGACATGACTATTGTATGAGTTGTCATATCAATGATTAATATCACAATTTAATAACAATTTAACGAAAGTCATAATGAAATCCAAAACCCGAAACTGTTGTCATCAATGGTTTTGGAGATATTGTTGTTTTGATAAACTATTTGTTATAGCGTTAAGAACTCTTGGATTGATTTCAATTTATTACTTATTTTCAATTGGTATCACTTTTTACCAAAAATGGTTTATTAAAGTAATTATTGATTAATATTATTAATAAATAGCACGTGTTTTGTCACTAATTAATTAATTAATGGTTTGTTTGTCCAGAGATTTCATTACCCCTTAAGTGTAGTGATGTGTCATATGATAATCAAGTTGTTGATCGCGGCCTTAATTAGACAGATCTACAAATGGGTGACCGGTTAGTCCAAGTGATGACTGACATGTGATGATGTTATGTTGTAATTGATTATATTTTTAATTATAGGTGTGTCCCGAATAACACTAAATTGGTCAGAAAATGGACGCAAGTTATCGGCAACGGGAATGGCCAGTGCCTTAGACATCGGCTTTTCAAACTGGAGTTTTGAATTCATTACCATTTCGTTGTATACAATGACAAAGTCTACGTGTATTATATTTATATTATTGTTTGCCATTATCTTTGATCTCGAAAAAAAGGTTTACCCATAATAACAATTATTTTAATTTATATATTTTTTATTAATAATGTATAATATTTTTTTCATTAGAGATTTTCGCTAATAATTGTTGTGTTTTTGATATCAATTGGACTCTTCATGTTTACCTATCATTCAACACAATTTCAAATTCAGGGTTTTCTTCTAGTATTAAGTGCTTCTCTTTTAGGTATAACTAATATATTAATCATATTTAACATTATTTACAAATAAATTATAATTGATTTGTTTATATTATAACATTTTAGTATTAGATCAGTGATTTCACTTTTATTAAGTTAGATATAAGTTATAATCATTATTATACATATGAAAATATATTACCGGTAGGCAAGTGTTTAATACAAGTATTATTAATTACAGCACATTAAATTGGTCACTAAGTATATTGTAATAACGTATCGGTAATGTTTGTTATTTTTGTAAGCAATACTAACATTTTTAACATGAATTAAATTGTTTAATTGTATTTCAAGTTTGTATTATGCATATAACATAATCTTTATATATATATATATATATATATTAGAAATTATTAGAATTTGTAGAAATATTAACTACTAATTAGATTAATTGTGTGGATGTATGTAATTAAGTATACTATTTATTATACATATTCTATAATAGATTAATATTATTGATTAATTATATTAAAGGTGGTTTACGATGGACTCTATCACAATTAGTTATGCAACGCAAAGAAGTTGGTATGTCTTATATTGAATATACTTTTAAAAAATCATTATATTTTTAATTTTATTAAATCATTATCAGTATTTGATTGCAGGTTTTCATAATTATTTTATATATCTGTAGTATAGTTATTATAAATTTAAATGCATTAGTATTGCTTTGAAATATAAATGAATTATTTAAAATAAGTTTTTTAATAAAAGTTATTTTAGATAAAAATGAAAATTTTTGGGCCTCAAAGATATAATTATATCGTAAATTAAATATTTTCTCTTTTTTTGTTTGAAAGTTCCGGCAATTAATTGAATATTAATTGTTATTTTTATGACTGCTATTTATTAATATACGGTAATTGTAAAAAGTTAGAAAAAAATTATTATCATATATTATTTACATACAGCTGTCACAACATGTAAATCACAATAAAAATATTTAATAACTCAAAAACATATAAATTTTTCTTTTTACTATTTTGAAGATTAATTGCCTATTTATAAATAATATAAATTTATAAAATATATTAATATTGTTCTTATACTTTAAAAATATGCTAATTTACTTATAAATAGTAAATAAACAGATAAGGGGGTTTCGCTTTGGCCGACCCCCCTACCCTCAAGTGCGAACGTAATATGTGTATTACCCCTAAAATAATTAATTATTTTATCTGTTCAAAACCATAGATTTTAAATGTTTTTTACTAAATTTACTTAATAAATTAAATTATTAGATATTTTTAATGATTTATTAATAAGGGGTTAATCTACAAAATAAAAATACAAATTTAAATGTATTATCGGTTTAAGTTATATGTTATTGTCAATAACTTATTGAGTCAAATATGTATATAATACATAAGTAAGTTATTTGATAAAAGATTGTTAAATGTTTTTGCAATTGTTAAGCAATAATACATGATTTTGCGATAAATATAACATTTATTATATTGATAGTTAAAAATGATATAATACTACAGTATAGGATTGTAATAATAATTATAATAATAACAATTATAATGTGGTTTATTATACAGTATATTGCCTTCATATCTATCTCTATAACTACTGTACTGTAGTTTTTACATACAAGACTTGACTAGATTTTAGTTTATAATATCTATTATAAAAAGTTGTGATTTAAATTACTTTATAAAATATTTACAAAATAATTTACTTTAAATCTAATTTGTTATTATATGTTCTATGAATCTGATTTTAAATCTAAAAAATTTAAAGAATAATTTAAGCAAATTAATAATATTTTAATATACAGTTTTATAGTATACTATAGATACAAAATATACATTATATTTTAAACAGATAGCATAACCAAAACAAACTTAAAGAAAGTTTTATATCTGAATCTAAAGTCATAATTTTGAAATTAACAAATAAAATGTGAGATATAGATATCAGAAACAAACTTCAATATTCGTACTATATTTGGAAAACATGTTTTTATAACATATTTATATAACGTATGCATTAAATATCTATCTTTAAGTATAAACATTAGGTTTAAAAATTAATGAAATATATATAATATGATATATTAAAGTTTATCAATTGAAATAGGGTTAAGCAATCCATTAGACATGATGTATCACATCCAGCCCTGGATGCTTTTGGGTAATATATTTTTATATTAGAAATAATAAATTAGATTTTTTATTTAATTACATAACTTTATAAATAACACAAATTAGGTTTAATACCACTGGCCGTTGTGTTTGAAGGCATACCATTGAGTCAAAGCAAAGTAACAATTAGTCAAATATTCAATGACTCGGAGCTTATATGGGAAGCAATAAGTTTGATAATAATTGGTTCAATTCTAGCCTTTTTCATGGAATTCAGTGAATTCTTACTCTTAACGTATACATCGAGTCTTACCCTTTCAATCGCCGGTATATTTAAAGAGGTATTCACACTATATCTGGCCGTTAACTATAACGGCGATCAAATGAGTCGTTTAAACTTTATTGGACTCATTGTATGTCTCTTTGGGATCGGACTTCATGTCAGTATAAAAACCTTTGATACAACTGGTAAGGTATGCTATGCTTTGTTTTTGATTATCATTACTAATGTTTTTATAATTAATATTTTAACATCAAAATCAATAGCCAAACAAACTGTTTTGGACAGGGAGTCAGTATGTGGTGAGATTGAGTCGAAACGATTACTTGAAGGCATCGATGAAGACGTCTTATTTGATTTGAAGCCAATTGGGAGCAAAATATCTTAAATTATTTATTTATTTCTAGTCTTCTTTCAATTCATTCCTCATTTGGTATTTTATTAATAATTAATTTTAAAGTCACTATTTTTGTATTATTTGTTATGACTTTTTTTTGTTTATTTTTAAAACATTTGGGTGTTATCAACAAATATAATAGTTATAATTATCATTATTTTTTAAAATCTATTGGTTTAACAAACCAAAAGACTTTTGTTGAATATACAGCAACAAAACGATTCTTTAATATTTTATATTTTTGTTAATATTGTAATTATTGCTTAAATTTGTCGATAATTGTTTAAAAATCATTGAAAACAAAATTAAATAAAATTTTATAATAATAATAAAATAAAATTATTCTCTAAATGACATAATATTTACGTTTGAATGAAAAAGTTATTTTTCTATTGTTTTCATGCATTTTTTATTTGTATTGATAGTTAAGTCAATTGCATTTACAGTACAATAAAATGCATATTTCAATTGCAATATTATACTGTATTTTATATTCAAATATAATATACACACCTTTATAATTGATGTTTATATAAACCTTAATATAGCGCACAATCCGATGTACTCAACGCAATACACCATTGATTTCAATTGATAGAAACATTTAAGACTATTATTTCATTTCATTTCAAGATTTATATGACAAAAGTGCCAATAATTATATTTATGCGTTTAAATTAAATTTATCCGATTATATATTAGACGAGAAACTAAATGTAAGTATCAATTAATTTGATTATTATATTAATATGTTTATAAATATTAGAATATTCTACAAATTCTACAGTTTATTAATATATTGTATAAGAATCTGCATATTGTTTGTTATTTGCTATTAGCTTATGACTCAACCGATCGATAAGTGGTCACAAATAAGCATTTGATGACCACATTATTCAAAATTTGATTATAATATGTAATTTGTATGAATGTCGTGACAATAGTTATTTTGGAAAATTTCTTTAATTATATAATATTTATTATATAGAAAAGTTTAATAATATTTTATTATAAATAACAAACATTTACTGTTTTACTTAATTTATTAAATACAATGAAACAAACGAAAGGAAATATATTTGATTGTAATGAATGAACATTTTGAAAATAATTAGATTCAAAATTAAATTATCTGTAAATATATTATAGCTATTAATATATTTACATTTATTATTTGAATTTTTATAATTTAAATTAATATGACTAAAGACATTAATTAATTAATATTTTTGTGGTCTCCATAGTATTTAATATAAAATATATTACTTATACAGTAAATTAATACATGTATATTATTTATTATTTATAAAATAACATTTATCCATCTTTACAATCAATAATAAATATAACAAATGCAAAACAAATGACAAAAATATTTAATAATTTTTAAAAAATAATTAGTTTAACGTATAAGATAGTAATTTATAATATATTGTTATGATATACAATATATACTGTACTAATAAACTGTGTATATTTATGATATAAATATAATCATAAACTATTGTAAATGTTTTGTTATTTTTTACTAAGAATTTATTATTATATAGCTATAAAATGTACTGAATATATGCAATATAACTATACAATTAATTTATTATTATTTCTTAGATAAAATATTCGTTGAATTATATTGATTTAAAAAAAATGTTTTTTAACTTATTAAATTATATAAAATTGTTTATAATTTATTACGGTATATATTAAAATATTATAAATTAGTTATTAACATATCTGTTTTTAGTCACTAGCATCATAAGTTTATAACATTATCCTGGTTAGTTTAAATGTGGACCTGTAGGCAATATAGATTTTATAAACAATATAAAGATATTAATACATTTCAAATAATAACATCTTATATGTTGTAATTTTAATTAAATAATATAAATACTGTAAAAATAAAACAAACAAGAATTAAATAATAACAAAATAATATTTAATTTAGTCTTAATTTGTTTGTTTAAAATGTGTAAACATTTGTTATAATGTTTATACTTATAGAATAACAAAACGACAAATTATCTAAAAATTAGGAAATATATAAAGTTCTAAAAATATGGGATTTTTTTATGGATTCAATCGTCGTTTTTGTTTTGATTTTTAATATACTTAGAGTTAGAAACACAAAATTATAATAAATTTTTATGATATAATAAACAAACCGGATATACTATAGATATACTTAATGAGTATCAAATAAATATGAATACTTTTTTATTTAATATATATTGTACTGTAATTTTTGGAATAAACAAATATCTAAAAAAAATCTAAAAAATTGAAATCAATTACAAATCATTTTGTATTGCTATAAATCATCGATTAGTTGGTTATACTAGAAAGCTATGATACTGTATGTACGGAAGTTATATTTTTGTATAATTTAATAAATATTTTTACAAATTACTATAATAAATAAAATATTAAATAATTTAGATTTATAATTCAATTGTATTATTATTATTATTATTTATTTATATTATTGAAATAATTGATAATAGGATCAGTTTTGATAAAAAAAACAAAATCTGAAATAACTAACGAATTCGAAAAAAGTCATTCAAATGAATTGATTTATTGGTTTAAATGATAAGTTTTAATACGTTATAATAATTTATTTTTATTATGCAATATTTAGAGATTGGCAAATAGAAATTTCTAATAAATTTATCAAGAATAAATTTCAATAGAAATTTTATTTTATTATTTTACTATGATATCTCCATATCTATAGCTATTATAATACAAGGTATACTATACAGTGTACAGTATACACATAGTATATACTGTACGACTAAACAAATTTAATCTCTATATGTATATAATTAATTAATAATTAGTTTTTTTTAATTTTATTCATCATTCAATTATATTTTAAGTTTAATCTATTATATTTAACTATATTTATTAAAATACTAATAATAATATTTAGTTATTCTAATACAAATAGACAGAATTTTTTTAGAAACTTTATAGAAATTTCTCTTTTTTGCCAACTCTAATGATAATAGAAAATCTATTATCTAGTATTTAGTCAATTGATAAAATCATCAAAATTTATGTAACAAAATACATTTTTGCTAAAACTCGAATAATAATGATAATAAAAATACTGAACTTTTGTATATTTTATATTTAACATTTTAATATAAAATTAGTATACTATATATTAACAGATATAAATTTTAATAAATTATAATATATAACTTTATATATCGTATAATTACTAAAGACTTAAATATATGTCATATTTCAAGTATAAAAATATAATATAGAATTTAAAACAAACATTTTATACGACAGATAATTAATGTCCGAAACAATATTGCAATAGTTTGTCGTAACAAAAATCGGCTAAACATATGTCATAAATTGTGTGAATTATACAAGTTTTTATTTTAAACATTTTTAATTTTCAATAATATAACTATTAGTCGGATCTGTTGACTATTGTCTAAATGTTTGCGGTTTGGGACTCAATGAGAGACAATAGAAATATAATTTAAGTACAAATAACCAAAACTTAGTAACTTTTTTACTGATACTATTGTTTCTGATATCAAATATAATTATATTATTTTTATATTATTTTATTATTATTTTTAAATATATAATTGAAAATTGCTATAAATTTATATTATAGCTACTATTTAATATTAGATATTCAATTAGCTATTATTAAGTATTTGAAATATATTTTTAATTTTATATTTATTAAAATATTAACTATTTTCTATAAATTATTTATACATTTTACTAATTATATTTCCAATAGTTTTAAATTTTAATATGTGAAACAAAAGTGAAAAAAATATTTCTTACGTGTTTGTGAGTGAGTGAGTGAGTGAGTGAGTGAGTGAGTATGAGTGAGTGAGTTAGTGAGTGAGTGAGTGAGTGAGTGAGTGAGTGAGTGAGTATGAGTGAGTGAGTTAGTGAGTGAGTGAGTGAGTGAGTGTGAGTGAGAAAGATCATCCATGAAATTATATGTACATTGATATAATGTGTTTTAAATTTCAATTTATTTGTCGGTCATATATGGCATTCATAACAATAGAAAATAAAGAGTATAATCCATAAATGTTTTATTTAAAATATATTAAATAAATGAAAATACATTATATTTGTAATAGTGTTTGTAATCACAAAACACCTGCATTTTTCTATATTTACTAAACGATTGTAAACTTAAATGAAAGCATTGAAAGTTGTAAACGCCATACAAATTGTCGTGATTTGGACTTAGCTTTTAATAAAGTTTTTATAAAGTTTGTGAAACAGTTAGGTTTGACTCTTTGTGAAACAAACATAAAGTAATGTTTAAATGTATTAATAGAGTTGAATATACAGTGCGACGGAAGGCTAATATCAAAATGTTTTTTATAACTTCTTCATATCAGATGGAATCCATAGAAAAGACTAACGGATCAACAACTGTAGTCCGGACACAATCAGCACCAGTGAAGGAGTCACCGCCATCACCAATACCCACACCCACACCCACACCCACACCCATACCCACCACTCCACCGGCTAATGCTAACCAATCGGCAAATTTTGAAGAATTATTTCGTGTGTTCGCAAAATTTGGTGATCCGAAAGGTGTTGGCGATGCTATCACTCTATCAAATAGTGATAAATGGTTCAAACAATCAAAAGTCATCGACGGCAAGAAATTAACAACAGTTGATACCGGGATTTACTTCAAACAAATTGCTAAGTATTATATCAAATATTATTATTCTTCAATCTCTATATTCATTATTTTTATATCAAATTTATTTATTTTGTAAAAATTTAAGGACAAAGAGATCATTGAATTTATCAGAATATTGTCAATTCTTGGAAACGATTGCTAAAAATAAAAAATTAGATTTGAATGAAATTAAACATAAAGTAAGTAATAAAAATTTTGGTATTTTTTTGTATATATTTATTTTTTAAAATTATATTTTAAATTGTAAAACCTGTATATTAAATACAGTATACTTATACAGTATACGTATATAGACATCAAATATAAATAAAATATATTACATACTCTATATCTTTTAATTTTATTGTAAACAGTTGGCTACAAGTGGTACGCCATCAACCACTAAGACAACAGTAAGTTATTGTTGTATACGTATGTTATTATTAAACTGTAATAAAATTATATATATTTCAAAACTTAAGACTGCAGTGACTACAGGTGCTGTCGGCAGACTTACAGATCATACAAAATATACCGGTTCTCACAAACAGAGATTTGATAACTCCGGCAAAGGAAAGGGTAGAGAGGGTCGAGAGGATGTGTCCAACAAATCTGGATATGTGTCCGGATTTAAAGCCGAAGAACATCATTGAAATCATTTTTCTTATTTCATTCATAACTTATTAATATAAGTTAAATGACTGTTAAATAATAGAAAAAGTAATTTTATGTTACTATTCACAAAATTCAAGTATTATAATTAGTATTATAGTATTAAATATTATAATTTGTATAATTTTATACATTCAATCATTGCAGTAATCGTAACAATTTTGGGCAAAATATAATATAATTGTTGGGCTTTAAAAAATTTATTGTAATATTATACTAGAATTTATATTATAACTTAATGTTTTGCTGCAATAGTCTTGAGAAATGATTAGAACTTTTTTAATTTCATTTTATTAAATAGTTATTAAGATTTTTAAAAAAGTTAATATCTTTATATATTCTTGAATATGTCACTAATAAATCACCAAATGTTGAGCTAAATAAATAAAAAGCTTATTTGAGTTTTAGCAAAAAAAAAACTAAATACTCTCCGTTTTATGTGCTCTAGTATTTTAATTTTTACAATAAGTTAATTTTTTATTAAATAAAAAATTATAATATTCTGATTGGGGAATGTTAGTTATATATATAGTGACTATTTAACAATTTTCAAATTTAATTTTTTAAAGTACTTTTTTATGATTATTTAATAGTATCATGATTTATATGTTATTAGCCTATTGTTTAAGAATGAGATTTTATAATATCAAAAGTATTAATTAATATTTAAGTCTAATAATTTAAAAAATATATATATTTAAGTATTAAAAAACAATGTCAACATTTGATGTTTTATGTTGAGCCAAATTTCCATATATTACCCATTCATATAAATTTATAATTAAAAAAATTATAAAAATAGTGCAAGGCCAAATATTATCCATTATCAATCAAATTCCAAATAAAATAATTAATTTTAAATTTATTTTTTTACTAATTTAAGTTTAATAATTTTATAGTTTAATATTAATAATTTATTAAATATATAAATTAAGACACAATTTTTAAATTATTTGATAATAAATTTTATGAATATAATCTTATGTAATACTATTATCAATTAATATAGATATAAAAATAATACATATTAAAAACTGTTAATAGAGTAATTATAATTATCATTGAAATATTTTATTGAGTTTGTTTTAACTAACCATAGGTTAGATTATTTAAATATATTTTAATTTACGTTATATAAAAATATATAATTTATTAATATATGGTATATGGTATATATCCAACACAATATCTAAATACAATAGTTGTCAACTGAATGTACCATGTTGCATTTATCAATTAAATATATAACATAGCTTATATTTATGTTAACAATAAATTATAACTTATTTGTCTGATTTCTATACGGTTTGTTCAATTATCTATATTAACATTTTGCTGATTTAGAAATTATAAAAAAATATTTGTTTGTATAATTTGTGTATAGCTTGTGATAACTTTTTTTTTTGGCAGTTTATAAAAATCTCTACATTATTTTTTATTATTTATAATTATTAAAAAACCGCTTAAAATGTTATAATTATAAATTAGGTTTTTAGATAAGCTAACTATAAATTAGGAGTTAATATAAAAATAAGAACAAACGGTATTAAAATCATTTAGAATAAATAGTTTTTATTATTTAATATTTAATCAAGGTTATAAGATATTGTTGAAAATGTATATAATATCAATATATTATAAACCACTTAATTGTTAATTAGTAATATACGTTAAATTTTTATATTTAATCTACTATTAATAATAATTTTATATTTATTTATTATTATTCAATTAAAAGTACAAAATTTAATTTGAGAGCTTATTTAACATAATACGATCAAAAATATAAATTATTTATTCATTAATTATTAGATTTTTATAAACTATTTGAAATGTTTTAATATAAATATATAAAACTAATATATTAGAATTATTAATATGATGTACTGTACTATTGTATGATTCAATAACTTTAATAAAAATAAATCGCTTATAAATTATAGTATTTAAATATTTATTAAGTAATTATATTAAATTACGGTAACGTATCGTAAAAATATTGTTTGCAAAAAAATAAAACTATCGGTAAGTGATATCTATAATTATCATTATTTTATTATCAATATAAAAAAATATAATTCCTATTATATTACTAACAAAGTTTAATTCAATTTATCGTAAAATAATACTTTGATTTGTGATAAAAATTTTCGGTAATTGTTTTTTAATAGTTTTTATTTATTATTTCTGTTTTTAAATGAATTTTAATTTTATTATATATTATTTCCGGAATTGTTATACAGTACGTATAAATTAGATACCAATCCCAACTTTTTATAAACATTGTATGATTAAAATTATTTTTTTATAAGTTTAGATAATAAATTGATACTAAAATATTGAGAAAATAAAATATACAAAATATAAAACCATAATTAATGTAATTCTTTATTTGAGCCCAAATATTCAATAAATTAGTCAAAATAAAATAAATAAATTTTATAAATAGACAATAATGCTAATAATGTATTGATAATATAAAAATATATTACATTATATTTTCGTTAACATTTATAACATTTATGTATTATTTGCATAAAACTTCAATAGATTTATTTTTTTATTTAAGATTATACTAAAATCTGTAAATTTTTTCCAAAAAAAAAAAATAAATATACAAAAAATAAATATGCATCATTTCTGATAAGTATTGTAAATAATTAATGAGACCTTTAATTAAGTTTAAATTATTTCTGTTAAAATAATCATATATTAAAATAGCATAAATTTTAATATAACAATTTTACTATTTTATGAATTAAATATAAAATTAATTACTTAAAATGTGCAAAATATTCCTTAAAAATTGTTTTAAAAAATATTTGTGATTTTTTTTAAGTTAGAAAAATAATTTGTAAAATAAATTAAAAAATATATAATTAATCGAGAAGTCCATCGGTCTGTACGCTAGTATTGACTATAGTTTGTGTGCCAACAGATAGTGTTTGACAATTGGATTCATATATCAATGAAGTCTGAATATCGTCTTCTGATTCGTATTCGGAATCAGATTTAAAAATGTCATCTTCAGTAGTATTGGTAGAGGCGTCGACTGTGGATCTAATATGAGTGTCATCTGTTTGGTTATAATTATATTGTGAATGTTGAAAATCTTGTGGTAAAAGTATGGCACTGGCAGTAGTGACCGTTTCATCTGAAAAGGCACCCGAAAACTCACAGGTCATCAATCCCTGTATGTGTTCAGTACTGCCGTATTGGAGATCAGGTTCTGATGTGTCAACTAAATGGGTATTCATATCGTCGGCCATGTCTTGTATAACAATAGAAGCTCTTTCCATATCTTCGTCATAAATAGAGGCCATTGAGTCTTCAGTATTCATTTCGCTCATTAGATCATTGCCTTTGGAAAAATTAAATTAAAAAAAAATAAAACAAAAAATAAATAAATAAATAAATAAATAAAACCAAATCTATAGCCAAAATAAGAAAACAAAACTAATAATATCTAATCTAATATCAAATAATATTATTAAGAATTAAGAATATTTTTATTTGTAAAATTTCAAAAATTACAATTACGATAAATACAATTTACTAATCTAATAATTAAAACGAGTAAATATAATTAAAAACATGACAAATATAACATATGTGGTAAATATACCGTTCAAATGGATTAATTTTTAGTCCTTGATTTTTAGCTAAAAAGATATGATTTACTGTATTATTGTGTATTTAAAAGAGTGAGTGAATGAGATATTTGCACAAAAACAATGACATAACGATTGGATATAAATGGCTATAAATTCAGTTATAAAAGAGTTGTACAAATTGTACGTCTGATTCAATTATCTAAACGCATCTTAAGCTACAATACCCTCAGTATCACAATCTGTTGTATCACTTCTTTCACTTTTTCGTCGTTTGTTTTTATTATTAATAACCCTTTTCGTCAATTTCTTCACTGGTTTTAAAGATTTATTATTATTATTAATAATTGACACATATTTTGAGTTTTTGTCACAATTTCCATTTCTTTTAGTTTTTTGAATTTCTTGTTTACTTTTATTAACATTTTGTTTGCCATTTGTTTTGGGTTTAGTATTCTTCGAGTTATCTGTTTTAGAGTTGTTTTTGTTTTTATTTTGTTTATTATTATTATCTCTTTTGAGTTTGGCTGCAATGTCTCGAATCTTCTTTAAGTGTTCTAAAGAACGCGTTAAACGTGTTTTGTTAATACTAGACGAAGACGAGAACGAGTTTGGCAATGATTCTGAAGACGAACTACTCGTTGATGTAGAAGAATGAAGACTTTCATCAGAAGGACATCGACGCAAACGTTTGTGTTTTTTCTCGATTTCAATAATTTGTTTCTTTATTTGCATTTCTCTTTCGAGTTGTTTGTCTTTTATTGGTGAAATTGAACGAAAACTTCTTGTTTGTCGTCGAGTATCTGTTTTAAGACTAGTTTTACTATTTTGGCCACTTTTTACCAAACTTTTCGACAATTTCAGTGCATTTTGTGTGTCTTTTTGATTGTAAGACACGTGTTTTGCATTAAACTTTAGTTTTGTTTTATTTGAATTATTTTTCAGATTATATTTAGAAAGAGTTTTATTTTGAGTACTATTTAATAGTTTACCCTTTCTGTTGCTTTTATTATCTTTCTTATCGGAATCGCTTTCAAATTCACTGTCAAAATAGTAATCAATGAGAGGAACAACAGGTCTGGCTTTTCTTTTCTTAAGATTGATTGCTCTTTGACTAGAATTTAAACATTTCTTTGTTTTAATGTTCTGCTGTTTCCGAATCATTAAATTATTGGACACTTTTGATAACAAACGATTCAATACATGTGGAGAATGTGAGGAATGGTGCGAACGTAAGACACGTCCCGATGAACTAGAGTTCACTTCTTTAAACATGTCTTTCTTGATCACCATTTTTGTGTCCAGTATTTCATCTGATACTTGTTTGCATAAATTGTTTCTCATTTGTCTCGTTTGTATCCTTTCAGTCTCTAATCTATTTTCTTTAATTTTATTGTCTTTAATGTTTTTCACATCACTTTTTACAATAATTGCATTAACAGTTTTGGACGGATTTAATGAATTCTTTTCAATCCTTTGTTGTTTATATTTCTCTTTCAAAGACAAAATAGATTTAGCATTGCTTTTGTTTATCTTATTTGAAATCTTTTTACAATTATTTTGATTTGAATTGTCAATAACAACACATTTATTATTATTCTTATTATTGTTTAGTGTCTGACTTTTATTTGATGTTTTTTGTTCCGACTTTTTAGTATTGAAGACCTGAACACTTGCTTTGCTGCTAAAAGAGTTAGTTTTGCTTACATTACTAGAAGTACTTTCTCTTCTATCAAGACATGGTTTGATACGACAATTGATGTTTTGAACCGATTTATCATTGTCTTCAGTTTCTTCATCAGATGAATGTAAAATAAATTTCTTTTCGTTATTTTCCGTTTGAGAGCCATTGAACCGAAAAAAGTCCAGATTTTCCGGTAGTATTGATGATCGACGAAGACATAAAAATGTTAAAAAGTCTTCAGTGTTTGGCTTCTGGTTTGGTAACAATTCAATCACATTATTATTGGTCACAAATGCCGTTTTGACGGGTGTGACCACAGGACTGGTGGTCGTATAGCCTGAACTTTGTGCGAACTTTCGTTGTGCGGAAACCTTTGCCTTACGATTGACTGCATTGTTGTCATTGTTGTTGTCATTAGACAAAAGACCGCAATTGTTATCCGCAACTATTGATGAGTCGTTATCTTTAGTGCTATTTTGTTGACAATTATTATAAGAACTATTGATAACAGAAGTCTTTTTATTAAAAGATTTCTTTGCATTGGATGTGTTCTTCTTCACGTCTTGAAGTGACGCCAAAAGTGCTTTCTTGAGATCTTTGTCTTCCGAAGACCAGATACTGGCGTTTTCGTAGGCGATGTATGTCTAACAGTATAAGACATTATTGTAAACAACAATTCAATGATAATTAATAAACAAATGGTTTACCCGTTGAGAGGCTCTTCTTTTGGGTCTTTTGTTGATATTGTCATTGATTTCATTGTCAGGCATTTCAATGTTTCAATCAAATTATCAACAATTAAAAGATAAAAACATTACTAAAGAGTGGATCAACTCATGTCATCACATAATGTAAACAATTATAACAATAATTGAGACAAAAATCACGCTTTTGTTGAATACAGACATTCAGTGATAACACTAGACATCTGAAGCCAACAATAGATCATAAAATACATTCAATTATTCAATACTAGAGATCTAAAGCATAGCAATACTCTAAAACCGGATCCTATGTTAACAATGTTTTAACTTTTCTCAATATAATATATATAGGGTTGGGATTGAAATGTTTGGTAGAGTTGGCTAAGTTTGAAGATATGCATTACTCCACTCATATAATATATATACAGTATATATATAAATAAATAAATAAATAAATAAATATATATATATATATATATATATATATATATATATATATATATATATATATATATATATATATATATATATATATATATTAAGTAAATCACTAGAAAATTATAAAAAAAAATAATTATAACAATTATATTATGTATTAATTTTACATTTTAATTAATTTTATTATTGTTTCATTTTTTATCTCAATTTTTAATAATTTAATGAATAAATAAAACTATCAATTTCAAAGACAAATTATAATTTTTATAAAAGTGCTTGATTAATATGAATTTAATTTAATTGAAAATAATACAATTAAAATATAAATATATTGGATAAAATCATAATTAAGAATATTTTTTAGCACTTATGCATTAAAATTAATAAATATAAAGTTTATGAAAATAGTTAATAAACATTGTATTTATTTAATATTTTTATCTAAATCAAAAAATATCTATAATGTCTTTTATAACTCAAGAAAAAACAATACAAAAAACAAAAATGAAAAATAATTTTTAAATGAGAGAACATAGTATATCCCAACCCTAACTATACTATACCTCATATTTGGTTACCTATTGGGTTAATATTAGGTCTCAATTATCAGTTCATTGGATGCATTGATGCGCTCAACAGTTATACATGACTTGAATGCCGCCAATCATTGAATAACTTGAGGCATATCTTAAGGCTTATCCTTTGAATTAAGTGATATTTGCATACATTTCCTCACCATTTTGTAGTTTATATTACTTATATTAAACTATAGTTAATTTAGATATATATATAATATATAGATAATTATGATTGTTTGAATTCATGAACACTATTGTTGTTATTACAGTACAATAAGTGTTATAATTACTATACATATATGTATATAATATCAATACATTATGAATGAATGATTATACATTTCATACAAATTTTGTGATTAAATGATATGACTTTTTTAAAATTTATATAATAATTACTTACAATGTTTTAACTATTATTTATTTTTGTAAAACTGATAAAATATAAGACAAGAATATAGTCTATTGAGTGATACAAATATCATTAATACAATTAATTCATTTTGAATGGTATTATATATGAAAATATGATCCGATATATTATAGACTTCAATAACCCAAAGACTTAAATTAGTGAGAAATAAAATAATAAATATTTGGTTTAAGTGTACAAACTTTCTTCTCTCTAAACGTATTAGAAATGATTGTAAACTTATTTGAATTATAAGTATTAATCCATTGATTATGTCTTCAAATGGTTTTTCTTTTGACACTGAAGTTGTTATTACTTGAGTGATACCATATATGTAAGCGGACAGTAGTGTTGGGTAGACTATGAAATGGTAGTCCAAAAAAGTCATTTTGTATTTATAATTGAGATATTTTTTCTTCTTTCGGATCACAATCAGACCAATAAGTGAAGCAATCGATGAAATACTCTAAATATAATAATTTCAAGCATTAAAATAATTGTTATATTAATTATATAAAAATATAATACTTGTATAAAAATATGTGTCAATTTAATCAAAGATTTATCTTCAAATGAAATGACGACAATTGTCAATATAAGTAACACAAAACCGATTGCCAATCCTTTAAGTGAAGACTTCTTAGCCGACAAAAAGGCTGCACTAATGCTTTCTTCATCAAAAAGTTTAGCTCTAATAAAGTTAATCTTCGACTGATTATTTGTAAACCAAATTGTTATCAAAATAAATATTGTTAATAGTTTGTAGTGATGTATAATTGGTATTATTAAGTAAGATATGTTTGACGGAAGTAATGAATCCGTGGTATTAGTTACTGAAACAAGAAATGTTGAATTTTTCTGATTTCCATTGTTACCAAAATAACACAATTGTAAAGGTTTGGCAACAAAACTGATTAACCATAAAGAGATTTGTGTGGAAAGTAAATGAGAGATAACTATATTTCTGAGACCCAACTGTCTGTCTTGTATTGTCTGAAATAATTTTCAAATCGTTTTAATAAATTATTTTTATCAATATTTAAATTCTAATAAATTTCTGATTATAATACCTGATTTAGAAGATAATGTATTAAGAAAAGTGTAAATACAAAGTTGAGGACAGGCATGAAAACATTAAATTCATTGATACAATAAATGATTTCTAGTGTCAAATATGCCATCTCTACTACACCAACAACTAATGCTCCCATCAGTATTGCTAATTGTTCTGCCAATTAATTTTTTAAATGTAATTAATAGTTATCTTTTTTAAAAATAAATTCAATTCAAACATAAACTTAATAATTACGAAACTCTTATATGACTTACCACTTCTAATCTCTTTGAGTCCAATTTCATCATTATATAAATAATAACATCTTAACAATAGTATTAATATAATGGATAAAAGCAGCAAATAAGCAAAATATATTAATGTCATCGCTTTATTTGAAATAATATCACTAAAACTCATTTCATTATCTGTAATATAATAGTTAAGTCAATGTTAAAAATCATTTACTAATTATATAAAACTAAAATATTATTAACCTTTATATTTCATAAGACATATAGTGATGGATACATGAAATATAAGATAAATTTGCGAAAGAAATATATAGCGAGACTTCCGTGAATTACTAATTAGATCTGATTCACGAAATTTTTCATTTGATTTAAAATCGCTGAACTGTTTGGTAAAAGTATCGTCTCTTTTAGGTTTAAGTCTGTCCTCTATTGATATCGATTGGGTGTCAAATACAGGAGACGACGGCTTTTTAATACATATTATATTTTCATTCATCGACTCGTGTTTTGTCATTTTTGTTGTTATAGTAGATGTTAATGAAATATCTGGAATCAGATCATCAAGAAGTGAATCATCCATAGCTTGTGGTGGACGACACGGAACACATAGTGTCCAATGAGGAGACAATGAGTCGTCTTTGATTTCCAAACTGGTCACTTCTGGCTTAACTTTGGTAACATTGGATTTGTTGCCGGATTGTTGTATCTGAACAACTGTACATCTTCTAACTTTGTCATCACCTAAACTTAAATCAGTTAAACTTAAATCAGCCATTAAAACACTGATTCATATGAAATAAAACAAATTTTGAACAAAATTTTTAAAGCATTCTATTAATGAAATAAATTCATAATATTACACCGTTGTCAAACATTATTCCGACAATAAAGATTAAAAATACACTATATAGCAAATTATTACATAAATAATGTCATAAATATAATATTATAATATAAACCCCCGAATTATAATAACAAATAAATGTCAAAAAAAATTTAAACACTTTTCGTAAATATATGTCTAGTATTTATTTATTTATGTTTAATTAAATTATTAATACAAATGCCATTATTTTTATAACAGACATCAATTCTTCTAATAAAATTATCTATAAGTTTAGGAAATGTTGAATGACGAATATTTTGAAAAGCAATTGTTATCCTATTTTTTAACTCTTCAGTATTATTAGGTAATGTATTATATTGAAAAATATCAGATTTAATTGCACCCCATAGGTAAAAATCACAAGGTGTGAGATCGGGTGATCTACTCGGCCAAATATCATTTGTTTTTAAACTAACCAAACGATTTCCAAATACTTCTTTAAGATAATTAAGTGTTTCGATAGCTAAATTTATAAAAAAATGACATTAGAGGGAATCAAATTAAATAATTGTTTCATTGAATGAACGGCTGATATCATAGCATAGGTGTGTATTTTAAGTGATTGAATTACATAAATTTATTAATTAACCTGTGTGACAACTGGCCCCGTCCTGTTGAAAAATTTGTTTATTGAATTTATCGCCAGTGAAGTTATGTAATTGAGGAATAAAATATGTTTCCAACATATGTCGATAGGTAATTTGATTGACCACAACACGTTTGTGATCTTCATTTTCAAAAAAATAAGGGCCTATTATTCCTATTTAAAAAATAAAAAAATGTACAGTTTTTTAGATATAAAATTATTAAAATGTAAGGCTGTATGACAATATTTACCTTTTTTTGAAATAGCTGCCCAAACTGTAACATAATCAGGATGAGCAGTTTTTTCAATTACAAAATCAGTAGGTCTTTCAGTAGCCCATTTTCTGAAATTTTGTTTATTTATATAGCCATCCAAATGACAGTGGGCTTCGTCAGACCACCAAAAATCATCTAAATAATCTGATAATAATAAAATATTTTTAGACATTGCATTACTTTCTGTGTTTATCTTTCAAAAAACTACAGTTTTCACTCTCACTCAATGGTTAAAGACTTTGCAATCAATTTATTTATATAATAATTATTTTTATATACAATATATGTTTTTTCTTTCAAATAAAAAACACTAAAATAAATAGTTACTTACTTGGGTTGTCTTTTAAAGTATTTAACATTTTTTCACAAAATTTTTTTCTCATTTCTTTATGTTTTTCCGTAAGTTTAGTAATTAATTGAATTTTATACGGATATAGCAATAGTTCATCAGTTAATATAGTATACAATGAGCCATAGCTAATTTTTATATTTATTTGTTTTAAGTGAGCTAATAATTTATTAATACTTTTAAAAGTATCTAATTTTGATTTAATTAGTTCAATATTTTCATCAATTATTACAGTTTTTTTATGAGCCACTTTATGATTATTTGAAACTGTATGGTTTTTAGTATATTTATTAAGTATATAGTTAATTGTTGAACGATGAGGTGATGTTTTATTAAAATGTTTTTCAAATTCTTTTTGAATAAATTTATCTCTTGATTTATTTTTTTCACTTTTTTCATATTTAAATATAGTATTATTTTCAATTATAAAGTTTTTTTCTTCATCACTGTAATTACTCATAATTTAATATAAATAATTATTAGAGCATTTATTTCACATATAACTTATATTTTTAGTGATTAAAGATATTAACAAAATAATTAGATATATAAACGATTGATTGAAAACTAATAATTATTAAAAAACTATTATTTAAAATAATAATTGCACTTAATATCACAATTAAAAATCACATTTAAACATATACTGTATTTTATCAAATGACAAAACATGTGCTCATTTCCCCCCAAAACCAGTATTTGCGCGCGTTATTTACCAGAGTAACAATGGAGAGCCAATCATGTTGTAGGAATAAAATTTGATAACAGTGTATAAGATATGAGAAACACTTTTATTTTGCTATAAAACTTTGAAATTTACAAGACATAAGAAAAGTTGACTCTTTTTATCGGAACCTATGGTTCAGTAATTTTTGGCAATAATTACAGCAAAAAACATTAGTTGTTAAATGATTATACCTGTGATACCTGAGCTCACTGTCATCGCTACCGGTGTTTGTTCTCAAAGTTCAATATACTATTAAATATATTACTTTAGGTAACACTTTATTCAAATGAACAAAATTTGAACTCTTTTTAAAATAATTATTCATTTTATTAGACATTTTAATTGACAATAATAGACAAACAAATAGTAAACATTTATAATTTTAAATAAATTTTTATTCTTAAATATATTTAAAATTAGTTATTTTCAAAAATATAAAGTAAATAATAATGACTAAAATATAAATGAATATAAGACTAGATGATTAGCATAATAAAAATATATATGAATATTAAAATATATATTATTTTCTTAAAAAATAATTTCAGCTCTTCTCGAGGTTAAAATAAATTTATATTAAAAATATTAATTATTACATATTTGATATCAGAATTATCATATATTATTCATTTATTATACAGTATATTGTATTTTAATGTATAAAAATCTCAATGAATATAAGATTTTGAAACTTTTTTATATGGTTTTCTATAATATAAAATTTGTCCAAAAATAAACAGATCAATTGAAACTTGAAGTAAACCGCACACCCAGAATTGTACCGGTGCTTGTCTTATAATAAAATATGATGTCTTAAATACATCACCAAATGTCCACATGAATACCATTAGCTTACTATATATAAAGCATACATTAGAAAATATATTATAGTATTTAGTCTAAAATAAATACCTCATTCCCAGTGTTGACTTATTTTGATAGTTTTTTATTAGTTGCGGAGCTCCTAATAAAGCTTCAATAAAAACAGATAAAAAACCAATGGCTTCGACAAAAATTGATACGTCTAACATTATATAGATTAAAACTCCAGTGATTATAGTAAATGTGGCCAAAAATTCAATATAACTAATAAAATCTGTCCATTGCCAAAAATAGCGTACATCAAAGTCTAATATTAAATAAATAAATGTAATAAACTGTATATTAAATATCGCAAATTTTTAATGCAAAAATGTTTTATTATAAAACATTTTTGGAAAAACCATTTTATTAGTGAAGTGTAGTTTGGGTGCAGTATTAGGAGAGGAAAGGTCCGTCACCTACCAAAAAATTTTTTTGGTTGAAAATTGCAAACATTTCCATCACTACTCTCTGAAAAGTTAGTTTTGAACACAAGAGATATGTATCAGATATTTAATAAATGAGAAAACTTATAATATATTTGTTTAAAAAGAAATAAAGATAAGAAATGTAATTTTAATAAAAATATCTGAAAAATGAAATTTTATTTTAAAGAAGTTTTCAAAGTCTAAGTCTATAAATATTTCTTTAAAATTAAGTTTCAATTACTTAAGTCAATGAAATAAACTGAACCCGATTTTGGGTTTATTATGTAATTCATGCTATTCTTATCATTCATGCATTTCTTATCATTAATTAAGTGGTTATTAATTGGATGTGATTTTAGTGTTTCTGTTGTGGAAGAAATCAATTTATAATTCAATTCAAAATAAAATTAATTCAATAATAATGCGCTAAAACTAAATAATAATAATAATTAATGAATTAATGAATACCAATGAAGAATCGATTCTTGTTTGGAATCAATAGATCTTTATTATTGGTTCGAATGCATAGCTCTATCAACAAAATCATTGCTATTATCATAACAATAGACTGTACGAGAAGTGGTGTTTCAAAATGTCGACCAAACCTATTAAACAACAAATCATCGATCAATTGGTTGTCATTTAAAATCAAATCATATTTATTACCAAAAGAGTATTCTAAGTATATTAGCTAAGAGTAGTGCCAAACAAACATATGTTGAAAATCCACCGCAAGAGTCATTGTCTTTGATTTGTTTATATTGTGGGACATATGGCAGTACTCCTCCAAAGATTATCCCTAATAATCACCAAATGGTAAATCAATTAATTCATTTGTAAAACTGTTTCCATATATGATATAATCGTTAAATTGTTTATATGACACACAATAATCATCAATAATGGCTTTATTTATAGTCTAATAGTCTAATCAAATGATAGGATACCTGCAGATGCTGTGTATGACAACAGTTCCGGTAGAGACAATTCACGCCATTCATCGCTAACCCAATCCATATGTGTGACCACCGCTGCCAATGATTTATTAGTTAATGACTTGAAATTTGATGCAATACTATAGTTGTTTACAAATGTTATGATTGTAAACATATGATCACTAATTGTCAATCAAATCAAGTGATTGTATTGAAAAATAAAAGACATTTCAAGTGTAGAAATGGTTTAAAATAATATTCAGAAAAAATGATATCATTGTTAAAGTCATTGATTATAATTGAGATAAACTCTCACTTAAGTGCTGTTCAACCAATCAATTGGTTCTCACAATCATTGCATACATTTGACAACAAATACATTACTTTCCGTTTATAAAACTAATTGAAATCATGTGTTGTGTTGTCAAACAAACATTACAGCCATAGCTAACTACTACTGTATAACTTATCTAATCTATTGATAATCTATTCAATGAAAATACAATATTAATTCAAATTCATGTTATAATGATTATGATAACGAGTTATTAAATATAATAAATAATGTATTTTAATAAAAATATATTTTTAAATATAATTTTATATATAATAATTGCTCAATAGATTTGTAATTTTTATTGTACAGTACATATTGTGCATAAATTATTATAAAAATTAAAAATTATATAATATAATTTATAACATTTAATAGTGAAAAGCTGATTGCACTACTGGTACAGTATATATACTGTATCAGGGTTAAGCAAGGTTTTGGATTTTAGGGGGGTAGACCGGGGTAAAATTTACAAAATTCTCGAAAAATCTTGGGGGGGGGGGGGTATTGGGTGGGGTAAGATTTTTATTGCATTTTTAAACGGCAATTTTTTCAAAAATCCAAAATCAAGGGGGGGTCAAGAGAAAATTCCCTAATATTCCCTTAAATTCCCGAATATTCCCATGTAAATTCGATAAAATTCCCATAAGTTCCCGTATAAATTCCAAGGAAAATAGGTAAAATTTACAAAAATACTAAAAAAAACTTTAACAAAAATAAAAAAAAGTTAAATTTTAACAAAAATAAATATTTTAAAAAAAAAATTTTAAAAATTAATAAAAACTTAAATTTTAGCAAAAAATAAAATAATAATGTATTAAATACTTAAAAATAGGTGATAAAGGCATTAATGATACACTGAGTTTTTTAGTATTTTAGTAATTTTTAACTTTTAAAATAATTTTTTAAATAATACTTAATGCTTATAGTTTATAGATATATATTTTTATTTTTTAATGTTATTTTTATGTAAATACTGATTGAATACTAATTATAAAATTAAAAATATTTTAAATTTTTTAGTTAAAATTTTAAAAATTATTAATAAAAACCTTGTAATATAAGTATTTATTTTTTTATTAACTTCTTAAACTATCTCAAACTTCTATTTATATTGTAATATGATTATTCTTTTCAACAAATTGGTATTTTTTAACTTTTTAGTTTAATATTTTAAGTAAAATTATGTTATTTTTTGATGAGTTTTAACGTTATTTTAACTTTTTTACTTATTTTTAATCAATAATTAGAATCATATAAATTTTAAAAACATAAAAACACTTACTAAAATAGTATTAACTAAAATTAAAATTTTTATAAATCTCAAAAAAATTTTCGGCGCCTTCGGCGCCGAAATTTTAGGGGGGGTCATTTCTCCTCGTTTTTAAGCGACAATTTTTCCCATTTGGTCAAAAAGTCTGGGGGGGTAAAATCCCAATTTCTCGATCTTAGGGGGGGGTATTTTGGCCTTACCCCCCTCTACCCCCCCCCCTTACTTAACCCTGATACTGTATATACAGTAAATGATGTTAATTAGTAAGGATTAAATAATGAAAAATTACTGTATATTTAAATACAGTATATATTTGTCTCTCTTTTAAATATTTTATAAAATACTTTTAAAATTATTGAATATAAATATAAGATTTTATTAATTTAATTGCTTTTTAATAGGTTTCGATTTATATTAGCAAATGTTTTAGTAAATTCTGTATCTTAAACACTACTGTGTAATACTGAATAATATTTAAACACAATTTAAAATATTTAATTATCAATATTACTAAGTAGTAGTTGAAATGAAAATAAATTAAAAAATAATTTAATATCAAATATTTTATTGAACCATTTGAAATTTAGTGTCTTTAATATACAATATTTTAAATCCATTTAAGACACCCTTACTTAATACAGTCCTGACGACTAGTGATTTAACAAATTTAGTCAAAAAATACAAATTAAATACATTTATAACTCCCAATTTACATATTAATAATAATCAATAATAATGTATAATATAATAATAGATAACTGGAATATTTTAACAAAATTATATTTAGTAATAAGAAATAATCAAAAACAATATATAATTTATATAAAATAATTTTATAAAAGTTGATAATTTTTAATCTATAAATTGACAAATAAAAGTGCGAATGTATTGAAGTATTAAAGTAATTGATGGTAACGAAGAAAGGCACACACAATACGCTTAATCATCAAAATGAGTTGATTTTCAACTAAATTACCACTTATTTCATTCATATATCATATGTTAGTCATATTTATCAAATAAAGTGTTAAATTGTTTTCATAAGTGCAGACAAAAGGCACTAAATTATATTTAAATACAATTGTATTGATATATAGTATATTAATAGTAGATATATTCAATGGAATGCAACAAAACCCTTATTTTTCATTTTTTATGTTAAAAATTAGTACATTTGTAGTACTAATATTGTGTCTATAATTGTAACATTACTGTATAATATTATAAATTACTTATTTATATTTATGTATTTATATATATACTGTATATATGATATCTGTTATATCTGTTATTTATTATGATAACAAAAAATTTATATTTAATTTTCTAAATAACTATAAAAAGGTTTAGATCAATAATAATAATAATAATATTCAATTTGATTAGTGGTAATCAATAAATAAATAGTTTGCTTAAATGTTGTTTCACTTTATGATTGAAATTACTGAGTGCATAGTTAGTGATATAATATAGTTATAATTACATTATTACATAGTATTATGTTTCATAATTAATATATCATTGAATTCATGTGCTATTTATGATGAAACGACAATATAATTTAAATGGTATTTATATACAATAATTTGCTTAAATAATTCAGTTTCAAATTGTATTACAGTTATATTCATTTAGTTATATAAAATATTTCGATCAAACAATTTACACATTAGGCTAAATCTTTAACGCCTAAAATACGGGCCGCAGAGTCAGCACCGGAATCAAGTAAGTCATCTAAAATCTTGGAGTCCTGAAGACCCAAAAGATTTTGAATGAGATCACTTCCATCTTCATTATTGTCTTCCATTTCATTACTATTTTGTGCGAATCTGTTATCCATTTGTTGAACACTTTCTTTTGGATACAAATACAATAAAGAATTGCAATTCGCTTTAGATTTTAATCCTTTAGCCAAACTATGAGCTGAAGAAAAAACAATTTAATTAATATACAAATTTCATATTAACTTTATATTATAGACATACTATCATTCTCTTGAAGCATAGATATCGAAGAAACGGATGGATTATTTGATTGCTTTGACTTAGTTTTAGTCTTTAACAATAACTCACTCTCCGGATGATTGCTTCTATGGTGTCGAAGAAGACTATTTTTGAGTGAAAATCTTTTGGTACAGAGAGTACACTTGAATGGACGCTCTCCTAAATGGACTCTCATATGTCTTCGCAAATTATCCATAAGAGTGAACTGTCGCGGACAGAACACACATAATATCTACAAATATTAATTATTATTTATTAGTCAATCATTTTAATTCAATTTTATATTTAATTCAATTTTAAACTTACTTTGTGTTCATTATAAGATTCATAATCGTCGTGTTGATTGTCAACTGTAGACAAGATTTGTGTGTCATTGATGGGCACCTTATCGACAGCACCTTTGGATTTGAGGATTTCATAATCAATTGAATGGCAGGATTGGATGTGTTTGAGGCACTTTAATCGACTATTGAAAGATGTATCGCATAAATAGCATTTAAAGTTGAAATGGTTTCCATTATCTTCTGTTAGAGACATTTCATTTAAATTTCCATCAATTACTTCATTTGTTTCTTCATCAATATTATCATCATTTTTATCTTCTTTAATATTTTTAAATAAATTATTGCTTTGTTTGTTATTTTTAGTCCAATGTCTTAAATATTGATGTTTTCTTAGGTTTCCATGTGTTGAGAATACGCTGTTGGGACAGACATTACATTTGTAAGACTTGGTCTCGTGAGGAACGGATGAATGTTCTACAAAAGTTCGTTTTTCTTTGCCGTTATGTTTTCGGACCAAATGTCGCTCACAATTGGATTTTGTAGTGAAAAGAATGGGACATTTGGGACACTTGTATGGCTTAAGTCCTGTATGAGTGAGTATATGCCGTCTTAAGCTACTGGTCCACGGAAACTTGCGGGAACAGTATGGACACGAAACACTGTTGGGTGAGTCAGTATAGGCACTTCGTTTCTTAGTTACGGCATTAGTATTACTATTAGTTTCTTCCAATTCATTATTATTATTATTTATTTCTTTGTCATTCTTAAGAAATATCTTCTCATTTATGTCATTTGGACGGATTGTTTTAGTTTTAGGATCAGTTATACTCAAGTTTGCAGTCATTTCTCCATTTGTTTCTATATCTTCGTTAGGTTTATTGAAATATTGTTTTAAAGCATTTGAAGAGTTAGCTGAATGATCAATGAGTGACGAAACACTGGCTAAATCACCCGTATTATCGCTATTTTCTTCATTGTTTTTATGATTGAATAAATCACAATTAGCTACTGAAGAACCCATCACTTTATTGCTAAGAACAGCTCTTAAAGCAACCCTTGTCTTACTAGAAAGGGTTGTATTATTTGATTTAGACAAAAGTGAGTGATTTGATTGAATCTGTGTGTTGTTAGTTGAAGTATTTGATTGTTGATGTGAAATAGTGGACTGTCCTCGACTTCTTGGTGGTCTTGCAAACTCTGGATGCTTTCGTTTTATATGTCTTTCCATATTTGACTTAAGCGTAAAACCGGCCGAACAATAAACACAAGTAAAACTTCTTTCATTTCTTGGCAGAAGACGATTCTTTGAAATGCGAAAAGTAGTCATTTTGTAAACGTCGTCAATTGATGTGCAAGAATTAGGAGATAAAATTGGTATCGGAGGTGATGAGTGAGCTGGTAGTGGTGCGGCTATTGATAAACCTGATGAATGAAAAAATGATGTCTGAATACCAGAGGTGGGAACAAAATTAGCCAAACTTGAAGGGAAAACAGTAGATGTAGTCATTGAGCGCAAAGCCAGTAAACTTGAAGCCGCTGTCCGGACGGCATCATTAACTTGTTTGATATCATCATTGCTTTTGTCTGATGTCTTATTGGAATAATTAGATTTACAACTCAAGTCAAGTGCGTGAACAGCTAAGTCTAGTGGTTGTTCTTCGTTTGAATGATTAGCCAAATTTAACGGTTCGTCTTCATATCCACTGCCATCAGGGTCTTCATCTTCTAAATTATTGTTTGAATTCAGTGCCAAATTAATTGGTTTGTCATTATCTACAGAAACATTTTTTGCAATTTGACACAAAGCGGCTAAACTTGAATGATGTTGTGATGCGGTTAAGTCAGACATTGTTGATGTATCTCTAAAACTACCACTCATTGAATTATCATTTGATGAATTTGTTGAATCTTTCATCAGATTTGATGACATATCTGGTGAATCTCGATATACTGATTCAGACTCAGAATTATCACTATTCAAACCTATTGCTGAAGAGTTGGCGAAAACAATTGAGGAAAGTTTTTCTCTTAATTCTGGGTGTTGTTTGACTACATGTCGGATACAATTATTTTTGGTACTGAATCCCAATTTACAAATAGTACAACAATAAGGCTTTCGACTACAGCTATTGTGAAGAGATCTCAAATGATGTCTAAGAACTCGATTGAATTTGAAGTCTACGTTACAATATTTGCAAACTGTATCAAAACCACCGGGAAATGAATCACTTGTCGGTGATAGGGACGGATTAGACTCTGTTTTGGTCAGATTCTGATAAGACAATGTTGTAGTGGTCGACATATTTGAATTGTATTGCATTGAATTGCGGATCTCATGCTTCTGTATTTTTTTGTGGCGTTTTCTGACGTGACGCTCGCAATTGGCTTTAGTAGTGAAGGCATACTTACAAATAGCGCACTGGAAGGGCCTCTCGCCGTTGTGCGTCCGTAAGTGTCGGACTAAAGTGCTTTTATCAAGACTGGTATACGGACAGAGATGACAGGCATATGAGTGGCCGCCCTGTGTGTGCCCCCGATTGTGGCGCTTCAATGCATTTGATGTCTTAAACATAAGCGAACATTTGTTACACTTAAATATTGATTCTTCCTTTTCAGATATTATTGGTGATGTCTTATCATTGGATTCAAGCATTTCTGATGACTTCTCATCGGTTTCTATTTTATTGCAATTATTGGATGGAGTATTAGGACTTGCATTAGCCGAGTCGGCCGCTACTGGTGAATCGGGTTGTGTACCACTTATACCCAAATGAACGGGTGATGCGGGAGAAGCCGCTGGAGGTGAGGATCGGATGGTTGACATTAATGGAGCAGCAGAACTGGTTACTGATATAATTGATTGAATATCAGCCAAATCGTGTTTATTTGATTCACTTTCATTGCCATTAATAACTTTTGGTAGAAATTGATTAACTGTTTGTGGGAATGGCTTCGCATGAATGTAATAAGAGTTGTTATCAAATGTATCTTCATTTCTGTTAAACTTATAATTAGTTCCAATTGAATTTAATTGCGTTCCTTTATTTTGAAGATCAAGTAATGCCAAAAAGTCTTCTTTGTCTGAATGTGGAACGTCTCCTGATTTCAATCCAAGAGGTTGTGGTATAGAAGTCGTTACCGATAAAGATATTGGATAATCGTATCGATGTTTAATTTGATGCGACAAATAATGATCGGGTGTTATTAAGTCGCGTTGACATAAGTGACAATAAGTTTGACTGCTATGTGTAGATTCATGAAGAGTGAGAGCACTGGCAGATGGAAAAGCTCTCTTGCATTTGTCACACTCGAAGTCGTGGTAAGGACTGCTGGCTTTACGAAGATTATGTTCGCAAAATGATTTGGCTATCATTGAAAACTTCTTGGATGTAAAGTCAGTAAAACTGAGATCATAGAAACCGATTGAAGGCGCACTCGTAAAGTTCATACGATTTGCTGACAAATTAGTGGGACTATCGGTAGTGACAGTGCATCGATGTTGTGTATAAGTAGCATAATTGTTGACAATCATACCACAGTCACGACAACATATTGCATCGTTAGGATGATCCTCCATATGAGTGTGCAATGCAGCCACTGATGGCATTGACTTCTGGCATATTGGACAATATATCTCTGTATTTTTGATTATATTGCTGTTTGCTTTTGGAACAGTTAGATCTGTTCCAACATCAGAGTTACGCTTTTTAGGTGATAACTTAGTTATGTCTTCTCTATTTTCTTCATCACTCACTTTGCGTTTCTTAGATTTAACCAACTTATTGGTGTCTGTGCCACGAGACTCATTATTATGGTTATCTGCGCTATGAGTTCTCATATGTCTGTGCATATTACCATTGGTAGTGAATGCCATATTACAGATACGACATTTGAAAGGCCGTTCACCTGAATGGATGAGCATATGTCTGTCTAGAGAACTGGCAGAACTTAATGTTTTACCACAGAGTCTACACGTATGCGAATGATCTGAAGGGTTGTGCTGACGGATATGTATAGTAAACGTGTGCTGAGAGTCCAACTTGAGATCACATACCGGACACTTGTACAGCTCATTTGGTCCATCATTACCGTCCTATTATTTAATTGAAATATAATAAATTACTTAATACATCGTCAATAAAAAGTCAAACAAAAATATAAATTAAGTTATAATTACCTCAACTTTTAATTCATTGTTTGCTTTGTTTGGGTTATCATTATTGAGAGCATAAGCTTTGCATTCGTTATTTGAATCGTTTAAAACAGTATTATTCTTGCATTTTGAAGACATCTCATTATTAATAGTATTTTTGTCATCAGTTTTATTTGAATCCACATTTAGTTTGCTATTATTATTCTTGATATTTATGTTGTCCTCATTGGTCAACATGTTTAAGGCATTGGAACTATTAGAGTGATTGTCTGTGTTAACAGAAGTGGTACAAGTGTTGGATATGTTGTTATCATTAGTCGCACACATTTGTTGGTCCCGTTGTATATCACAGTCGATTCGTTGCATGTCTTGTGTCAGTTGATTGTTGTCCAGTAAATGTGTTTTACATTTGTTTGTAGTTTTAATGATTTTCCTATTAGTAATCGACTCAATGTTTGTATAGTTTGTATGATTTGTATGATTGTCTTTAGTGTCGCTCATTGAACCTAAAGGTGTATTGAAAGAGATATGAAAAAATTGAGATCAAGAGAAATGGTCTAAACTTTATGTTAACTTTAACTTTAAATCTGAGAATGAGATCACAGAGTCAGTGATGCGTAACCTATAAAATATCATTGCTTTGCACTAACACTCACCAACTTTGACACTACTATACCATTACTATACACATATCAATACTATAGTATAATAATATATGTAATATTTATATAACATTTTGATGAGCCAATAGTGCCCAAACTTATTAGCATTATTAGCATTACCGGTAATATTGGATGAAAATGAATGATTCAATGCTCTAATTCAAACCACTTATAACCACATAAGACAGTCATTTATGTGTTGGCACAGAGTTGGCACTGACATCACCACAATCGCTGTCAAAGACGATAACAACTCTTCAATGAATAACTAAGTCATTCATTTGATTCATTTTCTCAATAAGAGACACTTATTATCATTATATTGTCGGACCAGTCAATTGTGTGTACATCTCATACAATAATCTTTTATTATAAACACTATTTTTCTCATTTTTTTTAATATATTAATCTATTTTTTTAGTTTACAGTCATAGAAATAATAGTGAATCGAATAATTCAATCGATTTTTAGCATTTGTTTCACTCTATTATTTAATCCGAAAATATCTAATATTTTTGCTTTTTCTAAATTTTTTATATTTAATTTGTATTATTCACAAAATAGGTAGTTTTGTTCAAATTCAGTGATTATTTAATACTAACTAAAAATATCATACACTTTGAACCACAAATAAACACTATTTTTTGTACTAATGAATAAAATCATTGAATAATAGAAACATTTCTTTAAAAGTTATAAATCTAGAAAATAAAATAATTAGAGAAAAAAAATGTTTTTAATAGTTATATAGTATTGTATTTATAGAATTCATTTTGTTAAACAAGTTGTATAATAATTAATTAATTTTTTATTTATATATTATTTGTCACTCACTGTTTAGGGAATACTATATATATATATAATAAACAAACGCCTAATTAGATAATAAAATAAAATTATAAATCAATTAGATTATAGCCTATCGTTCAATTGATTGATCATTAACTTAAAAATGCTATCTTAATACTGACATAATAATAATTATAAAAATATTATTTTTCAAATTATAGAGCAATAGATGTAATATTTTTGAAAAAATGATGTTATTTAAGACATATAAGTCCAGATGGACAGACACATCGACACATACATCCCATACAAGTGCTATATAGTAGTCTTCCTTATTGAGAAATCTGATATTTTGTGATCATTTAAAATAAACCAATATTTTTATCACTCTATCGACAAATTGCTAAAACTTCCATCATTTAAATTATAGTTTATATATAAATAAATTAATATTTTCAATATTTGTATGCAATAATATGTGCTTTTATTTAAAAATCTCTTTTCAAAAAACCAATACTTTTTAAAAGTCAAACCGTTTGTTTATTAGATTGATATGCATTAATGTTAAATGCAATTAAATATTTGATGACTTCAAAAAAAGTGTTGATAATAAAAACCTTCATAAGCCTTAAGATATTTAATTATCTGATTCACTCAACACTTGAGTTAAAAGATCAGAGAAAAGAGCATTTGCTGTAAACACAATCAAAAGTAGCATTTGTTTGAATGCTTTCACAATATTTTTTATATATAAGTAGTTATTCAGTATAAATTGTATATAAATATATAAGTTATAATAGTATTCTCATGAAAAAGTGATCAAAAGCTATGTTTAAAAACATTAGTGTTTGGGTGAGACTTCAATAAAATAGTTATCTATAATATAAATTATATACAGTATATGATATGTATTGAGTTATATTGTATATACAATATTATTGACAAAGAAGTCCAATAAATCCGATATAAATGTTGAACGCAAAGACAAGACAAGACAAGGCCATCATTGGTTGAAACAGCACTTCAAACTCATATTGTGTGCAAAAGCAGTTAAAGGAAGAAAGAAAGAGAGAGAGAGAGAGAGAGAGAGAGCACTCAAACATAAGATACGATTGCAGTGGATCTGCCTTTGCCTTTGCATGTCTTACAGCTTCAATGCTCCGATGCATTGCTTGCAGTTAGGGCTCAGTTAGACTTTTCTTGCGATTTGTCGCTAAATGGTGTGCATTCAACACACGCGCAAACACATAGCAAATAGCACTTGAATACACATATTAAACCTTTGGCCAACAGTGTTAGCCCAACACTAATAATACTTTTGATATCAATGAGTACTTTCATTAAGTGATGTTTTTTAATTAGCTGTAAATCATTTAATAGTCATTCAAATAACGTATATAATAGCAATCTCATAGTTTCTATCAATTGTTTAACTTAACAATAAAGATACTGTATATCATATTTAATATCGTTGTTTTCAAATATTTTATACGAGAGAGTGAGCACTAATACCACTATTTGATACCAATGATTTCAAATCTCTTATTTTTATTTCATTTCCTTTAAATATTATTTGTCTTTTATTAATAAATATTAATTCGTGAATACATGACATTATAAGCTAATATAATAATTTTAGATTAGTTTAAACTTTAAAGCATTAAAAACTAAATTCTCTCTCAATTCTAGTCGAATAATAGCCAATTGAGAAAACTTTTGTCAATCATAAAATTTTTAATATGCACTATATATTGATTTAAATAACATTTAAATAATTAAAACAAGCAAACTAATAATTCAAATTTGAATATTAAAATAATAGTTGATTAAAGATTAATTAAATACTGATTGAAACTATTTGAAATGTTTTCAAAATATTTTCATTTAAGAAAATTTAAGTAAATCTTAACGAGTGGTTTATGAGAAGCAAACATGAATTAAAACCTTAGTCGAGACTGATATGAAATATAAACCTCAATATATATATACATCACATATCTAGTAAAGTATGTGATTACATATACTGTTAAAGCAGTTAAAACTCATTTGAAACGTTTCTTATAAAAAAATTATCAAAATCATAGGGAGAGAGAGAGAGAGAGAGACTATGTTATGCAAATAGGAGTTTTGGTTAATGTTGAATGTGGTTCAAAGTACAGATCCATATAAAATATGCCACTATTTTGTAAGTTATTCCTTATGATAGATAGGGATTGAATGGCAAACATAACAACAAAAAACTTTTAATGATGTGATGTAGCGTTTGAAGGGAAATACTTTAGTCTAACATTTACAGCACTCATACATTGATAGATCATATGAAAGCATAGCATAAAATAAAGTATAGCATTGAAGCACTTGCAGCCTCCTATCTCCCTCTATACAGATATCCCGGATATTCGTGATTATGCACCTGAATCAGCGTAAATAAATGCAAAAACATTTTACTCTATGACAACTAACTCACTGTATTTAAGTCTGTAATAAAAGGCAAAGTAATAGCGTTGTAATCATAATATCATAGTTATAGCAATTGTATTTCAAGTCAAGTAATAGCGCTATCATTATGACTGAGAGTAAAAAGTTATGAGAACTTCAAGAAATGACACATTCATACACTTTGACAAACTTTTATGAAAATATTAAACTATGGCTTATCTATCTTCATATAAATATATAAATGTGAATATGTATACAGTATATGACTTGTAGTTTGGGATCAATTTAAAATTGGAGTCACTTACCAATTAAAGATACACTTATCATAAAACATTTTACTTACTCTTATTCACATCAAATACATGTGTGCTTTCCCTTTATGGCAAACATAATTCATTTGAAATTCAAACAAACAGTTTATTACTTAATAAATATTTAAAAAAATAACATTTGAATGAATGAATCAATTGTTTGACTGATAAAACAATATTAGTTTTGAAAGTGAAGTAACAGAGCATTAGATATGGTAAGTGAGTTAACCATCACAACGATCAGTACAGTCACTATGGAATCGGGAGAAACACATCAAAACATCTCAAGTCATGTCATTGGTTGAGACCTATGCTATCAGTGCTATGTATAAGCCATAACACTATGAATATTCTGATTACTTCAAAGCATTCATAAGAAAAAAACGATAGATTTGGTAGCTATAGCTACATATTGTACACACAGTCAAACAATTGGGTGGAGGCTGTTTGATGTGCCGCCGCATCACCTGCCAGTGCCTCAGAGAGAAAGAGACGATCAATGCTTTCGAGGGCTGGCTCTCACTCCTATCATTTTGTTATATACACCACAAAATAGATACTAATATGTGAAGGCATCGCACAGTCATAATCTTGACATTAATATTGCTTTTAATGTAGAATAAGTACAGGTATATATATATACTGTATATATATATTTATGAGTGAGTGAGTGAGAGAGAAAGAGAGAGAGAGAGAGAGAGAGAGAGAGAGCGGGTCGATTAAGTGACTGCAAATGCTATTTGCATCAATCTTTAGCCAACTTTGTTACTGCTTTTGCAAATCATTAGTTTAGCGACAAAAGCAAAACTTTGTGGTTGCGATAGCAATAGAGAATCGAACCATACATCTCTCTCTCTCTCTCTCTCTCAGACTACCTGACTCTCCCCTTCTCTCCCTGAGTGAGCCTTTCATTGAAACCGTTCCCAAATGACAGAACAGTATTCATGATGGAGATAGAAATGTGAAGAGAGAGCAGAGCTGCGCCTTTACCTGCTTTTACCAGTGCTTACCTGTCTTTTAGCTATTTTTAAACATAAATAGCTTAAGAACTTTCTTTAGTCACTCTGACTTCTCTCGACTAACTTTAACGATAAATATGCGATAAAATGCACATAAAACTAAAAAAAAAGTCTAAACTAAATATATTAGACAAATACAGTAAAAATAATACAAAGTTGTTATCAGCATTAAGTTTTAACTCAAACAACCTTTAATTGTGACTTATTTGAACATAACTTTCAAGATTTAGCTTTGATATATATATATATATATATATATATATATATATATATATACAGTATATATTGTATAAAATAGTTAAACTTTGTATTGTTTGGTAAATTTGTCATTCAGTTTGAAGGAAGCATTTATTGGAAACGGAAAATATAATATATATCGTGATATTTGTTTGTTTGTAATGATTGAAGTCATGTCTCTAAGCGACAGTCATCTGCAACATCCACCACATAATGTCATTAATAACCTGATATGGCTTTGGGTGCGCCCGACATCACTCACTATCATATATGCAACCATAGGCTCACTCATTGACCGCACGCACGCATCCATCTATCTATTGAAAGCAAACTCTGTATTAGTTGAACAGCACTGGCATTAAATAATAACTATTAGATGACAAAAACAGTATTCATTTAATATTACATCAAATTTTACCATTTCGTACATATATTAGGCGCGACTATTTCATACACTCGCATACATCACATATACAGACAAAATTGTGAATCAGTTTTAGTGTTTGACCCAAATATAATACACTATACAACAAAGTGATGACAATTAATGAATAATAATTTGAATAATTGTGTTATATTCACATTCATATTCAACTTATGCTCTTATTTTACTATATATTAGACAATATATACAGTATATAACGTATTGCATATATCAAAACATATCTTAATAATAAAAAATCATGATTTTCTTTATCAACATATTTACACAATACTATGAATACAAAACTACTGTTTTTATTATATAATTCTTAGACAAAATTCTATCAAAATTATTCATTATTTTGCCAGAAATAAGTCAATATATATATATATATATATATATATATATATATATATATCAAGTGATGCGATACAATTTTTTTGTATAAATATATTATTGATATTTTGTGTAAAAAACCAATAATACTGTAACTGAAATAAGCTGAATATACTGTATATACTATAGTTATAAGTAGAGAGAAAGATCATATAGTAAACATATACCGCTATTATTTGAATTTATCATAAAAGATAGTAACTTTTAAGTTATACTTATAAAACATAAATTTGTATGTGAAATGAAATAATACAACATTTGTAAGAAAAAGTTAGTCATTGGGTTTAAACTAACGTAAATTGATGTTATCAAAGCCAAAAAAATGCATCATTTTTGATATCAATGGATGAGACCATGAGTTGATGAGCATTTGCTTCGTTGATTTTGCTATTTGGTTGTACCTTATAAGCTATAGTGTTAATGTATGTGCAGGTGAGTCACGCATGAAGCAAATCATTTGGCAAATGGACAAAACTTGATAGCTATTGACTATCAAACACTATTCAACTTTTATATTGATATATATATACATTACAAGACAAGACAAGCAACAGCAGCATCACATCCTCATTACATTCAACTCACACATTATATCAATAAAACATTAATCTATTGTATGATATATCCAATAGTAACAAAAGTGATAACTATAAGCAATGCTCGAAATAACTCAAAACCATAATTATTGCTACAAATCATTACATTAGTTGAATAGCTGTGAATAAAGAGAAACCTATCATTATGTGATGTATACCTTAACATATGAAAACACAACACAAGTGTGTCTAAAGTTTTTTATTTTTACAACACATATTGGTTGCGGAAAATCTCAAGGTTTTAATTATATTGCATTACTTGACAAATATCACTATACCCTACAGATACCAATACAACAGTAATTCACTGTTTGTCTTATATTGTTAATAAAATTTTTAGTACAAAACAAAGTAAAACTTTTATGAAATTATCTTAATCTTTATACAAATACAATATCTATAAAATTATATTAATGCTTACCTTTATTTTTAAGATGATGTTAATGTTATATTCAGCAGTTATATACAACACATACACATAAACATTATAACAAACGGTTAATTATGATTTTGTTGTGAATCATGTGAGTAGAGTGAGAGTTATGAGGACAACTTGGACTGGGATGAGAACACAACACAATGCACACAACGGGCACAACAACCTGCAGACACCCATAAATAATACAACTGTCTCTAAGAGCATGAGTTGCTATGAGTTGGTGTTTGCCTTTTTCTTCACTACTATCTTAACAATCGTTGCAAATCTCAGAGCAAAACATCCCCAACTCTTAGATCAGCTCAGGAGCTGCGACTTAGTGGCTCATTGGGCCTCATATGAACACAAACTCCTAAACTGCTCTCAACTGCAAACAGCTCTCAACTTCAACTCAAGTAAACTGAAATCAACTCAAAAATGCACTTCTTTTACAGTTTACAGCTCTCTCTCTCTCTCTCTTTCCCCTCTATCTCAATGTTTTGTGATATTTTCTCATTGCATATAAGAACTAGTACTAAGTCTCAGTTAAAATGTATTTCTATTTCTCTTAACATTTGTCTCTGTTTTTCACTTGTAAGCCATCAAACATCCAGTGGTGAGTAAGCGGAGTCAGGTCTATAGGGATTGGGCTGTGGTTGGCATAGCTTTAGGCAAAAAAAGGGATGACTTGGGAACACCTGAGTGCACATACGCAGGAAGAAACCCACAATCTCTGGAGTCATTACCACACTCTCTGCTTCTCTCTGTGTCTACCTTATGGATAGTCACTTCGGGAGCATTACGTGACGCGAACTAAAAAGTCAGAAAAGGCCTGTAAATGGCTTGAGTGAGGATACCATGAGAAGAGTCTAATGTTTGCTCACTAACTAAATGATGACTGAAAGCAGGAAAACACATTTTAGTACATTAGCTGGAAGCAGATCTATCCCTAAGAGCACAATATACACGCAGGACATCCCATGCGAGACCGATCACAGGGCAAACACCCATAAGACATATACACCATATATACCATGCATTTACACTATATGTACAACAAAGTCAAGAAGCGCTTCTTTATTGTCTTCTAAGTTGAAGTCTCGGCACAAATCATTGCAATGACTAGCAATGAGAGCATCCAAGCAGTGAAACGCCCGAAGGGAGGAACGGATCCATGAAAGCAGGTATTCGACAGATATTTCAAAACATATATCATCTCACATGAAATGAGTCTAACACTACCATCTCTACACTTCTCTATCATATCTACAACTATTAAAGTCATCTGAATTATCAGAGCTATCAGAAGACTCATTATAGCCATTAAAAGCATAACATTTCATAGCTTATAGCTGTATGTGTGTGTTATTATGTAAAACTCATAAAAAGTCAAAATTTCACAATTCCGTGATATACTCAACAATTATAGTCACTATTGGATGCCTTTATTACTCAAAGACTACTAATTTTAAGCCATTTCAATACATAATAGTTATTAATATGAATATCAATTGTGATAAAATTCATTATATGATACATTCAATTACAATGACATCTGCCATTAATATTGATATCACTCGTTATTTTCAAGTCTTTTGTAAAAAACATATTGATTACAATTGTACATGTTAATTTTTTCAAATAACTCATATCATAGTAACCAATATAAGAGCACCTGTGTGTTAGCGTTCTAACTACCTGTGCTTTAATAGCTTTTCATATAGTATCATACAATTATAATGTACTACTATACTGATACTACTATATTAATTTACTGTATGAATTTTATATGCTTTTACATTAAGATTGCTATTATTTTCAATATTAAAGAGGATTTTTTTTGATTAGTAAAAGATGATAATGCATTTTATCGAAAAGTTTATAAAAATCTCTCTTTAAAATACAAAATATTTAGTTAATGTTAAAATATATATTATTGTAAAATAAAGCATTTAAGTGTAAGGATTTTGAAATTATAATCATTATTTCATTGACACTGATGTGACGGTAATTTTATTAAAATACATACTGAGTTCATGTAATTTTCAAAGTAATTTTCCAAACAATAAAACACATTAAATATTCAGTAAATCTATTCATAAGATAGAGAATCAGTTAAGTCTCTCATCCGAGAAGTAAATCTCATAAACGGCACGACATTTCATTTCCGGACAAACAATATATTTAAGTCATTATTATAATAAATGCATTATAAACTTAAGAGTTATCAAATTATTAATAATTCTCTCTTTCTCTGATACTTATGGGTTGTTAAGTGAGAATATGTTGTGAAAAATGAATATTTCTTCGACAAAAATAAGCAACAAATGAGTTGTTAGTAATAGAGAAGTATATATTAATTTGAGAAAACTTATAGCTATTATGAATATAGATTGCTATATAAGTACAGTATATACAGTATAATACTGTAGACTGCAAGACATGCGTTACAATGACTGCACTTTACACAAATTCATTATGATATCTTAAATTATGTTATACTGTATATCTTATATTTTTAAATATTTTATTATATAGTTTAAAACAATGAACCAACAACTGACAACAACTCACTATTTGCATAAAACTGATTTATTTTATATAAAAATTAATCGACTCATATATATATATATATACATACGATATATACAGTATATTGAAATTTCGTAAAACTTATTGTAAGAGTTATTGAGAATATGCGAGAAATGTTGATAACAACAACTTTGGTGTATTGAGTGTAAGGATTGTGAATCAGTTTGAAAGTGCAATTCAATGCAATTCAGTTGATAATACAATCAAACATTTGCAGTACTGTAATGTTGTATTATTATTATTATGATTATTATTATTGAAGAGCACCGGTAGAGGTAGAGGAGGTCGACACATGTAAGGCTACGGTAGTGGATATGTGGAGTGTGGAGAGCAGGTGGGAAACACAACCTAACTATAACTATGGCACACATACGTTGGTATTGTATATGTTTTAAAAGTCTTGTCTTGAGATATATATTGAGGATTGTATAGAAAAAGGAGACAATCCCTGCAATGCCTAACCTGTCAGACAATGAAAATTGAAGGGAAGCGATGGAATCCAATATGTTATATATATACACATACATGTATATATATATGTATATACTGTATACTAAACTAAGCCATACATACTGTCCGCATCCTACACATAAAGCTGTTGGGGACGGGATGTTATTTGCTCTTCACTCACTATAACTAACTGCAACTCAGGCATGTATGGCCAGTGCCTGTGTATGGCATGTATTGCCTGTTGAATTCCTCACATACATCTGCTCTCAACTACATTAACCACATTATACTACACTATGTATGCAATGATGAAGACTCATAGAGATCGTGATTTTGCACATTAAATACTTTTGATTAATATTCCGTAAGTCAACCAAAAGTTCTCTCCAAATGTTCAACACATCAACACATAACACATTTCTATACTTTACATCAACTATTTATTTTACCAAACATTTTAGTTTCTAAACTGTAGTTATTAGTAACAATTTTAATCATTTGCCTCATTAAGAAATTTTGTAAGCAATAGCTTTATCATTGAGTTAATCAGATATTATAATCTATAACTATAATATAACATATGATTTGGCTCTCCCAGAGCTAACAACAATTTAACAATCATTTAAACATCAAATTACGTTTGAATAATTGAGAAAAGGATTAAAGTGTTTGATATAAATAAATAAATATATATATATATATATAAATGTATAGTATATATGATATATCTAACTAAAGTATAATTCATATTATTAATACAGTATAAATAAATAACTATTGGTTTACTATTAATGATTAGTTATATTATGCATGTGTTTAGCTAATGTAATCAATGGTATTGTTTTTTATTGTATTTATATGTATGAATACAAACAAAGCCTTTGACTTAGAGTATATTAATAAATAAGATGTCATATAATGTATTGAAGACATGGAATAAGATATGAAAAATTATTATAAGTGAAGATATGGTAAGTCTAGTGACAAACATAAGTGGGTTAATGACTTCAATCAAGTGATGTATCCAAACGTTGGGCACAAAAGGCAATCCACTATTAGATGCCCTAAATTTCTGTGCAAATTGAAAGCACAGGTTTAGATGACTAACGGCAGCAATGGATGCAATCCTTGTTTGTCAACTCAAACAATGAGCCGACAGTGAAATCAAAAGACTCATTAAAGTTAAGATTGTATTCACATTCAAAATATTAGTAATAATACAGTACTCTATGCAAAATGGTTTGGGAGGTGGAAGTGTAGGCATCACCTAATTGTGTGCTTTTATTCTCCTTTTTTATTAGCATTACTTCTTGAGGTGATTCAGTGCACATCAATTGAGGTCATCACAGTGTTTAAGGATATGACGAGTTTTAAAAGCAACTCTCTTTTAGATGAAAAGTCAATGAAAGCAAAGCCTTATATTCATTACATGAAACACAAACCGATTGTACGCCCTATGCTTACAATTACAACTGTACTGACTCTGTTAGACTGTTGCAAATGTAATGATACGTTTGAATACTATATTATAGTTTAATATATACTCAAATGGAGTTTTATGAGAGTAGTCCACCTAAAGAGGACATCCGAAATGATAAGACCCACACAATCATACAATGAGTTTGACAACTCATGTAAATATTAACTAATATTTCTATTTTCATAATAAAAATAAAATCACTTATTTTTCAAATAGTCATACTCTGTAGTAGTTATGTGGATGTATTTGATGTGATAACGCAATCATATAAAGAAAAGGGAGCACAAGTATAGCCAAAAGCAGCCAAAGACAAGCTTAGACATAGCACAGGCACTCAATACTGTAAACTTATATCATATATGAATCTAGTTTTTGGCCATTCCTTCAAATGCTTCATTGCAGTGCCATTTAGTTACAGTGGTTATCAGTGGGGAACCTCATCATCTGAGTAGCACTTAAAAAGCTAACCACTCAATTGGCTCCAAGAGTGCCCCTTTGAGGTATTGGTGAGCGCCTGGATTGTGCTCTAATATTGCTCCCATAGAAACATATCTCATCCCGAGATAAAGTGTCGCTCGTATTACATTCAAAAACTGCTGAATTCCTCAACAGTGGATCACTAATCAAATAATATAACTTTTGCAGCACTCATATCTCCAACAACTACTATGACTACCAACTTATATATACATTGGTATAGATTGGCATACATTTCATACATAATATACTCTGTCTCTCAATTGCTGTAATATTGTATTCAATATATCAAACTGTTATTTGTTTGATTCCAATGAATTAAAGATAATGTTTGGTTGCAGTCATACAGTCAGTCATGTATTGTATATATATATATATATATACATATATATGACTGGTGTTAGCTATGAATACATTCAATACATTTGCTGTGAGACTGTATTTCACTAAAGCATTTGCACTGAAGGACGAGCTCTTGCAGTGACCTTCTCTTCATTTGCTATCATATACTCTCATATATTTCTTGTGATGAAGAGTTGCTGAATATATTTCTCAACTATCTCTCTCTCAGTCACTACTTTCTAAACATACCACTCACTCACCTATGATTACAACATCATATCACTAAATCAACTCAAATAAAAAACATTAAAATATGAGCTCAAACACACACACACATACATACACACACACACACACACACACACACACACACACACACACACACACACACACACACACACACACTTTATCTCACTCTCTATTGATTGCAAGCACTTGTACACTACAGTATATACTGTATGTATGGATACCTCATAGTATTTGAAACAATGATGCAGACAAACAAACACTCAAATAATGATAATAATAATTATTTGATATTATACTAAACTCAGTTGATTTTTGAATACAACTAAACACTGAAAACATGATAAATATTAATAAAGTTATGATATATTAATACTCTAATCGCCTAAACAAGTGATGACCTATAAGTCACATATGATATGTACCTCTAATGCTTGCAATAATGGTTTGAAACAAAAACATTTATTATTTAAAATTATAAGTTAATTGAAAAATATTATAAATTTTAAATATAATGTCATTTATGTGATGAGGGTTTCCCATATAAAGTATGATAGAAATATAGCAACAATTAATACAATACTACATACAGTAATATTGGCTTTTTTTGTTAGTTATAATTGAATGCATAATACTGTATGAGTGATGTTATAAACAACAAACACTTTACAGGCTTAGGGACGTACAGTATATTTAATGGATATACTATATGACTGTGCGATTAAAAAAAGAGATGTGAACTTTGGACTAATGTTTGGCACAGTAGAGAAGGGCCGGTAGTTGTGGTGGTAGTGATGCGGCACTTCTTAACGCTTAACCACTTGTGCTGTTGTTTTGGTGTATAGTATAGTATAGTATAATATAGTATATAATATTAGGCACAACTTGTGGCACAAACTATACTACTCCTCACCCACTGTGCAAACATCCCTTCACAGACTCACACACTGGCAGTCAATGCTATAGTCTCTCACATACTCTCATCCGATGGCATCAAGTATTTGAAAATAAGTAAAACTCTTTGGTCTTACCTTTGATGGTATTCTTAGCCATACTTCTAGTGATCCTATGTTTCCTTTTAGCCATATTTGAAGCACTGGTCGATGTGATGGTATCATCAAATAATAGGTATATGTATTGGAGTTGGAGTGGGACTCAGTTAGTGATGAATTGAGGACTAAGTTTGTTATAACATTTGATGTGTTGATGAAGTGAAGTAAACTCACATTTTTCCGCTTACTATATGATTGAACAATGTTTTCAATGCATTGCACAGCACAGAGACGTCACTCAAACTTGAATGACTGCTTAATGCAACTCACAGTCAATACACAGTCACACACTGTATATACAGTTTTACTATACACTCATTGCAGGATTGGATGAACGCTCACTCATTTACTCTCTCTGCTCCTCTCCCGGAGCTCAACACACACATACACACACATACATACACATAACATACACATCTCTATTGCTCTCTATTGACTCTCACCCAACATTTGCTACACTTCCCTAACATTCATCACATTCACCAACACATTACTGCCAACTATTGTTCATAATATCAATCATTTAACTACTTATCATTTGATATTAATGTTAATCATATAAATAATATACAATAATCATCATATAATTAAATAATAAAACTATTATTAAAATATTAAATTAATGAAAATTCAAGTTTCTTAATAACAATAGTTAATACTATAATATTTGCAAATAATAATATATTCAAATCTTATATATGATAGCACCGGTAGGTTAGCTCATGATTCATGAAACTATAATATTTTAAGAATTCAAGTTTATATAAATAATTTTCGTAATCCAAATATCGCAGATAGAGTTTAATTAATTTTTTGAATAAATTTAATAATAAAGTAAATTTACAATACAATACAAATTTGCTATAATTAAAAAACAGATAAATTCAAAAATTTATCAAAAAGTATCAATGAAAATATATTTAAGTTATTTTTTTCGTTTATAAAAATTTTAATAATATTTTTAAATATAATTAATCATTAATTAAATTTATATTAAAGATGCAAATGTAAATAAATATACACTATTGCAATACTAGTGTATTATTACTATAGATGTATTAATAATATTCAATGATTCAATAATTAAATAATAGTTCTGTATTATTCGTTACTAATATTTATATACTGTATTATAAAAGTATAAATACAGTATATAAATGTAATTAAAAAAAAATTCACTTAAGATATTAATATGAAATTAACTCCAAAAAGTGGTTTTATTTATTAATTTTGAATACAATACTGTATAAAATAATTATAATACACTAATATGGATATTCCCTCATTAGTGATAAATTTATTTTTTTAATATTAAAAATATGATTAATTTTTTTCACTCAAATTCCCGGTAAGACTATAATGTGGTCCCACCTATTGAACTCTAATCAATTTATTTCACTAATTATATATTAATACTGAATAATTGAAAATTAGTGATTGTATTGTCTGAAAACCACTTTTGCAACCAAAGTCTGTCTAAATATAATCTACATATAAGTTATCAATTATGATAAAAAAAATTATAACAATAATATTATTGAATAATTAACCAAATGTTTATTACTATATTAAGATTAATTTACACAAAAAATAATCATAGAATATAAATTATTAAAATGCATTTAAGTTATGGTTATTTTAGTGCAATAGCTAAATGGTAGAACATTTAAACAAACATATTGATGAATATTATGTAAATTAATCTATAAATGTAATAAAATGTCATCTTTTTATGTAATGTTAAAATATTTTGTAAACTTTAATTAATATTCTGTACAAATGATGACTTAACTTAAATATGTAAAATTGTAGCTAAAGATTGAAAAACTTGTGATTAGTTTAAGTACCGAATCAATTGATAATATATGTCTTAAGCATGCCTTAAGAAGACAGGTCTTCCAATTAAAAACTTTTTATGCATTTGTCTTAAAGCACGGGTCGCATCTTCAGGTGAATGGAAAGCTATCTGTGCGTCAGCTGTTGGCTGTCCCTTCTCATTGAAACGTCTTCGCACACATTCTTCAGTTATGGAAAAGTCAGAGAAAAAGACACAAATGTCTTCAATCGATGCTTTGTACGGTATATTAGTAGAAACAATAACACAACGAATATCACTGAATGGATCGTTACGACCACTCCTTCTATCCTCTCTATCCCCCCTTCGTGGTGGTCGCATGTGATCATCAAATCGTGTACCTCTTGGTGGTCGTGAATGAGGCAGTGATGCCATGGAAGAGTCTGGCATATGGACTGGTGGTGGGTTGGGATTGCCTACAACTTGTCTCATGGCTTCAAAAGAGACCGACTTAATCATTATACGACAATTGTCAATAAAATCTCCATCTCTTTTAAGAGCTATATATTGTGATTCATGCGATCCAAACTCAACATAAGCTTCTCCAGCATTAAAGCCGTCGGGTCTGAGCATTATGTGTATAGCATAAGGTTGTGCTCCATGTGATGAAAAATAGTTCGTTAAATCTCTGTTTGCAACTGAAGGGGGAAGTCCTGTGATATTTATACAGAAAGTCTTTGACATATCGCTGGCGTTTTGACCATTTGGTGTTTGAAAAAGTCTTCGGGCATCGAGCATATCATCTCTGGTTGTGGGCAACAGTTCAATATAACGCCGACCCATATGTTTCATGTTTCTCTGTAGTGCTAACTCATAATCGCCGATAGTCTCAAACTCAACAAATGCATTGCCACTGATTTTGCCTTTTGGATCACATTCAATGACAATGTCTACCAATTTAATCGGTTCAAAGAATTTGGTTACATCTACTTCCGTACAATTATTATAGGGTAAGCCTTTCATATAAAGAACTAAGTCATGTCCTGATGCCTGTCGTTGACCCATATTTGGAGCAATTGAAGGCGCAAGAGATTGTTGGGGATATAACGCATCGTTGTTGTCGGCAATAACACTATCTATAAGTGGTTGGACATCAATCTTGCGGTCGCTAAGGAATCGCTTATTCATTGAAAGAGCGGCATCAAAGTCTCGCTCATTGTTAAAGCGGACTAAAGCACCGCCTGTTGTGAGTCCTCTGTCATCAATCAGAATCTTTATATTCTCTTCGGGAACAAACAAACCATTAAAGAAATTAATAATATCCCGAACGACTATATTAAACGGTAAATTCCTTAATTCTATAGTATAAGACCTATCGGATTGATTTCTAATTAAGTGGTTGTCTCTCATTAAGTCCGCGTTTCGATCAAAATCTCCGGAGGAATTCATTCTCTGTACTCCATAGTTATCATTTGGTTGCCATTGACCTCCCCTTTCTTCATGAATCAAAGAAGAAGGCATAGCATCGGAATATCCAAGTCTTGAGCGAACTGGTGTATCCAACGATGGATATGTATTATTAAGTGAATCTCTAATTGTATTCATAAGTCCAGAGCTCATTGACCCCATCCTATTAAGACCATTGCCTGCATTTCCATTGAGATTAACATCTCTTTCATTACGAAGAGGACTTCTACTCCTATCTCTTAGTCTATTCTCTCTATCCATAGATCGGGAATTGATACCTCTTCTATCGGGACTTCGGTTAGTTAACCTACCGGCGCTTAAATTAGATTTAATACTATTTTGTTGTACATTTGGAAGAGCCATATGACCAGAGTTAACATAATTGGTTTGATTTGAATTATTGTCTAACGGTTTTATAGCAATTGTCTGATTTCTGGCTAAATCTATAATTTTTTGCATTTCATTACGACTACTAAGTAATAGTTTGATCCGACAGTCTTTGATTGTATGACCATTCCTTTCCATGGCTTGTCGAGCATCTTCATCACTAGCAAACGCTATGAATGCATCTCCATTATCGCCGCCAACTATATGTACGCCACCGTCGGGTATCTGTAAGCCATGAAAGAAGCGTCTGATGTCCAGAGAGTTGGCCTCAAGCGGAAGGTTTTGCAAACGGATTATTATTGACATCTTATTCATCAAATCTGTTTCATGCCTTTTATGGTTCAAAATCTATAAAACAAGAAAACAGTCCAAAGCCTTCAGCAGTTAATCATAAGATAATTAGTCCAACACTTAAATCATTAATCTATTAAATAGTTATTTAAAAATGTCTTAACAATTGACTAATCAATTAACTCAATCACTAATACACTTGTGATGTCATCTTTAAGTCAACCATTGGTGACAACCATACAGTCCTTTCCTATCACTACAGTATAAGCCATATATCATATGATAAATACCTAAACTAAAGCAAACCTATACTTAACCATCAAATTATATGATAAAAAAGCTAAATATAACTAATATGTGGCTCAGGGAGGCCAAGGAGGCCAGGGATATGAGGAACGCCATTCATTGTCACCATTTATCACACATATTAATGACATTGTAGTAGTAATTCAATTCAATCCAAGCCTTACCACCACTTCTTTATTGATTATCACTTCAATCAAACACCAGATATTATACTTAAGACAACTATTATATATGTTATCAAAGGATTGATCCAAAAGTGACTTTCAATCAAATGTTTGTCAAAACAAATGCAATCATTCAATGCATTCATACAAATGTCACTCAATATGAATGCCATTCACTAATACAGTCAATAGAGGTCTGTATTCAGTATAGAGACCTATATTTTACACCGAAAACAATTTGATTATCAAATCTATTACTGAATTAATCAATTATAAGACAAATTAATTGATTGAAAGCAAAACAAAATTATAGAAATATTACTTTTGATTACATAATTGCCATCAAATTGTATATTATATTAACATTATATTAACATAAAGTAATTGTCGATTACTACAGTATTTTCGATTGACCATGATAATTTGATTAGACATTTAATTAGCACTAGGAACATTTATTAGGCGTTGTTCACATATTACGTTCGCAGTTTTTAAAAAATCTAGACCCCCTCCCCCCTATGTTCGCAATTGTTCGCATGTAATGATATTTAAAAATTACGTTCGCATGTCCTTAACCCCCCCCCCCCACCATTTAAATAAATATTTTATAAAATTATTTTCACTTTTAAAATAATCAAATAATAAAATAAATTAATATTATTCAAAAGTCATATATTTATTCAAAATTAGTTATTAAACCGTTTATCAAAGGATTAAGTTTACTCAAAATTAATCCCTTAAATTCATTCATTATTTAAATGCGAACGTTCTTATAGACTTTACCCCCTCCCCCTCGTTCGCAAAAGTTCGCTTTGGCCTACCCCCCTCCCCTCAAGTGCGAACGTAATATGTGAACAACGCCTTATTGACTTTATAATATTTTTGATGTATCCTCAATATATACCACTGGTGATCATTCAAGTGATTTTTGATTACTTTTGATTAAAATGCACTGTCGAAGCTTATGGTTTATTATAATATATTTCATCTAGATCAAATACACTGTTACATATTAATTTTAATTAAGTGGTATATTTTATTTAATATTATATAAAAAAGGTTATTAAATTTGTGTATTATAATTTTTTTTTGTTTTTTATCTTGGTCAGTAATTATGTTTTTAAGTAAGGGACCGTATAATAATCGTGATATCGCCTGATATATAATAATTTAATTATAATTTTAATAAATCTATAGTTTTTATAGTATAAGCGGCAACTGTAGTACAGTATAATTTAAGTAACTTTTTTGTTAGTAATTATTAAAACAATTTGTCGTCAAATAACTAATGGATAATTAAAAATTAAAACAAAGTTTATTGAAATATCATATATTAACATAAAAATAGTTACTAAAGCTAAGGATTGTGGCGTTTGCTGTTCACATTTGCTTTCATATTAAAATGTATTATTTTACAATTTTAAAATAATTATATCTATTTTATAGAAAATTAAAATTATACTTTTATTATACTTTTATTTCAATTAGTATACGTACTATACTTTTATCAGTATTATACTGTATCTGTATATTTAAATGTATTAAAATGCAATAATAAACTAAAATAAACTAATATCGTATGCAAAAAAATTGCTGTAAAAACTATAGGAATTTGATATTGTTTTGAATGAGTATTACTACAGAACAAGTCTACAGTTGTCAATGGATCCGTCTTCAAGTCCTCTCGTGTGTCAAAACAAATGAGACAACTATGGCGTGAATCAGTTATGCAATTCATTAGACATAAATAATATTAAATATCTGAAAAAACAATTAGAGTTAACTTATATGTACTTTTGATATTTTATAATGTTGTGTAGGAAAGCATTGTTGTGTGAAAACTAAATACTGAAAGAGAGAGAGAGAGAGAGAGAGAGAGAGAGAGAGAGAGAGAGAGAGAGAGAGAGAGAGAGAGAGAGAGAGAGAGTAAATAGAAATATTTGATACCACAATATACTGTAGTATTAATTTAACTAAATTACAATACAGTTACTGTATTTGTATCTATCATTTAAATAACTTTTACGTATAGTATGTTATAAAAAAATGTTTATTGTATTAAATATTAATATTTTAATATTTAAAAATAAATTACTCAAATTAGTTCACTTGTGGTAATACAACAATATATTTTCTTTCATTTAACGGATCAATTGTCAGCAATTAATTTGTTAACATATTATTAAGTGGTAACTGATCTCCAGACCTTATGAAGACCCTATTTATCTCGAGAACCAATGTTCTGACAACAAAAAAACGATAAATAATAGACTTTTAGAGAATCATAAGTCAACCGATTTGGTCCCGAGATATACCAGAAAACTGGTATTTTATAACAAGATTTTGCCGAAGACCACTATTATCTCGGGAAGCGATGGTTGGACAATAAAGTGACCATGAGCTATCTTGTATATAATAAAACTAAGTGGATTAAAGAGGGTCGGATCGGTGAACCCGTTTAAAAGATAATATGGGTCTGCAAACAACTTTTGTAATAAAATACCCGTTTTTGGGTATATCTCAAAATCAGGTTAACCTATCCGACCCGATAAGTCAGTCCAATTAGTTTTATTATTTTCCACAAGTCTATAATTGGTCACTTTTGTCCGCCCATTGATTCCAGAGATAATATGTGTCTTCAGTCAAATTTTTTAAAAATAAAATACGTTTTTCGGGTACATTTCGGGAACGGATAACCGACACGATTGGGACCAAATCGGTTGACTTAGTTTTATGATTGTTTACAAGTCTACTATTTTGTCATTTTGTTAGACAGTTTGTTCACGAGATAAATGGAGTCTTAGAAAGGTCTGCATATCAGTCACCACTTAATATCATTTTAATTAGCCTTAAAATAAACCATTAATTTATTAAGATTTCACATATTAACTAACCTTACAATAATAATTAAGATAATAATTAAGATAATAATTAAGATAATAATTAAGATTTTTTAATAATTAAAAAATAAATAATATATAAATAAAATTAATATTATTATAAACAAATTGTTTAATTTAATTTCTATCAATATTTTGATAAATAAAACTTTAAACCAATATACTGTATATCTATGATATGCAATAAATGATTGCAAATAATTGATTTGTAGATATAGTTGGATCAAACAAACAAATTGTTGTTATAAATATAACAATTAAATAATGGTTATGGACAATGATTGTCCCTGGACTGTTTAACATAAATATAAATGTATATAATTTGTTGATAATTTTAATTTAAAGAATTAATATACTATACTGTAAGGCAAAAAAGTCAAATAAGCGGAAGTCTATTGAAATTTATGCCATTTAATTGGCACCACTTATATAGCCATAGAGTCATAATCATTGTTAACATATTATTGTCTTGTAATTAAATCCATTGAATGAAATAGCGTTGTGTAAAAAGTGGGACACATTTTAGGTTATGATTTGTTGAGTTGGGTTCATAAAAATCATTCAACATTTTATGTTAAGTCTTATGGATATACTATAGATATATAACTTTTGGTAATTTATAAAAATTTAAATTTTAGTTGTTATGACACTTCTTAAGCCGATAACTATGGATCAAAAAACAGCACCGATTTGTGACTTCAATTCAGTGGACAGAAGAAATACATTACAATCAGATTTACCGCCTGTAAGTCTATTTTGTCTTTTTTTAAATAAAAATTAATTTATTACACATTTTCCTTTTTAATAAACTTAGATATAGTATCACTTATTAGAAATAAATATTTGTCTATACTATAGTATAGACTCTATAAAATTTACTAACAGTTAGTATTATAATACTGTATTATAATAAAATAATTGCTATAAAAATACAGTTTATATTATATTTTATGTCATAGTATATAATATATTTATTTAATATGAAATACATCAAATAATTAATTTCTTAAAACTTAAATTTTAATTATATTTAAAAATAATATTCTTTATTAGTTTAAATATTACTAACATTTTACTAATTAATATTAACAGTTTCATTGCTATAATTTGATGTCATATTTATATATTATTTTAATTTAATAAAATGCATACAAAAGTCTGAATTTCAAACCTATCAGTCATCTGAGTCATTAAAAATGGCAAAAGTTATATCAAAGACATTGTTGGCCATCACAGCTATAATCAGTTGTTTAGTGATTATATCAATTTATATTCAAACAAACAACCGATGCTCTTGTGGACGACAGGTTTGTTTCTGGTTATCATTATTTTATATATAGTGTATATATATTGTATAATAATATCATTCAGAAGTATTCTGTATATTTAGATATCATAATATTAATAATTGATGTTGTGTGATGGTGTGTGATAATTAATGTTTAAATTAACAAATAATAATAACATTTCATTAATATTTGTTAGTTATTTTTTCTAACAAATAAATACTCTTTTTTATGCTAAAACTTTTTGAGAAGCATTCAATTGATTAGAAAACCCTAAATTATAAGATAATTATTTATTTTTAAAGTATTAATAAGTAAGAGCATTGAACTATTATATACTATAAGTATTTCTGAAAATTAAACTAAAATTATTAGAAAAAAACTTATAATTATATTATTATAGTTTACAATTTTATATTTAGTAAACAAGAAATCATTTATAATTATCGTAAATAATATTTTAAAAGAAAATATTTAAATATATTATACAACACCAAAAGCAAACGCTTATATTTCAGGCATTTTGTTGATATAATTTTTTTTAATACAACAATCTTATTTAGAAATCACGTAATGGACCTTATTTTGAACCATTGGTTGCTGAAAGTGAAGATAAAGAAAAAAGGAGATTACCGTTAAGTATAGAAATGGCCGGATCTGCTGGAGTTAGTCATCATTATTAAATTGAATCCATGTTTTATAAATATTTAAACAAAATATTATTTAATTAATGCTAGGATTTAATGAAAAAGATGAACACAAAAGGTCACGTCAATTGTGTGGTCGAGCGTAAGGTTACCAATGAAATCATCGCATCTGAACCTAAAATGGTATTATTATTTGTAATCTAATTAAAATCATATTAATATCATATAAACAAATTGATAACTAAAACGAAAACAAATCAATTATTATAAATTAATTTAAATTTTATAAAGAAAAATAGTTTCCTTTTTATAATAACTAAATTTATAATATGTATCAAATTAGTGTATATTAAAACAAGGAGATATAGACCGTTACGATTGTCCTCAAAATAAATTGTTTTATTTAATTCATTTAAAGTTAAAGTGCATAAAAATAAGAGCTAAGTTTTGACTTAAATTTGAAATAACATTTATTCAGTCGTAAAAATCACCACTAATTAAATAATAATTAGACAATTTTACTAAATTATATAAATTAAAAAATATTTATTTAACAAAATTATTTTTAAAATTTAGTTAATCACACCGTTCGGGAACATAACAACTGATCCACGTTTGGTTCACTTGACCGGCGAGAAGATGGTCTTTACCTGTAATTCTGCTAATAAAGAGACCAACAAAAAGAATAAAACAAAAAGTGATTTAAATGATAAAGAAAGCCAAGTGATCGGTTAATATGTTTTTTTTTAATTATTTTATAATTATATAAATCTATATATTGTTAATTATTAATCACTCCTAAAATACATAATACATGTATATGTTTTTACTCGTGAAAAAATTGCGGAAGTTTTCTATAAATATCACATTTATTTAAACAATTGAGGATTATTTTGACAATAGTTATAATTATATTAATACAAATATAAGAATAAATGATTGTATATAAATCAATATCTTTAATATTTCACAGACAAAAATGCCTATTCTTGACAAAACTGAAGATTGAAATTATTAAATTTAAAACTATTATTTATTATTAATATTAAAATTGCAATTTTATAAATTAGCAATAAAAATATGCCTCACACTGTCAAAACAAGTTGTAATTAAAGATGTATAAAATAATTTTAATCATTTAATTTACAAACAATGATTTGATGCAAGATTTTAAAATTTTTCTTAATCATTAAAATTAATCATTAATGATATTTTATAGAATAATATATTATATTATATATTATATAGAAAATTTTAATTTAAATAATTAAATATTGTTAATATCTTTATCATTATAATATACAGTATTATCAATTTATGATAAAATTATAAAAATAGTCTAGTCTTTAATGTTTAGAGTAAATAAATATAATAAATAATTATAATAATCAAAATATAGTTTTTAATTAATTAGTTATTATATCAATTACTATACTGTATACCAAACAATATATTTCATACAATTAAAACTTGTAATTATATACAGTTAGTGACAAATAGTATTACAAATACTGAAAAATCCTAAAATATATTTATTTTTTACAGAATTACGCGCAAAGAGATCGACAGAGAAAGTAAAGAGTGAGTGCGCGTGTGATTGCAAGTGTTGACACGTTATCAATACTACTACTACTACTACTACTACTAATACTACTACTACTACTAATACTACTACTACTACTACTACTACTACTACTACTACTACTACTACTACTACTACTACTACTACTACTGTATATTCAAGTCAACTATATTTTCTCTAAACAAATAATATTTTCTAATTATTTTTAATATGACCATGGTTATTTTCATTATATAATAATTACTTTATATAACTTTAGAATTTGTCAAAATTTTTAGTATATATTTTTGGAAATAAATAAAATCAAAATCTTAGTCATTCAAAATAATGATTTATTTTACTTTAATTTATTAAATTGTATTTTATTTGTATGAATATAATAATACTTTAATCACAGCAATACTGTACTAACAATTTTATAATAATTTTTATTTATTTATCTCAAATTAAGCAAACAAATCAAACAAATAATGAATTAATATATAATATAAAAACTGATTTTTTGAAAGTAAATCTACTAAAAGTCAACAAAATGTATGCAAACAATCATATGTTTCCATTTGTCCAATTGATCTGATCGTAAGTGTACTTTTGAAGGTTTTTGTTGTCACCATTTAGAGGAAGAGTTGAACTAATGGTCTTATTTGGATTTAAGCACTCATTAACAATTGAGTCGTCCAATGCTCCTGAGTTTAGATTTACTTTGGATTCTTTGTTTAAACAATTTTTAACTTTAATTATTATATAAACAATAGTTAGAGGAATGGGTGTCATAACAGAGGCGGCCACAGGTATGACGGATGCCAGGTCTGCATCCGGCTGTGGAAGAGATAAACCCAGTAATACAATGGCAACACCTGTATTCTGGATACCAGTTTCGATGGCAATTGCAATCTGATTAACAGATGATTGCTTTAAGAGTATTGATGCTAAAAGTCCGATCAAAAATCCTGACCAAACATTAATAGACGCCGATAATAGTATACGCCATGACATCAATCGAAACATATATAAATTGGCATAAGTGCCAAATATTACTATAAATATAATCATTGCAATAGAAACAGGGGCTAAAATTTTGCGACATATCTGTTAATCAAAAAAAAAATATATATATATATATATATATATATATATATACTGTATATAAATACAAAGATATTTTACAATTCATTTTATACATACATTGGCAACTCGTGGTATAAATCTTTGAAATAATAGTCCGACGCCTAAAAATATGGTCATTGATGCTAATGAACCAAATATATTATGTAAAGGAACTGTAGTTGTCGTGCCTTCAAATATATTGCGACCCAATGTGAACAACCATAGAGGCATCATAACTATTTTTTATAAAATATTTTATATAAAATAAATAATTATCATTTGTCATAAAAGTTTTCCTATTTTTTAAAACTAATATTTTTATATTAAGATCTATAAAAATGACCAGTATTTTTATTTACCGATAATACTAAAAACGTTATTTACTACATGTAAATAGTAACTAATAATACTAAGTTAATTAATAATTAAACAATTATTAAAATACAAATAATTCCTTTAGTAATAAACAAACTTTGCTTTAAATAAATTGTTATTTTATAGACATTTAACCGGAAATTAGATATCTATCCGAACCAGGGATCCGATAGATATAAATTAAGTATCCTTTTAACAAAATATGGTTTTAGATTAATACAGTCAACACATTACTAATGTATTGTATATTTAAGTACTATAATGAATAAGAATCATAAGATTTAGTAATGAATCTTAAAGTTAAATATTTTTTACAAAATATTTGCGATCAGATTTCATTTTGTTGTTTATTTGAAAAATTAACAAATATATTATAATAATTTTATGTAAAACTAAACGCATATTTCTACATAAAATATATTTTTAAAAAATAAAAATTCACATTTCCAAATACTGCTAATTTTTTATAAGCAGTAAAAATAACGATTAAATCATTAAATATTTGCTAAAATGTTAAAAAGACAATCGATTAATGTTAAACTATATAATATATTGATGAATTAAATGTTTCAAAATAACACTAATTGTATTAAAATGCTTGTATTTATTTGCCTACAAAATGCACTATTTATTATACAGTACTATAACTCCACCCATTTTACACACAAAATATATTCCCGTAATATAAATACTAAAAAATATTAAATTATTAAAAATAATAATAAATATTAAATAAAATAATAATAACTAAAAATATTAATATATTGGTTCTTGTAGCGTTTACCGGTCCTGGGAATCCCGTATAGAAATGGTAGCCCAGACGTCCCTGAGTACCCCCATAGCACTTTCATACCTGTCCGACCTCCGCAATTTGAGATATTCGACTTTAAAGTCGATTTTTTAATGGACGTTATTTATGTATATGAGACATTATTTCAATATACTTTTTAATGCTACTAATATATCTGAAAACAAAATTTCAATACGATTTCTAGTATTCGAGATATTCGACTAAATCGAAAGTCGAAATTTTTAAATTACGTTATTTATACATATGATATATGATTTCAATGTATTTTTTAATAATAACTATCATAATAAAATCAACATTTCTATAAGTTATATAGTATTCGAGATATTCGACTATAGTCGATTTTTTTGTATATTGCATTTAATTATTATTTTTACTGTATATTATTTATTTTATTAAATGTATAAATTTATTATTGTTAATTGTGTGTAAAATTAATATACAATTTTATAATATTTTTGGCAATGCTAGACTTGAATGATAAGTTTGTTAAATCATGATAGTATTTTATAGTACTATCAACAAATAATACTTTTATCACGAACTCCTAAAAAAGTACGTATGGAAATGCTTTCTATCATTCTCAACTGGTTTATACTGCAAATAATTTTTACTCGATTTAAAGTCAAATATCTCGAATACTAAAAGTCTTATTGAAATTTTGTTTTCAGATATATTAGTAGCATTAAAAAGTACATTGAAATAATGTCTCATATACATAAATAACGTCCATTAAAAAATCGACTTTAAAGTCGAATATCTCAAATTGCGGAGGTCGGACAGGTATGAAAGTGCTATGGGGGTACTCAGGGACGTCTGGGCTACCATTTCTATACGGGATTCCCAGGACCGGTAAACGCTACAAGAACCAATATATTAATATTTTTAGTTATTATTATTTTATTTAATATTTATTATTATTTTTAATAATTTAATATTTTTTAGTATTTATATTACGGGAATATATTTTGTGTGTAAAATGGGTGGAGTTATAGTACTGTATAATAAATAGTGCATTTTGTAGGCAAATAAATACAAGCATTTTAATACAATTAGTGTAAATATTACACTCAATGTCCGCAAATTTCATTTTAAATAATTAATAATAATATTTATGAGTCTAATTAAAAATATTATATTATAGTTATATTAAATTATCTATATTATATATTCTATAAAAATGTGTTGATATTTAAAATTATGTAATAATTCAGTTTATATATAAATAAATAAAATTAAACACTATATCTAATATTATTGACATTTAATTTATAGTTTATACTGAAGTATAAAATAATAACATTATGAAAATATCGTTATATTTAAAGTAATTTACTTTTTAAAAAATATTCAAATAAAAAAGTATTGTAATTCATGCAATTTAAAAGTAATCAAATTTTTAGACATCATATTTGATATATACTGTACACATTATATAGTATGAAAAATTAGTCATCATTTTAACAAAAATAACTAATCATTACGTTATGTAATCAAATTTCAATAAATTTATCAAATATTCTTAAAGTTTTGATTAGAATTAATTAAATTTCAGTAAATATATACAGAATTATATAAAATTACATTTAAAATTCAATTTTGAAATTAATAAAAATAAATAGAAAATACATACAAATAGCTGATAAAGTGCTGATAAAAGTCATGGTAATACTGAGATTAAGGTTACCACCGCATAGTACTGTCCACATATTGCTGGCCCCACCACCAGGACTGGCGCCGAACACAAACAAACCTAACTGTAAGTATGACTCCCTTAACAACACTTTGCCCACAATATATGCCATCTGTAAGACTCAGAAGATTAACATATGAAACCATATTTTATGATTAATACTGTACTGACCAAAGGCATGAACCCATACTGACATACAAATCCAATGATCGGTGCGATTGGCCTTTTGATCACTTGGAGGACAACATTTAAATCCAGAGCACATCCCATATTGATATAATTGATTGATATCAACACAGCAACACATATGGTAAAGATTTTAGTCAATCGACTCGATGGCCGAATAACACTGATGGCCAACCGTTCGCTACGATCGTCGGTATTATTTTTGTTGACCACTTCAAGCCACGAATGACCCAATGATTTGCCCCTCAACTCAAATGTATAGTTTTGGTGCAAATTATTGTCCAAATTTAATGTCTTATTGCCGACTACTTCAACAATTGATTGGTCATCGATATAGATCTCGTAATAATTATTTCTTGTATTAAACTTATTGATTGAAGTGTTCAGATTGAATGACACATCGATGAGCTGATCCTCTTTCAATTGTTTCACTTGTGATGGTCTGAAAGTAACCGATAGGGCGGCCGTCACTTCAAGTAATAAGAGTATTACCGATAATATTAGCGCTAATAACACGACGGGACACATGACCAATGATTAGTCAAACTTTATTACCGATGGCCACCAATTACTTTGCTTCAAATGCTATTTCTTGTATAGACTTCAATCATATGCTTAACACTAGTATTATAACAATGTGTTGAATCAAATTAATTATCAATTAATTAATGTTTAGATCAAAACATAGAGTCAAACATTGGCTATACTTTTACACAAACAACTCGTCAAACATTTGTATGTATTATTAAATGCCAAATATATTAACCAATCAAACACTACTCAAGTATTGCATAAATACTTATTATTCAGCCATTCATGTGATGTAATGACTATCGTATAGCTATTGTCTATACCTTTACATTAATAATACAGTAATTGTGTGCCACATATTCAACATATTTTATTTTTAATTATTTACAGTATTATAACTAATTGTATTTTATCACTTTTAAATCATTGTTGTCTATCATTGAACTAAACAATTACTACAGTAAATTGTATAAATTATGTATCAATAAAAAATACTAATAGTATAAAAACATATTTTTATCAAAACATTTAATAGTTAGCAATGTACTAAATGAAATATATTGTAACTAATGTATAAAAGTAAATTAATAAATTTATATACCCAGGTCATTATAACAACAATTTATATGAAAGATATTTTGTTAAATTAATATGTTTAAATTGATAACTACCAATAAATTATATTAAAATAATAGTATTAATTTAATACTCAATATAATCATAAAATATTTTGTTTATTAGTACTAATTTAGTACCCAATGATAACTTTAAGTGCTTTCTGTACTTAATTTACTTAGTTTTTAAATGCTGTTTAGCTATGATTTTCTTTAACTACAATATAATCATATGACTAAAGCTAATGTCAATTCTATTGTACTCTTGTCCACACAAATACACTTTTTATAATATTTTTTTAATCTTCAATTATATCCACTATTTTAAACTACATTATAATTAATGTATAATAGAGTTACGGAAGTTATTAACAATTATACGAATGTTAAGTTTTTTTAATTAAAATAATTTAGTCTAATTTATTTATAAATAAAAGTATTAATATTGTTAAAATATTATAATTACTAATATAAACATAAATACATTATATTAAAAATTATTCATTTGTTTATAAATTCATAGTATTAATAAAATATGAAGAATTATAAAAACTAAATATATATATATATATTATATTTATTATTATATTTAGTTTTTATAATTCATTATATTTTACTATGAATTTATAATTTATAAACGAATGAATTAAACTTTAATATATTCAATATATACTGTATTTACTATATTTAGTAATTATATTAATCTTCGTATTATACAACTATTTTTAATAAGAAATAATTATATTAATTTTGAATTTATATTAAAATGATTTATATAAATTAAGGTTAAATACAAATATTTTAGTAAAATAATAATTTCTATTAAAACGTCACTTACTATAGAAAATGAGATTTGATGGAAATCCTGGAAATAAATATTATTAAATTAAACTTATAATACTGAAAGTATTATTAATTAATAAAATATTTCATATGAAAATATATTTGAAAATATTTAAAAAACATATTATATAAAAATATAAATTGAAAATAATATACAGTATATATGATAATAGTGACAATTAATAGAAAAAGCTTATGAAATAGTATTTCAAATTAGGACAGACTTTTGAACCAGTTTTTCGTACCTATATTTCTAGTGAAACGTCTTAAGCGCCGCAAAACTTCAATTCAATGTTTGTTAATCGTATCTAATATTTAAATCACAAGTTTTTCATTTTTATCGTAATTAAGTACTCAATTGCTTGCAATACATATATATATTTTTTATTGTTCAAAACAATTATAAATTATATACTTTTTTCTTTTATTCTTACAATTTAAGCCTTAGCTCTCTTTGAAGGACTTTTTCAATTGATTGGTTAATACATATTAAATTAAAAATAATATATATTATATACAGATAAACATATTTATAATTATTTTGTTTTTAAATATATAAATTATATTAACTCTTTATTTGCAAATTTTTTAAGTTTAAATTAGTTTTGTTTTCATGTTTTAAAAAATATAAACCACATAAAAAATAGTCAATATTTTAAACAAAAAAATCTATTGCCGTAAATATAGTTTCAATCAAAGGTTAATAACCTATTGAAACAATCACTTGATGACACTTATAATTTTGATTCTCAATTAAATTTATTTTTAGTTATATCTAAAATTATACATTATAAATTAATGAAAAAATAAAATATTAATCTCTTTATATATTTCAAGTATAAACTATAGCACTATTTTACATTTAATGTCTTCATTTAACTAATATAATGGATCAAACTGTTTCAATAGATCCGATTCTGGTTTATTATCAGAAGGAATGACCGTTTTTGATAACTGCGTTTCGTCTGATTGTTTAATAGGTTCACTAATGGGTTGCAACGGCTGAATTTGTTGTGGATCTAACTCTTGAGTTAAATGAGGAAATTGTTGTCCATTAAGAACCTGTGGTGTGTATTGCGACTGAAGTACGTTTTGATCAAAACCATTAGTCATCTGTTGATATGGTGTTTGACCAGTCATTCCTTGATATTGTTGGTATCCATATTGTTGACAATAGGGATTAGATTGAATGGTTGGTATTTGTTGCTGTTGCTGATATTGATTGACATTTTGCTGATATTGTGTATATTGTTGTTGTAATGGTTGTGTTGAAGAATATTGATGAATCGGTTGTTGTTGAGAAACTATAGGTTGTTGTTGTTGATAAATATGACCTGAAGATTGAACAGTTGGTTGAGCAATTATCTGTTGTTGATATTTTTGAGAAACTCCTTCTGCAATTGTATTTGATGTAACTGTTGTTGTCGGTGATAATGTTGCAGGAAATTGCATTTGTTGTGGAGTTTGATAATAGGATAGTTGAGAAATAGCGGACTCAGTACTCGTTGGTTGAACTGTAAAATTACTTTGTTGTGAATGTGGTAACTGCTGCTGAAGTTGAGTTTGGTATTGAGTTGTTTGGACCTGTAATTGTTGTTCTGATTGAATTGTCTGTTGATGGCCTGAATATTGTTGCATACCTTGTGGTGTGTAATGAGAATATTGTGTAATATTATTTTGATATTGTTGTTGATATTGCTGAGGAGGTTGATGTGGAAATTGTTGAATTGGTTGTTGAAACTGTGGTGATTGTGATGGCGAAGGCTGAGTATACTGTTGATTAATTTGTGTGGTTAGAGTTGGAGTCTGTGAATATTGAATGTGCTGTTGTTGTTGTTGAATGTATTGTTGGGTCTGTGGTTGTGCTGATAGCTGCTGTTCCTGTTGTGGTTGAAGTGATGTTTGTGTTTGTGGCAGAATCTGTTGGTTTTGTTGAGTTTCTTGTGAAGAATACTGGTTTTGATTTATAGGTAATGTTTGATCATTAGTTTCGTATCGATTGTTTAGTGAATTTTGACTGAGGCTTACAGGCGGGTAGTTTTGAGCTAAAGGTGGCATTATTACTGAATTGTTCGCTAAAACATTAGCTGCAGGAATAGGTTTCGACATTTGTTTCATGTATTGAAGATAATCTTTAAGTTTAGGAGTGCCCGGAGTGTCACCATTTAAGGCGACGTTGACGTTGTGTTCTAATGAATAGTTTGTGTTCTTCTTCTTGTAAGACAAACTAATTTGAGCTCTTTCTTCATCCTGAACACGACAAACACCACGTGTTCGCGCGTGAAGTCGGGCCACAATGTTCTGGAATTTTTGATAAAATTCCAAACCTTTTTTTGAATTGATTTGCAACTCTTTAAACACTTCAAATGTATGAATAAGTGAATCAATTCTTGCATTTCTATTGCTCTGATTATCCAAAAGAGCTCTTCGAGTTTCACTATATTTAGCGTTAGCTTTGGTCAGTGCCCGGAGTATATTGTCTTGAGCTGACAGGTTTTGCTCTATTAAAGACCTGGTCTTATCGTACTTTTTTATTTCATTTTTGAAAACTTCTTCAATTTCTTGCTTATTATGAGTCAAAACTTGTTTCATTAGGTCATCGGTAGCCATCGTTTCTCTCAATTGATTTTCAAGACTAGAGCGTTGTGTCTTCATTTCATTAACTTTGTCGAGAAGTTTCTCCATTTCAGTTAAGTTTGTTTCATCAAACGGCACATTAGTGTTAGTCGGTGGTAATAAAGACGAAACATTCTTAGCTGACGATGTAATCAATAACTTAATGTCATCGCAATGTCGCTCCAGATTATCTCTAAGTGATCTGTTGGACAATAATGCTTTGTTATGTGTTTCTTCATGTTTGGTCAACTCTTTGTTGAGTTCAACAACAATCATAGAGATGGGTCTCTTTCCATATAAATTTTGATGTTCTTTCTCCTTATTTTCTTCCTCTTCAAGAAGTGATTTCGTTTCATTAATAGCTTTATCTACTTCTTCACTAATTTCTTCTAATTCTGTCAAAACATTATTCACTTCAATGATAACGTTTGGATTGACAGACATTGCAGCGCACACTTCAATAAGCTTATCGGGAATCGGTTCATCTCTTGTGCGGACCTTTTCTTTGTCCAATTGAAGTGATGCCATATAAGCGGTTAACTCTTCATCTTTGTCATCAATTTTATATCGAATATCTCTCATAATTTCATCTTTCTTTGCGCTATAAATAGAGTTTGTTTCGTGTGCTTCAATGGGTACGAGTCTACTGAATATATCATTTCCACAAATTTCTGGATCACAGACACTGAAAGGGATTCCTTTAACGAGAGAAACGCCTTTAACTTCAGTCAGCTTATCATTTGTGGGAACCTTTTCGTGATAAACAAAATCATTTTCTTTAATAGCGTTCTGAAGTTTAACATTAATCACATCAGAAACAAAAACAAGCCCTTCATTGAGTTCGGGTTTGTCTATCTGTTTGGACAACTTTATCGATTCATTAAGTTTTGCTTCAGCGGACTGAAACCACGCAACTCTTTCACCCATTTTTTGTTGTTCTTCAGCTAAATTTCCCATAAAAAGAGCACAAATTGAATTATAATACGAAACTTTAAATTCAATAAACTTTTTCCACTCTTTATATAATTTTGAGCCAACAATGTCTACAATAGTATGACTGGCACTGGTATTTACAGCGGATTGCAACAGAATCAACAAAGAACTACTATAGTACTCAACCACCTGAGCGGCCACTTTGGCAACAATTGATGACTTGCGGTTGTCTAGCATTGACTTCTCAAGAATACACTCCTGTGCTTGAGATAACATCACCTGAACAAAGAATGACAACAATTCGTGTGACATGTCTTTGCTTTTATAAAGTCTATTATCATCTCTCAAGTGCTGAAAAGCCCAAACCGCACACTGGAAGTGAGTGCATGAAACCTTCATACTGTCGGCTGTGTTTCGCATATCAAGAGCACCCAACTCAGCGTGAAGAGCACCGATGTTGTAGAGGACACACGACAACTCAAAGTCCAGATCACCGATCACTGTCTGTCCAGAATATACATCGGCCCAAACACACTCTACGCCCACATTTGGGTCAAAAGCAGAAAACCGGTTCAAAAGACTATATATCTGTGAATAATATCTCTTTAGTAGCGAACAACCGGTAAAATCTCGGGGAACACGTGTGGCCTTCTGTTTAAATATTAAGACATTAGTTGACACAATCATAACTAACTTATAATAATAATAACATCTAATGTAATGTTTGCTTACATTTCTTAAATTTTCCAATTCATTGATCTCTCTGTCATAAGAATTGCCATCTTCTGAGTAATGGGAAGATATGAACTGTATATCAAAAAAGACATTTCAAGACATTTCATATCATTTATCGTATAATAATAGTAAAGATAATTACATTCTTGAAAGGCGTCGCAAAGTCGGGACAAACGGGACTTATTTTGAGCTCAAAGTAAATCATCGGTAGTTTAGGTACGGCTTCCATACTTTCCGATCAAACACTGACCACTCAATCGGTGATAATTGACGGCTATATCAATGACTGCAACTCACAAATTGTAACTCAATTACTGCTGATTACGTGATAAATAAAATATATATTTATTTATTATACAAACAAAACAATGATTGCAAACAATGAGTCAATAAATTGGATGACATTTACTATTAATACAAATGACATACAAATACATTACAAATACCTTTAAATGCATTACAACTTCAATGGTCTTATAAAACAATATTTATATGTTTAGCGCATGACTTGAAAACACAACACAAATATTATATTATTATTAATAATACAAACAATACTTTTAATAATAAAATTTATTATAAATTATTTGTATAATAAATAAATACATTATTCAGTGATATCTTATGAAGAAATGCCACTACCATTAGCTCTACAACAAAGATTGCAAAAGAGAGGATTAATTACCAACAATAGCATTGAAAGTAAGCTTAAGAAATGACAATTAAATGAGGTTTGACTTTGTTTATCATTTGTTGTTATTATATCTTTCGATATAAACAGAACAATTGGAAGAAGTTATTGCTGAAGATTATGATGACAACCGGTTTGATGGTAAAAGTGGTCAATGTGTAAGAGGATGTCCAAACAAGTATAACATATATCATGATTGCACCGCTTATTGTCATAAAAGATATTCAGATATCAATGAAGAGCCATCACCTAAAACACAGAGAAAATATCAAAAACTTGTAAAAAGATATCCATTGCCTGAGGGTTGGCAAGAAGTTTATGATCCGGGAGTGTATGAAATACTAAACATTTTATTAAACATTAGATAAGTTTATATTTAAATTGCAGAAAATGTTTCTACTATTGGAAGATATCGACTGATGAGGTTTCGTGGTTTCCTCCACATCATCCAAAAGCTCGTATATCTATGTCTGCTGATAAACTAAGAAGTAATTTCACAAATTTTTAATTAAACTTATTATAGATTATTCTTTCGATTGTTTTTATATAGTTATATATCTATTTGTGTTTAGCATTATTAAGAGATGACGACGACGAGGACCAAGAGGGTGATGGAGATGACTCTGACTCTAATTCTCAAATGTCTTACAACTCAAATGATGATTCAGATAGTGATTCTAACAATTTGTTTAAAAATGAAAGTAAATCAATTGAAAGAGATAGAGAAAGACGAGCGAAGACACGTATTGTTAGAAAAAATAATAGTTTAGATCCAATGGATCCGTCGTCATATTCGGATATACCTCGAGGAAAGTGGTCAGATGGTCTTCAAAGCAAAGGAGAGGCCAAAAGTGGTGTCGATTCAACCGCTTCGGGACCACTGTTCCAACAGAGACCATATCCGAGTCCGGGAGATGTTCTCAGACTTAACAAAGAAAAACGTAAAAGAAATAGAAATCATAGCAATGATGAAGACTAATACATCTGATTTAAGTTTAACCAATTGTATCGTCTTTACCATAGTATTCATAGTTATTCAATAATAACAGTAAAAATAAAAATCTATTTTATGCTTAAAAAAATTAACGCTTTGTTTTTTAATTAATTATTTATTAGCTCAACATTTGTCATCATTTATTAATTAATTTAAATATTTACAGTTTTTTATGCACTGTATATAAATTTAAGTAATAATTATTTACCGTAAGTTAATAAAAATCATTTAATTACTGTATTTTTTTGTTAATTTTATAAACAGTATCAAAATGTGTAAAGTAATAATAATATTCAATAAAATATGTAATAATTAGAGTATTTAAACAATATTTATGTTATAGTAATCAATTATAATAAATTGATTGTTTAATTTATCATTAAAGTAATTTAATTAATTAAAAGTAATTGATTATGGTGATTTTATTCAATTTTATTTAATTAGTCAATATTGTACTTTACTGTAGTCTACAATACATTACATACTCCTTATACATGTGTGTTATATTATATTATATTATATTTAATACAAGTATTGATGTATTGGTTAATACTGTAGTTTGAGTGTTGATTCACTTGAATATAACGTAATGTTTGTAAATGTTGTGTAATTGATATAACAGTCGGCAAAATGCAAATAACATTCAAAACATGTCAAACATTATCATTGATTACCATTTTATATGTAATATTAATCATAAAGACATTGAAGTGTAATAATGAAGAAGATTACACGGAATCACTTGTTGTCAAACCATTACCTGACGGACATTTGTATGCATTCTTCGAGTTTAAGACCATTTGGCACAAAGATTTGCATTCAATCAATTGGGGTATTATATTGATGTCATTATCATTGATTAAATAGTAATCAATTGTTAAATCTTAAGCCAATCGGTTCAACATATTTCCGCTATCATTGGGTAAATTGATATCAAGACATGAGGTCCAAGAACTGCATTTCAGTCTAACGAAAGGCATTTGGAAACACCAGCGATGGGGTTATGCCATACGGGAGGCGCCGCCTAATGCCCAGCTCTGGCTTTGGTTTCAACACTTCCATAAAAAGTATTATAAAATATTGATTCATATCTTACAACTTGTTTTTAAATGTCTTTAATAATTTAGTCCACAAAAAGCGTGGAGAGATATAACAAGTGAACTGTCGGGTCAGTTCTGTGCGTCCATTAATTTCATAGATAATTCAGCAACAATTCAACCGAAATATTCATTGAGACCCGAGGGCGTCATCGATGGTGATTCACTAAGAAATGGTTCCCTGTTTTACGGAGCTTTGCCTCATGAATCTGTCTGTACAGAGAACTTGACGCCGTGGAAGAAATGGTTGCCATGTTTTTCGGCCAAAGGATTGGCAACTCTTCTAAACGCAGGACATCTCTTTAACTCATATTATTTTTCTCTTGCGGTTGACTTTAAACCTATTTGTAGAGTAAGTTATATAATGACAAACCATACGAATAGCATTAATAATTTGTCTGATTTTATCAAAATAGAACATTAAATGTGAATCAACTTCTGTTGAATTAATTCAAAGTATTTCCGTAGTATTTAATCCTCCGGTGATGTTTGAAGGAAAACAAAGTTGGTCTTTAGTCAAACTATTTGGCGCACCGCTGACAAGTACTTGCAGTTTGTCCTCGAAAAGCACTATATATATTGATATAACTGATAGTCACAAAAAAAACAATTCTAAACTATCACCCGAACCAACAAAACTGGTTTATTCAGTGATTGGCGGAGCGGAGCGTAAATATGCGGCTTATGATGTCAATCAACTTTTGGCACAAAACAAAAAGACCCTAAATATTGGACAATACTTTCAAAACACTTTTGATTATACGAAAGTCAAACCGCCGCCACTTTTTGCTAATCGATTTATCAAAGGTTACGGTCTTTCTGATGGTGGTATCACTTGTCATATATTCAATAATTTCGATAAACCCATTGAAATCGTATATTTTGATGTCATTCCGTGGTATCTAAGAATGTATTTGCATACACTAAGCATTGTCTCAAATGGCAAATCACTTAAACCACATACCATTTATTACAATCCATCTAAAGATCGCATTCAATCACATCATTTGGAGATATTATTAGTTTTGCCACCAAATAGTATGACAGATATATCATTTCAGTTTGAAAGAGTATTCCTAAAGTGGACGGAATATCCTCCCGACGCTAATCATGGAGTTTACGTTAATTCAGCCATAATTAGTGCTAAACTCAATAGTGATCGCAATTTTACTTATTTACCGATTCGTGAGACTATATCGTCAGAAAATGTCCATTTTATACGCATATATACTCAGACATTATTGGTATCACTTCCAACACCAGACTTTTCAATGCCTTACAATGTTATTTGTTTGGTCAGTACTGTTGTTAGTCTTGCATTTGGTCCCATTCATAATCTGACCACAAGAAGAACACGTATAGTCAATAACAGTAGTCAAAGTAAAAAATCCAAATCATTAATAAATAAAATCAAGAGTTTATTTAAAAAGAAAGATAAGACGGAAACTAGTGATACCAACCAATAGTTTGTTAAAAAAGCGATAATACTTTTCATAGCTAACACTTTTTACATATTTATTTAATTATTTGTATTTAAATTAAAGTTTATTAAAATAAACAATTTCTCTTTAATTTATATTCATTAGTAATTCTATATTAGCTATTATAATAAGTTTGATAATAACTATTGGTATAAATATTTATTTAATAACATTAAATTTGCAAAAATAATATTTTGATTGATAGCAAATTATATATAACTAGAGTTTTCAAACCAACATTTTTCATGAACCAAATAACAAATAAAAAAACCGAAACCATAATAACTAGAATTTATTGTTAAAACCTAAATAAAACCGAATAAAACATTATTTTTAACGTAATTTTATACCTTTTTTAGAAACCAGAATAAATGGCAACTAATTAACTAAAATTATTTGTTTCGGATAACATTTGTTTATAATTAAACCAAACCGCTTACTATTTTCTAGTCTAATATAACAATTTGTTTTAAATTTTAACAAACTTTTGTCACTACAATATGATATACTGTCTTACAATTGATATCTAATTATATGAAAAATTCATTTAAATATGAAATGACTTCATTTATATGATTGATTTTTAATGACAATAATCATAATATTTGGTTTAATTATAATAACAATAATTTTAAATAAAGTAAATATTAATACAATTAAATCTATGATAAATAATAATAATTGTAATGTAATACAGTATACTTTATGTATAAATAATATACATGTACAGTGTACAAGATACAGTGCTTTCTAGCATTATCAACTGGTTTTTTAAAAAATAAATACAGTATTAAAATAAATTAACATAAATTAACTTAATGCATCAATTAATTGATAATAAATAAAAATAATATATATATATATATATATATATATATTAAGATATTAATTAAAAAAAATAATTGTTAAATACTAATAATAATATGAATTGTTTGAAAATAATTAACTGTATATTATATTATATATGTATTGTATTTATTGTAATAAATTTGCTTATAATGACAACAACGCTATCTATGAATAGCTGTAATAAACATAACAACAATACGAGTCTAGTGTTTGTCAGAAAACAATTAAATCAATGAAACGTTTGTAAACTATTTGGACACCAATTGATTGACTACAATGAAGCCGACACTTGTGGCCGACGAGATGTTTCCCGACGGAGTCCAACCATTCATTGATATCGACGAAGTGGCCACCGGTTCGGCAATTGGTATGGATTTGACACAAAACGAAAAGTTCGTTCACTCGGACTTCTTCAACGATTTTGATGATCTCTTAGATGATGAAGACATACAGTGACTATTGATTGATTTGATGCCAATTGAACCACAATTTCATTCATTGCTTATACAAACAAGTTTTATATACAAATGTTATTTAACTTAAAACCCATTATATATCTTATATATCATATCTATTATATCTAATAATTTTTAAAATGTCGATAAAATAAAAATTATTTAATTAATCAAAAAACTCTTTATTTCGAAAAATTAAATACAAAGACAATCAATATTTTTATTTTCTTCTTAAATCATATTTTTCAGTAATTCATTGATCTTATCCTCTCTATTACCGAAATCTCCGCCTTCAACGTAATGAACCACTTTCTTACGCCAACCCCCGCGAGGGTTATTCAGTTTGAAATACCACATGAAATTGTTGGCGTACTTGAAATTGGGTCCAACCGTATAGATCTCATGGATCAAGTCCTCCATACAAATGATACCGCGTTTACCCAAACGATTTTCAATAATCGAGTTGTCGGTCAGTGGAATGCGCTGACCATTCACTTTACCGAATCCTCTCTTATAGACCAAATCCCTGATGTTTTTGAGTGACGGATATCCCCACGCAATGTATGGTTCAGCGATTCTCAACATATTTATCGTCGCTTTATTCAACTTAACGAACACTCCGTTGTTTATCTGTCGGAGTCGCAGAAGTTGAAGCACTTTTCGGGGTTTAGGACTCACACCGTTGACACTAAAATGTAATAATAATTAGGTAAATATCGGTACACGTGATCAAAGTATCGGTGGTCATACCCTCTAATCCTCATAACAAATGCCAATTTAGGTTCGTCGGGAACGTAGTAATTGCCGTGTTGTTTGGCCTGACGTTTCAAACGAATCACATCCCGAGCCTTTAATCGGTATTCCTTGACATAGGATTCAGCCTTCTTGAAGATGGTTTGTTTCTTCACTTGTCGTACTTTTCTATCTTTGATCGCATTTTTCAGAGCCTTTGCCTTTTGTGTGGCTCTTTGTTTGCGTTTCTTAAGAATAGTTTCGGGAACTGTTGGCACTTTGGCGGTTGTATTGTTGGTCACCGCCGCCGCCGGAGCCGCACTTCTTGTGGATGTCTTAGTGCTTGACATGATTGCAAAGGAAGAGGAAATGAATACAACGTTAGGTTTAAAGCAAATGTGACTAAAATAGTATATTCAATGACAACGTTATATATAAATAATTGTTACGTTGTTTATGAATAAGTGTTGTAATGAATGCAATGCTTTGAGCGCCAAATGAATGGTTGTGTTGAATGTCAGCCATTATTACGCTTTAAATGCATTGAAATGTTTTGTTTGTATGTTTGACACAATCGATGACACAATAAGACTTTGATTGTCATTTAGTGACAGTTTGTCTCACATTTGTCTCTCATTTAATGGTTTTATTGATTTGTTTGATCACAAGTTGTGTGTAAAGAGATGTCCACTTTAACCGTCGATAAGGACGCCTTTTTCCGACGCGTCCGGCATTTGTATAACTCATGGAAAGTAAGTGTTTGGTAAAAGTTTGCCGAAGAAGTGTCAGTGATTGTAATTGTTTTGGATTTAATGTCTTAATTGTTTGTCATCAGAACAATGAAGATAATTTGGAAAATATTGGTAAAGTGGATGCAATTGTTGTAATCTTAGGTCAAGATCAGGATGTAGTCTACAGTAAGAGTTTGTCGCTACAGGTTTGCCATTAAGTTATTATATGATAATAATTATTACAATCGTTGTCTAAATTATTATTTATTAATACCTATTGAAGACGTGGCTCTTTGGCTATGAAATGACAGATATAATGATGGTTTTCTGTCACCAATCTATTCATGTGTTGGCCTCTAAAAAGAAAGTGGATTTCTTAAAGTTAATTGAATCGAGTAAAGAAAACGAAGAATCTGTTCCACCGATTACTCTATTAGTTCGCGATAAGGTTTGTCCATTTTGTGTGTCATTTATGTCATAATTTTAAATTTACCGTAAATTTTGTTGTTTGTTATAGTCTGACAAAGACGCGGCAAACTTTGAAACATTGCGGACAGCGATCGCAAAGTCCAGAAACGGAAAAATAATCGGAGAATTTAGTAAAGATAAGTTCAGCGGAGAGTTTGTCGATGAATGGAAAAAAGTATTCAACGCACAGAACTACGAAACATTGGATATGAGTAACGCATTGGCATATATAATGGCCCCCAAAGATGAACACGAATTGGCATTAATTACAAAAGCTTCGAATTTGTCTTCAGATATTTACGCTAAATATTTGAGAGACGAAATCACAGAAATTATTGATTCAGACAAAAAAGTAAGACATTCAAAGCTAGCAGACGGTGTGGAACAGGCCATCGCCAACAAGAAATACCTCAAAGGTGTCGACCCTTCAAATGTAGATCTATGTTATACAGCTATCATCCAATCCGGTGGCAAATATAATCTTAAATTCAGTGCAGTTAGGTTTGTAAGCATAAAAATGTTAAGTGTTTAGCATTTCTCACAATTATATTATATGATATTTAGCGATAAAAATAATCTGCATTTCGGTGCCATTACCTGTGCATTGGGTGTCCGTTATAAGCAGTATTGTTCTAATATAGTGCGAACACTTATGGTTAATCCAAACGATGAACAAAAAAATTTGTATGAATTTCTTGTTGAACTCGAAGAAAGTGTTTTGGAAAAACTTAAGGACGGTATCCGTTTAAGTGATGTTTATCAACACGCCTTAGATATTGTCACCAAACGGGATAAGCATTTGGTCGATAAAATGACCAAAAATATAGGTTTTGCGATGGGTTTAGAGTTTCGCGAGGGCTCTATGTTATTGGCGCCGAAGTCTAATGCAATTGCGAAGAAAGGGATGGTTTTTAATATAGCCATTGGTTTTTCTGGTCTTATTAATCGTTCGGCCAGTGATGCCGAGGCTAAAAATTACGCTTTATTTCTTGGAGACACTGTTGTTGTCAATGAAAATTCTACCGCAACTGTATTGACACAAAGCAAGAAACGACTTAAGAATATAGCGATTATTATTAAAGATGATGACGAAGAATCTGAAGAAGAAGAGAAAAAACCAGAAATTGTTCCCGAAGAAGATTATACTACTCGTGGCAGTCGAAGAACAGCAGTTCTTGAAAATAAATTAAGAGTAATATTTATAAAGTTATCTTTATTTACTTTATTTATATTTATTATTTTTAAAATTATTTTATATTTTTATTGTAGAATGAATCGACTTCTGAAGAAAAACGCAAAATACATCAGAAAGAGTTGTCAGAGAGTCTGAATGAAGCGGCCAGAGCTCGACTCGCATCCAAATCTGGATCTAAAAAGGAAGAAACGTCTCGAAAATCTAACATTTCGTATAAAAATGTTAATCAAATGCCAAAAGAACCAGAAGTAGGAGATCTTAAGATATTTGTCGATAAGAAGTATGAAACTGTTATTTTACCCATATTTGGAATACCAGTGCCCTTCCATATATCAACCATTAAAAACATTTCACAATCAATTGAAGGCGATTATACATATTTGAGAGTCAATTTCTTTCATCCCGGAGCTACTTTAGCTAGAAATGAGTCGAATCTGTTTTCTAATAATTTTGATTCAACATTCCTTAAAGAATTGACATACCGGAGCACTAATGTTAAAGAGCCGGGAGAGATATCAGCCCCCTCTTCAAATCTAAACACTGCTTTCAGACTTATTAAAGAAGTTCAGAAAAAGTTTAAAACGAGAGAAGCAGAGGAAAGAGAGAAAGAGGGTATCGTTAAACAGGACACACTTGTGTTGAGTCAAAATAAGGCAAATCCCAAACTAAAGGATCTGTATATCAGACCAAATATTATTACAAAACGAATTCACGGAACACTTGAGGCGCATACAAATGGTTTCAGATTTACATCTATTAGAGGAGATAAGGTGGACATCCTCTACAATAACATCAAACACGCCTTCTTCCAGCCCTGTGATGGAGAAATGCTTATTCTTCTCCATTTCACACTTAGGGTACAGTTTTCGATATTTATTTAGTTATATATTATTATTGTATTATTAATATAATTTAAATTTATTGAAATAGAATCCAATTATGTTTGGAAAGAAGAAACAATCAGAAGTCCAATTCTATACAGAAGTTGGAGAGATTACCACTGATTTGGGAAAACATCAACATATGCACGATAGGGACGATTTGGCCGCAGAACAGGCAGAAAGAGAATTAAGACAAAAGCTTAAGACAGCATTTAAGACATTTTGCGATAAAGTCGAACAAATGACTCGTCAAGAGATTGAATTTGACACTCCATTCAGAGAATTGGGATTTCCTGGAGTTCCTAATCGTAGTACTGTTTTATTGCAACCAACTTCTGGATGTCTCGTCAACCTTACAGAATGGGTATGCAATACTAGATTGGGTACTAAACATATTTTTATTTATCACACTTACCGGTAATATTTATTTTTAGCCACCGTTTGTGATTACTCTTGAAGAAGTAGAATTGGTGCACTTCGAGAGAGTTCAGTTTCATCTTAAAAACTTTGATATGATATTTGTATTTAAAGATTATCACAGAAAGATATCGATGGTTAATGCGGTACCAATGAATATGTTGGATCACGTAAAGGAGTGGCTAAAGTACTTATTATAATATTTTCTCCAGTTTTTTGTGTCTAAAACTATTTTATTTCCAGTTCTTGTGATATTCGATACACAGAAGGCATACAATCACTTAATTGGGCAAAAATTATGAAAACCATTGTCGATGATCCCGAAGGATTCTTCGATTCCGGAGGTTGGACTTTCTTAGATCCAGACAGTGAAGCTGAAAATGCAGACGACTCTGATAGTGAACAAGACGATCAATACAAACCATCCGGTTCTGAAGAAAGTGTTGAAGAAAGCGATTCTGAATTCTCTGAGAATTCAGATGTCAGTGAAGAAGAATCGGAATCAGGTTTTACTTCTTGAACAAAATGATTCATAACTGACGCAATTTATATATTTGCAGAACAATCTTTAGGTACGAGCGAAGAAAGTGGTAAAGATTGGTCTGAATTGGAAGAAGAGGCGGCCGCTGCAGACAAAAATCACAACGACTTTGTTGATGATTACACTCAAAGAAAAAACAAAGGACCGGGATTTAGATCAAAACCTCCACCGCCTAAGCACTCGTCTTCACACCATTCATCACATAAGGGATCAGTTAAACGAAGCAGAGATCGCAGAGATGAGGGACGACGAGACAAACATAAGAAGTTTAGAAAATAATAAGTCTTATGTATATTCATATGCTTTTTAAAATACTTTCTTCATTTGAAATGTTATCTAAGTTTTAAGTAAATCATAAATTGAATTATAAAAACCAACTTTTATTTATCAAAAAATTTAATCATTATTATTATTATTACTTGGATGTACTGTAAGACAATTATTTGCTGTTTTATAAACACAATGACAATATTATTAATAAAAACATACTGTAATTAATTTTTGAAAAGTTAAATAAACATTAATTAACTGTTGTTAACGTTGCAGACATTTTCATTGTTTTCCATAGCTTTGATTTTGGCATAAGTTGTGATCCACTTATGATTCTTTGCCTCTGATAGTGGCATTCTGTCCGATGGTTTCCTTTGCAACAACTAATCAATTATTGCATATAAAGTAATAAAATTATTCATTTATTTCTATACTTAAGAACCAATGACTTACTCTATGAATAAAATCTCTGGCCAACTCCGATACGTGATCGGGAAATGTGTACTTGACTTCAACGATACGACTATAAGTGAGTTTTGTGTCGTCATTCTCAAAGGGAGGCTTTCCCACCAAGAATTCATAGGTAAGTACACCCAAACACCACAAATCAACGGTCGCGTCATACGCCTTATGTAAGACCATTTCGGGCGGCAAATAGTCGAGTGTACCGCACATTGTTGCTCGTCGTGATGATGGCGCGTGGACTGACCACCCGAAGTCTGCAATTTTGAGTTCACCATTATATCCCAATAGTATATTCTCAGGTTTAATGTCTCTGTGAATAACTTTGCGCGCGTGACAGCACTCGAGTGCGTCAATCATTTGTAAGATATACTATAAATAATCATATAATCAAATCAATAATCAAATTATATTAACATTAATAAGACATACATTCGCCGATTCTTTGTCATCAAAGTGATTGCTTTTACGCAACAGTTTATAGAGTTCACCTCTCGGTGCAAACTCAAGGATCAGATAAACTCGAGTGTCGTCATAGAAGTATCCATACAGACGAAGAATATTTGGATGTCTGAGATGTGCCTGTATTTCAATTTCTCTTCTGAGCTGATGCTGGACATTGTTTTTGATTAGTTGAGATTTGAACATCACTTTGAGGGCCACAATATATTTGCTACGTTTTTCTCGGGCCAGATATACATTACCGAACTTGCCTTTGCCCAGTGGACGCCCGATCTCAAAGTCATTCAATGTCCAGCGTTTCGGCTGTTTATCGCCACTAATATATTGTCACCGATTAATCAATGGTTACATCCAATCATATAATCAACAATACCTGACATTAACCGTTGGCTTTTGAATCAAATCAATGCCTGAATCCATTGTTATCAATCAATAAGTGATCTAATAGTAAATCACTGACTAAACCAATTGAGATCAACTTAAAAGATGGCAAATCAAAGATGTAATTCAAGTGTAAATTGTGGTTAAAATAAGTGATCAGACAATCAATGAAACAACAGTTCAATAGTTATAACGTTTTAAAGTATTTCAAAACCAATCAAATTCATGAAAAGTGCGCTCAAAATGAATAAAATACTATTAATATTATACTATTAATACTCATTTCAACCAATCATTGCATTCAATAATAACGTGCTTTCAATTGATGTTTGCATTCATTGTGTTTGTCATACACTTTGATGTCATCATTGATGTCGGCATTCATGCAATCCATGTGTTTGTGTTTTATGTGACAAAACGTAAATCAATTAATATATTGATTGAAATAAATTGATTTGTTTTAAGTGATTGTCATCTGATTTATCACTTATTTTGGGTTATATTTGGTGCCAATTATTGACATTAAAGATGGTATGTATTGTAAAAATTAAATGACAATAAAGTAGTAATTAATTTGACAATAATTTAAATTATTAGACGATATCAAAGAACAATAAGATGGTTCAGTTCATCAATTATCGGATGCGAGTGAGTCTTCAGGACAGTCGGACATTCATCGGTACATTCAAAGCATTTGATAAGCATATGAACCTTATATTAGCCGATTGTGAAGAGTTTCGTAAAATTAAGTCCAAAGGATCTAAAGGTCTCGAAAGAGAAGAGAAACGAGTTCTTGGATTTGTTCTGTTGAGAGGACAAAACATCGTCTCATTGACCGTTGAGGGACCGCCACCTCCTGAGGTATACTTCTTTGAATTTGTCGTTCTTTAATATTAACATAAAATGATATCTAAATATCATAACAAAGTTGAAGCAAATGTTTATTAAAGTTTAGGTAATGTTTAGGATTAGTGTCTGGATTTCACAAGTATTTTGTTTAATCAATATATCAATTCTTATGTAAAATTCAACGCTTGATATAAATCTGAATTTAAAATTACAATAACTTTAATTATTTGTGAGATATTTGACTTTAAAGTCGATTTTGTTTTGTTAACGTAATATCATATATTAATATACAGTGATTACTGGTAAATACAATTCAATATTTATCACTTGACACTAATTTAAATTCTTATTATATTTTGTCGATTTATTTTTTCAGATAAATGCAATTTAATTTTTTTAAATCAAATATTTATAAATATTATACTTACGGTAATAATTTAACAATTAATTATTATAATAATTGCCGGTAACTTTTATTATAACAAATAGTTTTTTAGAATAGTTTTTAATTTAGTTTATTATTCAAAATTATTAAAGAAAAAAATTCAATACAATATTTTGCAAATATTTGTAAAAATAGTATTTTGATTTAATTGTAATTAAAATTAATATTTATTGAGATTATTAAGATATAAATATCGACATAAATTGTATTATCTTTAAAACGATTCGATAAAATTAAGATTTAAATTAGTGTTAAGTGATAAATATTGAATTGAAATGATGTATAAATCACATTATATATTACGTTTAACAAACAAAAATCGACATTAAAGTCGAATAATCTTAAAATATTAAATTTATCATAATTTTAGATTTATATTACGGTAAGCTTTGAATTTACAAAAGTGATATTTTATTACACAAAAAACATGCGGAAACTGATACCAAACGTTAGTTTATTTTTTTATCGGTAGTTTAAATTACCGCTCTCTTTGGCAATTAATGTCAAAATAATTAAATTATTAGTAATGAAACATAATAGCAGTTTATATAGCATTGTTTGATTATTTTGAGAGCTCTGGTTGTGATTACCAACAATGATATACTGTACTGTGTATTGGCTTAATATAGTGGTATAGACTGTATAGGTATGGGTTTACTCCTGATTTACTCCTTTGGGTACCAAAAGATGTGTTCAATGCCACGATTTGTGAGAGTTGGGTCACCAGAGGACATGTTAAGGACTAATTCAAGGATTGTATAGTAGTGGAGGTCACCAAAAGGTGATCGTCCGCTCCCCTCATCTCATATTAGATGACTTTCAAGGGCTCTACCAATGCTTTGAAACACAATTCAAGGTTTCTTTGGTGTCGACGCACAGGACATAGACATTGATATAACAATTGTTATACCAATTCGTCATTTCATTGTTATCTTTGTATGAATCCTATGAATAGTTTTAATATTTCTACATTTTTTTGTTAAAACTATTACTCATTTTATTGAATTTGCATCGATTCAACATTATTGCTATAACTAACTAATTATAACTTTATATAATATACAGTATTACTAGCATATAATCTATACATTTATTCCAATGATTGTCACAATTGATTACATATAATAACATTTAATTGCTATTATAGATAATATCTAATACTTAAATACTATGGATTAAGATAACAATATAATGTTAATTGGAAACAAATGATATGAATTTTAATAAAAACTGTTTAAATTGTATAATAGGAAGGAGTTCCTAGAGTTCCCATTCCCGGCTCAATGCATGGACCGGGAATTGCTCGTGCAGTTGGTCGTGGTTTACCTACTGCTCCACCTGTAGCCGGTGCTCCACCAGGACTACAAGGACCAGTTCGGGGAGTAGGAGGTCCTGCAGCCACTGTTATGGCACCACAAGGTGGCAGAGGTATTCCCACTGCTCCACCCCCGACCGCTCCCGTAATTCCTGGTAGAGGTGCGCCACCACCCGGATTAATTGCCGGTCCTCCACCTGGTATTATTCCTGGAATGCCTGGGGGTCCACCTCCACAAATGCCAATGGGAAGAGGTATGCCACCCACTGGACCACCTCCTCTGGGACCACCTCCTGGTATGAGACCACCGCCTCCAGGAATGATGAGACCTGGAGCCCCACCTCCAGGTGCTCCTGGAATGCCACGACCTCCACATTAAAAATTTAGTCAATGGTCATTGACTTTTAATATAGTTACAAGTATTTCACTAATAATTTTTACTTTAATACATATTAATTAATTTACTCATCAATTTAAATAACAATAATTTGCAAAACAATTTTATGTGAAATAATGTACTAAATAATCACATCTAAAGTTAACTTAAAATTCAAAATAAATCATAACTAAATTTAAATTAATCTATAAAACCATTGAAAAAGGTTTCTCTATATATTGACGGAACGATTGGAGCCATTGAGCGCCAACCGCACCGTCAACTACACGATGATCACAACTAAGAGTAACTGACAAGAAAGATACGGTTCTGTTATTTCCATTAGCGTCGGGAACTATACCACGTTTGGTGCCACCGACGGCCAGAATACAGGATTGCGGAGGATTAATAACAGCAGAGAAATTAGTAATGCCATACATTCCCAAATTAGATATCGTAAAAGTTCCCCCAATAAACTCATTGGGCTGTAATTTACCTAATATTTACATCAATTCATTATAGATATACCATTATATTGTCATCAATGAGATTAACATACCATCTCTGGCTTTAAGTGCCAATTGTTTTACGTCTTGTGATATTTGTTTGATTCCTTTTTTATCGGCGTTAAAAACTATTGGTGTTATAAGGCCTGCATCTGTACTGACAGCGACACATACATCAACTGATGTGTATTGTCTGATGAATGTCTCCATCCATGCACTGTTGGCTTCAGGTATTTGAAGACAGGCCAGTGATGCGGCTTTTATAATGAAGTCGTTGAGAGAAAGTTTCACTTTTTCCTTACTCAACATTTCATTTAGTTGTATCCGAAGTCTAATTTCAAATTTAATTGTATTTTTTAATTACAAATATATGGTAATAAATTTAACAAAATTATCTAACCTTAAAAGTTCGTCTATTTCTAAATCAACTGTTAAATAATAGTGAGGTACTGTTTGTTTGGATTGTGTTAAACGTTTAGCAATTATTTGTCTCATATTTGTTAATTGAATATCTGTAAACTCCAGAGCTCGGGGACCGCCAGCAACTGCAGACGGAGCACTTAATACATCTTGTCCTCGAATTCTACCACCGGGACCCGTACCTGTTCCGGCCAATGAACTCAAATCTAATCCTTTCTCAGCAGCTAATCTTTTAGCTAAAGGGCTGGCAAATAGTCTGCTGGCGATTCCCACTCCAGATAATTTAGTTGTAGTTGTTGTCAATGGTTGTGGTAATGATGTCGGCATAGATTTTGATGGTACAGGTGGTGGTGCACTTGCCTTTGTTTCTGTTTTAGGTTTAGTTTTCACCGAATTGCTTGTATCCACAAAGTCCTTAAATGCTTGTATATCCGATTCATTATCAACTATTATACACAATAACTATTTCATTGGTATATAAAGAAAGAAAATAATTAGAAAATAATCGATAGATTTATGACAAATCAAATCAATGAATACCTTTCCAATGGGCACATCCTTACTTCCCGCTGACACTAAAATTCTGGCCAAATATCCTTCTTCTGGTGTTTCAAATCCCATCGTTGCCTTATCTGTTTCAATCTCAGCCAACAGATCTCCTTCGTGAAGAGGATCGCCTTCTTTTTTCTCCCACGAGATAATAGTTCCCAATTCCATAGTCGGCGAAAGTGCCGGCAATACTACTCTACTGTGTTTCGGCAAATTGTCCGAAGCATATGTCCGCACTTCGCTTATAACCAATGGTCGGGTGATCTTTAAAGTAGGAGATAATAAATGCAATGGCTTTACGGCAGATGTGTTTCTGTAAGAAAAATACATATAAAACAAATTAGTCTGAAATATATCTCTTAAGTAAGTCTTATACATATTTTTCAAATCTCTTTTCACTGAAGATTCAGAAATTGAGAATTTTGTGGTTAAAGTTGACGACCTCTTCAATAAAGTCGATGAATTGCGACCGCAATGTCTTATTATAACTGATCGATACATTGTTTATGAAGATTGAGATTATATTTATTTATTTATTATAAGTTAATGTGTTTTCAAATAAGTTATCAACGATTGATCACCAATTGATCAGTTAATACATAATCAGACCATTAATACACTATTATATCATTAATATTATTATATTATTTAATATTAATATTAATACCCGTTTTGACACCCAATCCATGCATTACGTGACAGATATTAACAAAACACTCATTCAATTAAATTAGTATTTTATGAAAATATCAAACAATTTGAAACAATATTTCAATTTCTAAAAAACATTTAATATTTCAATCATTGTTTCAATTGATTTGTTGTCACATTCAGTGTCGAACTCGCGATACAAACAATCGATGTTTTATTGTATAAAATGTTATGAAATGATAACTGAATTTTTGAATGCAATAAATGTTCTAAATTTATGTCAAGTTTGAGGAACAGTGTATTCAATGCTATAATACATATAATAATTATATAGAATATTATGAAATATCAAAACATGTGTTTCAATGTATTAATGCTTTGATTGACTAAATATACAGTACTTTACAATCAATACAATAGTGTTTGCAATGACTATATATTAGCACTACTTTTGTCAACACATGAAGTAATATATTATTGAAGAGACGATGTCTTCATTAAGAAGATTATATAACAATTCAATCACAAGACATGTGTTATGGCGAACGCACAGCTGTTCCGTGTCTTCGGTCAACAAATTGTTGTTTCGTCACAAAAGTAATGATAAAACAGATTTTGAGTCCATTGTTATACCGCTTTCTGTCCGAAGAACACAAAATCCCGACGATATCAATGTCGGCGAAGAGTTGTCGGGAAATAAGCTTAAGAAGAATGACTTAATTATGATCTTAAATAAGTTTATTCAAAGGCCTGTCATTCGTAAACTGAGTGAAGAAAATGGTTTGAATTCAAAACTTTTAAACGAAGCGTTCATTAGTTTCCGCAAACATTGTGTTGAATCACAAACACTATCTCCAGAACTTCATCTGGTTTTAAGTGATATTTTACAAAAAGTATCAAATGTTGATGACTTGTTCCCATATTTCATAAAACATGCAAAAATAATGTTTCCACATCTCGACTGTATTGAAGAGTTAAAGAAAATAAGTGATTTAAGACTTCCTCCCAATTGGTATAGTGAGGCCCGGAGTATGACTCGTAAAGTTATATTTCATTGCGGACCTACTAATAGTGGTAAAACATATCACGCACTTCAGAGGTTTATGACATCAAAGTCTGGTGTTTATTGCGGTCCACTAAAGTTATTGGCCGTAGAAGTGCATCAAAAAACTAATAATTACGGAACTGATTGTGATCTCGTGACCGGAGAAGAGAGGCGTTATGCTAAAGAAGATAATATGCCTTCAAATCATATCGCCTGTACAGTAGAGATGTCTTCAATTAATGATAAAGTAGAAGTTGCGGTCATCGATGAAATTCAAATGATAAGAGATGTTGGCCGAGGCTGGGCCTGGACTCGGGCTCTTCTGGGAATACCAGCAGAAGAAATACATCTATGTGGAGAAGAGGCAGCTTTGGATTTATTAAAAACTATTATGGAATCGACTGGTGAAGACCTGGAAGTACGTCGATATAAACGTTTGACACCAATTACTATTGAAGATAAAGCACTTCAAACATTAGATAATATAAAAGCCGGCGATTGTATTGTCTGTTTCAATAAGAAAGATATTTTTTCTGTAAGTCTTGAATTAGAAAAGAGAGGCCACGAAGTAGCAGTAATATATGGAACTCTTCCACCGGCAACCAAATTATCTCAAACGAGTAAATTCAATGATCCAAACGATCCGTGCAAAGTACTCGTGGCGACCGATGCTATAGGAATGGGTCTCAATCTAAGCTTAAGACGAGTTATATTTTACTCTTTAATAAAACCCACACTCAATGAAAAAGGAGAAAAAGAAATGGATTTGATTTCAACCTCACAGGCGCTACAAATTGCTGGTCGCGCCGGTAGATATGGCACACAGTTCTCACATGGATTTGTCACTACATTTCGAAGTGAAGACTTGCCTCTACTTAAAGAACTATTATCTAGAGTTGTCGAACCAATTGAATCGGCTGGTCTGCACCCGACTGCTGACCAAATAGAGTTGTTTGCTTATCATTTGCCAAACGCCAGTCTCTCTAATCTGATCGACATATTTGTCAGTTTATCACAAGTTGACGAAACAAATTATTTTATGTGTGATATCGAAAATTTCAAATTCTTAGCCGATATGATACAACACATACCACTTCCACTTAGGGTTTGTCAGTAATAGTATTAAAATGTAATAATAGATACTAAATATGTATTAAATATGATTGATAGGCTCGGTATGTGTTTTGTTGTGCTCCGATAAACACTCGGTTTGCATTCGTGTGTACGATGTTTCTGAAGTACGCCCGACAGTACTCGACTAACCAACCGATGACATTGGACTGGTTGTGCCGACAAATAGGATGGCCTATCTCTACACCAAAGAATATCATAGAATTGGCTCATTTGGAGTCTGTCTTTGATGTTTTGGATCTCTATCTGTGGCTTAGCTATAGATTTACTGATCTATTTCCCGACGCAGAGCTGGTCCGCGATATGCAGAAAGAGTTGGATTACATTATATTACAGGGAGTTATCAGTATAACTAAACTTTTGAGAGCTTCAGAAACACACAATTCCTACTCTTTGGCCAACACTTCCGATAATGAATTGATCACAAAATATAAAAACAGAAAAAATGTTATCAATAATACAATATTTGATACCAATTATGACGAAGATATCAATGATTTAAATAAATTGACCGAAAATAAGCCAAATATCAGTGACATTGTCTTTAATGATAAGTCAAACAAACAGATCTCGAAACAGTCTTTAGGTAAACAATTAGTTAAAAAAGGTCTCATCACTAATGAAATGCTGAATCGACTACAAGAGGAATGGTCTGAAAGCCTCAACGATAATAACAATTCAAACAATTTTACTAATAATAGCAATAAAACAAAAACTTTGTTTTATCCAAAAAAACCTAAAAAATAATTATTAGTTTTATTTACTATTTATATTACAATTGATTTGTTTATCTTTTCATTAGTTGTGTTGACATTTGTATTGCATTTAAATAAAACATAATTTAAATGATATTTCATTCAAATCATAGACTTATACCCTGTTTTCATAAAGCAATCTCTCAAAGTATTTTCAAAATTTCTTAATAAAAACACTACTTATACTTGACTTTTAAAGTTAGCAAAAACACAAAACTTTGAGAGAAAGTAGACTTCAAATACTTAATAAAAACCATACTTACAAAGTATGAGGTATAGCACATGCTTTACACATATATTGTATTTATTATATTATTTGCAATTTTTGTATTAATATTTTATGTCAATATAAATATCAAAATCTAAATGATTAATAAATATTAATAATTATAAAAGTAATGCTAAGTATAACTTAATGAAAACGATTTTATACTTTACTTTGAGAGAAATACTTGCAGCGAATGCTTTATGAAAACAATGTATTAGAGATGCATTCACTCTATTGTTACGCCCTTTAAGTCAAAGTCGCGCCAAAATGTGAGCGCCTTTTAAATGCCATTTAAATGACAGCATTTATAACACATTTTTATATTATTTGCATATTTTAGTCAATTTTATTGTTTGATTAATATTTAAAAAAAAATAAAATTTTATAATATATTTATTTATTGATTGAAAAATTAGTTAAAAATCAATAAAATGTGAATAAAATGAGGAACTATTTAATGTTGTATTGATAGTGAATGACGTGTTGTTTGTAGTGATGAATAAAACCCCAGTTTTGTGATCTCTATGTAAGTGAATGTGTGGTTAATGTATGATATGTTATGTATGTATGACGTGATTGTTGTTGTGTTAAGTGTGTGATGTGTTTGCGACACACGTTTGGCGCCAATATTGTTGAGCGCATAGACTATACCATAGAGTATAACACGAGAGCATAACTAAAGGCATTCATTCAATGTTTGACTCAAATACTAATCAATGCTATTATATGTCTGTCAGACAACTAAACCATTAATTGTTTGCAAACAATACTACAGATTATACTCTATTATAGACATCATTAGTAAGTGAAGTACTCTTCAAAGGATCCATTGAGTGATTGTCTCCACAAATGGCACCAAAAGTCAATGAATCGGAAGATGAACTGAAAAAGCGCTTCAAAGAGTTGGTGTCCGACTTGAATCTGGACAAAGGCAGTGCCGAAGATGCCTGGATCTCATACCAGAGGATTGGTATCAATTACACACTCGAGGTTTGTTATCCATTAATATCTCAATTGAATATCTTATATCATATAACCAAACATTTGATTTAATAATTGTCTTAATTGTGAAGCACTTAAATGAGCAGTCATTTCAAATAAAATTGGGTTTCATTTGATTGATTTTATCATTTATGATGATATTTAATATTTAATTGATTTATGTCTACCACTTCTTAAAGGGGGATCAATTGCATTGGCTCTCGTGTGCCGTATATGTTGCCTGTCGTAAGTGTATCACTCAAACTGTCGGTAAAGTTGTCAAAATTGAAGGCAATTTAGTTTCATTGACTCGTTTGCTTAAGTCATGTAAACTAAGGTTTGTTAAACTAATTCACAGAAATTAGCATTTTTTAAAACTTATTATTTTTGACTATAGTTTGGTTCAATTCTTTAACAAAATGAAGAAGTGGTCAGATATGGCCAATCTATCCGCAGAAATGCGTCAAAAGATTGACCATTTGGAGCGTAACTTTAATGTATCGACAGTTATCTTTAAAAAGTATAAACCAATCTTTGAGGATGTGTTCAAAGATCCTATTTTTATAATCAACAAAATGGCTAAAAATAGAAAGCAAAGGTAAATTTATAATGAATTTGTTTTTAAATAATATAATTAGTGATTGTTATATATTTGTTGAATTTAGTCGGAAACAGTTGGTAACGTCTTCGGATATCTTTTCATTTTGTTGGACACTCTTTATTCACATAAAATCAAATTTTCCACAAATAAGCGATGATTTAGTCAATTCTTACCATTTATTACTCGCTTGTATTGATTATTGTTTTTCTAACGCATTGCTCGCTGAAAATTCTAAGGAGTTATTGAATAGTAATTTCAGTGGTAATTATAAAAATAATTTGTTGACTTAACTATATTTTGTGATTAACTATTTAATCATATATTTGTTAATAGAAATATCTAAATACTTGAGTGAAGACGGTGTGAAAATTGGAGACAAAACAGTGTGTATTATACAGGCCTTATGTGATGAATGGCACGGTATTTCAGTTGAGGCCAAGACTATCAAAGAGCACTGGTGTAAGCCATGTATTAAACGAATGCTTGAAAAAGATAACTTCAAGACCAAGAATTCGGGTACTTTTGATGTCAATCATTATGAAAATAATTAGTAAGTAATGGAAGTGTTATTAAAGATTTAGTAGAGATATAAATGATATAAATTTGTGCTCCAAATAGCAAACACATAATGAAAGAGTACGATCAATACGTGCTTAACATTGGAGACTTTGATGAACGCATTTTTCTCAACGACAATGCTTCTGAAGAATTGGGAACTCCTCAATCAGATACCAATGATTTGGCAGAATTGATGCAAAGTCGGCAAAGTTCCCGATGTCTAGATAACCCAAACCCTAACTCATTGGTTCCGACCACTCCTCTAACAAATCGCCATTATTTGAGTCATCGACAAAACAATACACCAATGACTCCAATAGCAAGTGCTACCAATAGTGTCAGTCGATTGCAATCAATACTTTTGAATCGAAAAGATGAACCAAATGAAACACTTGAATCCATATTCAAGCAATGTATTAGAAATCCAAGAGAAAAGATACTAAATTTGCTTAAGATTATGGGCGACAAGTTTCTCACTGCATATAACAATGATACGCAATCTCCATCCCCGGCATCTCGTATGCTGTCTACCAATGAAGAGATGGGTCCGCCATCACCGACAATGAATACACAGAACGATGAATTCGCTAAAAAGCGTTTGCGTCTCGCGATTTCATTTTACTATAAATCACTGGAAAATATATTAATGAGTGAAAAGAAGAGAATTGCTTCCGACAAATTAGCTGAAAGTCTAACCAATATTCTGGAAAAAGATATCTTTCACTTGTCTTTGTTTGCCTGTTCTGTTGAGATCATTCTCTTCTCATATAATGCCAAACAAACATTTCCCTGGATTTTGGAGGTCTTTTCAGATTCAAATGACTTAAGATTACATGCTTTCAATTTTTACAAAGTTATTGAACCCATTATTCGTGAAGAGGACAGCTTATCCAGAGATGTGGTCAAACATCTTAATTCAGTTGAAGAGCAAATTCTAGAGAGTATGGCGTGGAAATCAGATTCACCACTTTGGGAACTAATACGATCAAATGGAACTGTTAAACCAAATGTTCCCTCATGTGCTGAAGTATCTCTTCCAATGAATAGTTCTGGCAATACTCCTTCCGTCTTAAATTCTCCGGTTTCTCTTCTAAAGAGAACTGAATTACAATCAAATATGGGATCTATTAGTGATAGATTCAGCTCTCCTTACAAAAGTACAGCCAAACGGCAATTGTTTGGTTCAACAAAAGCTGAAACGCCAACCACTTCAACAGCCAATATCACGCAAACGGGACATATCGTGCAAATGATGATTCCGAGTATGAAATTGATATGTTTTATTATTAAGTGATAATTTATTATTAATTTGTTTAAATTATAGCTAAAATGGATAATGGAGGAATACAGTATATTCAGGTGCCGGCCATTGCCTTCGGCACTGTTCCACAACAAAATAACAACAGTCCCAATGAAACTGCAATCCTAGAGAATGTTAAACCTCTAAAATCAGGACCTATTGGCTTATTCTTCCGAAAGGTATATTTCTTAATATAAAATGCAATATTTCTTATTTAAATATTATATTTTCTATCAAATTGTGTTATCACTTAAAAGGTCTATACTATGGCTGGTCTTAGATTAAGAGATTTATGCGATCGATTGAATATTGGTGATGAAGATATCCGTAAAAAGATTTGGACGTGTTTTGAACACTCACTTATACAACACACTGATCTCATGCGTGACAGACATTTAGATCAGATAATTATGTGCGCTTTCTATGCCATCTGTAAAGTTACGAAACAGAGTCAAACATTTCAAGAAATTATGAAATGTTATCGACTGCAACCTCAAGCGGCCAGTCATGTATGGCTTACTTCTAAATAATTTTGCAAAATAATTATATTATATTTTTTATCATTAGGTTTATAGAAGCGTTTTAATGAATTCAGTTCGAAGACGACGACATTCTGGAAGCAGTGATACGAGCCGTAACTCAGGTTCGAGTTCGCCACTCATGCAGGAGGAAAGGGATCGAATTCGTTCCTCGAGTACTCTACCAGTGCCTCATCCAAACAGTCAGCCGCCAACTCCAACACGTGTTGCCGGCACTGGATCTCAATTTGAATTTGAAGAGCGCGGAGACGTCATTATGTTCTATAATAATATCTTTTTGCCCGAACTAACTGTTAAATACATAATGAAATTCTCACCAAATATCTCAGTCAGTAGTTATCCAAATGTGTTATATTTTCAGTATATTAATGATTAATATTTGTTGACAATAGGAATCACCTCCTCTGTCACCTCTTCCTCGTCTTAATGCTAGTGCAATGTCACCGTATAGGCGAATATCACAACGTTTTCCTTTGTATATATCGCCTCTAAAGAGTGCAAATTTTCCGCCGTCACCGAACCGGCCGATGTCATACCGGTTCCAAAGTAGTCCCGCCAAAGACTTGCGAGCTATTAATAATATGATGAGAAGTGGTTCAGTCTCACAGAGAGTGAGTAAAAGGATATTCCAGGACGACGTCGAAAGTGAGAATTCGCCCACAAAAAGACAGTGTACTGACACTATGAACCGTAAGATTAGAGACATTGTCACTGAAAGACAAAGTTTAGAATCAAATGGTTCTCTCAATAGCAATGGTAACATTGATAATAGCAATGATTGAATCATTACTATTGTTATCTTGAAATTTTTGATCATGTTTTGACACTTTAATTGTTTAATGTTAAACAAATCAATATTTAATTTAATTTAATTAATATACTAAACAATCAAATATTAATCTTTGTTTTTTTTGGTAGACTATAGTATCTTATATATTCTTTATTTGCCATCAGTTTTATCTAATTTTAATAGACTAATGATCATGACTTATATATGAGTTATATATATATATATATACATACATACAATATATACATTTATATTCAATATTAATAGATTAGTTATATACTGTATATTTTTCATTGATAAATAAAATATTTCTTATGCATCATAAAAATATTTATTAACACATCAACGGATTTATATTAAATGGTCCGTAAATGTGGTCGAGTTTACAACGAATCCATATATTATATGAAAGAATAGGTTTTGAATAAATTGTGAATTCATTGATATCGACGACTGAAACGTTGGCTGATTTTAAAGTAAATTCTTGTATAATAATCTCATATTTAATTTGCTTTTGAGATGTTTTAATGTAATTTAAATTCCACGGCTTTTGCCAAATAATTTTAATGTAAAACAAATCATTTGTTTGATACCTAAAACACATTAAATTTGTCACAACTGTGGGCTCAATCTTGAGATCATTTTTAATCATTGGTTGCATTGATTTTTCTAAAGCATTGGATAAAATGGGTGTAAAACTGGTTAAGTCTACAACTGTGTCCTGATATATGCGATACAACCAATAAGGATCACTACAACACAATTGTTGACCAACTTCTTCATCAGTATTTTCAATCTTAAGTTGTTGTTCATGTGTCAAGTGTTCAATTCCACCAAATTCTTTGGTATATTCTTTATGAACAAACGTATTATTTTTTAAATGATTCTTCCAATAGAAGTAATGAATTTGCATTCCTTGTAATTGAGTTAATGTCTTAAAAGGTTTCACATAATTTGGATTAATAGCAAATGGAAATAATTCAATAAGACTGGAACCGGGACTTAAAAATAAAGATAAAATAAGTGCTGATCCGTGGACTCCGATTAAGATCTGTGCGCACATAACAGTCTTTATAATATCCTCTAAATTATCACTCAAATCATCGACTATAATAACAGCAAGTTTTGTAAAATCACTTATAAATTCAACAAAAACTTTTTCATTAAGTATTTTGCGATTTTGTTTTCGTGATATGAAAACAATATATTTATTATTACATTTAAAATTATTGATTAAATCACTGTTTAATTTTCTAATGGTTTTTGAGATCAATTGCGAATCAATGGACGTCCTATTTATAGGTTGTTGAGGATAACGAAAGCCGTAGTCATACCAAGTGATAGATTTATGTAAACCAATAAATGATTCTTCAAAACAATATATTGTTTTCTTATTTAATTCACTTCTTTGTATTGATTTTGGAAAAACTACTTCAAAATTATCTTTATTATTGAATGGCTTATAAAGTGGTTGATTGTAGATATCATCTAAAAATATAGCACTTATTTGTTGCTTTCCTCCCAACTCTTGTAAAGTGGCGTATAATGGGATTAAGTCGTCGTGAAAATAATGCATCAAATTATCAGTTTTAAAGCGACTCATTATTAATGTCTTTCCCAATAATGTCTTAATTTCATAATTTTTTGTTAAGTTATCAATCAAAACATCAAATGGTATTTCAACGTAATTAAAATAAAACTGATTGTGATTTACGACGGATGACATGTCAGCCAAAGTCGGAGAAAATCTGTTTAATGGTAAACCAGATTTAAGACTCTGTTTGTCGTCCGTAAGGAATATATAATCATTAGTATCGGTCTTAAAGCATAAGTTCACAAAACGACAGCGTCTTTGACTGTGATTATCACCCAAACACCACACTGAAGATGGCCTATCATTTCAATAATAATTTAATCATTTTTTATTAAAATAATAAACTTTACAATTGATAACTTCAATTACATTTCATTATTTTGTCTCTAAATGATATAATTGTATTACTAATGACTAATGTTATTATATTAGTATTAAATTACAGATTAATATAATTTAATGAAAAAACACATTATATTTGTTTTGTTATTTCATGCAAATATAAATCATAATTAAACAATTTAACTACATTTTAGTATAATTTTTTATTGATATAATAATAATGTTTTTGTCAAATAGTTACACAATTATGTTATAAAGTATATCATACATAATCAATAATCTATTATAATTATTAGACAATACTGTATTAATAAATATCAAATAAGTTAAATATGTTATAAATATAAATGTTAAATAAAATTTATTATAAAATGACTAATATTTTTAATAAGTAGACTATTATTATGTTAATTACAAGTTATTAAAGTATGAAAACAATACCTTATTTGATGATATGTTAAGTCATATGAATTTAAAACAAAACCCAAGTATTTGAAAACTACTAATGCAATGATAACCACTAGAAATACATTAATTATAAAATATTTTAAATACATTAATTCATATATAAACTTATATACAATTATTTTAATTAAATCAAAACTACAAAACATATCAAACATGTGTTAAATATTTAAAACTTAGTAAAAATGAAAAGCTTTGACAATAAATATAAAAATAAATCAATAGTCGAGTTGTTGTATTCATTGTGAGCGCGACTTTCAATTAATAAGTGAATTATTTGTACAAATTATAATAAAATAATGATAACTACTATTTATGGCTATTTATATGGTTTGAAATTCAAACTTTGAATTACATGCAAAATATTAATCTAATTAATAACATAATTAAGCAAAAAGGACGGCCAACTCATTAAGGAAAGTCAGGGCTTGAGTATAGGGCAGATGTGCGACACACGGGTCGACTAAATCATGCTCTAACTGGAAGTCCTTTAACCGTCTATTAATGTGTACATAAACTTCACTAAAAAAGTTTTCTGCTTTATGTATGGTTTTAATGGGAGGAATACCACAAGCCATAGCCATTCCCGACCGATTCGGGTTCGGACTAATCATCACAAGTGGCAAACAAACACTTTTTTTACTTTTGGGATTAGTGGCGGCCAAAGCATGTAAAACATATTGCGATAATTGGTTCAGACATCCAGAGTAACAAAAGAAATTAGCGTCTGGAGTGGTCTCACTTATAATGACATACCAAAGCGCATCATTCAATAGTTGTATCTGTTTTGAGTCGACAATGATTTGCACCTGTTTTAGAATAGCAGATAATTGAAGTTTAGCCAAATCTAATCCCTTTTCCAATAACTGGATGTTATTCCACGACAAAGAATCGATGGCATCAAAAAACTTTTGGTTCGCTCTCTTGTCTTTGTCGGCCGACTCGAGCAAAGCTCGGACAGCAAATGCCATATCATTACAATTGTATTTATCTTTGAATCCACGGCTGGCGATGAATGTGTAACCAATAATTGATTGCAACTGATATTTATTGCTCAGATCTTCAATCCATTGTTTAACATTACTTCTGAGCTCTAAATCCATTGATGAAAATTTTTGTTTACATTGAGATAACGGGAGTCCGAGTTCGGCCAGAAATGCCAGCAATCTTTTGTGTCCTCTTAGTCTCCAAATCTTAAATTTATTCGATATATACATCGTATGTCTTAAGCTATCGTAAAGACTCCAATGTCTATAAAGAGATAATTTTAAATCCTTTTCATAAGTAATTTTCAAGTGATTATGATTTGTGATCACATTTTGATCAGCATTTGTGACAATTCTGTTCAAAGCAATGGTGGGCTCTCCTCTAATATTCTTCAATCTAGTCATCGCTTCCTTAATGTATTGATACTGTTCGTCATACTTTTGCTGAGATATCTTCACATTAATCATCTGATCGGATACACCGAGGATGGCTAACCATAATAAGTCATTATTATCTTTAGATAACTTCCACGAAAGATCAAATATAAGAAGTGCCGTAGAATAAGAACAATAGGTTTTCTCTGTGTAATCAAACAATAATTTATTTCTTTTGGTTTCCCATTGATATCTATTTTTCTTCTTTGATCTTCTCTTTTCCAGTTCTTGTAGTGATAATTGTCGTCTATCTATATCTTCATCATCTAAATCATCGTCACTATCAGTAAATATGTCGTCATAAGCGGGAATAATGTTAGCTTCATCTGTGAATGAGTTGAGACCAGTTATATCAGTCATTAGGTAGACATCACTTGCGTAGGCATTGAATACATTGATTGGTCGTCTTGTGTCACAAATGAAGATACGACACGTGTTAGCCGGCATTAACCACTCGCCGACGTGAAATGTATTACCGATATTAATGAGAAGACAAGCGTTGAGACCATCTCTATGTTCTTGAAATGATTGTAACAATTGGTGTTTGTCTTTGACTGGTATTATCGTGTATTGAATGCGATGACACTCAAGAAGATATTGAAGTATTTTAGTGGCACTGATTGAATCCAAATCATAGCCAACTAATACCAGAAGACGACTTCGCGATGTAATCACGTAATCGTAAAACTCTTTGCGCACGTCTTTGATTAACATCTCTTCGGTTATCAATCAATACAAGAGATAATAACAAATCATTTGTTGTTTTATTCAATCAGTCATTCAATGAGTGAATACTTTGCGCCAAAACTTTGAGATAAAGTCAATACAATTGATAGCACTTTGAAGGGACCATAACTTCATTGCATTTGTGCACTACTTTTAAGGCAAACATTTTCATTTGAATCAATCAATCATTAATAATGAATATTCATATCACTTAATAATTGCTAATTAATAGTTTCTAATATAGTTTATACTAATTAATAAGTTAATTAAAATTACAATGTTTTTTATATTTAAGTAATTTTAATAATAATATATTTGAATATTTGTATTTTAAAATAAAATAATACATAACTTTATAAATATTCTTAATGCAAACAAATTATAATAAATAGGTTTTGTGATTCACTATTATGTGATTAAACTATATTGTTATTTCTCTTTTTATTTTTAACACAATTGATTTTTGATAGTATTAAATTTTTTAAATAAATTGTTTGATTTAAAAGTTTTTTACAAACATCACACAAAAGTTAAATAAAAGTTGATTTAAGTATCATAAAGTTAATAATGACTAATAAATTAGTTTTAAAATGTAATATACAATTTGGTAAATATGCTATTTTAATAAATTTATTATTTCTACATATATTTAATATTAACCAATTCTCTGATATCAATAAAAAAAAGTTAAATAACTTCAAATAATAAATAATAAATCATTTTATTACTAAAATATTATATATTAGTTAATTATTAACAATAGTCAACATTTAAGACATATATTTATAATATCCTATATTTATAGTTATTCAAGAAATATTTTATTGTTTTATTATTTAGAGTAATAAATGTGTTTTTATTTTAAGTAAAATTAATTTCTATCTCTATTAGTAATTAGTTTTTGTTTATATTTTAATTGTTATGCGAATAATAAAATTGGAAAATATTTTAATATTTACTGTATATTTCATATGTTTTATAAATATGTTTTTAATTTATCAAAATATAATTTGTATATAAACTATAATTCAAATAATTAATTGAAATCACGTATAGTTTAGTTAAAAACATTACTGATGTCTGTTGTAAATCATATTATTTGATAAGATTTGTTAAATTATTAAATATAATATATTTTATAATTTGCTTTATAATAAACTAATAATTCATAATTATATATTACATACATAAATGGGTTAATACAAGTTCATTAAGCTATAGCTAATTAAGTGAAAATAATAAATAGTCATCGTGTACATTTTTAAATAATTAAAATGCAATTATTCAGTAAGTTATCAATTGTTTAATACCGTTTAAATCAATATAATTATAATTATATATAGTTAATTTTATATATATTAACTGATAAATATTAATCATATACCATACCATAGCATAGATATAATTTAATGTACAATTAATTTACAATTAATTTAAGCTATTTTATACAATAATTATTGTATAATAAATACCATTTAATGGTATTACATATCATTTTACTAAATAGTCATATAATGCAATGAAACATATAATAGAAAGTAATTTTCAATTAAAGTAATTGAAACTAACATTTCTATGCAATTATAGTTTGTTTTACTAAATTATGTGGTGATTGTGATCTACCTTTAAGTCTTAAACATCAACACAACTATGTATAGCAGTGATACTTATAACTATGTGGTCAACAATACATTGATTAGACAATTGACACATTCATATATAATATATTTATAAATTAATTAATATTATGGTTAACCTTATAATTGTCAGTCAACTGTAGATCACATAATCATATGATTTAAATCAATGCATTGCTGTTGTGTTGTGTTGTTTGAGATTGTAGTGAATGTGAGGCAATGCAAGCAATGAATGTGTTGTATGTTTGCATTGATGGCAACATTTGACACATTTTGATGATTGCATTACAATATTGTATTTACTGTTACTTTTAACTTCAAAATGAGTGAACAATTATTGTCTTATTTATTATATAATTAATATATTATATAATGATTTGTGATATCAATTGATTGTGCCTTTAATTCATTCATTTGTTTATGTTTTTTGTTATTTAGTTATAATTATAGTTAATTAACAAATGATTTGATAAACAAATGAATCATTTATTAGTGTTTTGCCGACAAAAATGTATTTTTCAGAAAAATTACAAAACAAGTTAACATTAATTCAGTCTAAAAGTTCAGCAGATCTGGTAAGTGATGATCATATTTACCATCAATTGATTGACTCATTCTTCATTATCGCCGATACAATTTAGCAATCGATGGCCAGATTGAAGTGTTTGCGGACTGAAGAGGCGGCACAACAGTCATTTGAAGAAGTGGCCGCTCGTCTTGAGACTGATCTAAGGAATGGTCTGAACTGGAATCAAGTGGAATATCGAATCAATTCTTATGGTTATAACGAACTTGAAGTAAAAGCTGAAGAACCACTTTGGAAGAAATACATCGATCAGGTCTCAGATTAAAACAATTGATTATTTTTTAAAAACTAAATGTTTTATTTTGATTTACCGGTAGTTTAAAAATCCATTAATTATCTTATTGTTGGCCTCAGCGTTGGTCAGCGTATGTATGCAACAATTTGACGACGCCTTTAGTATTACTGCTGTTAGTATTATTATAATTGTTTGACATTATGTTTAGTTGACAACTAATAACAATTTATTACTATCTATTTGTCAACGATTTCAGGCAATCATTATTGTAGTGACCGTAGCCTTCGTTCAAGAATATCGATCTGAGAAGTCATTAGAAGAACTGAACAAATTAGTGCCACAACTGTGTAGTTGTCTGCGTGGAGGACATGTCGAGACACTATTAGCCAGAAATCTAGTTCCCGGAGATATAATATTATTGGCGACCGGAGATAGAATTCCTGCTGATCTCAGAATTTTTGAAGCGGTTGACCTCTCAATAGATGAGAGCAGTTTTACCGGTGAAACGGAACCTTCTATTAAAACTACTTATCCTATTACCGGTAATTGTAAAATTAATTCGGTTTCTGATAGACATAATATTGCATTTATGGGAACATTAGTCAGATGTGGAAATGGGAGGGGAATTGTTATTAATACTGGTATTAATTCTGAATTTGGAGAGATATTTAAGATGATGCAGTCAGAGGAGGCGCCCAAAACGCCCCTTCAAAAGAGTATGGACTCATTAGGGACTCAGTTGTCTTTTTATTCTTTTGGAATAATTGGATTAATTATGATATTGGGATGGATTCAGGGCCGACCTATACTTGAAATGTTTAATATTGGTGTCAGTTTGGCTGTGGCTGCCATTCCCGAAGGTTTACCTATTGTGGTGACCGTAACGTTAGCATTAGGTGTGATGAGAATGGCAAAGAGGAAAGCAATAATTAAACGATTGCCAACAGTCGAGACATTAGGATGTGTGGACACTATTTGTTCAGATAAAACGGGAACTTTAACTAAAAATGAGATGACTGTCACTGCAATTGTCACATCAGAGCTTTATAGAGCAGATGTTAGTGGTGTCGGTTATACCGGAGGGGGAGAAGTCATTCTCAGTGAAGATACCGATTCATATAAAAAACAAATGGATTCAATTAAAAAACTATTAGAGATCGGCTGTATTTGTAATAATGCAGATATAACTGGTGGTCAACTTAGAGGTCAGCCAACTGAAGGAGCACTTATAGCAGCGGCACATAAGTTGGATATGTTTAGTATTAAAGATAAATTTATTCGTTTACAAGAGTTTCCATTCTCTTCTGACCAAAAGCTAATGGCTGTCAAATGTATTCCCAAATTTGGTCCCAAAGATGAAGAGAAATACTATGTGAAGGGAGCTCTTGAAAAAGTATTACCACTTTGTACTAAATATTCTGCAAATGAAAACATTATACAATTGACAAATGAAAGACACGAACAATATTTAAATGAATCACAATATTTGGGACGAAAAGGATTAAGAGGTTTCGAAATTGATTTATTATTTTTTGAACTATTATTTCTTATATTTTATATTACGGTAATTCAAACAGTTCTAGCTTTTGCTTATGGATCTAAATTAGACGATTTAGCTTTTGTCGGAATGGTTGGTATTTTAGACCCTCCGAGACCTGGAGTTAGAGAATCTATTCGTACACTACAAGCCAGTGGTGTCAACGTTAAGATGTTAACTGGAGATTCACAGGACACTGCCTGTGCTATCGGTAATTATAACTGTTATTAATAAATCAGTTTAAAAGTAATTAGAAAATTGTTATTAAAGGTAATAATTAGATTTTAATAGATTACCAATAGTTATAATTACAATGATTACAATGTAACTAAAATAGATCATACAGTAGATACAAATCATTTTTAATACATATTTTAATTTATATTATTATTATTTCAACATAATAGCCACAAGACTTGGATTCTATGCCACAGGAAATGCTATTATTTCTGGAGATGAAATCGATGCTATGGATGAAACAATGTTTGCTACCAGAGTGTCATCAATTGGTGTCTTTTATAGAGTAGGTCCGGCACATAAACTCAAAATTGTTAAGGCATTGCAAAAGAATGGTGCAGTTGTTGGCATGACTGGTGATGGGGTTAATGATGGAGTGGCTCTCAAAAAAGCTGACATCGGAATAGCAATGGGAAAGATGGGAACAGATGTTTGTAAAGAAGCTGCAGACATGATACTCGTCGACGACGACTTTTTTACTATTATGTGCGTTAAGTTTGTAATTATTGATAAAACAATTTTATTAATCTATCTATAAAACGTCGATTAGGTCCGCCATTGAGGAAGGAAAAGGCATTTTTCACAATATTCGCAATTTTGTTCGCTTTCAGCTGTCGACGAGTATCGCCGCTCTTTCATTGATAGCTTTCTCGACACTTTTACATATACCGAATCCTTTAAATGCAATGCAAATATTATGGATTAACATCATAATGGATGGACCACCTGCTCAGAGTTTAGGTGTAGAACCAGTAGATCACGACATACTGATCCAACCGCCACGTAATGTCAAAGAGCCGATGATTACTAAAGATTTAATAATCAATGTTCTAATATCGGCTTCTATTATAATTACGGGAACTTTATTTGTTTTCATTGCTGAGGTATTCCATTATTATTATTATTAAATTTTTATTATAATTACCGTATTATCTATTAGATGAGCGATCAAGTAGTGACTCCAAGAGATACGACAATGACGTTCACGTGTTTTGTATTTTTCGATATGTTTAATGCATTAAGTTGTAGATCACAGGTATAAAAATTATATTAACCAATAATTAAAATTAATAAATTTTTGTATAATTTGATTATATTTTTATAAATTTAGGTGAAATCTGTATTTCAAATCGGACTGTTAAAGAACAGAACATTTGTATATTCGGTGACGGGATCTATAATATGTCAAATGCTTGTTATATATGTCCCACAATTGCAGCGAATCTTTGTCACTGAAGCTCTCTATTTAAGCGATCTTTTATTTCTGTTATGTATTACATCCACTGTTTTTATTGTGTCTGAAATGAGAAAATTTTTTAAACGTCAAGCCCTAAAGCGAGAAAAACGCAATCAAGTCTATCAAAATCATATGGTTTAGCAAATGGTTTTTAATTATTTAAATTGCAATCATCTTATCATTATTATCATGTGATTGAGTTTTGAATTACAATTTTATTAAAAAATATTTACACAAATTTTTATTATACTACTAAAGAGATCAATAATTTATATTTATTAAAAAAACAATTTACCGTAATAATAAAAGTTGTTATTAATAATATATATCATTGATTCAACAATAGAAAAATACTATAAAAATATGTTAATTATTAAAATATTGAGCAATAATTAGCTCTTCAAAGAGCTCATATCAGAATCAATGACTGCTAATACATTTCCCACGAGATGAACACTTCCAGTGACTAATATATGAACGGGAAGTGCTTTTTGTTTCTGAGTTTTATCGATGATATATTTGATGGCATCAGTAATACATGAATGAATAGCAATCAATGTTTTCTCATTATATTTGGCCCAAATTTTTGCATTAGTATTACAAATATCCATTTGTTTTTGCGAAGTAACCGTAAAGTTGCTATTGTCTGATGTAAAGTCTTTATTGTTGTCCACTTTGTTTGGACAGAAGATTGCGATATCAAACTTGGCGTCAATTGCTTTCATCAATGTCTCAGTTGGCCGATCGCCCGTACAATTGAATAACAAAACTCTAACCAATCTGTTAGATGTCAACAATTTCTGTGATTCTTCCCAAAACCATTTACTACAATTGGCCAGAGATTCATAAGTATGAGCGCCGTCTAAGAAATAAATGCAATTGTTTTGGCGTAATATTTGACACCTTCCCGGCCAAACACACGACGATAATCCCAATAATTGCTTTCTATTTAATGGAAATATATCGGCAAATGTGCCGTCTTTTGTGATCAAATTCTGAATGTGATATTTATCGTTATCTTTATTAAGCCATGTGTTAGCCAATTGCAATGCTAAAGAAGCATTCAATCTTTGACAATCTCCTGAAATCAATTTATATTTAAGAATTAATTTTATATTTAAAATAAAAGATGAGTTAAAAATTGATAAATAATTATAAACGACAACTATTTGATTAAATCAACAAAAAACTACAATATTATAATACAATATAGATATTACAATATAAAGTATTGTTACCTTTGATTCCCAGATTAACTGGAACTGAATGCGGATAAAGTGATAGTAAAGGACAGACATAAAGTGAGCACTTTTTTTCTTGAGACCTACTCTTTAATACTTTCATCGCTGCGAGTGGTTGTTCAACAGTGAAGGCCGGAGTCGATGGTTTAAAAATACCTGATTTATGCCATGCTATCTGATCTATAGTATTGCCCAATAACTGGCAGTGATCGAGACCTAATGAGGTCACACCAGTCACTATAGGCTCTGGTACTACATTAGTACAATCAAATTGTCCACCGATTCCCACTTCAAGAACAGTGGCGTCAATATTCTCGTGAAGAAATACATGAAATGCCATAACTGTTAAAAAATTGAAATACGGAGGCATTCCTATGGTTTCATCCTTTCTTCGTTCAATTGTCTTATAAACGGACCAAAAATAATTTGCAAATTGTCTTTTGTTAAGCGGTTCTCCATTTATTCGGATGCGTTCTCTGGCAGCGACCAAATGTGGTGATGAATAAAATCCCGTCCGATAACCATATTGTCTCAAAATGCTGTCCACGAAAGCACACGTCGATCCCTTACCTTTAGTTCCCGAAACATGAATGACATTCAATCGATTAAGATCTTCGAGTTTGATGTCTAACAGCGATAGAAAATATATGGTTTTATCCAATGAATTACTTGAATTGCTTCCTCTTTCTCTTTGCAATTGAACCGACTGTGCAATTGTTTGAGCGTTAGTTTGCAATCCATTCAATGCTTTTATCGCCTCTTTATAACTAAAGTCATAAGACTTTTACAAAGTAATAAAAATAAATTATTTTTAAAACATATAATTTAAATGAAAATTAAATAACAATTTACATCACTTTGAGTGTACGTTTGATTTGTGATCCCTTCGGATATAGAGTGCGAGTGCTGTCGACTCCATGACTTAATTGTCACTTCTTGTTGTTTAACGGATAGTAAATCCAGTGAAAGACATGAACTCATTATTGATATAAAATTTAAAGTGTTGTTCGCTTTATATAATAAATGAGATCTTTTGCAAACACTATACATGTCCTTCAATAAACATTATCATCACATTATTGAATGAATCAAACATTGATAAGACTAATAAAACAATTAATACAAGTATTAAAACACATAGCAATTACTTTTAATCTACTTTTCTTAAGTAATTCCCTTTTCGATGATTTATTAGTTTTAAAGATTATTAATAAATAAAAGTATAATATTTATCAGAGTATTGTTTAGCAATAAACTTTATACATATCTTTGATATTTTTATAAATACATAAATATAATAATAAACAAATAATAAATACGATGATAAGCATTGAGAAACTTTATAACAATTTATTAAAATTAAAAAAAATACAATCGATTGCAATAATTCTCACATACGATAGTAATACATACAGTAATACGGTATATATATTCTACACTTACAGACAAATATCACAAACATTTGCATAACTTGTTATGTTATCTCATATTATATTATGACTAAAAAATTGTGTCACAAATATGTTTGTAAAAATATCTACATCAATATATTTTTATTAAGTTTATATTTTTCGATAATTATAACTATCAATTAGTAATTTTATTTACTAAAATTTGTCATATTTTAAATATTGTTTTTTTATTAGTTTAGAATATACTGTATTTATATAATATAACCAATTTATTGTATAAATATATTATAGAATTATTCTGTTAAGTCATGTATCAGTACTTAAATATAAGATTTTTATAAGTATTTATAAATAAAAATATATTGAAACGTGATATATAGTCACCAATATTCAAGGTATATCATATAAATTATATTTATTAATTTACATTATATACTGTACTGTAGTACTGTATTCTCTATAGATATTGTATGTCATATATTGTATATAATAATTAACGTAAACCTCTAAAAATTTATATAAAATAATAAAATTGAAAGCATTAAGAAATATTTGAATGACTGAGTTAAATGGTTTATAAGTAATAAAAAAATTAATACAAAACTAAATAATTATTTTTATTTATAATTTTAAAATGAATATCAGTTTTAAAAGTTTAGATATTTGCAGACATTAAGTATGTTTTATGATATCGGAGATCAAAATTACGAGTTTTAAATGCCGTATAAATTATAAGTATGTAAATATCACATAACAATTTCGATATTATTTAAAATATCTATCATATAAAACATATATTATATTTAATATAAATTCCGATATTCTTACAAAATGTATTAAATTTAAATAATACTATATTATTGTACAAAATATTCAATATATTTCCTGTCATTATTTAACTGTTTGTTTAGATAATCGATACAAAAGTATTGTCAACAAAGTCTATCCATTGATTGTTGAAATTATATCAAATTTTATTTATTTATTATTTAATTATTTCATTAAAACTAATTAAGTTTACATACAATAACATACCATAAATATAAATATGTGGTGAATATTGTTATCAATAATTGTTTGCCATATTTTTCATCGGAAATTATAAATGTTTGTATTATTTGAGATGTTTTAACATTGTTTTAAATGATAATTGAAAAGCATATGATTTATCAATACTTGAAAACATTATAATAGCAAAAAACAAGTGTTGTTTTGATCAAATATTGTCTGATTTTCAAACATTATTAGTTAGTTAATAGCAAAGTGTGATTAGATATCATATAAATGTATAAAACCATTGATTCATTTGAATCACGTGTTGACCATTCAATGTAAACATTGCCTTCACTTAAGTTAATATTAATACCAAAGTTATCATATAATACTCTATAATACTCTATAATACTCTATAATACTCTATACTTATAGACTATAATACTGTACATTGAATGTAAAATTATATATGATTTTCAAATCAAGTAATCATAGGCTATTGATTCATATAATACATTATACAATTAATTTATTATTAATTATCTAAAGAGTTTATTGTATTTTTATGTAAAATATATTATGTCTACTAATAAATATATTTTGTGAAAGTAAACACAAATAATAGTAATATTTGAATAACATATCAAACTATTGTAATATTGTCTAATATTAGCATGTTCAATTTGTTTATTTCTACCGTTTTTTAAAGTTTTGAAATATTTTCATATTTATTACTATAATAAGACTAATAGCATAATCACTGTTAATGTATTAATACCATACATTGGATCATATAATAATAAACTAATTATATAAACTAATATTTAACAATATTAAAGGTAATATAATTTATATAAATAGTTTAACAGAAAGTTAGTAATAAACACATCAAATGATATAAATATCATAACTAATCCTATTTTCTTATAATATATTTTGATGACAATATACTGTATTAATATTTAATTATAAAATTATATCTATTTTTGTGTATTTATAATTCACTATAAATTTAATATTTACACGAGTTTTAATAAAAAATATTAACCGTTAATATATAATGTGTTAAATTAGTAATTACAATATACTGTAAGTAGAGTTATCATAAATAAACATTATTTAATAATTTTTATGATAAAATATTGTTGGTTTTCACTTAAAGTTTAAATAATGATAAATTACTGGTAATATAAAATATAAAGGAGATATAAATAATATCAAGTTATTAGTTGATTGTATGTTAAAACAATTTAATAGTAATTATTACTACAGTAGAGACTGCAACACATGTTTTACATATTTGTTGTAATATTGTTTGGAATAAATATCAACCAAACGTAACATTTTAATGATTTTAATAAAATTTGTCATAAAGTGGTAAAATATATGTAAAGATTAAATCATCAAATCTTTGCTAAAATATTTAAAAAGACAATCTTTTGAAAGTTAAAATTAAAAGATTATATTATTGAATGAATAAAGTTTTAAAAGTTTAATTTCATAATATAGATACAGTAATATATTGTATTTAATAATCGCTAATATGATATAACATTTATAAGTAATTTTTAATTATTGTAATATTATTAATTTAGTTAAACATTAAAAATTAATAATATAATAATAATTTCTTTATATAATTATTTGGTTTGGTTTAAATATCATTAATATTTAAGATTTGTTTAAATTTGTTTACATATTTTAATCATTTTGAGCACATATTTCAAAATACTTACACATTTTTAAATAAATACTATTATTGTATATAATTTGTAACTTTTTTAATTTGATTTTTTACTGATAAACGCTAATAACGACTTCGCTAAAAATTTATTTATAAAATATTTAATTTATAGTTATTTTAAATATCAAAATTTGTTGCAAATAAAAATCTAATAACTTTTTTTAATTGTATCAAATTCATTAATTTAGTTAAAAACAAACTAATATTTTATAAGTTTTATATAAATTTAAATTGTGTATATAATTTATAGTTTTATTAATATTTCGACAAATTTTTTAATACTTTATTATTACGTTATTATTAATTAACAAAATTTATCAGATAATTGATAATTTATATTTAAACCAATTATGAATTGGTGTAATAAAAAGTGAAGATTTATAAAATAATCAATTTTACAATTTAGTATTTTCCAATAGTTTTTTTAAAATACAAATAACAACTAATATATAATTTGTCGATTAAAAACATGATATATAGTATTGTACAGTATTTTACTTAAGTTTTAAAAGTTTATAATTTCAAATTTGACAAAAAATATGCACCACTTTGTGTCAATTGATATGAATGACTAGGGATTTAAAATATAGACATTTTGAGATAAATAGTAAAATATACGACAAAAAACTAATGAATATTTTAATATTTTTTATTTTAATTTACTTTTAAATAAAAATTATTGTAATTTATTTTACACTTCATAAATGATTTTCTTAAATAGTCCTAAAAATAATTGTTTTCTGCTATTTCTCAAAACTAATGATAGTTTTTAACACTTAATAGTAAAGACTTTTAAAATAATAATAAAATTCAAAAATAGCGCAAACATTGAAGCGATTGATTGAAAGCATGTTTTAAAAGTGTTATTCAAAGTAAAAACAAAACACAATTTGATTTGTTTTTGACTTTTACACAATCGGTGTCCGCAATGACCACTCAATTCAATTTCGGTTCGGCGCCCACTTTGGCCACAACATCGACGCCATCGACCTTCACGTTTGGTCCGTTGACCACAACATCTCAGTCAACACTTCCGTCTTTTAACACTTCATTAACAACAACTCCTTTCTCATTGAATACAAATGCATTAAACTCTTTGTTGACCTCAAGTTTGGCCAACACTGGAGTGAATCCATTGGGAACTACACCGACATTAACTTTAACGCTGACCAGTGCTCCGACAGCGACCACACAAACATCAACACAACAGATGACAACATTTCACGGTATGGGCGGAACCCCAAGCATCGCATCGGAGACGGCCACTGACCAGTCGGCCGATGCCAACAAATACAACAAAGACGTGTCATATATTCCTCCAGAAATGATGCCATTAGTGGAAGCGTTAAAGAACTTCGTTAAGGAACAGAAGTTGATTCGCGAAGAGAACTCTCAGCAAAGGTTTTCTATTCAACCAATTCTTGAAGTCGGCTCTCAGATTGAAGACAACTTGCGATTACTTCTTAATAAAATAGAAGTTGATATTCAGCGCAACTCAAAGACTATGGACTCACTCAAGAAAGACACTAATAAGTTGTTGTCGTCGGCAGAGATGGCGTATCGGATCTCAAGAGTGGATGTTTTACAGACGCCGTCCAGTTATACAATCGCTCAAAACAAGTATATTAACGCATCCACTAATCAATACTTCTTGGAAACAATTAACAACTTTGAACAACAAATGAATACTTATTCAAAACAAATACAAGAGTTGAGGACACATATCGACAATATGAACAAACCTTACACTTCTGAAGAGTTGTTCCAAATTATGCGTAAACAACACGAGACACTCATTTCTTTGGCCGCCAAAGTATACGCCATTCACGAAGAAATTAATGAATTAAAGAGTAAACTTCATTCAAACTATTCGTCAAAATTTACTGATAATACAAGAGAACCGCAAATTAATACTTTGTCTGATACTAACAAATCATTTGTTGGTCCAAATCCTTTTGCATTCACTGGCGATGAAAGTTTAGTCATTGGATCAGATAATACCCCAAAAGAGTTGAGTAATTTACAGACTACTGGACTAACAAATCCATTGCTATTCTCAAGTTTGACACCAAATCAGTCCGTTTCCAATACTTCCTCTACGTTTCAATTCAATCCATTGGTATCAACACCAGGGACTACAAGAACTAAACGTTGGACCACTTCATGAATGAATTTATTTCTTAATTATATTATTTTATTCTTTATTATTACTTTAACTGATAATAAAATACTAAATTTTTGTCTTAAATTCTTTATTGTATTATTAAAAACTAACATTTATTGTTACCAAAGTGTCCGCAAATTTAGGAAAGAAAATTCATTACATTATTATGTATTTAAATGTTTTCATTAAAATATTACAATAAAACAGATTCGATGAAAACAATTGATTTTTAGATCATTTAATTAAATGAATTAAATTACTGTCATTTAAAGTAATTAACTATTATTTAATTTTATCTATAAATTTAATTATGATTCTAAGTATATCTAACTTTTGTCTAAAATATATTTTAAATATAAAAATTCTTTTAGATTATAAAGTAATTACAAGTTTATATAAAAAATGGATATTTCAAAAATTTCTAATAGTTTTAATTTACAATTTTATTAATAATATTTTATAAATAAATATTTTTTATAATTTACAGGTATTAGTAAACATTTAATTGAATGATAAATGTTTTTGAATTTTGTCTGTTTTTCATAGAATTGCAGTAGAATTTAGTCCAAAAAATAATGTATTGAAGTATTTTTGTAGATTTAAAAAAATTATTTATAAATTAATTAATTACTTGTTAAATAACTAAAATTCAAATTTAACAATCAGTAATTAATTATTATAATTTCAATGTACAGTAAAGATATACATTACAGTACTATTATAATTTATAAATCATATTATTAACTAAATATATTAACTTATAATTATTATTTTGGATTTTCATTATTATTATTATTAAATTGCAAATCAGAAAATTTACTTTAAAATATAAAATACTCTATAATTTAATTTTACATTAATATTTGTTTATAAGTTTTTCATATTAAATAAAAATAAATAGTTTTATAATTTTTATATCAAAAAATTGGTTCATTTGTTCCGATTTATGAAAAAATAGTTTTATATGATTTCAATTGATATTCTCAACTCTATTGTTAATTCAATATACAAATGATCCCCAATTTGACAATAAATTCAATGCATTAGTAGTGTTAGTATTGGCGCTAAATGTTTACATTAATTGTCAAAATAATTAACAAATTTTAATAATTAAATTAAGTTTTTATTCAATAAGTTGTCAATCATTTAGTGGCCAACAATGCCGCGGGAAATGATAACTTTGCAGTTGGGTCAGTGCGGTAATCAAAGTAAGTATAGAGACTGTCATCACATTTGATATCAATGTTTATATCATATCTTTTTATGACTTAATTAATGTCAAAATCAGTTGGATTTGAATTTTGGAAGAAGTTATGTGCGGAACACGCGATCAATTGTGATGGACTTCTGGAGCCGTTTGCCAAAGAGGGTGTCGGCGATCGTCGGGATGTCTTCTTCTATCAGGCGGATGACAACCATTACATCCCACGCGCTGTACTCCTTGATCTCGAGCCGCGTGTTATAAATACCATCAAAAGTAGTCCATTTACTAAACTTTATAATCACGAAAATATATATCTGTCAAAGACTGGCGGCGGCGCCGGAAATAATTGGGCCAAAGGTTACGCCTGTGGAGAGAAACTTAGTGAAGAAGTGTTTGATATCATTGAACGCGAAGCCGAAGGATCCGATTCATTGGAGGGCTTTGTTTTGTGCCATTCAATTGCTGGCGGAACCGGTTCGGGAATGGGGTCTTATATATTGGAAAGACTTAATGACCACTTTCCTAAAAAGCTAATCCAAACGTATTCGGTGTTTCCAAATCAAGAAGAGACTAGTGATGTTGTGGTTCAACCCTATAATTCATTGTTAACATTGAAACGATTGGCACTGAATGCCGATTGTGTTGTAGTTCTCGATAATACAGCCCTCACTCGTATTGCTGTCGATCGCCTTCACATTGAAAACCCGACATTCAATCAAATCAATTCATTGGTAAGTTTTTATGACAATTCTTACTCAAAATGCAATTTAATTGACAATATTTGATAATATAAGGTATCGACTATAATGTCGACCTCAACGGCAACATTAAGATATCCATCTTATATGAACAATGATCTCATTGGACTCATTGCACCGTTAATACCTATGCCTCGATTACATTTTTTGATGACTGGTTATACACCGTTGACCACCGAAACCAATGAACAGATGGCAGTAAGAAAAACGAGTGTTTTAGATGTGATGAGACGTCTATTGGACGACAAAAATATGATGGTTTCGACTCTAATGCAGGCCCGAAATGCTGGCCACTGCTATATATCGATTCTTAATATAATACAAGGAGAGGTTGATCCCACACAAGTTAACAAAAGTTTAATGAGAATAAGGGAAGGAAAAAAAGCACAGTTTATTCCGTGGGGACCGGCAGGCATTCAGGTGGCCCTCTCCAGGAAATCACCGTATATTCAAACACCACATCGCGTCTCTGGACTTCTCATTGCAAACCATACTTCTATATCACATGTAACTTAAAAAACATCAATTATTTATTTAATCAATTTATTAATTTGTATTTTAATTAGCTGTTCGAACGAACACTCGCTCAATACGACAAACTTAGGAAAAGAGAGGCATTTTTGGAACAGTTTCGCAAAGAAGATATGTTTAGAGATAACTTGGATGAACTCGACAGCTCTCGGGAAGTGATGCAAGAGTTGGTCAATGAGTACGTGGCGGCAACTAAACCGGATTATCTTCAATGGCTTCAGCGAAAAACATAATCATTTGGTATTTTTCAATATTATTTTTATGTAAATTTATACATAACTTTAATTGTATATTAATTTATATAATAATTCATAAAATAAAAATGTTTCGAAAACAACATTTCAAATAACATGATATAATGATAATAATGACGTAAATTTATGAAACATTTAAAAATCACACGAATATAAACATTAAAATTATTAAATACATTATAAATATACAAAATATATTACAAAAATAATTTCATAAATAAATAAAAGTTAAGTGATTTCAGAGGTATCTAATTCAGGAACAGGTGATGGCGGCGGAGGATATGGATTATTACTATAACTTCGTTCAGTAACTGGTGATGGAGGACCACTTAAATCGGATAAGTAATGACTTCTCGGTGTTGGTGGAGGAGGGTATGGATCCGAGTCGTAGCCGAGTTCTGCTTGAGTATTGTCATAATAGGCAGTATATTTAATAGCAGTGTCACTGTCTTCATAGACATCAGTACTGCATGGTGTCGGTGGTGGTCCTCTCGATCTGTTAATCCAACGGTTCTTTTTACTTCGATGCTGAAGAATGGCATATTTGGAACTTCGAGAGTGAGCTATAGATGAACTGGAACTGCCGTCAAAATTGCATTGCGACTGATCTGTTACCGGACTTGGAGGTGGGTTTAGAGTCTCTTTAGGATAATTTTGTATTGAAGAGCTGGTAGAAGAAGCACCAGTAATATTACGTTCATATAGTGTGTCACCGCATTGTTGAAGTGTTGGACAAATACCAAAATTGCCATTTATTGTCATACGTTTTCCTAATGTGTTCTCAGATCCCGACAACAAAGTGTTGGTACGAATATCATTAGATTGAGAGGTGAGTGGTCTTTGAGGACTCATAAGCATATCATTAGCGCCATAGTCTTTCTCATCGTAGGTTTGATTCTTTTTACGACAGCGACACATCAGTAAAAACAATACGACAAATACGAACAGTGAGATCAATACAACCAATATATACATTGGTTTTTGGTGATTGTGAGATGTGTTCATTTCTAACGGCATTCTATCCATTTTGTGTCGACAACTCAACTGACTTTCATCTGATCCATCGCTACAATCATTCTTTTGGTCACAAACTTGATATATATTAACACAATTTCTACCCGATTTACACTTGAAGTGATCCCAACCACAGCACTGTTCGTCAAATCCGTCCATACAATCAGCGACACTATCGCAAAGCAGTGTATTATCCATACATTGAGTCTTATATTTATCGCCACTTTTGGTAACACAAGTAAACTGATTCTCCAGACATTTTGGACAATTTAATTCATCTGACTTGTCCTGACATTCGGGGTTACCATCACAACGCCAATTCTAATTGCAATTAAAACATTGTATTTACTCATATATTATGATATATATTCAATAAAACACATACAATAGGAATACAGTGAACGTTTCCAGTGAGACACGCAAACTGATCCGATGAACAATGTGGAGGAGTTATACACGTGTGCTCATCGTTGGACAATATCATACCGTTAGGACAACTGCACTTATGAGTGCCATCAGTGTGTAATATAATGCATAAGTGAGAGCACCCGCCGTTATCGGTCTGAAAAATATAAATTATACGATATATTAGACAGTGAACGAGGCTTACAGTCACAACTCTAGACTTTAATCCCAGAGACTATCATTTAATTACTATTTGAAACATTTTTATAAATTAACCCAAAGCTCATTCTTGATTGACTTTAAGTAATATTATGTTTCAATTATTTCAAAATTTAAAAACAAATTAAAAACAAATACATACCAAACATGAGACAACGTTAGTATTGATTTTAGTCACTGATATGATATCTGTAAGATTAGGTATCCGACTATAAACCGTCTCTTTTCCAGATTCTGCTAATTTATGAATTCTTTCGATGACTTTTTGTTCCCTTTCTATTAAGTATAAGTAGTTGTCAAAGACAACCATCGATATCGGGTGCATAATACTAGATTGACTTATTGTATGTCTATTATCGCCGTCAAGAGTTGAACACTCAATGATTTGACGACTACTTTCAGCCCAATATATTAAGTCGAGATCGACATCAACTGTCAGAGCAGAGACTTCGTCTAATTTACTTTCAGCTATAGTCGTACCAATCAATCCAAGAATGGAAAGTCTTTCAATTTTCGGAGGACTTATATCATTGACCCAAAACAAGAATCTATTGATCGTATTAATTGATATCAATTCTTAAGTATTGGTAATAAATAATTAAAAAATATAGTAAATACCTTTTCTTATAATGCAATGATAGTGTTCGCGGTCTATTTAATTGGTCGCTAACAATGGCGCCAATGTTTGTGCCATCAAGACGGGTGGCATTAATTGAGTTACTGTGACTACATGACCAGTATATAACTCTAGAATATGGATCAACTTCTATATCAAACGGCTGGTTAGTATCCTGAGAAGCGGGTAAAATGACACCCATTCCAGTGCCGTTAATATTAGCCCTTTTGATAGCCGAAGTTCGGCTATCTATCCAAATAACAACGTTTTCGTAGGAATCATAAGTAATTGCCTTAATATTCTTAAGATTATGAATGGGAAGTGTTATGTCTGGCGCGTCAATTATTGTGTCCATTACTAATCGTGTGATAGCATTTCGTTGACTATAAAGTAAAAAACTTTGTGGAGCTATAAATAAAATTGAAAAATTCAATAATAATATTTAATTAAAATATGTTTCAATTAAATTATAAATTACCGGAACATGTCTTGTTGTCATCGTTAAGGATATAATGTGATGAACATAAACAGCGATGTGTATTAGCCCGTTGATTGTTACCGGGAAGAGCTAGACATAGATGATCACAGCCTCCATTATTAACAGCACAGGGATTCCAACCGGATTGTCGAGAATTGTGATAAACCATTAAATCTATCACATAATCCAATTGAGTTTGTATTTGAGTCCGATTTAAACCATTGGATTTTATGGCCTTCTCAATAGTATTAGTTTCCCAATCGGCCCAATAAACATAATTTTGATATACAGTTAAAGTATACGGTTGTCTTAAAGATTCTTTCAAAATGACATTCCTATTGTTGCCATCAAGTGATGAGGACATTATCTTATGTGATTCAATGTCTATCCAATATAGTCTGTGTTCACTATAATCAATGGTTAAACTGTTGGCTTTACCGATATTGTTAGCAATAACATGTCGTTGAGTTCCGTCGAGTGCTGACCGTTCAATGCGGGCAATCGGTGACCAATCACTCCAAAACATAAGTCCTTCGCCAGGACTGAGTGCTATAGAGCGAGGATTTTCCAAATCTTTCCAAATAAGAATTTTACGGTAATGACCGTCCAATCGGGAAACTTCAATCCTATTGAATTCAGTGTCAGTCCAATAAACATTATTTGCCACCCAATCAACAGCCAAACTCTGTGGATATTCTAATCCATATTCAATGATGTGTTCAATATTACTTCCATTCATAAATGATCTGTTAATTGTCTTAAGCTTGACATCTGTCCAATAAATTCGATTATCGTTTAAATGATAATCAAAAGATGTAGTTTCTTGAACGCCGGCAATTGGTATTATATCCAAATGATGCGATGCTAATGAAATCCTATGAATATCGGTTTTACGGGAAAATAGTAAGAAAGCTTCGGGAACTATACAAGTTTGCATATCTGTAGATAATTCATAACCCATAGGACAGGCGCACACATAATTCTGTTTTGGTCTATACAGACATAAATGACTACAATTTCCATTATTAACAGCACAGGGATTTGTTCCTATAATTCGATTGACGGCAACTGCTTTTAGTCCCATGAGATCAGGTAATTGATCGACAATTATCTCTCTTTGTTGTCCAGTAATTTTATGAACTCTTTCAATGGATCTCTTTTGCCAATCACTCCAATAGACATAATCATTAAGTAGAGTAAAGCCAAATACATGAGGTATTTGATCCGAGACTATAATTTTACGTTCAGAGCCGTCAAAATTTGATTTCTCTATTTTATCTGTTTTAGCGTCTGACCAATAAATTTTGGATAAATCATAATCAATGGCCAAACCATTAGGCCAAACCAAATCTCTGTTAATAATAACACTACGTTGTGTACCATCGAGTGCTGCTCTTTCTATCTTTGGTTTTGTCCCCCAATCAGACCCTATTAAATAATAGGTAATAATAAATTATTTATTTAAATAAATAAAATCAATCAATAGAATAGCAAAAATATTTTTAAATTATTAAAATAATATAAAAATATATAATTACAAAATATAAATCCCTCGATGGGATGAACGACAATAGCTCGGGGCTCTTCAAGTCCTTCAGTTAACAATATCTTTCTAAATGTGCCATTAAGTCGGGCTACTTCTATACGATCGGTACCCGTGTCTGTCCCTGTAATGAATTATTAGTTAAATAATTTACAATAAAATAATTATTTATGTATTTATACAATAAATGTTATGTGCAATCCAGTCAATGGCAATTCCGTCGGGATGATGTACTTCAGTGGCCACTATATCTTCTTGATGAGAACCATTCAAATAAGCTCTTCTAATGACATGAACTTCATCGTCAGTCCAGTAAATCATTTTGTCGACCGGATCAAAATCAACAGCAATAGCGTGTTTAATGTGTCTTAAGGGAAGAATAACATCAGTGAAATCTGGTGTATCCAATGAAATACGTCTTATATCAACTCTTCGGGCTAAAAATAGTATCTCTTGAGGACCGGTGGCACATGTTTTGAGATCAGAAAGTAACTGAACACCTGTCGGACAACCGCATGAGTAAAATGGCGATATAGAAGACAATAAACAGAGGTGAGAACAGCCTCCATTCTCCTGATCACAGGGTGTCTCAGACGGCAATTGACGCTGTGATGAGTAAACATGAATACCCATTGGAGACAACTGTCCGCTTATTATTCTTCTTCGTTGTCGTGTATTTTTGTTAAAAGAATGAATAGCTTTTGTAGTCCAATCAGTCCCTAAATTTGCAAAAATTGATTAAATAGTAATAATAAAATTTAATGAGAAAAAGCTATATTAACTTACAATAGATAATGTCGTGAATCATAGTAATAGCAAAAGGATGCGGCATATTGTCGCTGACAACCACTTTTTGATTGCTTCCCGAAAAATCCATTGAAGAAATAAAATTAAACTTGGCTTCAGCCCAATACACACGTTTGGCCTCATAATCAATAGTTAAACCATTTGGCCAAAGGATGTTGTCTTTAACGAGAACAGTCCGTGTGATGGACTCGCCATCCATTGAAGATCTTTCTATTTTTGGCATTTCTCCCCAATCCGTCCAAAACATTAAACTTTTATAGTTAGCAAAAAAGTTATAATTAATTTTTAATTATCTAAACAACAAAAATCAACAGCTCTTACACTGATTACACATATATTGAAAGCATTAAAAAATAAAATAATTTGATTATATTTATTAAAATATAATTTTTAAATATTGTATTCAATTTACAAATCAATCACAAAAAACATACCCATCTTTAGGTGAAAGTGCTATAGCTCTGGGCTGATCCAAGTCCTTCCAGAAGAGTACTTTACGATTGACGCCATCGAAATCACTCACTTCTATACGATTAGTCTCAGAGTCAGTCCAATACAACTTCTTCGTGAGCCAATCACAGGCCAAACCATCGGGTGATACGATTCCCGATTGGATTATTGTGAACGCCTTGTCTTGACTAAGACTGCCATTAATTTTGATTCCTTTAATCATTTCCAGTCCGATGTCTGCCCAGAATATAATGCTATCTTTGAAATAATAGTCGAGAGCCGCCGCTTCTTCCAAGTGATTCATTATCACCGATGCATTTGGTCTTTGATTGTCGGAATTCAATAGACGAATGTCTTTGCGATTAGCAAACAATAGATATGTCGGACGACTTACTCCTGAGGAATAGCACATTGACATCAAAACTATGTCTTATAATAAATGTAATGAAGACAAACCTGATGTTATGGTGATGTGAATACATAGTATGACTAATAAATAAATGCATTTAATGTGAATGTAATCAGTGGTCAAACCAATGGATGATGACTTATGACACTTATATTTAAGACAAATGCAATCATTGTCTCTTTGGTCAGTCATGTTGTGAACCTATCATTGAAACACAACTCTAATTAATCTCAAGACATGTCAACAATGGATCAAAACATAAACATAATGTCAATCATAATGTGTATGAAATCTATTGTGTGTGCAATCAATGCAATCATTTTCAACATTCAATGCATTCAATTGTAAGCCATTTATATTACAGTAGAGAGTAATCAAAGCGATCACTGCTTTCACTACAATCTTAAGTCATTCCTCTTATATATTGTAAGCCAATAGCAATGGATGTCTTAGTGGGGCATAAATGGGGAACAATTGGGACATAAGCGGGGCATAAGTGGGGCATAAGTGGGGCACACCTGTTGTGCAGACATGCCATACGTACAGTACTGTAGGTCTCAGTCTCACACTTTCACACATTCACACAATGTTACACACATTAGATCACATTCACCGCATACCATACCATCCCTTAAGCCGGTATGTTATCAAAGAGGCGCTCTTTATATACCTGTTTTTAATTGCCATTCACCGTATGTTTTGCTAGTATTATATAAGTTTGAGAAACATTGAGCTTATTATTCAAAAGCTATTAAATAGAAATATTCATTTTTGACATAACTTATAGTTGTAAACAATAATCAATATTAATTAGAGTTAAGACATAAATCAATTGATTATAAATAAGTTGACTTTTTATTATTATTTTTATCATTTGAAATATGTATTACATAATTAAACAATACTTACGAAAAATAAATCAATTATTAAAATTATAGAAAACCTATACTTACCAAAGCAAGTAAGGTCTTACCTAATTAAGTGTATATATAAATGATAAAAAAACTAACGAATTGTAAGTCTGTTTGTCGTTAAATCAAATAATTTTTAAAATTAAAAATACAGTATTTTTGAGTCTTTATATAAGACTCTCTAAATAAGTGTCGAGTTATTAGATGAGCTTATCTTAAGGCGAATATATATCTTCTTGTGGTTTATAGTTGACATAAGTGGGTTGACTATAGCTTTGAGTACCAAAATTGTCACCAGAGTTGCTGTCTCCGTAACCGCTTTGGTAATTGTCGTTATCATACATATCGTTCTCATAAAGACCTTCTTCTGGTTCTTCTTTAATCAAATCATTCTTCATAGGATCCAAACTCCGATCTATTTTGTCTCTACTATTGTTTTCATAATCGGTTTGTCGATTACTTCTTTTTCTGTCTCTACTATGGCTTCTACTTCTACGTCTTTTTCGTCTTTCTACATCTTTGTCTCTGCTATCACCTCTTCGACGATCAGATCTCTCAATGCGTTCATTCAGGTCTCCGCCTCCCGTCTGATCCTCAATATATGAAGCGTCTCGAGAACTCTTAGTTCGATCCGATCGTCTTTCTGAACGATTATCATATCTGCCATCTCTACCATCTCTATCTCTTTTCCTATCCCTATCAGTCTTCTCAGATCTGTCTCTCTCACGTTCTCTACTTCTACTTCTTTTACGTTTATCATCCCTTCTCTCTCGTTCTCTACTTTTACTCCTTTTCCTCTCTGATCTCTCCCTATCTCTAGAATGACGGCGCGATTCCTTTTCATACTTATCTCTGTAAATGATATAATAATTTTAAATATTGTTTATCTCTGAACCAACTTTTTACAAACCTATCCTCAGTTCTGCCGTCATCTCTTCCCGAATGTCTTATGTTTTCATCGGGCGCTCCCTTTCGAGTTCCACCCAATCCTCCGCCTTATAATAAATTAAATCAAAAATGTTACCCAAATTAAAATTAGGGTAATTTTAAGATCAAGTCTACCGAGTCTACGAGGAAGCCATCCTTTAACAGTGCGACCTCTTTCAACATCGACCAAAACTCTTCGGCCATCAATTTTCTTTCCGTCGGCGTGTTTATAGGCAGCTATGGTATAGAAGTTGAAACTAATAAAATAATACTTACCAAATAATCTCATACCTACCCAACTAGTAATACTTACCCATATTTTTAACACAATTATGACTAATTTTAATTTGCAGATTACTTTCATTATTTAGTTAATAATTAAACTATATAATGAATTATGAAAATGTCATATTATATTATTATATAAAATTTAAATATATATTTAAATATAACGATTTATGGTATCTACTGTAAAGTACTACATTAAATAATAATTATAATATAACATTTTCATTGACTAGTTTTGCAAAATTTAATATTAATGTTTTACTTCTACATTATATTGTTTACATTAGAAAATACTTTAAAAAGTTATGGTAAGTCTTAACTACTGTAATATCAAATTAATGTTCAAATAAAGAAACTGATGACATGCTATTTGTTTTTATAAATACTCATTAATTAACATAACATAATATTTTAATGTTTTGATATATTTAAACTAATTAGTCGATTGATTATTACCTAATTATTGCTAACTTATTACTATATCAATGTAAGGCTTATGTACTTTTTATATGTAATGTAATATGACTTACGGTAAGTACATAATAAGTTATACCTATTGTTAACTTACATCACATACAAACCAATAATACTTTCAAAAACTATGGTCTCTATTGATTGCGGACCAAAAAAGTTGGGCCAAAATAGCTGCATAAGAGATGAGGTAATAGGATAAGTGAGCCCTTCAAAGAAGTTTATTATCATTTATCAAATCATTAAATGATCATTAATTGGGTAAATATTCTCACTTAATATTTACTCAAATTAACACCTATTTTCAATTAATTACTAAATTATCCCATCATTGGTCCTCTTATAGTGATTTTATGGCCAATTATAAGCAAACAAAATGCTTACCAATAAAAATGCTTCAAATCGGATCAATTGTCACTTACAACTAAGCTATTTATTCATTATTAAGATATATATATTACCGTCACTTTTGGTCACAATTACTTCAAACAAGAGTGCATTTACTGATATCTACCCTTATTTACAATTTATGTCAATAAATAAGACAATACTTACAGTGCATATCTCTTTCGTGTTCAAACTCAATGTATGCATAACCGCGTGGTTTGGATGTAACCTTGTCTTGAACTAACATTATCTGCAATTATATCAAATTATAATAAAATCAAATCATATTAAACCAATCAGTCTTAACAAACCTTTTTAATGTTACCGTAGGCTTCAAACTCTCTCCGAAGTTTGCTTTCAGTCGTATCGAAGTTAATTCGGGCCACAAATAGTGTCTTATAGGGGTCTGACGTTGCAGTAGTGCTTGATTGTGGATCCCCTGAAAATAATATCAATTAATACCAAACATATCATATATTCATCAATACATACAAAGAGCTATTCCCTGTTCCAACTTATAGGCCGATTGTTCGGCGCGTTCACGACGTTTACGTTCAATACGTTCTTCTCGAGTCTCATGTCTTACGGGAACCGGTGTGTCCTTCGGGTCCTAATATGTCATCAATTTGTTAATATATTAATGCAATCATATTTTCAAATCAATTCAAAACCTCGAAGAATGTTAAGAAATGTCCGACGCCTTCATAACCGCGTGTTTTCTTCTCGTGCGGTAACTTCTGTGCCGGCGGTAAGTATGGTATCGACTCTCGCGGTGCGAATAATGCCAATAGATTTGGCGGTAAGTATTGGGTCATCACTTCTATACTATTATATCATTAAATTAATATTAAATTACTATTTATAACATAATATTCAATACATTTATCACACAAATGGCGTTCAAGTGTTTGTCAATAAACACAAAGTATGTCCTCCGAGTTGGCCATCGGTCGACATATTTATCACTATATTTATATTAAAATCATTAATTTGTTTGATTGTTAATAATTGTCGATTTGATTAAAATTATATTTAATTAATTTTATTTTCAACCTATTATTAGTTGAATTTTAAAACTATTTATTATTAAGATTTAGATAAAAATATATTGTATTAAACAAATGTATAAAAAGCCATCATTTATGTGACCATTGCTTGCATTTATTGCAGTAAAGTATTAACAATACATAAAATACAATAATATTGATTGAAAACACGTTTTATATTACAATTGATTATTGAATTAAATTGAATTGAATTTTCTTCACTCGACTTATCCATCACTTGATTATCATTAGTGACAGACAATGATTATTCCGATCCGTTGTTTCACTTGTGGTAAAGTGATTGGCAATAAATGGGAACCGTATCTCAACCTTCTTCAGGCCGAATACACTGAAGGGTATGTATGGAAAGATTGATTGATATAACAATTGTCATCTCATGTCACCAATTGATTTAGTGATGCATTGGACGCATTGGGACTCAAGAGGTATTGTTGTCGTCGTATGCTTTTAGGACACGTCGATCTCATTGAAAAACTACTCAATTATGCTCCGCTCGAGAAGTGATACAATTATCAATCAGTTTCAACATTCATACCATTAAAACAATTGTATAACAAATCATTAATGTTTAATAAATAAAATAAGTTTCATATAATTTAACGAAATATTCATTTTATTAAATTTTGACAAAAATCAGTACAATTCTTAAGCGGTCAGAACACAGGCGCCGCCGACAGACTTGATCTTCTGTTCGGCACTTTTACTGAAAAACCTTGCCTTCACTATAACGGGTTGTTTGGGAAGTCTTCCTTTGCCTAACACTTTGAAATATCCCTAAAATAATTGAAATAATCTTAAAATAAGTAAAAAAAAACTAATAAAAAATCAAACAATTAGTCATTACGTGTTTTACAACATCAACTACCGGTGCCTTTCCGTCAGCACTTGTTTTATAGTGCTCTCGCATGCGGTCTCCAACCAGAGCCCAAATTCGGTCAATGTTTATGGTCGGACAGTAGTGCTTGAGTGAGGTTTGCTTTAAGTGGAAGTTCCTCATTCCCACTTTACCGAAATATCCCGGATGACTGTCCACAACAATACATTTAGTTGACATAAAAGTTAAGAAGTCATTACTCACTATTTGTCGAAATAGATGCGGTGATGATGTTGACCGCCGGCATTACCTCTACCGCCGGGATGTTTGCGGTGTTTACCTATAAATAAAATAATATTTGAATATTAAGTTTGATCACCAATTAGTTAATTAAATATCAAACCGATGCGTCCGTGACCGTGAGACACGTGTCCACGAAGTTTACGAGTCTTCTTAAATCTGGTCGGCTGTTAGACCACGAAAACACAATCATTAATATCATTAAAATTATCTCAAATATTAATTATAATTAATAATATAAATAAATAAAAGTTAATTTAATTCAATTAATGTTAAATCACTTACCATTGCTTTTGTGATACTTAGAGGAAAAGGAAGCAAACAATGAGTTATTTTTACAATCAATGATGTGTTGAACACATGAGTTGGATATCAATTGTATGACATTATTGACTGTTTGTTAGTTATATTGCATTCTCTGTATTGAATGCATTGAAAGTCAATAATCGATTGCTTGCATAACATATGGCTTTATAGACAACAATAACACACATATTGTACATCACATGCATTGGTGTTGTGATTGTCTTATCATTCAAACAATTGACTAAATATATCATTAAAGATATCTACGGATCAATTGGTCATCAATGGACTGCAAGACACTCCGTAATGATGAAATTGAGGCTTTGTCTGCTATTTATGGCGAAGAATGGGTCGCTGAAGATACAGATAATAGTGTCTATAGTATTATATTGAAGAGCGATAACAATTGCAACGAAAGTCACGGCAAACCTAATGATTGGCAAAAAATTATACGATTGGAGTTCAGATTACCCGATGAATACCCGTTAAGTCAGCCACCAATGTATACGTTGTCAGCGCCGTGGATGTCACGCAAAGAAAAGGCATCATTAATGGCACAGTTGGAGGACATCTATTGTTGTAATGAAGCGCAAAGTATTCTTTATCTTTGGATTGAGAAGTCCAGAGAGTTCTTGAATTGTGATGAATCCATCAGCGATGACAACGATAACAACGATAATTCTTGCGACTACCAAACGAGTCATGAAAATAATGAATATATTGGACTTAAATCTAATGATAAGTCAGTTAATAGTCATTCATCACATTGTCAGCCCATATCATCCAACCATTCAAGTGGTGGTACATCATCTCCAGCCCTATATCACGGCGAACCACTAACAGACAGGAGGAGTACATTTCAGGCACACTTATCTCCTGTGCATTCAGTAACCGAAGCACACGAAGCATTAGCTGTTCTCAAAGTAAACAAAAAGATAGAAAGCGCTACCCATAACATCAGTGCCTACAGAATCTCTGGGGGTCCGCACAATACATGTCTTCAGGATTGTGATGACGATGGCGAAAGTCATGCCGGCTCTCGACTCTTGCATTTGCTTCAAATTTTGGAGGTAAAGGATGTGGTGGTAGTTGTCTCGCGTTGGTACGGAGGCATACAGTTAGGTCCCGATCGTTTCAAACATATTAATAATGTGGCCCGAGATCTACTACTTAGATGTGGTTATATTGATGAGTCAACTGATGGCAACCATTCAAACCAAAACAAACACAAGAAGAAAGTCAAATGACAAACATATGATTAGCTATTTTACAATTTTTTTAATAACATATTTGTATTTTTCAATTTACGGTAATTCAGTCATTATTTTTAATTACGTATTCATTAATTCATTAAATATTTTATATAAGAATTATCATATTTTTGAAATATTATACATTTTTATACCTATTTTATATCTCATGAATTATATTTTTTCAAAATAAGTGAAATTAATTAAATATTTTTAATTGATATTTTTACCGGTGAATTATTGTCAAAATAAATTGTGTTAATGTGTTAATACAATTGCCAAATGATTTATTTATTGTTTAATGAATTCATTTTTTAATAAAATAATATAAAAACAAACTAATAATGAAATTTCAAGCCATCATAACTGGTCTCTTGACCTGAGCTTCCAAATCATTTGCAGCCGCATAACCAGTTCCTCCCCTTTGCAATGGTATAATATCCTTATCTTTGAGTGATTTTCCATTAATCGGATCCAAATAGTCTTTTTTAATAAGTTTGTCGACACATTCCATCGTTACTACGGCTCCACTAAAGATATATAGACAATAATAAGACAAATGTTAATACAGTATATTAGAGAAAAGACAATATAATGTAAACTAACGAAGTGGTCAATACAGCGCACGGAACTGAATTGCTTAGAAGATCATGAGTTACGGCACACTTATATTTGCCCTAAAATATAATCATTATTGATATTTGCAATAATTATATCGAAATCGTTATTAATATTAACAAACTTTTGTATCATTTGTTGGCGTGAAATGAACTTCAATGAGTTGGTTAGCCTTAAGAGGTTTACCACTCATAGGACAGTATACACTTGTCTCTGGCTTTTTAATTTTTGTTTTAGATGATTGCGGTGTCATCGCTGGCACCCAAAAACTGGGCAATTGTTTGTCGCGACCACTGCACATGTTGGAGATCCCGGAGCCCACTGTTGATGTATTAATGTTTGTCGTACTGGTAGCTGAAGATGTCGAAGCTTTTGATGCAATCTTACTAATAATATTGGTTTCCATCTTTTCAAACCTTTCTGTCTTAATCATTATCTCTTCATTTGCTTTATCAATGATCTCCTTTTCCTCCAATTTCTTCTGTTTTTCGTATTCTTTCATTTTTCTGGCATTTTCTCTCTTCTGATGAATGATAAACTCAAGAATTGATTCCTTGTCGTACAGATATCCTTCCGGTCTTTTATGTCAATTGTATAAATAGTTATCAGATATTTTGTCAAAGATGTAATCATAACTCACGTAAGGACTGGATGTCTGCACGGCTGAAGAGTTAGATTACAGGCATCGAAGTCTTTGATGGAGTCTTTGGCTAATCGTAGTCTTTGAGTGCCATAACCGGATGTTTTGGTATCTCTTTGTCTTTCATGGTATGAATAGACTGCACCCGCAGTGTTGTTACGCGCGTGTCGTGTCATTGATATCTTAATCAAACAATTGATATAAATATTAATTATTCAATAAATTTGTTTTTCAATAGATTTCTATGGCTATAATGAATGCTTACAATAATAATAACAACAATAGTCTACAATATTTTCCATTCAATTCATTATATTATAAAATCTATGCATTAAATGGTGTATTCATTTGTGAGAGTATTCGGTTAGAGAGGTAATCGACTGATTAGTTTATATTAAATATCTGGTCAAATATACATTTAATTTAAAAATGACCAAGGGCATATTTATAGATAATATTAAACTCAACATTATTGTAATTGGTCATTTTTTGATTAATTGTAAAATAAACTAGATAAAAGATAATAATCAACTATTTTATGTCGATTCTATTATTAAGTTAATTTTACAATTAATCAAAATATGACAAAATTTACAATAAATGGCAAATATTTGTATTTAATATTTATTAACAATAATATTATATTTTTAATTAATTATAAATATGTTTAGAAATGTCTCAAATTTTCTTATAGTTTAGTTATATTCTGATATAGAAATAATAGAAAACTTAATTTTATAAGAATTGAATATTTTCTCAATAAATAATTAAAAATAGCATTTAATTGAAATAAAATGCAAATTATAATTGATTTTTGAATACAATTTTCATTAATTTTTAATGATTATCACCATAAGTATTAGTATAAAGAATTTAACAATATTTAAATAATTAATATATAAATTAATATAAACACATCTAAAATATTAAAAATATTATTTTGATGTCTGAAAAATGACAATCAGTTAAAAAGTCCTAAGAGATCGGTTTCATTTGGTTTGTCCACATCTGAAATGGTTGTACTGGTTGTAGGACTGGTATGAAGTGATTGAAAACTTTCGATAAGGTTTTCGGATGGTTTTGCTTCTAAAGCTTGGATCAGACTATTATCTGTAGTGTCGTCGTCATAGCCATCGTCTTCATCCTGGAAGGGACTAACGAGTGGATCGGCATAATTGAAAGTACATGTCTTAGAGAGATCCAACTCTATGGGGAATATTGTATTGTCTTTGAGTAGTGAATGGCATTCGTTATGAAAGTTTGAGAGACCAGAGATGAGTCTTTGTAATTGTTGAACAATGTCTTGAACGTGCTTTTGGTCTAATAATTCAAGTTTTACCATAACATCTGACCTAAGTTTAGCGAATCTAATTCTGGCGTCTTGTCTGCACCGAAGTATTAGTCGATACTCATAGTTACCGGTCTCTACACGATATATAGGCTCTTGAAGTGCCTGATATGTGTACTCTTCATCGTCCATCTCTTTCACTTTAAGACAATATGACTAATATATAATTATAAATAACTGTCATTAATATTACAACTAAAAAATTATTAAATGTTAAAAAACAAACCAAATATTCAAACTTTATGTCCGCATACTTCTTAATGGTTAGCTTTGTGTCGGGAATTGCTTTATTCAGGTATGTATTCAAATCACTCAACATCTATGATATATAATAAGAGTTAAATACAATTATAAATAAATTTACTTAATTATCGTATCAATTCAATAGTAATGAAATTATTATTATTACGGGTTTAATGTTAGACAACATCTTAAGGCCTGCCTTTTCAATAGACCGATGCGTTTCTCCAAACTTAGAGAAGGCTTCACTCGCCTGAGGCTGAGGTTCTCGGACTCCAATCTCAGCAAATATATCGCCAAAAGCTATCGTTTTTTGTGAACAAATTTAATAATTAATTTATTACATAATTTGGACAAAATATGAACAATACCTTTATATGTAGAGCACATATCTATGAATACTTTAATTACATGTTTTGTGTGATCCATAAGCCCTCTATACATATACTCATTCCTTTCCAATTCTTCCAATTTTTTTATTAAACTGTCTAAAAATGTTAATACAATTGTATTACATATAGAAAACATACAAATAAATAAGATATTTATATAAATTACATTTAAATAACTTATAAACAAAATAACAAACCATTGCAAAGTATAGCCCGACTAAGGCCGAGAGCATCAGCAGTAGTGGCACTCATATTCTCAACCATTTTATGTTTCATTTTCTTAATGATGATATCCAATGACTTTCCTTGTTTAGGATCCGCATGAAGTTTATTATAAAATATGGTTACTTCGTCTTTGACCGATTGGATCAATTTTGCGACCTCTACTTTAGTACAGCCTTTGACTGATGTAGTGTTTACGCCAACAATTTCATCGCCTGATTGAAGAGTGCCGTCTCTGGCGGCCGGAGTATTGTCAAAGACCTATTCATTCATTTATTTATTTTTGTAAAAATATAAATTAATCGATTATTACTTATTTAAATGTATACCTGAACCACATAAAGACATGGACAGTGTGGAGCACCGCCACCAATACTAATGCCTATTAGATTGGTGTCATCCTTCTTGATGACCACACTTCCAGATGTTACTGTCATTCCCCTAAAAAATGAGATTTATTTGTAATAATAATTAGTTTTATGATTATTTGTAAATTATTTGTGTTGAATATTCTGTTAATTTGTGTAATACAAGAATCGGTGCATACATTCTGTCTTCAATCATGTTTTCTAACCATAAGCTATCAGTCATGTCATGCATTAAATATAACGGTTCGTAATCAGTATATGAATAGCGATTATAAAAATCTAATTGTCTTGTCATTAGTTATTCAAATTAAAATCTAACAAAAAATAAACAATAACTGAAGTAAATTAAATATTATTGATACATATAATTATAAATTATAATATAACACATATAATAGAAAACAATAAATTATTAAAATTAAACAAAACAAATATATTTTAAACTAAAATAGATATAAAAATGCAAAAATATGTTATGTATTAGTAGTGATGAATAGGCAGGTGTTCTCACATCTTGTCTTCTTCATAGAGGAAACCTTCCTCTTCATCGACCATTGAGTCACACATTTTGATTCACATATGTTTTCTAAAATATATTTTGTTTAGTAAATAAAGTCAAACTATAATTGGGTGTAATATATATAATATATAATAAATATCATATCATTTATTCTGTTGTTTTATTACTGTTAAAGAATAGTCATATCCGTTATGTTCAGCAATGACTGACTCAACTCCCCTCCCATTTATTGATCCGTAGATTACAATCCCTAACTAACTGTGCAAATATCTATTATTTATATATTTATAGACTATATTTATTTAGTTAGAATTCATCATTTGAATAAACTTAAATTAAAAATTTTATTGTTATATTAACCTATTTTTTAGATTATTTCTTATTATAAGTAGTACTTAACACATATCTAAGTCAATGTTTTAAATAATCACAAGTATTTTGATAAATATTTTTGTAATATAAATAATAACTTAACTCAATATAGTTATTGCCAAAAAATTGGAGAATTTGTAAAAATTAATTAACATAAATATTAGGTTAATTTTTTAACGTCACTTAGAATGTCAAATTGATTCATAATTGAAAAATGGAAAAATTAAAAAAACTAAAAAATTGTATACAGTATTTGATTTTGTATTTTAGTTTATTTAAGAAAAGTACAAAAAAGTAATGAGAGTTCAAAAGCATTGGTAATAATTTAATGGAAATGACAAGAAATGCAATAATTTGTTATATAAACCAAAAAATGAAATAACAATCTGATTCCCAATTCTATCGTTAAGAAATTGTTTCACTATTATAGCCATAAATGATTTCATATATCACAACAAAGATATTAGTGAATGATTTATATACAGTATTGTACATAAAGTTGTATAATCATAATGAACTCAACCTATTATTACTATAACTTTTAGGGGTTATCATCCAATTTGTAGCATTTTATTACTTAATACTACATATACTCGAATACTATTGTTAGGCTAACAATTGAATATACTGTATAATAAATTATTAATAATAATAAACATACTTTAAATTATTAAAAACGATTTAAAATTAAAACATTTCAAATATTTATATCATAAACAAGTTGTTTAATTCGTTGTTATTCTGATAGATGATGTGTAGAGTGGAAATGGATCTGTTATCTCATAATTATAAACGACAATGTATTAAATGCTTTCGTAAATTAACACTTAATACCAACATATCATGTCATGCATTATAACAATACAGTATTATTGATATAATTTATAATATTAAGATTTAATAATCAAGTAAATTATAGTTGCCATGAAAATAATGTTGAACCATATTTAAAAAAAATAAAATATTTATAATACACAAAATTTTATTTAAAAAATAATATTTATTAATAAGTCAAATACTAGATTAAACACTGTATTTAAAATTGTTAACTACAATTCAATTAGAAATTAAACTCATCATTAAATACTTGAAAGAATTTAATGGGTTTACACAAATATTTACAATTTTGAATAATTATAATAATAAATATCAATAATATTAATAATAAAACATTAAATATTAAACAATGTTTTGGTGATACTATAGAAATGATTGCTTAGTACTATAGTCACCCACAACCTAAAGCCACCGCTTATTGTGATTTAATAATAACATAAAATAAGAATAGTTTTTTCATTTGTATCAGTTATTTGTGTAACAAATTTATGTTTTTATACAATGATTATTAATAAATGTTTCAAAAATGGCAAAACTGTATCTCAAATGTAGTTCATATATAAAATTGTTATTTTGTGGCATAAAAAGTCAGTCATAAAAAGACTGTATAATTTTTTAAACATCAAATTAGAAACAAGTTTTGATGTCTCAATTATTTAAATAATCTCTTAATTATAAATGTTTAATATTATGATTAGTTAGAGATGAGTTCGATATAATTAGCCGGATATAGACCGACCCGACCGTCTTTTCTACCCTTACACCATCCCTGTTCGTCCTCATCCTCTAATTTTTCAAATATATCGCCTATAAAATCAATATATATTTCTAATGAATATAACATTTACAGTATTAAAATAAATCAAACCCTGTTTAAAAGTTAGTTCATCGGCTTCGGCACCATTATAATCATATAAAGCACGCACAGCAACACCGGGTTCTCCATTATCGACGAGTGCATCGTTGGAATAGTCATCCCAGTCTTCGTGGTCGTCGTCAAAAGGATTTGCTTCTTGTTTTCCGTTTCTATATATATAAACAGTAATTTAAATTTAATTAAATCTAAAACTTAATAAAATATATATAAATAACATTACGTTTTGTATTGATTGTTAGATATATTATTAGGTTTTATATCCATTTTATGTCCGTTATTAACACAATTCTTGTGAATATCCATTCTGTGATCTAATAGTGTGATATCATTGGTGTTTATACCATCAGAATATAGTTTTTTATCTTTCTTTGAAATGCTGTTAAGCTCTGGAGTGTATTCCTGTTTGATATTAATTTTTTTTAATTTTAAATTATTTTATAATATATATATATACAGTATATTTGTTAAAATTAGTAATTAGACCATAACACCAATGTTAATAACAATAGTGAATTTAAATGATAAACATTTAAAAATTATTAAACAGCAAAGTTTGATCCTTATTTAAATATATTATAAAAATGTTATTTATATAGATGTTATGATTATTTGCAATTTAGTTTAAAGCTCAATTTAAATGATAAGCAATGACAATACTTAAATTTGCATTAAAATTTTTCCTATAATTAAAATATATAAAAAATATATAATTTAATGACATTCAAATATTAATAAAAAATTAAACAATAATATAAAACAGTTTCCTGTAATTTCATTTTTATGATTCATTATAAAATCCTTATAACTACTGTATACATGTATATTAATATAGCATATATACTATATCTTACTATACAAATATTTAAAAATATTTATAAACTATAATACTAGTATTTCTATTATTAGATCATCAAATACTTGTTTAATTCTAATATGAGAACATTAAATATGCAATAAAAACATTAAATAATATACAATTCCTTAACTTTAAATTTTCATATATATATATATATATATATATATAAAATAATAGTAATATTTATGCGAAAGTAATGATAATATCATTATATAAATGACTTTTATAAGCAATGTAATGATATGATCACAAATAATAGCTTATAATAAAACCAACAAATGTTTTGCACAAAAATCAAACAATATTTGTCATAACATCTCAAACAGTAAACGTGTGATTTGTTGATAAATATAGGAATCATTAGCCAATATATTTCACATGCATTTAATTTTTTTCAAATTTCATGCAATTGTCATTAGTGTTAAAAACATAAAAAACTAGCAATTTATACATCAAAATTGAAAACAGACATAAAGAGAAAGAAAGATAAAGAGAGTTAAGAGAGTTGTGGTACAGTATATGTGATTACAGGAAGTTCTTCGTTGAATTTTTGTTGATTCACAAGTTGTATACCATTTTCGGGAACAGTTACGCTTTTTTTAGTCTTTCCGATAATGTCTCGAAACTCTTCACAATACTCCTAATTAACAAAAATCGCATAACATATAAAGCAAACAAAACATCATAAAAACAAAAGTGCTATAAAAATAATATGTAATAAAAATAATGATTTATGCATAACATGCAAATTATGTGCAGAAATGACAATATTTCAATTGATGTGCCATATTATGTGCCCAATCAATAAACTCTTGTCTTACCTCAAACTGTGGCCAATTCATAGCCATACCAACACCAAAATTATTTGACCACCACTTGAGGTCTTTATTTGAATCAGCGTTTTGAATAGTATGTCGATATTCGTCATAAATTTGAGGTAATTCGGGAACTGTTGATATATTAAGGCAGCCGTGAATTGCAAACAACATATCTTTGAAAAAATTAAGTCTTTTTTCTTCAAACTCTTGACATTTATCAAAGACAACAGACATATCTTCCATGTATTTGGCGTTATAGTCATTGATTTCTTTAAGAGCCGACTCATACTTCTCTTTAGTTTTAATGACCTCCTCTTTAGATTTCATGACTCTATCTTGAAGTTTCTTAACCTGATATAAATGATAAATTCAATTATTGATAACAACTGAGTATATTTGTAACAATTATTGATTATGAATTTGATTACCTGATCGGGTGATAGTGATGTATCTCCAGAAGCATTTCTTTCCTGATTAATGGCAGTCCTTTCATTTTTACAGGCGTTGTGGTAATCAATTTTACATTTGTTTACTTTAGCTAATATTTTAGACCACGGTTTCTGTGCCTAATATTATATTATTAGAGACATAACAAACAAAACAATAGACGTTAAGTGTTGACCCATATTTCATATTTAAACAATAAATTTAAATAAAAAAAATAAAATCAAATACTTTTTTGAAGGCGTCGTCAAACTCTTTCTTTTCTTTCATTGTAATCATTGATTTATGGAAGTTATCCTTTTGCCACTGTTTTATCTGAGAGACAACTGTCTGCATCATACTCTCCTTGATCTTCATATGGACATCACATCGACGGTCAGCTTCAACGAGGACTGCCTTCCAGGCGGCTTCAGTGGTGCCATATTCAGGTCCTTTCTCTATCAGATCACTCCACTTTTTTGACCATTGTTTCAGACTCTTGGCGTAGTTCTGTTCAATTTCTGACCTCTCTTTTATCAATAAAATCAAATCATTGCAAAGTTTAGATCCGTCTTCGGCTCGTTTAGTTGTCTTCTTGTAGTTTCCCGGTTCCCAAAAACTATCGGAACCGGCGATAAGCATTGCATCGTCGCTATGATGTGACATCTCTTAAGTTAACCTAATTATCATTTATTATCATTTTAATCATCATTTTACTAATTTTTAATTTACTATTACACTAATTGCATAATAATTATTATAATTAAATCAAAAAATGTTTACTTTAATCATCACAATAATAATTATTACTATTATATTAACTAATTAAACCATATATTAAAATTCAAATAAAACAATATACAGTATTTACAAATAAATTATAACTGACATATCATTTGATAGCTAAATAATAATTATTGTTTCTTAAAATATGAAAATAAATAAATGACAATAAAAACTATGCCATGACTTTGAGTTTCAATTAATTATTAAATGCCATAACTATATAATCAATGAAACAAAAAAATATTTTTAATATTTTCAAACACATATTGTCGTCAGTAATTTATTAACTAATTAATCAATAAAACACTTTCAAGTTTTCATTTTTTTTAAATATCGATCAATAAATAAAACATGTGTTAAATGTTTGCATTAAACAAAACAAACTATTATTACGTTTGCAATCAAAATCACTAAACAATGTCTTAAATTTAATTTGAAAATTTAGTGAAAATAAAATGAAAAACATTTAATCATTACAGAGATTAAGTGATGAGAAAATAGTTATCACTTTTATAGTATATGTATTCAATTATTGCCCAAATGTTTTAATACATTTAATATATAACTATTATATAAGACATTTAGAATATTATTAGTAAAGTATTGATTAATAATTATTTAAACTTTATCTAATAGTTGATAACAAATACAGGTAGTTATTGAGTTATTTTTTTAATATTTGAAAATAATTAAATTAATTTTCATAAGATTGAATAAAAAAAATTTCAAATTATTTTCTTCAAATACGTTTATTATTTTCACTTATCACTTAAAATATATTTTAATTTAGAAAAACCTCAATAGTTGCTTAAAAAAGCCTAGGGGTAATAATAGTTTTTTTTTTAAATATTATAATATATTTATAATATTTGCAAATGATATACGATTCACTTGTTTTCAGTATTATTTACAAGAATAATGTACACAAATATACTAATTTATATTTTAACAAAAATATGAATTAAAAACATTATAGTTTTATATAATTTTTATAATTTAAGTAATATTTTGTATTTTTACACATATTTTTTACAATATTTTACATTTTAATGCTTATATTTTTCAAAATCATTGAAATATTTAGTTATTTATAAGTTTTTAAATTTGCTAAGCCATCAAATAATTATTTAAAATTATATTCAATAATAAAATTTCGTGAATAGTGTCCACTTGTTATGTTCGGACAACTAATCCTCACTTATAAGCAGAGATACAATGCATTTGACACAACATCGGCCCATATGAGTGCTAATTATGTTTGGGTCAGCTGTTTGTCAATTTTTATTTTGAAAAAATATATTGTTGAGATTTTTTAAGTGGCATTTTTATCATTATGCGAGAAATAGTTTTGATTCCATAACAATATTTATTTTTAAAATAAAAAATTTAACTTTCATTGGATTTTCTCAAATGCTTTGTATGACTGTTATAACCGTTAAACATATAAAATAGTTTTTTTAGTTATAAATCAAGACATTAATTATTAGTTTAGAAATTAATAATTAATTTTAATATTACAAATTCAAAAATATTATTTATATCAATTAAAATAATAAATATACATATAAATAACTATCCATATATTAAGTCAATTAATATGACTGACCATAAAGATAGCTATAATTTAATAATAATTTCAATTAAATTGAATCAACTGAAGTACAGGTTATATAAATTATTACATATTATTTACTTTTGTACTGTATATACATTTTTGTACAAATTTTATTAACCATCACTAATGTATAAAATTTGATATAAATATATGATATTAATTATGAATGTATGGTTTGCTTCACTAAAATACATATATCTATTAATACGACTCTACAACCAATAAATTTTATTTTTAATTAAATAAATAACATTTGTTTTTAAACAATTGCTATGAAATTGAAATTAAATAAATAAAAGTAACTAATTTCAAAATAAGTATACTATTAATTATAAAATAATAATAATAAACTAGAATTAAATATATAATTAGTGAAAATGGTTTAATCAAAATCAAAGTATAAAACTTATTTATGTCTAGACTCTTAACATTAGTGTGTTATATATTAAGACATTGTGATTATCTATTGAAAGGTTAATTAAAGTATTTGGTGAGTATAGACATACAATCAAAGTAATGATAGGGTGTGGTGTTTATAACAAAATGCAAAACAAATTTACAATACATTTGCCATAAAAAGCTTTACTTTTATATAATATTTATTTTTTGTAACACATATTTGACTAAATAATGCAAAAATGCAATTCATTGCAATATTGTTTGTTTGACATACTGTACATAACATACATAGCAAACAATGTCAATATGATTTAGACAAAAATAGATACCGTATTTCATTATCCAAAAAATTTTATCAAATTATATTTCATTCGACATATTCCTTAAACAAGTAATATATTAAATAATTTTATTTATCGAAATAAATTAAAATCTTCATTCAATTTACTATTATTAATACCTTATATAATTATACTGTATTTTATAAATAGTTTAAAATATAATATTGAGAAAAATGGATAAAATTAAATAAAGTATTGCACAGATGTACTAATAATGTTAACTAAGATTAATGTTTCAAATTAGTTATTTGTTTAACTCTTGTTATGTAAAATAGTGAAGCATTTTGACCACAATTTTATTTAATAACATTTTACATACATTTGCACACCATTTGCTATTATTTCAACATATGATTATAGATTTTAATAAATCAATATAAAGCAATTCAATTAAACAATTCAAACTATACTATTATATATTTTATTTATTTAAATCATTTATACACATTGAAATCAATTAAATAATTACATTGTTTCAATATTTTAACCTTAATTAATGTTTTTAATTGATGTAAAAAATAAATAAAAAAATTTTTTTTATATATAATCAATAAATTATATACTTTTATAAATTAATATAATTGAAATTGTGTTGAGATGAAGACAAATATTAAATAATTGATAAAAACATGACTTTAAATGTCATGAGAGTTGATATCTGCTATAATATGATACAAATGAAAGACAATATTAACTGACAAAAAAAATCAACACAAAAGGAAAATCTGAAATTAAATAAAACATTTTTTTCATTGTGTTATTCCCTGAAAAGTCATTTAATACTCACTATTTGTGAGAAAATATTTTTAAAAATACAAACACAAACACAATTAACATTTCATGATTTATCAAATAATATAAAAATGCGTTTAAATATTGTCTCACAATTCATGCACTAATGCTTTATAATTCAATACTATTGATTGATTAAAATTAATGGTATTTTTATAATTAAATAATTTAATAAAAACAGACTTTTTTATAACAGAGTAATTAAAAGCTATATTTATTAGTTAAAACGTGATACTAATGTACTGTATATTAGTGTATAAAATAAGTGATAAGACATTTACTAAAGTCATCCTTAACTTTGTTACCATTTAATGCTAAATATATTATTAATTGATTCAAACAAATGTTTGGCCACTTATTGCTAATAATTTTAATAAATTCAAGTAATATGTCATATATTAATATATATATAAATTGGTCTCAAATGGTGATCGTAAGCAACACTTGTAAACCTGTTAGTCGTGTTTAAGACATGAGATGAGTCTCTCAAATATCGACAAAATATTTTATAAAAGTAATCATTTTTTTCCTTAACTTAAATCTCGTATTTATATGACTTGAATAGTGAAACCATTTAAATACATATATAAATCCTTGAATTAATGATAGATTCAAGTCATTTAAATTAAGAAAAATTATATTATCTGACAATTGGTTGAATCAATTAAATAAAATATATTTTATTTAAATGTCTCTCAACTCGTTTGAATGCTAACCAATTGATGACATTTATAATGTTATAAATTAAATATAAAGTATACATTGATATCATTTGAGAAAAAAATATTTAAGCGTTAAATAAATATATATATAATAATAAACTTTATCTTTAAATTGTTTATCATTAATAGCAACGACACAAATATGCGGTTTTGTGGTTGCATTCAATATAATCATAGATTAAGTCAATTAAATGCTAACAATTTATATAACAAACTATACAACAATTGATTATAAGTTTAGGATTTTCTCAAAACTCATATCATTTGCATATTATGTGAAAAAATGATTCAATTGATAGTTAACTGAAAACTTTGATATCAATTGAATATAATTTAGTAAAACTCTCATAACATTCATTCATATGATATAATAATTACTATGAATAGGGAAGTCGTCTATTAATTGCTTATATATATCAAACAAATACAAACATTCAGTTGACAAGTGATGCACACGTATTGACAAACATTAACTCAATGACCACTCAATTACTATAATGTCATCAATCAATCAATCAATTGAAATGTCAATCATATGTCATAACATTGAGTGGTAGGAGTGGTAGGAGTGGCGGTCAATGTATGCAAACAATGTATACAAACAATGTATTGCATAACAGTATAAGTCATATATTGGATGACATTATGTGATAAATTGTATGTCAAAAGTAATGCAAATCAATATGAATATGAAAATCAAAACATTAATTAGTAATTACCTTAAGTTGAGATGCGATTCAATGCCAAAACATTTACGCCATTAAGTGTTGACTCAATTGGTTTTATACGACAAGTGAGTGAACGCTCCGAAAGGCGACACAACTCAACACAACTCAATACATATACACTCATTGACTATGGTTTCCATGACTACACAATTGATTCTATTGCTGTCATCTATTGACTCACTTTATGCTCACAAAAGCATTGACTTTACATTCGATTGAAAAACTTTCTAATGTTTTCAAAACAACATTCAAATCAATGAAAGTTTCGATTCAAACAACACATGTGATTGAAATATGAAATAATTGTTGACATAATGTTATAATTTAATTGAAAACATTGAATGTGTTGACAATGTTATGCTTAAGACATTTGGTTAGATGTGTTGACACACATGTAATGGTTGTATCCGTAAGATATCATAACTTGTATTATTGGAACCAAATGTTTGTCTTAACGAATATCAATGACTCAATTGGTAGCCATTTGTCTTCAACACATAGATCTCAATCGGTATTACAGTTACTATGATTTGACACTTATTTCACTAATTATTTGTTTTATTGAAAAGCTTTTTAAAAATAAAAACTTGATTTCAATGACTGAAAAAGGATTGTATGTATTGATGCCATATGTGGTCAAAGCAATGAACAAATTGGTTGATATTATCGACGATGAAATGCGTCAAATAAATGCACACAAGATCTCAATGCCATCAATCGTTGCTAAAGATCTCTGGGATATATCAAGTGATTACACCAATAAAGTCTATGTATTGACTATTTATTGATGTTTTTGTCACTCAACAGATCGTTGGGAGGAATCGAAAGAAGAATTGTTTAGATTAACAGACAGACAAAAGACTAGCTTTTGTTTAGCACCGGTGAGAGAGAGAGAGAGAGAGAGAGTTTATAATGTGTTGTAATTGTTTTTACTATTTAAGACTCACGAGGAAGTGGTCACACAATTAGTTTCTAAAACCAAACATTTATCTGAGAGTCATTTACCCATTTATTTGTATCAAATAACTAATAAATTCAGGGATGAAATTAAAGCAAAACACGGATTATTGAGAGGACGAGAGTTTCTAATGAAAGGTATATTTCATTATAATATTTACTGTAATAATAATAATAATAATAATAATAATAATAATAATAATAATAATAATAATAATAATTATAATAATAATCTATATCTATCTACAACTTTATAATTTGAAAATGTTTGTATATTTTGTATTTCCGTCACACAAACAATTACTTTTAATGTGTCGCGTGATTATTAATAATTAATAATTTATTAAATAAAAAAAATGTATATACAGTATATACTGTTTATAATAAACTATTGGTAAATTATAAAATATTAGTAAAGCGGGGATCTAAATACTAAATATAAATTATAATCTATAAATAAATTTATTGATATTATCATATAATAAGATAAAACCATAACATAACTTAATAAAATTATTATTTATTTAATATTTTATAATACATTTTTATGTCATATGTCAACTACTTATATATTGTATTATTTTGCATTATATTATCTTTAGTTACAGTAAATTAATTATTTTATTTAAGATTTATATACTTTTGATGCAAACGAAGAAAAAGCAAAGGAAACATATGATAAAGTATGCAATGCTTACGAAAATATTTTTAAACGAATTGATTTAACTGTTATTAAAGGTATTAAATATAAATTATTTAAATTAATATATATATATATACAGTATATATATAATATTGAAAAACTATTTATTTGTAAGTTCGCGGATCAGTTGGCAATATTGGTGGCAAATATTCTCAAGAATTTATGTTAGTCTCTGATTTAGGTGAAGACGAGATATATAAATGTAATGTTTGTGAATCAGCCTTCAATACTGAACTGATAGACAACACCGATGAAGTCAAATGTCTTACATGTAATAGCAATGATTTAAAGAAATTGAATGCCATTGAAGTTGGCCATACATTCCTTCTCGGGACTCGTTATTCTCACAATTTTAATGCAAATTATATATCAAATGATTCAGAGAAATCAAGAAAGTAAATAAAATTAATATTTTATCTAAAATTTTATTAAATTTTAATATTGATGTGTATTTATAATAGAGTTTTTGAGATGGGATGTTATGGGTTAGGTGTGACCCGAATATTAGCCGCTTCTGTAGAAGTTTTATCACAAAACTATTCAATTCGTTGGCCAAAGTCTTTAGTGCCGTTTAGAGTCTGTTTAGTTTTGCCAAAGGTTTGTACTCTTAATATAAACATTAATATAAAACTGAATTTATTTATTATTTATTTAATTTTATAGAAAGGAAGTAAAGAAGATGTTTATAATGGAACTGAATTTAGTTTAGATTTTGCTAAAAGTTTGACAAATATATTCAATGAAGACGTCTTCATTGATGACCGAACTAATCAAACAATTGGCAAACGATTGTTTGGATTGCAATCACTTGGCTTTCCTTATATTATAATAGCCGGCAAAAGAATCACTGAAGAAATACCAATTTTTGAAGTAATAGATAATTATCGAAATGATAAATATTTTATGAATCATTTAGATTGTATTAAATTTTTAGAAAATAATTTTTAATTTTTTTTTATTAAATTACTTATTATAAAATATGAAACATTAAAATTTTAAATTATTGTTAAATACAATATGTATTAGGGTAAGATACGGTATATTAAAATTATTAATATTAAATTATGTGTAAATTTAAAATAAATAAATATTATAACTATTATAACTAGGGTAATTATTATAATATTGTATTTTAATGATTGAATAAAAAATTATGTTCACAACTACGGTAGTCGTAAAAACAGTATTTATATTGAAATGAATTTTATTTACAGTATATTCTAATAAGTTGTGATTCAACATAATATTAAATAATTTAGTAAATAAAATAATTTTTGATAAATATCCGTTATTTTTATAAATTTTATATATTGAATACTTTATACTTAAACACACTTTTAGTATATGTAAAAAATAAAGTATACCGGTAATTAATAATATGTTTTATTGTAACTCAATAGTGTTCAATATGAATATAATCTATATTGATAATTGATATTTAAGATAATACAAGTATTAATGTTTTTATAATTATTAAATTAATTAGAATTATTTTAAAATATAAAACAGTTTAATAGTTACAAATTGAAATTGTAAGTATTAATACAATTAATATAAGATTGACATTACCGGTAGTAAACATAAAATGTGATGTACTGTAATTACATCACTACATCACTACATCACTACATCACCTGTATTTAGTATACATGATATATACAATGCAATCAAATGATATTTTTTATCACCAAAAAAAACAGAAGAGATTTTCTGCTTTACCAGTAAGTGGTTTATAGACACTATTATTCATTGATTTTTTTCTCTAAATAATGACTTTTCATTCAATAAAACATTTATATTTAAAACTAAAAACCAATTAATTACATCTAAAAGTCATAGAATTTATAATAAATTACAACTTATTTCAATAAAAAGTATTAAATACTGTATAAAAATAAATTATTAGTAGAGTTATAGAGTTATCATCTCTTTGATGATTATACAGTATTATACAGTAGTGTACTGTATATTCATATAATGGTTGACATAATGTTTATCTAAAGTTTACACTGTATTAAAATATTTATTTTAAGTAAAATATATTTATAATATCATATTAATAATAAAGCATTTGAATATAATTAACATAATTAATATAATACTATATATAATTAATGTTTCATAAATACAATATTTTAATAAAATTAAAATGATATACAGTAATTAATTATTTTATTTATTAATGAATATATGATTGATTATTGGATTATTGAATAAGATCTGCTTTATATATCAAAATAATGTATATAAACCAGTGATTAACATTATATATAGGAATTTTTTAATTATTATTATAATTTATGAAATGTACCATGATATCTATGGTTAATATCTATGAATAATTTTATTTATTATAATTTTTAACATTAATAACGTTATTACATTTATCAAAAAAGTTATCATGATACCACTTAATGTTAATCACTGATATAAACAAACAATAAATAAACTAAAAACTAAATAAATAATACAAATTTAATATGATATTGTTTACATTAATCTAATTAATCAATAATAGTTAATTTAAATATAATTTATATTTGATGCAAATGATTAAATTAAGAAATAATTAATTTTTATAAAATAATTGTATTATTACTTATATTTATTTTAATTATTATAAATTACTTTATTATTTACTAATTTAATATATTGTCTAGTACTATACTACATTATAGTATAGAAAATATTAGTAAAAATTTTTAATAATAATTTTATTAATGAATATATTATATTGTATTTTATTTAAAAATTTTGGTATATATAATAATAATGTTTTATTAATTGTTTTTTAATTAATTTTATTTGGCGCTATTAAATATTAGTATTATTTTTACAGTTATAAATTTTCTGAATAATAAATACAGAATTTATAAGTTACTATAATATCAATTGTTAAATTTGAAACACTTGTTAAAATGGACATTAAATGAATTATTTAGTGATAAACATTAATAAATAAATAATCAAATAAATAAATAATTTTGTTATTTAAAATTTATAACAATTATGTGATGACAAGTGTATTATGTTGTCAACTATTTGCCACTTTTTTGCATTTTTTCCCGAAATGATCCCAAATTAGACCAACCATTACCCTTATAGTGCAGTAAATAGTCCGGTAAATCGACACCCATTGCAGCTGTAATTTACAAAAAATATATTAAACAATTTAATATTATTATAAATTAAAAAATTAATTAAAATTATAATCTCCAGTACCAGTCCATCGTTTTGATATTGAAGTAGGACTTAAATTAATGTACAAATCCCACAATTGTCCATATAATAGGTCTCCTCATAACAAAATTAGGTGGAATCGCATTGAGAGAATGGGTTTACTATTTTATCAATAGCTTAACAAAAGTTGCAAATTATATAAGTTTTAATTATTATTATTTTTTTTGTTGATTTTTTTCCTATTCACTCAATCAGGTTTTTATATTACAACAATTTTAAAGTTTTTTTAGTTAACATTTCTTTATAAATGTTAATTAATTGATTAAAACAGTTATTAATAAATTTGAAAAATTTTCTGAGGCGACCAAAAATCAAAGATTTATATTTTTGCTAATCTATTAGAAACTAATTTTTAAATATATTTCAATTTTAGAAAATAAAATTTAAAAGCTATTAACTGACGTAAGTTATAATATATTTGCAATTTATGGCAATAATTTCACTATCAATTAACATAAAAATTTATAATAAGGAGTATTATATGACTTACCGGCTCTTTTAGCGGCCGATCTGAGAATTGAATGCTCCTTAAGAAGTGGTTCGTACATATCGGGTGTCAAAGAGTCATAATATTCATCGATTGATCTTCGGATACGATTTAATGGATTTTCATTTATCTGATTATAACGCAATTTGAAGAGATTGTTGGCCGATGTTATCGATGCCATACATAATAACAGTGTAAATGTAATGACTATAGTTATCAATTGAAACTTCATTTCTGAGATCATTATGGATGTGAATCTCGCCTTTACTGTCATCAAGAGTTATAAAGACAAAGAAATTATAATCTTATATTAACTTTTATTTTGTTGAGTAATTGCTATTATATCATAGAAATACTACACATAATATATTGTTATAACAAAAAGGTCATTACATTATAAATAAAAAAATGATGCGATTGATAACCTATAGTTAAATATTGTATTTCTTACCATTTAAAGCAATAATATTTTGCTTATAAATTAACTTATTTTAAAAGCAGTTATAATGTGACACAAAAAGATCAAATTAAATGACTCTTATAGTCAACTAAATATAATCCAATACTAACATCTATCACCTATTGTTTTATTATATATATACTGTATATATTTTATGTATAACTTTATGATCAATACTTTTATAAACTAACTTTATTTGTTTAGTTACTTTGTTGTTTAGTTAATTTATCCTTTAACTTATATACATAAAAAATAATATAATAAACTAATCTTATAATAAATTTGTCTATAAAAACACAAATATACGTGAATTGTTAGATAACTTACCAAATATATGGTGAATAAATAGACTATTAAGTGAACGTTTTAGTTAATATATACAGTACTGTAGTAACACATGTAATAATCGGTTGACTTTTATTACAAATCATAGGACTACTTGTCTCACGGCTTAAAAGCTTTTTGGTTGAGTTTATATAGAGTTTTATTCATCAAATCAAATATTAGATGAGTTCATCACATATTAATAAATTGTATTTATGTTGTATTAAAGTCGTTCCCTATATATCTATATATAAGTTTTCTCCGCCCAATAATTGTCAAAACAAATCACAATATATCGTTAAAAATGACGCAAATCTAGCAAATGATTAGACAATATAATAAATTTAAAAAATAAAGTTATCTAATAAATTATTAGAAATTTTCAAATTTAAAATAAAATCATTAATTAGTTGATTTGATTTAAGTCAGTATTTTTTTATAATAAAATAATTCATTGTGACTTTGATTGCTTTAATTATATTTACATTTTGTTTAGTTTATGAAATGCAATGATTTAATGAATTATTTGTTTAGCTAATAATGTCGTTAATCAATGCGAAACATACTAATAATATTAGTAAAATATTACTTAAATTATACAAACTTTAAATACATTTAATTAAATAAATAATATCTGCTATTTTAAAAACATAACTTTTTCCCAAATATTACTTTATTTTTAACTAATATAAAATCATACATTTGATTCAAATCAATGCTTATATAATTTCAATATTATTTTTTATTTTTCCTATTACTAAAAGTTTCAATTAGAATATTTCAATTATTTATTTTTAAATAAATAAAATGCTTAATAAAAATTACAAAAGTCTATGAAAATTATGAAACAATGTCACTCTAAGTAAATGAATAACCCTTAAAAAGTTATTGAATTTTATAATACGTTGTAAACATTATGGCAAATACAGTACTATATTGTATTTATATTAAATATATATACAAACACATGTATTGACAAACAAACAATTTATTTGTTTCTATTAAAGTAATATTGAAAATATTTGGTAAATACCTTAAAAAATATATTTTAAGACTTGTTTTGTTTTATGTGGAGTAAAACCCACAATTAAAAAACCAGTCCCAACCTGTCGAGTGAAGTTAGATTTGGATTAGACTTACCTTAAAGTTATCTATTTATAAATTATAATAAAATGTTTTTTAAAGCTTTTGTGTAAAAACCAAACGCTTGAATATAATTTTAACTTTTAATAAAATCTAAGTCATATATAATACAGGTTTGACTGAAACATTGACAATCAATTTTATTTTATATCAATATTTTTTTAATCTCTAAAATAAAGAATATATAAGTTGTGATATTTTAGAAACTTACGATATTTCTAATTTACAGTATATATATTGATATATATATATATATAAATAATAACAAATGCAAACATTTACTTATTTTTAATTATAATATTTCTTATATCATAAAACCGTTTAACTTAATACATAAAACATATACTAAACAAATGATCATTTATTGTAATTTTTAATTATTCAAACTTATTGTAATGTTTTGTGAATTAAAATAAAATATTCTCATTTAATATTATTAAAATATAGTATTAGTAATAATTATGTCTATATTTACAAGTAGTTTACATGAAAATTACGATAATTTTTCTAATGATCTCAACTAAAAAATATATATAATTATGGAAAATATGTAAAATTAAAAACCAATTATCAATTTTAGTTTTAGTTTTGTCAAACCAACTGATTTTATAGTTCACTGAAATTCTCAATCATTGTTATATATATTAATAGTTTAAGAGTTATTAAACTATTGAGAAATTGGTTGTCAAATGATGTACTGTTTAAAGACATGTAATAAATTTATTTTACTGTTGACTTATTTATCCAAATAAACTCAAGCAGTATTGCAAGTAATGGTATAGCTTTTACATGGTTTGCATTTAGGAGACTATTCGGTTAGGTAGAGGTAATCAACTCTTTAGTTTATATTAAATATCTGGTCAAACATACATTCAATTTAAAAATGACCAAGAGCATATTTATAGATAATATTAAACTCAACATTATTGTAATTGGTCATTTTTTGATTAATTGTAATATAAACTAGATAAGAGCATCGACATAAAATAGATGACTATTATGTAATTTTACAAGTAATCAAAAAATAACCAACAACATTTATGTTGAGCTTAATATTATCTATAATTATGCCCTTGGTCATTATAAAATTGAATATATGTTTGACCAGATATTTAATATAAACTAATGAGTCGATTACCTTTATAACCGAATACTCTCCCAAATGCAAACACAATCTATACCAGTATTTGCAATACTGAACACAAGTAAACACATCAAATAACTAACTCTATTAACTTATATACAAACATTTGAAAAGGTGTTTATGAACTCAATGGCTAAAAACAATGAATCTGAGGGGGAGTTAAAAACCAAACCAAAGTTATTTATAACTTAAATTAAATTCTTCATTCAAATAATATATCATTTCATATAATTAATATGTTTTTATTACTAATCTTCAAAACTTTGTCCGCCATTTCTTAAGTTTTTAAAGACTTGTGAAATTAGTTTTAAAGATATTCCTCTTTTACTTTTTCAATCTAAATCTGAAATCAAAACTTTTAAAGACTATCTAAAACAGACAAACATATAGACACAACAAATTAAGAGTTATTTTTTAGAAGTAAGTGATAATATAGTATTATATTATAATTTAATTATAATTATGTAAATTAATAATTTTTAACAAAATATATTGAATAAAGTATTAATATTTTTAAATTATAAGTCATATGTTAATTAACCATTTTTTATTGCTTACTTAACAGATAATAACTAACAACTAAGATAATAATTTTTTAAAGTTTTTAAGTTAAAGTATTTTTTTGTGTAATTTATATATAATACATATAATTTTAGAGAAATGTACATTATTAATTTACATATAGTAAATTACATGACAATTACAATTTTAAATAGTTTTATTAAATTTATAAGGTATCTAAGTTAAATTAATGTTATTATTAATTAATATTATTATTAATTTTAATATTTTTGAATAAAATAGGTAAATATACTTAAAATATCGTATTCTATATTTCATTAAGTAATTTAATAAAAATATTATTAATTTATTTATAAAGTGATAAAATATATAACTTAATACAGTATATTATAAGTTAATTAATGTTATAAAAAATAATACAGTACTTTATAGTTTATATGAAAAAGTATTCATTTAAATGTGTGATGAAATAAAACATTATATTTAACGAACCATAACTTATGCAAAATATATTGAATATAGTTGTTTAATATAGTATTTAATATTACTTTAATTTATTATAATTTCAATACAGTTATATCAGTTGTTTTCTCTTTGACATCATAAGTGAAAATTGCGACTTCAAGTCACTAAATAACGTTATATATAACTTTTGATGTCATACTTATAATCTTTGATAAAGTAGTATTAAAAAGGTGTGCAATAGATAAACAACTAATACAGTGATTGTCTATATATTTAGAAAATTCATATAAAATATTAATACATAACGAGATGTTGGCGCTCTCTAACAAAATATAAATATATTGTTTTATTTTAAATTATATGAAAACAATTTTTATATTTTTCATTCAATGACATTATACTTACCAGTAATCTGAAAATTTTCCGCATTTGCTATTTTGTGAGTGTATTTATCAATATATTTTATATTAGATTATTATAGTGATATATCATATACATATAAATATATATATAAAATATATTATTTTGATAGAAACATTGCATTTATCACACTTTTCGTGATTAACATAATTTTGTTGTCGACAGATATATTTATATATATATATATATATATATATACACTGTATATCAAAATTCAATGAATTATTATAGCTTTTTTACAAAATCTTTATGTAATATGCATTATATTTTAATTTAATACATAATGTGTTTCTAATATAATACATTAATTTAATTATTTTTCTATAAACTTTAAATTATAAACAAAAAATATTTGTAAATTATTATTTGTAACCAAATTTTGTTGATGAACATTTATTTTAAACATAAAAATACTCATTTAATAATTTAAGTATACAGTACAATATTATTCTTCAATATTACAACTAATGTAAGTTATTATTTTTTATATAACTGTCACAATATTTAATATTATAATTTATTGACAATTACCACAAATACCGATATTATATAATTAAGATGACAAATAATACCAATAATAAAAAATATAATAATTTCAGAACAATATTTTTAATAAAACAAATTAAAATATTTTTATTTTATATTATACGAGAAAGTTGTTGAAACTTACAATTTGCTTATCGCATACATTCAGATGAATTTTAAAAGATTATATAATATTTATTGATAAATGTAACAATTTTTAAAAGTTTCATAACTTTATATTATATATAATAATAATAATTTATCCAAAAAAATGCTTAATATAATATTATGTTAAATTTTATTTTTCATTTTTATACAATTTCCATAACTTATTTGTCGGCAGATATAGTTTAACAGACTAGAACTATATAGATATATATATCATAGTGTACTATATGATATTTATAAACACAAATAAAATAAATAAATTGCATGAAAATCAAAATCTACTATAATTTAAGATACATTTAATAATAAGATAAACAAATAAATAGTTTGGACACTAAAGATACTAAAGATTAACAGTTACTATAGATTTTGTTAAACAATGAAAATGTAATGTATTTTTGTTTATCGCGTGTCACTTATGTAGTAGTTTTGTAGTGAATGTTGCAATGGATTTCGTTTTCCTAATCCGAAAGAATACCTCCTTTTGATATATTCATCGAAATCCTGGCGCTTACCTAATCATCCAATAAATCAGTCAATCAATGAATCAATGAAACAATTTAATCATACAATTCATTATAAATCATTGGAAAATACTCAATAGTCTCATATAGTGTTTGATTGCTCTCTTACTTGACATTTAGTGTTAAATTGTAGTAAACTTTTTTTTATACTTTAGTTTATTTTTATAAACATTTTAATTTGTATATAATATATTCATAAAACACTATATGAAACAATATTATACAGTATTAAATATAAGCTCATATACCCAATCCAAATGCATATCTATTGTCCTTTTGATTGGCTCTTTTACCTATAAATATAAAAAATTATTTATTAACTAAAAAATTAAATATATATTAACAAAATTAATATTTTTTAGTAAATAATAAAACAAATGCGAAACAAATCATTATACATGTATTATATATATGAATATAAATAAAGTCAAACCTAATCCAAATTGAAATCTTTGATCACTTTTTGCTCGTTTTCCTAAACCAAAAGCAAATCTGTTTTGTTCGGCACCTCTTTTATCGACATCTGAACCATAGGTTTCTTCTGAATCGTCTAAATGGTCGTCAAGTAAACCAATTTCATCGTTAAAGTCTGACTTTTTTCCGATACCGAAGTTGTATTGACGCGGTTTCGCTCTCTTCTCCAAAGACATGATTGAACCTTTTGAATCAGCATTTAATTTATGGCTCAAACCTACAGCACCGGGAGATATCTCTGGCATTGCCATTACTGCCAGAAATAGTAAATTACACAATAGATACGACACTATTACACAATTTAATGAACACTTCATTATATTTAGTACTGAAAAGTGATTGCCGTTAACTGTAAATCTGTTAAATAGAAAAATCGTGTCAAAAGTTATTCAAACTATTATTTAAAATTTTGTGCACTTATTCAGCAATTTTACAAACATTTGCTTAAATATTATTGCTATTTATGTTTATTTTTAATTTAAAGATAAGTATTATTATAATTTTAAAACTATAAACAAGCATATTCATATAAAATTGACTGTAATTAAAACAAAGTTAAATGACATTAAAATTTATTAAAAATATAAGTAAATGTTGTTTACAAAATATTTTAAAATTAAATATAAACAATAATAACTATTGAATATTGAAATAAAAGGGTTTTCTTTACTTTGTTTTTTATAGAAACCAAATATTCATATTATGGTAGTTCAATAAAATAATAGAGTATAATAAATAAAATAATAACAAAATAAGTAACAAAATAATATTTATATAGATTTATATAACAATAACAATAATATAAATTATTAATTATTATTATATTTTCACAGAAATATTAAAATGTGAATATATAGAGAAAACAGATATATAAATAAAAAGTGATTTTTGAGCTTTTAATCATTTTTTTGTAAGATTTTATTAACTAATTATATTTAAAAATTATTATTATTATTAAATTTAAAAATTTATTTTAATTAAATAATTATAGCAACAATTTAAGCTAATAAATAATTAAATATATGATATTCAAAATTGTATAATAAAATAGAAATACAATAAATAACTAAACAAATGTCATAATCCATAAACAAATAATTTCTTAAAGCTATTTTAATTATGAAACCAATGAATGAGAAATTGTCTAAAAATAATGAATTAATTTATTCGGTCTTATAATGAATTATATGGCGAATGGTTATTGAAATGACATAATCAGTGCCATTGTTTGCATAAATTAATATGATTTTTATGAATATTAAAATAAAAATATAATATAAAAATAATTTTAACATATATTTGTATAATATAGTCGTCAAATGTTTGTAAATATTAAGTCGATTAATACTATTGTATTGTTTTGGAGGAATTAAAATATAGAATTTATTAAACAGTGTTTGAAAATATATTTTAAAATGTTATACTAAGTTGAACTTTTTGAACATATTTTTTGATATGTATTCTCAATATTAAAATATACTTTAATAACATTTATTATTATTTTCTAATAAAGATCTTTTTACACAATATTATTGTAAAAACATTCAATGATTTACATTTAAAAGTTGTAATTATTTTTTTAATTCATAATTTCAAAAAAAAACAATATAATGTAATTTTCTAATTTATTAATTTATTAATTTAGTTAAATGTTTTGAATATGTTTCAGTTAATTTAAACACCATATTTAATTGTAATTTTATACTTTTTATTTGAGGTTAGTTTATTTTTACTATTATAAAATCGATAACTCATTTTAAATCCTATCAGTTATATAACAATTTATTTGAAACAAAAAATACTATTTTGTTAAAATTTTTCGATAATAACATTTTATTTAATACATTATTTTATTTTGATATTGCAATATAACCTAAAATTTTAAAAATATAATCATAAAATATGCAAAACTTTTAATTATATAAATCTTTTTACGTTAAATGTATTATGTATATAATTTTATATTAACTACAAGTATTTGACTAACCTCTTAAAAGTATTTATCAAAACTAATATTAAAATAATTTTTATAAATATTATGAGTTCATAAACTAAAATATAAAATTTACTTATTTATTTTTTAAATGAATTAAGTGTTTACTAATTAAAATATTTTCAAGATATAAATAAACAATTTAGCAAAACGCAGAAATTTAATTTAAAGTATTATATAATATACACAGTATATTGTTTATTATAAAAATTTTTTATAATACGCTAATTTGTTATAATAGTTGATAATTACAAAAATTAAAACTTATAATTATTTATATTATTAATAAATATTAAATTTTACACTAGAAAAAGTTTATATTTTGTTAAAATCATAATAGATAGGAATGACAAAAATTAAATTAAATTAAATAAAGTGCCGGATTCACAAATTGATTAAGAAAGACACCTTGATTAGTTTATTTTAAAAATTAAGTAACTTTATAAATCATTAATGTAATTTATTTACTATTATTAATCAATGATTTGTAGATTTAAAAAATTATATTATATTATATCAATGGTAAAATCAAATTTGAAAGATATACAGTAGTCATAAGTTTTCTTAATATTTTCTCAATTGGTAGTAATTTACAGAAAATGTATTTTTTATTTAGAAATACAAATTGCATTATTGTGGGAAATGATTGAATAATTTTTGTTATATAAATGTATTTTTATAAAGCATAAAATAAATCATACAATTAAAATTGTAAACTATAAATTCAATGTAAATAAAAATCAATTTATAACAATTTATTGATATAATACAGAATGATTGACATAAAAAATATTTAGATTTCTGAAACTGTGTGAAAACATTTAGATATATAATATTAAATATTTTATTTAACAATAATGACAATTTGTTGTTGAAATTAATTTCTATTAAATAAGAAATATTGAATAGATTTTTACAGTTTATCTGAATCTCGATGTCTGTCGAAATGGGATCAACAAAAGCCGTTGATATTTATTGCAATATTTATGTCACAAAAAAACAAAATAAACAAAAATAATTTATATATCTTTGTATATGTTATATAGTGTAATGTATTTATTTCTATTTCTATCTAACCCTATATGAGACAGATTTATTTATTATTGCTTTATTAGTGAATGACATTAAAGTCCAGAAAAAATTGTTTATTGTTTTATTTGCGACAAGTAGTCGATGACTTGTCTTATCCGTCTATTAATAATATTTAAAAAAATATTTCTTTAATTCACAAAAGTCAGGATAACTTATCTAATGTCCTCCACTTATCACCTCATCTTAAAACTCAAGATTTTTTGCAATTATCAAACACTAGAGTTAAGTAGATAATGATAACAACAATAATAATTTGTTATTTTGTCAACTCTTTTGCTTAATACCCTTAAATTAATAACTTTACTCTTATAAAAATAATTGTATATAAGTAAAGACTACACTTTATTGTTGATATACACATTACTTTATAATTTATAAAACCACACAATTTTTTAGATATTATAATTTGTTAATATTTAAACTTATAAAGATTAATTGACAAAAACTGATAAAATATGTAATAAAACAATAAAAATATAATATGAAGTATAATTTATGCATTGTTTATAATTTTTAAAATAACGAAAATTAAAGTAAAACTACATGTTATATTAATACTTTTTATAATTAATATTTAACACATTAAATCTAATTCAGTAAGTGTAACATAAAAAATATATATTAAAAATTTTATTAAAGTTAATTAATATTATACATTTTATTGATGTTATATTTTTAAATTAACAATATAAATATATTCTGAAACTGGTTGTATTAAATCTTATTTTATAAATCACAAATTTATTTATCCATATAATTAAAATATAAAGAATTGTAATAAAAATCTGTCTTTGTTTTGTTTTGTGTTTATTTTGTATTATAACAAAAATAACATTTATTTTAATTAAAATTAATAAATTTAAACTTTTAAATGGCGTTTTCCAAATCATAGATTTGTATGATAAAAATTAGTATAAATAATGTTAATTAAAGTTTATTACATATTAAGAGTGTTATACATTAAACAGTAAGTTATATACAAATATGTATAAATAATTGACGCATAAAATGCAAAATGTAAAATATCGACAATACATGACTTTCTAAAATAATATTTTTAGATCATTTTAAAATGTGTTCATTCAAATTTAATTTTAATTATGTTACTTTTATGAAAATAATCAAACTTACTGTACATTAAGAGATATTTTATATCATACAAAATTATAAATATTTTAATGTTTTATATTCATAAATTAAATTATATTTACTTTATTGAAATCATAAGATTATAATTGATAATGTATTGACAATAGTATACATAAATATTTAATAAAAATTAATATTTATATTTTAATATAATATATTCTTCTAGTCTTAATATTAATTCTACATTATTATTATTATTATACAATTTTGATATTATTTGAGAGAAAATTTAATACATTAATATACTTATTATTGTAACTTTAAGAAATTATTGCTAACAGCAAAATATAGTAAATGGTAAAAGTAGAGTAAAATTAAAATAATTTGTTAGATTGTATATTATTTAAGACTTTAATTTACTTTAATATTAATTTAGTAATCCACAGGAGACTATTAATTTATTAAATTAATTGTTAAAATTTAATTAAAACATAGAATTTTTAATATTAATATTTATTTATTTATATATAAAAATTTAATAAACGATTATATTATAAAATATATGATATAAACATTAATAATGTATTATATTAATAAATTACACTTAATAATGTATAAATGTTATATCTGTATATATTTATCAATTTTCATATTTTAAATTTTTAAATAATAAATTTCATAATTAAAAAGAAAGCTTAATATAATGTGTCATAGATTTACTAATGCTTTCAATTAGTTATTTTGAACGAAACTATTATATTACTCATTACTTATATTTATATTTTACGAGTTTATAAATCAATTATATTATAACTATAAAAAAATAATTTAAGTAATAAAATTTGATTGTTTATCAAATGAAATATTAGAACTTCTATTTTAATATATTTTATATATCAATTCAATGCATATTCAATAATAATACTATTATATAGTACTGTACATCAAATATCGTATATCATAAATACAGGGCTAATGCAATTGTGATAAAATGAATTATTTTAAAATTTAACAAAACTATAGTTCACTAGATTTTTATAAATAAAATTCATATAATGAAAATTTATTATAACTCATTTTTCCACAATTATCACATTAGGCATGAGCTCATTAATATACAATACTAAAATATACTCAAATAATAATAATTGATTAGAAAATATTTAATTGAAAGTCAATTATAAAAATAGTTAGTAAAAACTTGAATTTATCACTAAATTTAAGTTTTTTGAACTCTTAAAGATTATAAATCTTTTATAAATTTAAAGATTTATCTTTAATGTTAACAAATTTTGAGACATTTTGTAGTTTTAGTTGAAAGCAATATTATAAGTAAATTATATTATAGAAATATTAATTGTTAATATTTAATAAAAAAATATTTAAATTTCAAAATAATAGATAAATAAATATGATTAATAATCTACATTATATATGTTATATAATCTTAAATTTATAGTTTATATTAAAAACACTTTTAAGGAGATATCGAACTATTTAAATAAACTGATTTAAATTAATTCAATTAATTAATAGAAATTTATTTTCTAATTTTTATTACATTATATAAACTTTAAAATAAATTTTTTTATAATTAAATTACTTCAATCAATAACCAAGTATTGAACCAATAATGTAAATACTCCAATAGAAAAAATTACTTTAGGAAAATTTTATATTGTTCAATATTATACATTCCCTAATATGTTACAAATATTATGATATAATTTAATTTAAAGTTCATAAACAATAAAGAAAAATGTTTCTATCAAAGTTTTAACAAAAATAATAATAATCGGTTTGTAATCTTATTTTATAATAATAAAACACTTAAAGCCAAAAATCATTGTTATATTAAAAGTCTTAATAAGAAAATTGAAAAATGAATTGAAGCAAAATGACATCAAACTTCAGATTTACTTGAATTGAAAAAAATGTATTATTATTGAATTAATTGAACCGATTAAGACAAATGTTAAAATAAAAAATACAATATATTTTTAAAACAACAAAAAAATAGTCGACACAAACCCACATCAAAGGAGTAATGGTTTGATTTGTAATTTTGACAAATATATTGTATGACTGAAGTATTGTACGCTTTCAACAATATTATTACATCAATAAATTGGTTGAACACACTTACCCACATCATTATGACATTACTTACCTGACATTTATTTTAACCCAATTAGTGATTTGTTAAAAATTTAAAAAAATAGCCAAAAATGGCAATTAAAATACAATTTCAATTGCTTTTATTTACAACATTTTGAGTATAATTTTAAATAATTAAATGAAGTATAACTTTAAGTGTCATGAGTTTATCTTTTGATAATCAACTTAATTATCTACAATTTTATTATTTAATTTAGATATTAACTTTTTATTAACTTTTACACATGTGGAAAATATCAATAATAGTTTAGATTAAAAAAAAGTTTTTATAATCTTGACGTATTTTTTAAGAGATATTTGCACGAAAAAATACTTTATAGTAACAATAAAACTAAAAATAAATTTATACAAATACCTAATACATAATAATTAGAAAAAATATGGTTACAATAAAGCAATAATATTTGCTAATTTTAAATATATTACTTTATAAGTGGGACACTCATAGAATTGACAAATTGATATAAACCAGTGAATTGGCACTAATCTTGAAGGGCACTAATCATTGCACAAATAAAAGTAACAATTAATGTCACTCTTTTGGTTATTACATTCACAGTAATGACAATTAAATAATAGTGATTCTGGTCTATCATCTTATGGTAAACTATTATATAATTATTAGTAAATGATTTTTTCCAAAAGCTTTTCATCATTTATTTGATGTTCACAGTTAACGACTGCTAATGTATAACATTGCAGTATTGCAGGCAATTATTGCAAATATTGTTGCGGTTATAAAACATCTAATCTTAAATATATCAATTTATCAAATATAAACTTACAAATTATATGTTTTAATGTATTAAAAAGCTTACTATTTTTAAATAAATAATTTTATAAATTTAAATATTTATATATTAGATAAAAATATATATTAAGGGTTATATAAATAATTTTCTGATTAAAAAAATTAATATGTAATCAAAATTAGTGCTTAAAGACTTGTTAATAATATTGATATTTAAAAATGTTGTTACAATTTTGTATTAAATATGAAAAAACATACAAAAAGTAAAAATTTCAATATATATATAATTAAGATATTATAAATAACATAAACTTTACATACCTGAATGACATTTTACCAATAAATATATTATATAAATAGCCAAATAAGAAATGTTTCAAATGTATTGTAATAATAAATAAATGGAAATTCAAAGTCGATAAGTGAAACACAAAATTGGTTTTATGTCCACTTCTGTCTTCTTCTTCTTCAAAGTTGAGTTAAGACAAAATTTGATTCAATGGGACGACTTGTATATATGAAGAAGTGGGAGCTTAGAGCACAAGATATGATGGTAGTGGTGGTTGTGGTGGTTGTGGTGGACGGCCTACTTTGACGCAGACTGACTCTCCATCCAATCCATTGCCATACATGTCATCAAATGCTATAATACCTACCGATTCCTTTGCATCCAATCTATCCATTCATAACATTCTATAACTTATTTACCGATATTTTAAGCTTAAATACCTTTGTGTTCAATATGTTTGAAATATTTTGATTTATTAACTCATAAAAACAAAAATATGAATATTTTATAAATATATTTATTTTATTCAACAATGTTATAATTATCATATTATAATATATATAATTTATTTTTGACAATTTATTTTAACAATTTATTTTGTAATTATATATAAAAAAAAATCTAATAATAAAATAAATAAGATTTGTAGCTTTAGTCAATTTAATCCAACTATTATTGTGGTTTCAGTAAAATTTACACTAAAAACAGTTGTTTTTAACCCTCCACTCCATCAGTAGTTTGTTATTGTGAAGTATATCTTCAAATTTAATGTCAATCATATATATTATATAACATAAGGTTTCTTTGAAAGTATTCAATGTTTGAGTGACTATTCATTCAATTTATTTGTGAAGAACTCGTTTTTTAGGCTTTTTATTAGTGAACTCAATAACTATTACAACTATAATAAGCCACTTAAAAGTGTATATTACAGTACTTGTATTTCAAATCAAGTTTTTATGTTTTAGTACTTATAAATTATAATATATATATAAATATAAATTATTTTAAACTAAGGCAATGATAACAATTTATGATAGAATAACAAATTTAATTAAAAATTTATAATACTATTAGCTAATTTTGTAAAAATAATAATTAATTTTTATAACAAAATATATAATAAAATTTAATTATATTATGTTATTAAGATAGCACAAATTTATTATTTCGAGTTATATATAATTAATTTAATTTTATAATTAATAATTGAATTTTTACAAATTAAATAGCAGTGCAATCTACCTAACAGCTAAAAAACTAATAAATGAGTGTAAATTTCTGTAAAAAATATCCTGAAAAATATAAGCCTTAAGTCGATCGGAAAATTTTCAAATAATTTTAATGTTTTAGACGAATTAAGTGTTAAATATAAGATTTTGACGACTTTTATCTCACAATTTAAAACGTTTTTTTCCCTAATATTTCTATTAGCATTAAAACTCTTACATCATATCTAAAATCAATTAATTTTTGTTTTTATCAATATAACAAAAACTTGATAATTATAGTTTATTAAATGATAAATCATAACGTATTGTTACATAATTGCTTACTTTCTGTTTAAATTTTTAATTTATTTAAAATTTATGATATTCTAATAAATAACTACTGTGTATACTCTATAGTATAGAGTCTATACATAAATGAAATATTTAAATAAAAAATATTATTCTTACTCATAATTTTATTTTTATACAAATTAATCAAATCATCCATTACAAATCAAATGTGCAAATAAATTAAATTATAACATATATCATAATTTTTAGTTTACATATTCTTCAAACAAAAATATAGAAAAAATTATATAATATTATAAATATATAATTTAAAAAATTAAGTATTATTTAAGTAATCTGAATTGTTATCTAAAAATATTAATAGTTTAATTTATAATTGACAATTCTATTACTAAAATTAATATTAATTTAATTATAAGGTTATATTATATTTTCATTAAATTTTAACCAAAAATATTAATATAGACAAAATATGTAAAGATTTAGATCAATCTCATAATAATTGAATATTTTCTATAAAATATTGTATATAAAGTTATGGATTTAAATACGGCATTAAAACGACAATTTAATCTCATATCTAGATTAATGACGTGAAAACAGATATAATTTTTTGTTATGATGTACTTATGGTTTGACTTAATATAAACCAAATATTTTTTGCAATAAAAGCTTATTTTAAAAAAACATTTAGAATGTCCTTTAAATTGAATATTTTTATATTGCATTTATTATATATATATATTTGCAAAATAACATAATATGTAAAAAATATAGAATGAATGCTTGTATAACATAATGAATGTCTTTTCAATTTATTTGAACAAACATTAACTTTTATATATGTAATATATTATTAAATAAAATAATAACAATATACAGTAAGTTTTAAAAATATATAAGACTGACATAATTATACAAATTGTATGTATTTCTATTATATTTACTTTATTTATTCCTAAAAGCATATTAATGGATTAATATAATATTAAAAATAAGGACAGGTGGATAAATCTGAACTTACATTACATTATTATTGTTAGACATTTATTTACTAAATAATACGGTATAGACTTGTTTTACGATTAAAGATCATAAGAATTAGAATTTACAGTTATTTTGGGATAATATACTTAAGAAATAACTGCTATACAAGTAATGAATTATTTGATTTAATACATTGTTGTTATAATTTATATACAGTATATAGAAATTGTTCAAATAAAGTATAGGATATTATTGATATAAACTAAACTAAATATTTTTTATAAATTTGTTCAATTATATTTTATCATTAAAAGTACAAATTGGTATTACAAAAGCACTTTAGTAGTGTTATTGTTTCTAAACATACAAACTTATAAAATATTTTTATTTTTGTTCAAAAGTAATCAATTAATTGATTTCAAAAGTTATCTCTAAATATTTTTATTATATATAAGAGTTGCTATTTGTAGTGACATTTATTAAAAATAATATTCAAGTGAGTATAGTATACAATAAAATTTTTACAGTAAATAATGTATTATTGGTTTCACTCAAAATCACCAAATTCTAAAACAAACATTAACCAAACTTAATTGACCTTGATTATTATTAATAATTTTAAAACTAGTTTATTTAAATCTAATTTATATTTTTTAAAAATTAGTCTTAAACTACTATTAGCAATTCAAACTAGTTGTTTAAACTAAAATTATTTAAGTAAAGTAAGTTTTTGTAAGCCTTGTATTGTATTAAAATAAAAATAATTAACACATCAATATTAAATTATTATTACTACTAAATTTTAGATCATATATTCGTCATATCTATGCTTATTCACAGAAAGATTTACATTTATATTATAACATTGAGATTTTGTAATGATATAAAAATGTATTTATTTTTTAAAACTTCTATTTTTAAGACTATTTCACAAATCTTATCTTATTAAACATTATTATATTTTATGCACCAATAATTTAAATCATATTATATTAGTATCAGAATTATGTTATTATTTATAAAATTGATGTTTTTAATAAAATGATCATTTAATTTTACACTGAAATAAAACTAAATAGCGAAGAATTATTTTAGTCTTAAATATTTATTAAAACTATTTTATGAATTATAAACTAAAAATTACAGTATATATTTGTTAAAATTAAATTTATAAAATAATATTTTTAGTTATTTTTATAAACAATAAAACAAATTTAGTTTTTAATGAAAAGATTTTTAATGTTTAAAAATTAAGAATATTAAGAATTAACTGTTAGAAAAAATTAATGTATTTTTAATAATTTATTAATTGATATTTCCAGTTGTTTTTTCATTTCAATTAATTTTTTATTTAATCTACTTATTTTAATTTTATGATTATGTGAAATATTTTACATTAAAATTATTATAAAATAAAGTAGATGTCATAATTTTTTAATTTTTGTTTTTATTTAACAAAATATAATATAATAAAATAAAACAAAAATATTAACTGATTTTATAATTGAATGAGAATTAAAATATAGAAATAATAAGTTAATTATTATTTTTATAGTTAACATTATTTTATTATATAAAACTATAAATTCTCAATACAAGTATATTAAAAATATTACATAATAATAATTATTATTATTAAGTACGTTAAATAAATTATAAGTTAATTAAAATTGAATGCGACTTTAAATATATGCTTTAATCAATTACTGTATTATTTTTGTTGTAAAATATAAATATAATTAAACAAATGAGTGAAGTATGCATTTGCTTGTAATAAAATTCATAAAAAGTGATTGATTGCATTCACTAATTTAATAACAAGTTGTAGTAAACATTATTTTAATCCATTATATGCTTTTGGGGATAAATGAGCTAAAATGTAGTGTAAATGCATATAATTTGTATAATTATGTTATTCTTATATTTTTAAATTATTTAGAAATGTAATGTCATATCTTTGTTTTATTTCATAATGAATTTCATAAGTTTTATAAAATTAATGTTTGCACAAAATAGTCTGAAAAAATATTTTATAATTATTTTTACACAAATTTATTATTTATATATTATTTTTTGCAAATCTACATTATATAATTATTTAAGCTGAATTTTTTAATGATTATTAAAATAAACATTTCTAGCAAAAATAAAGAAAGATTTATTTTAAGTTAAAACATAAAATATTTTGTAAATATGGTTTTAAGAATTATTATTTGGATAATATAAAATTCTTGTAATTGTTATTTTAGAGTAATAATAAAAAATTAATTTAAATATATTGTATAAATACTGGAATATTAAAAAAATAATTAACTGATTTTATCAATTGTTTTTAATTAAAGTTATTAATGATAATTTACAAATATTAAACTAAACAAATCAAATTAATTTCCGTAAACAAAATGTAATAAATGTTTGCATTATTAATTCAAAACCTCTTTCAAAACACTCTCCAAACATCTCATATTTTAAGACAAATGTTTTTGATTCCTGTCATATATTTGGTAGTAATACATACATACATAAAATAAATAAAATATAAAGTAGTATCAATAAAAACAATATTAAATACTATTATAGATTAGTGTTTTTTAGAATTATAATTTTTTAAACATTCACTAAAATTTTAAGAAATTTGGATACAAAATGATGGCTCAACTGTTTTATAATACAAACATTTATCAATCAGATTATTATTTGGTTGGATAACAATCGAAAATAAATAGTCGATAAAATTTGTTATCTAACGGATCTAACATTGAATGCAAAGTATTTTAAGAAAAAAATATTTTTTGTTACTTTTTGTAAAATAATTATCAATTTATCATCAAATTAAATGAGATTATTTCAAATTCATTAAAAATATTAAACAATTTAAACATTTTTGTTAATGTTTTATTTTTCCTCATCAATGCTGCAAATTTATGTTACATTACATGTAGTGTTGGGAAAAAAGAGAAATTTCTAAAAAATAACTGAAAAATTTCTAGAAAGTTTCTAAAAGAAATTTCTGTCTATGGGATCCCCATATTAATTCAATGATGAATAAAATCTTTACAAAAATTATAACTATTTTTTATATTGATATGTATATGAATCTCATTTGTATAGTAGAGTAGTGTATAGTACTGGTATAGCACTTATATAGTATTATAATATTTATAGCTACAGATATAAGGATCCCATAGTATATTAATAATGTAAAATTCATAAAGAAATTTATTATTGAGAAATTTACTAGAAATTATCTCAGGCAAATTTATTAGAAAATTCTATTTGCCCATTTCTAATTGCATGTTACAAACTACAGTATATTGTATATACAGTATTATTATGAATTATGAATCATAATGTCATGTAATATAAATTATATTAATATGATATAATTGATTTAATTATATATTTATGTACTATAATAATGTTTATTATGTGACGAATTGACATCATATCTGTTTCTATAATATCTTTGACCGACTCTATACTAAAAGCACACTAATATTTATTGATAAAATAATTAAAATTATTTTTAATTAATCTAATTTTATAGCTTATCCAAAAATATTTATTGTAAAGATAACTATAAAATATTTTAGTGTGTTTTTCAATAATTCTGATTTAATATTTATAGTTTAATTAAAATAAATAATATATTTAAAATCAACCAGAAATTAAATATTTGAAATTATGAAAAATTGATAAAAACAATTATTTTCAATAATTTTTAATAATTTAATTATTTTTTAAAATTAATGTAAATGTTGCAGGCAAAGTAATTATAATAAATTGACTCATAGGTTGATAAGTGAACTAGTTGAAATTTATTAATTAAAAGATTATATAACTTATTGAATGTGTCAATTTGTCACAATTGCTTTGTCTGTATTGTCACAATATTAAATATTTATTTAATATTTAACAATAATATTAATAAAATTTAGATATTGAGGATATTCAATTAATAATAAAAGTTTAAATAAACATTAGTATATTATATTAGAGATAATACCGGAATAGTGCTTTTTGAATATTTATTGATACTAATTAAAAATTTCATTACATAATTAGCCAATTTTTTACTATTATATTTATGACAATTTTTCTAATATATTTAAAAAAGTAAACACATTTATATTTAAATAATTACATATAATGTTCGAGTTTTATGTGTCTTAAAAATTAATATATATATATATTTATAAAATTAGCAAATATTATCATAAATTTTTAATTACTTAATATTAAACTATATAATAAGCTATATAACTTAATGATTTATTAGACTATAATAAATCATTTTCTTAAATTTAGTTTAAGTGCCAAAAATAACAAAACTTTATTAGCCATATAAGTGACATATATTAGGTATATTGTTGTTATTATTCACTGAGCTAACAATGAAAAGCCTAAAAAATAATATTTTCACAAATAAATTGATGAATAAAATATAAAACAATTAACATTTTGATGAAGTCTTATATCATATAATATATTTCATGTTTTGATATTATATGACAAAAACGAAAGATTGAGTGGGGGTTCACAACATTTACTCTTTTTTAGATTTATTCATTACTATTGTATTAAAAACATTCAATAGTAAAGTAATTTGTAGTTTATTTGTAACAATAGTAAAAATAGGTCATCAATTAGACTATTATATTAATATAGAAATGTGTTATTTTATTTTTATTTTATAAGAATCTATATATTAATATTTAATATAATTAATATTAAGTTATATTCAATATATATCTTATTATTGATTAAAATTTTATTTTCATTTCAATATACTATATTGATTTCAAAATTAAAGTTAGATAAATTAATTAAACAATTATATTTAGAAAACTGTAAAAAAATAAACTTATTTAGCATACTTAATTTATTTTTTAATTATAAAATCATTATAATAATTTGTTAACAAATTCAAATTTTTATGTCATATTATGTGTGGTTTAAATAAGTTTTAGGCGCTTTTTTCACCACAAAACCATACATATCAATACAATTTAATACAATAACATATTTGTCTATTTAATTTAACATAAAAAATAAGAATTTTATTTTTAAAACTTAATAACTTAAAAATGCAGAATTCATTTTATATTATTTTTCATTTTAAGTTTTTAAAAATTTGTATTTAATAAATTGTATTAATATATTCCACAAATTTTATGATTAATAAAAATTATTTTATGTATTATATTTTATTAAGTATTATTATAAAAACATTTCTATAATAATCATACAATAGTATAAAAGTCATTAAATTATAGAACCGGAAGAGTAAAATTCATGTTAACTACTATTTTATAATAATTATTAAATAAATATACTTTTGATTGACATTTATATTAGACGAATACATTGTGAGACAAAGTGTTGTCTATATTTAAATACAATTATTTTAATATTATATTTCATAATATTTTTCTTGTATTCTTTAAGAGAATTAACACTGATTTCAATGACATTCCTATTTTAATTTTTCATCAAATATTTGATGAATATATATTAAATATATTATTAAATATAATATATATATATATATATATATGATGAATATATTAAAATTTAAAAACTCTGAAAAACATAAGCAAAATTATATATAAATATAAATACATACATATTATGTATTACATAACTTTAGCCACTCTTTTTGGAGTTTAGTTAAAACTGACAGTTTTGTAAAGTAAAATAATATTTGAATTCAAAAATTATTAAATAAAAATATTAAAGTTTGTTAAACTTTGTAGTATTCTTTGAAACTTTTATTTACTATAATTAGGGTTAGATCAGATTCCCTCCCTCGTCTTATTTTCCATAAGTTCCTTATATTCCCTGTTCCCAGGGAATTCCCTGGGAAGACATTTCCTTGTGGTACCACCTATCATACACTAACTCACATTACATAATGTTTAATTAGAAACACGTTTGTATAGTAAATGTCTACAAAATGTATTTAATGTTTTTACTAAATGTTTAATAATATTTGAATCATATTTTGATTGACTAACATACTGATCCCAATGAAACACATAGATTAGGTACTTTTTAATGTATGACAAATTATATTTTCCCTTTCTAACGATCAATGGAGGGAATATAATATATTTTCCATATTTTCCGGGAAATTTGGAGGGAATTTGTTTGGGAACTTCCCTCCCTCGGAATCTCAATCTAACCCTAACTATAATATATATAATATCATGAATAAATTAAAAGCAACAAGGTAAATTAATTTGCTAATACTAATATCAGTGTTTTTAGTTTATACTTTGTTTTTTTAAACATTTTAAAAGAATTCCTTATCTGAATTTATTATGTGTTTATGTTTGTCTGTCTTTTAACAATATTACAAATTTTATTGAATTTGTATAGAAAATAGGTCTTTGAATACAACATCATATCTATTAATTGTCAAAATTTTAATATCATATTAAAGGACAAAATAACCAAAAAATATATAGAGATGCTATTGAAGTCATTATTAATAAATAATTATCTAGAATTTTATAATATAAATATACAGTATGACTATACATATAGTATATATAAATTACAAATTACAAATATAAATTCATTTTGTATTGATCCAGCTTTATCTCTCTGCCCCCATGGGGTCCACATTACTCATTGCAAATAAAAAACAACGAATTTATAACAAAAAAATGACAAAAAATAAAATTTAAATAAATTTAAAATTCCGTCCAGAAGTTTATTTGGCAATTCTAGGCTTAACATCTAAATTAATTAATTGCTATATCTATTAATTTTTATTATATCTTTAATATACTATTAAATAATTAATTTTAGAAAAGATTTGTATGAAAATTGATTGTCTTTTGTGTGTTTCGTCTCTTTTTTTAATTTCATATTTGATTTTAGATTTGAATAGAAAATGATTGATTAGATTAAAAATGTTTTTGGAATATATGTTTCACTTTTCAAGAGATTATACACAAAATGATAAACAAAATTTAGAAAATAACCAAGGCAATCTAATATATCAAATTTCTAATGTTATTTGTTAATAATTTTAAATGTTAATTAAAATCAATAGTTAGTTGATTTATCAATATTCTTAATATCAGTTTATTATATTTCACTTAAATTAAAAATTCCGTTCAGGAGATGCCGTCTGGCAATGCTAGTTAAACATTTTTAATTGCTTAAATTATATAATTAAATTTAAAATACTGTATATATTAATAATTATAATATCGTAAATTTATATACAATATATTATTTTATAAATTATGATAAATTCAAAAATGCCTTTATTTATCATTTCATTGTAAATGTATAAATAATACTATTGTTCAGTTATAGTATAGTATAGTATGCATAATAAAAAATTATAAATAATATTACATAATATAAAAGTCGATAAAATTGATTAATTAAAAGCTAATCGATAAAGACATTCATTCAATGAATATATAGTTAATGCCATTAAAATCAATGAGAACTCAATAGAGACGACAATTGACAGTAAATTTAGAGTAAAATGTAAATCAATGACAAACTTATTGCGCAAAAGCAATGCATTCAAAACATATGATATTATTATATAAAGTATATTATATAGAGATTAACATAAATATGGCTTCACTTTGAATACTATTGTAATTGTTATGTGATTTATACCGAGTTTTCTACCGATTTATGCGTTTATTGTTGTGATCAGTGATTATGTCATCAATTGTTTGGTCAATGTATACGACTGTCAACACGTGTTATCAAATATAATGTAAGCAAACGATAAACACATTAATATAATTAGGACTCAAATCTAACAAAGTTTTTGATTGAAAATTAATTTTATATGAATTATATGATTAAATGAAATAATAATTAATTGATTTTATTTATTGTTTAGTTTGTGTTTTATGTCAAACATTTGAAATATATTTATTTGGATTCAAATGGTTTGAGTCTTTAAATGACATTTTTTTAATTATATTTGAAGTAATGTTTGTTTTGCTTACAGATGTAATCAAATGATTGACAATATAATTGGTGACCAATTAGTGACAATACAGTGATTAAAAAATCACAAGAGTTGTAAATCATTGGTGAACTTATTGGTGGTGATAGTAAACAGTGTATTAGTTGATGGCTGCGGGTCTTTACGATATAACGCCACAGACTCTGGGAAAGGGACACTTCGCGGTCGTAAAACTGGCCAAACATTGTCTCACAGGTAATGATTGTCTTGATTTATGACAAATCAGATGTTTATAGTGATTGTCATAACAATGCTTTAAATGAATAATATTAACAAAGGATGACAAATGATTTTCAGGCGAATCGGTGGCCATTAAGATCATAGACAAAGTAAAGCTCAATAAGGAAGGTCTTCAGCAGTTGGGGATTGAAATCCGATTGTGGTCTCGACTGTCTGAACACGAACACCAAAATGTGGTCAAACTATATCAGGTTATCGACACCCGAACCAAACTATATCTGGTTATGGGTTAGTGTGATGTTTGCTTTAATTATTTATTTGATTTTACAATTTATTACACTTTCTATAATCACTTGATCAGAATATTGTGGTCAAGATGTATGTGATCTTTACGATCACATTCAACGCCGAAATCATGGAAATGGATTGAAAGAAGTTGAGGCCAAACATATTTTTCGACAGGTTTTGCATATATTATTGTCTGATTTGATATACATTTATATCATTTGATTGTTTGTTTGTTTAGATCTGTTGTGCCATCTCTTACTGTCATTCCCTTCAGATCGTGCACCGGGATCTCAAGCCAGAGAACATACTAATTATCGCTCAGCCGTTAGAACAAAACAATACACGAATCAAATATCCTTTGGTTAAACTCATAGACTTTGGTTTTTCTAATCAATGGGCAGAGGGAGAGATGTTGAGGACATCCTGCGGTTCATTAGCTTATTCAGCTCCAGAAATACTCTTAGGTTTTATTAATATTTTTAAAATGAAACAATTATTCATAGAATATTTATTTTTATTATATAAGGTGACAGATATAATGGTCCAAAAGTTGACATTTGGGGTTTGGGTTGTATTTTATATATACTTTTGTATGGAAGCAATCCATTCATGCAAATCAATGACAGCGAAACATTGTGCAGGTGTGACATGAATTTCATTTTATCTAAAATTAGTTTTTAAATTATGTGGTAATAAATAATAATATTTTTAATTAAAGGATATTGGATTGTAATTTTTCAACTCCTGTTCGGCCATATATAAGTGAATCTGCTATTGAATTGATTAAATCTTTGCTCAAAAGAGATCCCGATAATAGATTGACTATTGAAGAGATAGTGACTCATCCATGGCTTAATGATAGTGATGAATTTAGTTTTGATGACATAAAATATTTATCAAAACTGCCAATTGTTCCAAAAAATGTCAAAAATTCAGTTCATAACAGAGTAATCGATCAAATGGTGACCAAAGGTGTTGGCAATTCTAAAGAACATATTGAAAAAGTGTTGGAAAATGTCTTATTAGAAGATCAACCAAACAATAGTTTGAAGGATAAAACCAATGGTGGCTGTGATTCAGTGAACACTCAAAGTGGTGTAAATCATGAACACTATATTAAAGCCACGTATCAACTCTTAAAAGACAAATCGATGCGAGAGTTTCATGGATTACATCAAAACAACAATTCAGTGAATCAAAACACTTCGGGACATTTGACTAAACGATTGCTTCCTCTAAAACCACGAAAGCATTTAATTCAACAAATTTCCAAAAATACTAAACCTTTTCAAGAGGAAGAGTCTGAAGATGATAACCCAATTAGTTTTAGCGCTGGAATAAATCAATTAGATTTACCTAATGATGACGGAAGTGGTCTGGTTTTACCTCTTCAACGAAAATGTTCGATAGTTAGTGAAGAGGGCAGTTGTGCTGCTGAAGGCTCAGACTTGTCCAGCTTTGAAGGACCAATTAATGATAGAATTAGTCTTAATGAACACAAACCAGTCCTTCCAACGATAAATATAGTGGTCACTGACTGTTCACAAGCAGATGAATCCCAGACAGATGAAGATGAAGTGCTAAATTCAGAGTTGGGACAAATAGGTGATATCAATATGGAATCAACTGTTAACACAAATTTTTCTAACGAACCATCGATTTACAACCCGATTGTGACGACCACTGTATCGACATTGCATTCAGTGTCGAGTTCTCCTGAATTGTTGCGAAACAATGATGAAGACGATAATGATTTCGATGTCTCGCATTCGGGTCGCGGCCCTAAAGGGACGGCAATGATCTTATTAAATGAGACCAAACATGACAAACAAACTGATCATTTGATTAGTCATTTTGGACAAAACGTTAGTACAAACAACTCATCCATTAATAACTCGAGTTCTCCTTCGATGAGAATTATAGTTCAGTCCAAGTCTTGTAATAATATATTATTTAATGAAAACGATTCCTTCAATTCCTCCATTAATGATAAAAGTGATATCAAATCTGTTAACAGTGTATCTATTAAAAGACATAAAACAGATCGAAACGATTGTTGTATTATCTGTTAAAAACCATATATTATATAATCATACAATTTATTAATTTAACTTAATTTTAGTAGACATTTAATATAACTATTCATTTTTGTTCATTGAGTGTAATATTCATTTATTTATTGAACGATTACTTAATTATTACTGTATTTATAATTATTATTTATATGTTTAGAATATTATAAATGATTTTGAATTTAATAAGTTATTATCGTTAGTAACAATTATAATCTCATTTTAACTTTACTTTATATATACTTTATGTGAATGATTTGTTTTACTAAAGGATTTTTATTGTAAAACAAAACAATAATTTTAGTAAATTTATACGTAAATGTAATTTTATTATACTTAATATTGTATATAAATATTAGTTATTAAATTTTAAAAAATATTTTGTGTTTAATGTTAGTAAATTAAAATTTTAAAATCCATAAAATTTGCTCATTATTTAGTAGATTATAAATTTATTTTAGAAATTAAGAATAGATTTGATGAGAATTTTGTCAAATTTATATATAATATATATAGATATTAATCTTACTTTTATTTTTGACTTATGTTTCTTTCATATAATTTATTAATATCTGTAATATAGCTATTATATTTACTTTATATAATATATATACTGTACATATAATTATTATGTAACTATATATTTAAAAATAAATGCATATTTTTAATTTCAGGAAAGTAAAGCAATTATATGAAAATTTTTGGATAATTGTGATGAACATTAAATGGATATTTTATGGATATTTGTTGAGTCTTTGGTAACATTGATTGACATAACATAATGTGTGAACATAACTAACTATAAAACGTTGCGAATATTTAAATCAATTTTAATTCAAAAGTTTTAAATAATTCACAAAAATATGATTTAATTAGGGAATTAAATGATGAAATAGTTTTAATAAATTATATTTTCAACACATTTATTAAAATTGAAATTTTATAATAATAGTTTTAATTTAGCTTTTTTCTCAAGTGATATACAAAACATTTATGTATTATATAGTATATAATTTTAAATGAAATTTACCAATATTTTAAATACAATATACTGTATATATAGTATAGTATATACTGTATACTGTATATATACCACTGTGTTGACCAAATTTATATTATTGCAATACTGGCTGACGTTTTAAATATGCTTTATATTAAATCAATTTAATATTTAAGTTGACATTATAAGCCATTATAATAATAACAATAATAATAATAATAACAATTATAATAATAATAATAACAATTATAATAATAATAATAATAATAATAATAAGTTTAAGCAATAAAAATTAACTAATTATGTTGAATTTTTAAATACATTAAAATATTTTTACAAAGATTTTAGTTTAGTTTATAATATTACAATAAAAGCAAGTTATTGACATTAATTTATGAGTTATTTCTATATATATATAATGATAATTAAAACAGATTCAATACTAAAATTTGAAAGTAAGTAAACTATTTCAACAATAAATTTGATTTAAGATTAATAATCTAATTATAATTAAATAATATTTTGTTTGAGACAAAAATAATTTATTTGGCGACGAATTCATCGTTGATTTCATTGTCACTTCTCTTACCCCACATTCCTCTTAACTGAAAGATATTAACTAAAATTAAAATTATAATATATATCATTATTTTTCATTAATAATGTATACCCTATTCCAGTGTGGCGAACGTTTGCCTAATAATTAAAAAATAATATTATTTATCAATATATTTATGATTTATTATTTCAGTAAACAAATATATAATAAATTAAGCATAAATTAGAACAATATCTTAATATCAGACCCGCATTAGACTCCCGACTCGTGATTTATTTTAAATATCTAGTAAACCATATTATATATACAATATATATATAAATGACCAAGGACAATGTTATAGACAATTTTATAATGAATATATTTAAAATTAATCAATTTTTATTTACTTGTATTATTGACCAGATAATTGCACCTCTTTTAAGCAATCGGATGCAACTATTTTGGTTAATCTTATAATTAAATAAAAATAATCAAATAGAAAGTTATACAGTATAAAATTGTTTATAACATTACCATTATTGGTTATTTTTATATGTAAAATGTAGTTTACTAGATATTCAAAAAATCATGAATCGCGAGATATTAAGATAAAGCACTAAATTAGTTAAAGTAAAACTAGAAATCACTCAATACATGTATATTATATTATACTAAATATTGGAATATAAATAATAATATATAATATTATTAGTCAACTATATATAAATATAAATGTTTAAAAATTATTGTTATCTATTAACGGATTATTATATAAATTTTTAAATAAAACGCCTAATGTATAGTGAAATGTATATAAATAAGTGAATACTGACCCCAACCGCCTGACATGTCATTCCAACCCCTTTTACCCCACATTCCATTCAATTCATTCCATTTGGCGGCTCTTTTACCCCACATCGCCGACAGATTATTCCAACCGGGGCTACCATTTGCCGGCCTTTTGCCTTAAATTACATTTATTTATATAAATTTATATAATTATAACACAAAAGTATGACTTAATAGTAGAATATATAGTAATATATAGTAATATATACCCCAAGCGGCCGATAACTTATTATTCCAATTGGCTCTCTTACCCCAACCACCTATTAATAGTTATTTCAAATTAATTTTTAAATAAATGATAATTTATGCAAAAATGTCAAACCTTGCAAATTATTCCACTTTTGTGCTCTTTTTTCTTCGTCAAGCAGTTCCAAGAGATCAGAGTCAAGCGATTCTTTGCTTAGATCATTGATATCAATATTTTTTGATGACTTATCAGTGGTATCTAAAGATGAAGTGTTTCCCAAAACCAGGTCTACTTGTATAGCAATTAATGCCATCATTTGAATGAATAATAAAATTAACAATTTTGGCATTGACTGCATAGTATAGCCTGAAATTTACAGAAAATTATATTTATAATTAATTTATAATTTACATTTAAAAAATATACTTATTCTTATTTTTATATTTTTTAAATTATATTATAGTAAACAAAAAATAATGTTAAATAATATTGTATTTATAAAATTTTGCATTTATTTAAGTAAAAAATATATATTAATTAATTATATTATTCTGAATAAATTTGTCAATTTATTAAAAATTTTTATTAATTATTATTAATCTATTAAATAATAATTTCACAAACAAGTATTATTGTTGTTTTATATAATCTAATTTGTTTATATTAACCCAAAACTATACAATAAATAAATTTATTGGTTTACCAAATAAATAAATAAAAATTAAAACTCTTGATTTTAATAATAATTATAATAAATTACAAACATGTCATGTTTAAACACAGATAACTCATTAATTATTAAAATAGATGTAAACATTGTGGGCGACAAACATTATGTCAATATATAGACAATAATGTTTGGAAAAAGATAAAAGATTTTAAATACAAATAGAAAAACCAAAATTGAATAAAGATTATAACTATAACTGTATTTTGTATAATATATAATAAAAATATATAAACATATGAATATTGCAGACAAGATTGAAAAGCAATTCAAACAATTTTTGTTGAAAGAAAATTGTATTTATTTTGTGTTTAACATATAATTCCCACTTATTTTCATAAAAATCTGTAATATATATACACAGGATTTCTGTGTTAGGATTATTGGAAAATTCTAATATACTTTTAAGGAATAAATTTTATATAAATAAAATGTATTACTTAAAGATAAGAGGATTATTTGATGTAAAATATCTCAGAATAATTGTTTATTTAACTCAACTAATAACTGAGTTTTTTAAACAATATAAAATGACTTAATTTATTATATTTTTAAAAACTAATTAAATGTAAACTATTAGTTTTTAAAATTTAGAATAAATAGAGATTTGTTAGATCTATTAATAATATATTTATAATATAATATAAAATAATTTATTTATGATAATTTCATATAATTTATTTTATTAACAATCTTATATAAATCTATATCATATAAACTATAATAATAATTTAAATAATTTATTACACCAATGCAATTTTATGTTATAGTTGACAAAAAAACTAAATTTGCTGAATCACTAAATTATCTGTAAATTGTAGAATCGTTGAAAAAATTAACATATAAATAATATACAAAAAATAAGACAATTTACAAGTCTTTTTTTATGTATCATAATTTAGACTTTAAGACTAAACAGTATTATCATAATTGCCTTTAATTTAAATAAAGATATTAAAGTGATTCACAAACTGTTTACGAGAGCTTTCAAATGTTTTTTTGTTTTGAACATTAAATGTTTTTTCTGAGTATTTCTACAAAAGCAAAGATTTGCTGAATGTATGAATGAATATGTTATTACATAAATAAAATTAAATATTTGCGATATGAGGCCCTAAATCATACCAAACATTTTGTGATTACCAATGAGATCACAAAAGTAAACATAAAATCGTTTTGATTGCTAACACTTTAACTAATAATTTATAAATATATGTTTAGTCCAAAATTATATTAAGAGTTATGACACACATTTGCTTTTAATTATACAGATACTGTATGGTAAGCATTTATTACTACCCTATAATTTCTCAAATTATTATTTAAGTATATACAGTTTCAATTTATTGCCCACATATTATCATAAAAATTGTAAATGATTTTTTTTATTTATATTATAATTATTAAATTTCGATATTATTTATTTATAGGTTACAAAATGTTTTAATGTTATAAATATAAATAAGATTACGGAAAATAATTTGGTTATTTAATAACATTAATTGATTGCATTAATATATTTTTGTTATCTATCATATTATTGTACTTTATAAACAATTTCTAATATCAGTAACTTAATTATAAATATTATATTGTAAAATTTGTTAATATTATTAATATTTATTTATTTTAATGCAAAAAATTATTTTTAATGTAATTGTTTTAAAGTTTAGTTAGAAGTATTGGTCAAAACTAGTTAAAATGTTAAGTATATATTGGTTAAAGCAAATATTTAGTACAGTTAATGCAAAACACTATAGAAAATAAATTAACACTTTTATCTGAATTCAAATATTATGATAACAGTTGAATAAATTGAAAACTTTTCGTGATATTACTTAATAAAGTAGTAAACATCTATGTTATCATAGAATAACAGAATTTTGAATGAATTTATATTTAAATGTAAATAATTTGTTTTAACCAAACATTAAAGATAACACATTATTATAATATAATTGACAATTTACAGTTGTATAAAATACATTTGAAAAACAATATAATACATTGCATTTACTATAGTTATTGTTATTTAATTGTACTTAACATTAATTTTATATCTTTTATGTATCATAAATTTAATTTACAATAAATAAATTGTATTCAATAATACAAAACAAAAAACAATCTTCTACAATACAAAAATGTGTTTTCACTATTTAATTAACATTTTAAAAATTATTTACATAGATTGAACATAATTTAGATGTATTAGGTTATACGATAAATATTTTTATTATTATAATTTACAAGATAATCAATAATTGTTTAATGAAAATTGTGTGAGCTAGCCTAACTATGTTATTTTAAATAAAATAAATCTCAGTTATTTTAACTCTGCAACATAAAAATTAATATATAAAATTAATTTTATTACTTTGGTATATTTAAATATATTTTAAGATATAATATAAAATAAAAATTTTAATGTTAAAGATGACGTTTTCATTATATAATTAAGCTAAATAATAAAAAAATATATTTTATATTTATTCTGAAAAATTTACAATAACATATACTATATATATATATAATATATATATATATATATATATATATTTATATATAAAAGAAATAATAAAACGAATGAATATTTGTTATAAACTATTATTATTTAATTGTATAATAGATAACAAACTATTGTTGTTTTATTTTGTAAAATAAATTGAATTTTGTAGTTGTTATAGTTGTAATATTCTATATAAAATTTATATTTTTCAAAATTATTGTAATAATAAGTACATAATAATACTAATTTTCTAATATTATTATATTTATCTTCTAAAAAGATAAATTCATAAAAACTGCTTATATTGACACAAATCACTATATCATAAATTAATTATATAATGTTTTTTATATAATCAATCATTTTGTGTTATTATTATATTATACTGGTATATATATATATATATATATATATATATATGCAAATGGTCTAATATATATCTTGTATTTGTATTCATTATTTATAATAAATATCATAATACTATAGTACTCAATATTTACAAAAACATAAATACAACAAAATACTCTATACTTAAAATTTCAAAAAATATTCAAATATAGTCAGAATATAAATTTATGGTTGTAATTATTGAAAATTGTTTTAGTAGTATATTTATTTACTACATTTTAACAAATAATACTATATTTATTTAACAGAAATTATGACTTGTATTTATTTTAATTTTTTATATACTGTATATTATTAATAATCTTTTGAAAAATTTTATAAAAAACAATATAAGATAGTTGTGTACTACATATTGTAAATGATTTAGTTAAGAAGTAGACTACAAAAATGTTTTTAATTAATTTAGTTAACAAAATATTGAATATAATTAATATATAAATAAACAAAATTAAATAAATATATAATGTATTAGATTTAAAAGAATATTCCGTACTCTGAAAATACTATTTTTAATTTAGTTCAAACTAATAAAGTATTTTAAGCATAATTAATAAAAATAAAATTAATCATAATAAATATGACAAAAATTAACCGTTAGTAATAATAATTAACTGTATATTAATTAAATAATACAACAAATAATTAAATTTTAATTTTTAATATTTATAAAAAACTTAATTTAAAAAAACATAAACTTACTAATAATATTATAAATAGAGTATAATAAATTTAAATATAGATTACTTTTACAATTTATTTTTATTATAACTTATTTAAGAATTAGTGGTTTTATCCAACAAGACTAGTAATATATTGAAATACTGTATATAAATTAAGATGAATATCAATAAATAAAAATAATATTAAAGGTTTAGAATAATATATTATTTATTATTAGGACTTATCTATAAGTTTTTATAATTTTGTTCAATAAAATCTAATATATAAATAATAAGATTTAGATTTAAATTGAGTAACAACTGGACACAAATGGTAGTAAAATAAAGTGTCGTAATTGTAATAACGAAAGTAAATCTTTTATATTGAATAAACTTGAAAACAAATGTAATACAAATTAGTTTAACATCAATTGAGATTTGAATGTTTGTAATGCACTCAATAAATGAGGGATTAATGGATTACATGTCTATTGAGTTCATCACAATATATAATAGTTTGATCTATTTTGATGATTAAATTTAGATAACTATGTATTATATCAATAGTTCTTTGTTTATATTTTTTATTAAACAAATTACACACAATCTAAATGCATAATAACATAAATAAACATGGTGAAATAAGTATTGTCCAATACTCTGATAAAATAAAAGATTGAAAGGCAACACAATTACCATTTTTATAACAATACCCATAAGATATCATAATTTGTAGAAAATAAGATTATACGGTATTTTCTAGTTTATTGAATAACATAAGTGTAATATATCGATAAATATTGTTTAGTTATTCATGATCTAACATTTGCAGATAGTATAGTCATATTAATACAATTATTTTCAATTATTTACACAATCTCTTGATTAATGTCCAATCATTAGTAATAAGATGTGAAAAATAATTTTTTTGCCAAATGAATGTAAAAGCGATTCAATCAGATTTATGCCACAATTGAATGCCTGATTTTGTTTTAAGGCTTAAAGTATTAGCAATTGTTTTATGTTATGATAGTTACAGTGATCTACAGATATGGTGTCTCTGCTCTTACATTAAAATCCTGTCTTAAAGTAAGATGTTTTGTGCGATCAAATTAATCGACAAATTATGTCTTTCATTGAATGTCTGAATAAATTCTGACATTTTTCTATTGTATTATATGTTTGCCAATTGAATGGAAAGTAGAGCGCAAAGCATTTAAAGTGATAATAGATTTGAATATTTATAAATAAATTCAAACGATTGCCTCTATTATGATAAATGTTTGGATAACCAAAGATATATATCTCATTAACTATACATCGCTTACAATTTGTCTCTTTTATCTATATATTATTGATGTACTGTTATTAAGAGGTTGAATGTACTGAATGTACTGTTATTATTCACACCTGTTTTTACTTTCATACCCCAAAAGCCTACTTCATAGCAAAGTATAGTTATTCTGTAATGCATTACATTATTAACTAAAAGTTTGGTTATAGTAAAACATATGTTTTGCTTAATATGACATAAATATATTGAAAGATGAAAAATCAATAGCATTACAACTACTACAGTATTTATTATTATTATTATTAACATAAAACTTTCAATTATGCATAAAATGTGTTATAAAATTTTATTTCTCTTGTTTGACATTATTTTTGTAATACTTTTATTTACAAACTGCGGTACAGTTTATTGTTTATTATGACAAATGAACACAATTTTGTGCTATAAATTTGTTTAAATATGTAAAATATTTTGACATTTGATATATATTTTATTGTCATTTGTATGTATGAAAGTATAAAATTATAACAATTTTGTAAATAATTTATTATTATTATTATTATATCAACACCGACAATACTATATAATAAAATGAAAATATAATTTTAAAATTCAATTAACTTATGATTACATTTTTTGCAGATACAAACATTTTTTATATTCAGTTTAAATAGTATAGTATAGTATACATCAATTTATATATCTATTTTGCTGTAACTTTTTTGAAAGTATTTTATGTGAACAACATTTTTGATTTGATTATGTAATTTCAAGAGTATTCATAAAGTTTCAAATGAGTAAAAAATTAAAAATAAAAAAGTAAATATACTATACAATGATTGTCATATTTTAGGTGTGTGCTTATGTTGTATAAAAACATCATTATAGTTAAACTATAGAAAAAACTTTTTACTGAGATTATTCTATTGATTTTTTTGCTACTTTAATTTATTACATATTATTATTATTTTTCTAAATAATCATTATAATAAATTATATATTTTAAATTTAAATTTTATTAATAATTAAAACTTTATTCTAATTTATATAATTTAACTTATATGAATATCAAAATTTATGTAATAACTAATGTATCTAAAATATAATTTTTAAATTATTTTATTACTTTTGAGAATTTTAATTTAAATAATATATATATATATATATATTATTTTTTTAATATAATTAGTTTTTAATTTTAATATAATATGTAAATTTATTTTTTATTTAATTTATTTAGTAATTATATAATTATTTAAAAATATTTAATTATAAATTTTATTATAAAACAATTTTAAGAGACAAATGTATGAACAAATCAAATTATTTTATAATAATAGATGTAATTTTTAATTTTATTAAATAATTTAAATTGGAAATTTTTTAATCTTATACATTTATCACACGGCATATACCGTACAACTAAATTATTTTATATTAGAGTTAATTATTTAAAAATTTATATAGTATTTATTGGTATATTATACGTGAAAAAAAGTTTCATTACTAAAGCTTTCTTAAATAAAATTAATATTAATAACATATAAACATTATTATTTTTAATCATTTTAATCATCAAATAATATGTTTTAATTTAATCTTAAGTTTTAGACTTACCTTTCTTATGAATCGTTAAAATCCTAAAACAGAAAAAAATATTATACACTAACACAGTTTTAAAACAATACAACAAAATATAAAGAAAATTAAATTAAATTCAACTATTTTTTGTATTAAATGTGAATTGAAATTATAATTATAATAAAAGATCAAATCTTTGTCAGCAATAATTTTTATATATAATGTATATTAAAATCAATTCTAATGAGTCGCTGACAAACTAATATTAAGTTAGTAATGAAAACTTTTGATTGCAATTTATAAACGACTAAATTGTAGATTTAATTATAGAAAGAGAGAGAGAAACCGATTTTATTGTTCACTTTATAATAGGTTTGTCTATAGAGATGACAGTGCTTTCCAACCGACCGATGCTTACGAATGGTTGGTATTGAGTGTTACGTTCAATGAAGAGCACGCCTTATGATTATAGTTTGTATTATAGTTTATATAAGTTGTTAATACATCTAAATTGTATTGCATTTAATGCTAAACATAACGTCATATAACGTCCCAAACGCATGACTTACACATCACTATCTGATATCAAAACATGAACTTTATATTTCTTGACATTTTTCATCCAAAATATCTAATTTTTATAATAACGGCTATTATTTATATCCAAAATTCAATTAAAATTTCTAATTATTACTTAATATAAGCTGTTTGTGTCAGTTATTAGTTTTACAAAAAAATATGTAATTAATTTAAAACAAAATTCATGTAATTAAATAAATATAGGTTTTAAATATATTATACAGTATATTACAATTATTTAATATCAATAAATGTATTACATATTACAACTTAAAATTAAAATAATAAATTAAGAAATAAAAATGACTGTTATTTAACAAAATTAATTTAAGAAATCAAGATATTGTGACTTAATTTTGATTTGTATTAATTTAATATTCATATATTATCAATAAATAAATTTAATATATTGATAACTTTAAATACAGTTAAAGAATACAATAAAAATATTTACTATGCTAAAAATTTTAATTAATAAAATATTAAATAGCTATTTCATATTATTTTATAAAGTATAATAAGTGTCTTTTATGTCGGGTTTATTTTTTGTAGTTTTTCAAAAAAAAAACTCTGAATTATTAAAAAAAGATATATATGTAGTAAAGTGTTTGACAAATGTTAACACAACCATTGGATAAAATGATTAACTAAATTATGATTTGTTAGTGAATTGAGTGAATGTGTGTTTGTTTATGTGTGTGTATGTGTATGTGTGTGTGTGTGTGTGTGTGTGTGTGTGTGTGTGTGTGTGTGTGTGTGTGTGTGTGTGTGAGTGAGTGAGTGAGAGAGAGAGAGAGAGAGAGAGAGAGAGAGAGAGAGAGAGAGAGAGAGAGAGAGAGAGAGAGAGAGAGAGAGTAAATTACATTATTTGACATTTTTCAAAACGTTAGTTAATTTAAAATATTTTGAAAAAAACATTTTTTGTTTAACACGTAATTAAATCAAACAAAAATTGACTCTTAGATTAACCCATTATAACAAATTATGTTTGTTTGTTATACAGTACTAAATTGTAAATGTAACTACTGTACAATTTTTACTATAAATTTACTTTAAATTATAAGTTACTTTAAATAAAACTATAAGTTAAACTTTTTAATTAAGTCAAATATTATTGTTATATAAAAATTAATTTTTAAAAGTAAAGCAAATTTTAAAACAAAGAAAATGAGTATTATTAATAAGTGTTGGATTATATTTAATCTTATTTTAACAATTTAGACAAAACTAACAATTCATTAGCGATATTGAGTTTCTTTTATATTTAATAAAAAGCACTCTTAGTTTAAATACTATTATTAGTTTTAATTGTTTTGTTTAAATATACGAAAAAAAAACATTCAAATACTGAGACATTTAGTAAATAAATACAAAAAATGTCTCTGAACTCATAATTTAAGTACATTTTCTATATTATTATAAATTAGTCATAATCAATTTACTTAAATATAATGATTTACATTAAACATTTAAAATGTATAAATATGATTTTGATATTTATTAATAGTGAAATTAATTGTGTTTTATATAAAAGCTTTTATCACATCAAATATAATTTTTTGTTATAAAATAGTATATGAAATCTCTGAGATATAAAAGTTAGACTGTAGAATTGTATTTACTGTATGTTATAGACTATATTTTTATAATATGTAGCATTAATATATTGAGTTTTTTTGTTTTGTGCACACACACACACAMACACACACACACACACACACACACACACACACACACACACACACACACACACATACACACACACACACACACACACACACACACACACACACACACACACACACACACACACACACACACACACACACACACACACACACACACACATACATACATACATACATACATACATACATACATACATACATACATACATACATACATACATACATACATACATACACATACATACATACATACATACATACATACATACATACATACATACATACATACATACATACATACATACATACATACATACATACATACATACATACATACATACATACATACATACATACATACATACATACATACATACATACATACATACATACATACATACATACATACATACATACATACATACATACATACATACATACATACATACATACATACATACATACATACATACATACACACACATGGATTACAAACATTTTTATTATCAAATACAATACTTTATATACTTTAATATGTTTGTCAAATCTATTTTGTCAAAGTTAAAAATATATATTATAATATAATTTACACTTTGCTATGATTACACTATAATTAATTATATTTTATAAATATAAAATATAATTTAATAATAAAATATTAATTTTGTTAAATAAATACTTGTTATTAATTGTTGAATACTGTTATATGTTAACAATGTTATGTTTTAAAAATTTAAATAGGTAATTTATGTTTAAATTTAAATTTAAAAATCATATTTAAACTTTTAGTAAATTAAAATGTAAATTATATTTTATAAATACAAACTAAATCAAAATGTAGTTTTAACCATAAAACTCTTTTTACATTTTATCAACTAATAAACAAATTGAAAATTAACTTATATTTTAACTTAAGTAATTATATTATCTAAAAATAATATATTAATATTATTAATTAATTAATTTTACCATATAAAAAATTCACTAGTTTACTTTACATTTAACCGTTGAAAAAATTAGTATAAATTGTAATAATAATAAATAAATAAAATTTAGTTAAAATATTATACGATATTTAATATATAATATTTGTTTGTATATTGTAGTACACATTCCGAATATAAGCGTTTTATTGAAAATAAACAAAACATTAAAAACATTTTAGTATTAATCTTAGATAATAAGTAAGATTTGCTAAATGATTATTAATTCCTATTCAAATATTATTGGAATATTCTTACTCTATATATAAGATTAACATTAATTATATTAGAAAATAGTTTATATTTATATAATAAGTTTGTTTAATAAATTTATATAACACAAATAGATTAAAAATCCATTAGTTAATTATACAATTATATAACAATTGAAAAAGTTATATTATTATTTATTTTTAAAATACAATTTTATGTTAAATTTATTATACAATGTAATAATTAATGTATTGTCTTTTAGTTATAATAAATGTATTAAATACCTGTTATTATACAAACTAAAAAATACAAAATAATTATTTTAATAATTTTTTATTTATGTTTATATTTGCTGTTATAATATTAGCTATTGATAAATTAATTAATTTAAATAATAAAATTACAATAAATAAATATTCTATTTATAGTAATCTTAACAAATCTCATCTCATAAATGCTTTAAATATTATTAATAAATTTTATAGACATTTTCTTAATAATAATTTAAATAATAATTTTAATTGTTGAGTCAATTTTAGTTTGAGAAACAGTATTTTATTAAATAAATATTAAAATTGATTTATGAAAATTATAATGTTTAGTTTAATATGAAAAATCACTACAATTTCGACAAAAAAAGTGAAATATTTAATTTAAGTTTTTATATTTAATATATGTTGAATGAGAATTGTATTCACAGGTAATGTTCGGTAGAGATAATAAATTTTAAATACAAAACAACAAACCGGGAAAATAATTATTTTAGTTGAAAATAAATACATTAATAATAATAATAATAATTAAGATATATTACTAAAATTCTATTATATTATTATATTATAATAATGGTATTATATTGCTATTTAAGAATTTCTGAAAAATATATTTTTTTTGTGAATATATCAATAATTAATTCAAATAAGTTAAATAGCTTTTAAATGTATTTATATTAAGCGCACTGACCTATTTAAACTATATTATTTAAACATAATCATTGAATTTGAAAACAAAATAAACACCCAATATAATAATATTTTATAACATAATTTATACCATTATTGATGATTTCTATATTAGATTTAATATTATTTCACACGTTATTAGATTTCTTTTTATGATTTTTTTTAATAATTATAATAATTTCCTTTTTAGGGTAAATGACAAAAACTAAAATATATACTTATATATAAAATATGATTAATATATTTAGCAAACATTTGTGAGCATAACTCTAACATACAGTAAATTAATGTAATTCACAAATGATATAAAACAATTTTTAAAATTACAAAATTATATTTATATAATTACAAATAAATAGTATTAAATAGTTGAACTAAACATTATGATTATAAAATAAGCTTGATCATAACAATTGTATATAATTTTTTATACAAAAATGGTTTTAGTTTAAAAAACAATGTATTTATATTGAAGTAGTAAAAAATTATTTCTGACTCTGTTCTACATTTTCTATGATTTATATTATATTTATATTAAATTTATATTAATATTAATAATTGTCAATATTTATGATTGTTTTGTTGCGCTAAATAATGTAGATTTACATAATATAATTTACAATTGAATATATATATATTGTATTCAATTCAACAGCTATTAGAAAACAAAATACAGTTTA